TAAAGTTTTTTACTGTGTCATCTTCAAGGTGCAATTCTGCAATCATAATGGAGACTTGTTCACTCTTCTTTCGGTGTACAAAGAATGGGCATCTCTGCCGCGAGAGAGAAGAAATAAATGGTGCTGGGAAAATAGCCTGAATGCCAAATCAATGAGGAGATGTGAAGACACAGTCAAGGAATTGGAGATATGCATTGAGAGAGAACTTACTCTTGTCAGTCCTAGTTACTGGGTTTGGAATCCAAATGAGGGTACTAAACACGACAAGCATTTGAAAATGGTTATACTTGCATCTCTTGCAGAAAACGTGGCGATGTACACTGGCTATGATCAGCTTGGATACGAGGTGGCATTGACTGGTCAACAAGTTCAGTTACATCCATCGTGTTCATTGCTAGCATTTGGCCAGAAGCCAAGCTGGGTTGTTTTCGGTGAACTTCTATCTATTGTGGACCAGTACTTGGTATGTGTAACTGCGTTTGATTTTGAAGCTTTGTATATGCTTGATCCACCACCACCTTTTGATGCATCCCAGATGGATGAGCGGAGGCTCCGAGTGAAAAAAGTGGTTGGTTGTAGCAGCACTGTGCTAAAACGATTATGTGGGAAATCTAATCGTAGTCTGCTTTCAATTGTTTCTCGTGCTAGGTCTCTTTGTTCGGATGAAAGGATTGGTATTCAAGTCGATGTTGATCAGAATGAGATTCTACTGTATGCGCCTCCCCTCGACATGGAAAAAGTGTCAGCCCTTGTGAACGATGCATTGGAATGTGAAAAGAAATGGATGCGTAATGAATGTTTGGAGAAGTATCTATTTCATGGTCGGGGACAAGTACCTATTGCACTGTTTGGATCTGGTGCTCAGATAAAGCATCTTGAAGTTGATCAGAGATTTCTGACAGTCGATGTACTTTATTATGGCGATAATGTTGTTGATGACAGAGAGCTTCTGTCGTTTCTGGAGAAGAAGATTGATGGGTGTATTTGCTCTATTTACAAGTTTTCTGCGAACAAGCAAGACTGTGATGAGAAGGAGAAGTGGGGTAGAATAACCTTTCTCACTCCAGAATCTGCTATGAAGGCAACAGAAATTCAGAAATTTGATTTCAAAGGATCATTGCTTAAATTATTTCCATCACTGTCAACTGGTGGAGGAATATTCAAGATGCCTTCTTTCCCTTCTGTGACAGCTAAGATTCGTTGGCCGCGAAAGGAAAGCAGTGGTAGAGGATGTCTTAAGTGCCCTTCCGGAGATATTCACAGTATACTTGGTGGGATATCCAACCTTGTGATTGGAACAAATTATGTCAATATTCAGAGAGATCAACAGTCCAATGATTCTATCTTGATAAGTGGACTTGGAGATCTTTCAGAAGCAGAAGTTTTAGATGTTTTGGAGTTCGAAACGAAGAGAAGAGATCTGAATTTTTTTATATTCAGAAAAAACAGTGTGCAGTGCCCATCTCCTACTGCTTGCGAAGAAGAGCTTCATAAGAGAATATATGCGCGCATGTCAGCAAAGAATCCAGAGCCAAACTGTGTCCAAGTTCAAGTTTTTGAACCAAAAGAAGACAATTATTTCATGCGTGCGTTGATTACGTTTGACGGGAGATTACATTTGGAAGCTGCGAAAGCTTTGCAAGAGTTAAATGGGGAGGTGCTACCTGGATGTCTTCCATGGCAGAAGATAAAGTGCGAACAAATGTTTCAGAGCTCCATAATCTGCTCCGCTTCTATCTACAACACTGTCAAAAGACAATTGAACGTTTTATTAGCAAGCTTTCAGAGACGACAAGGTAAAATTCCTAAAAAACATTTGAGCTTTTCGCTTTTTGCTCTTTAATTTTTATTACCTTCTGTCAGCAAATAAGCTTACTGAATGTCTACTTCTGACTCCGATATTGATTAAGAACAATCATGACTTACAAGGTTTAATTTCGAGGCTACAGTTTCTACTTATGAAGGATGCATAAGCTTAGGTGTCCTATTTTTTCCTGTGAACTTGTCCAAAGTTTGATGTGCATTAACGTTTGTTTATATTTTTGTAGGGGGTACATGGCATCTGGAACCAACTCATAACGGGGCTTACCGTGTTAAAATTATTGCTTATGCAACAAGACCCGTTGCGGAGATGCGGAGAGAACTTGAAGAACTCTTAAGAGGAAGACCTATTAACCATCCAGGCTTAACCCCTAGAGTCCTGCAGCATCTTATGTCCAGAGATGGTATTAATTTGATGCGGAAGATCCAACAGGAAACAGAAACTTACATTGTATTAGACAGGCACAATCTCACAGTACGCATTTGTGGATCAAGTGAGAAAATTGCCAAGGCAGAACAAGAACTGGTTCAGTCACTTATGGCTTATCATGAGAGCAAGCAACTTGAAATCCACCTCCGAGGTCCTGAGCTCCGTCCTGACCTCATGAAGGAAGTTGTGAAGCGGTTTGGTCCGGAGCTCCAAGGTATCAAAGAAAAGGTACATGGTGTGGATCTCAAGCTCAACACCCGGTACCATGTTATTCAGGTTCATGGGAGCAAAGAAATGAGGCAGGAAGTACAAAAGATGGTCAATGAACTTGCACGAGAAAAAAGTGCACTGGGTGAAAAACCAGATGACATTGAAGTTGAATGCCCCATTTGCTTGTCTGAAGTTGATGATGGCTACTCTCTTGAAGGATGTTCACACCTCTTCTGCAAAGCTTGTTTGTTGGAGCAATTTGAGGCATCGATGAGAAACTTTGACGCATTTCCAATACTTTGTACTCACATAGACTGTGGAGCTCCAATAGTACTGGCTGATATGAGAGCCCTCTTATCACAAGAGAAGCTTGATGAACTCTTCAACGCATCCTTGTCCTCTTTTGTAACATCTAGTGATGGAAAGTTCAGGTTTTGCTCCACACCTGATTGCCCTTCCATCTACCGTGTAGCTGGACCTCAAGAATCCGGCGAGCCATTCATCTGTGGGGCATGTCACTCGGAAACATGCACAAGGTGTCACCTCGAGTATCACCCGTTAATCACTTGTGAAAGGTACAAAAAGTTCAAGGAAAATCCGGACTTGTCGCTGAAGGACTGGGCAAAAGGGAAGGACGTAAAGGAGTGTCCGATTTGCAAGTCGACGATAGAGAAGACTGATGGGTGTAACCATCTGCAGTGCCGGTGTGGAAAGCACATTTGCTGGACCTGCTTAGACGTCTTCACTCAAGCAGAACCTTGTTATGCCCATTTAAGGACAATTCATGGTGCAATCGGATTAGCCGAGTAAGGTGTTCCAGTGGACCCCGTCGCCGAGGAAGGTATTCCCAGCTTTGAACCGGACTAGACCAGACCGGACCGGACCCATGTATCTATATCATCTGGTTTGCTTAATGTGTACATATGTGAACATTAGCGTAGTTCGGTATTGTAGTACCTTCTTTAACCAACTGAAAAACCGATCATAATATTAATAGGGATGACTCATAAACCGGATGCCAAATAAATAAAAAGACTTAGGACTTGACTCGCTACATGACTGATTACGCGTAAATGTCTACAGAGAGTTTACTAAGTTGAAAGGAAACTACTTTCTAACATACAGAGACATCGCCTTTAATGGCATTATCACTTTCAGGAAATTTCCACCCACTTTCCAACCCCTAAAATGGACAAATCCTCTCTAATTCCTAGTCTTGAGATCATGATGTGTATGACCCACTTACTTCTTCACGAAGAATTTTTGGGTCATGACTCTGTGTAGATTCTAACCCATTTTGTGGGTTTTAGTGTCCTATTTCTTCTCGCTTTAATCAGAAGCAAAAAACTTGGAATTGTGTCTAATACCCATTTTCCCCTGTTCTTGCTCTGTTTTCTACTAGTTGTGTGTGAAAGTAAAGTCCTCTGTTTTTGCTCTGTTTCTATGGTCTCTAAACTCCTACAATGGAGTTTAATAACAGAAAGACGCTCTTTTGTTATCTACCGGTCAAAGATTTTAAGTCGCCGATCTTCATCCCTTGTTTCCAGACTTCCCCTCCGCCACCACCACCACCGCCACAGAGCGAGCTCTCTCTCCTACTCCCCACCTCGATCTGCGTCGTCGGCTCAGTCATACTCTTTCTATTTCTAGTCGTCTTCCTCTACCTTTACATAACGCAACCACGGCGGAGCTCAGCCGTCACCGTAACTCCCGGTGACACAAGCCAACGGGAAAACGAAGACGAAACAGAGGAGAGAGATCACTCCGACTTCCATCACGTCTGGCGAATCCCAACCGTCGGTCTCCATCGTTCCGCCATCAACTCGATCACAGTCGTTGGATTCAAAAAGGAAGAAGGGATCATCGACGGCACCGAATGCTCTGTCTGCTTAAACGAGTTTGAAGAAGGCGAATCGCTGAGACTGTTACCAAAGTGTAGTCACGCCTTTCACATCAATTGCATCGACACTTGGTTGCTCTCTCACAAGAACTGTCCTTTATGTCGTGCCCCTGTTCTTCTTCTCACCGAGTCTGAGCCTACTCATCCACAAAGAGAGACGAATCATCAACCAGATTCTGATTCGAGCAATGGGCTCAGTGGAGGAGGACAAGAGAGTTCTAGATCCAGAAGAAACCATAATATTATTCTTCCAAGGGCACTAAGCGATTTGGCAAACCATTGTGGCTCGGGGAGAGTAGAAAATGTTAGAAGATCGTCATCAATTGGAGGAAGCTTATCACTTTGCGAAGGTAATAACAATGCTACTAGAAGTGGAAGACATTTCTATGCCAGTATCAGTGCTAACTTCTTCTCATCATCAAGAAGATTAAGGAGCCAAGACCCGATTCTACCAAACCGAATGCCATCTGTATCTGGTAATACCGGTTAAATGGTGTGATTACATTGAAGCTTAATGTAATGTAATGTCTAGTGTGTTTATATACAGTATCTGAAATAAGTGGAAACTTTAAATATTTCAAGATTATTAGATCAACAAGCTGAAAAGACAGAGAAAAAGATGGAACATTTAAAGAGATTTAGGCGAATAAGCTTATATTAAACAAGAGAAACTTTCTCTGGGATATTTCGTCGAACACCTTAAAGACTAACTAAACAAAAGCACCTAACAACGAAAATTAAAAAGGATCCAAGAACCCATTAACTACTAAACCAAAATCAAAAGTCCCATAAATAGAGTGCCATTGACGAACTAAACCAAAAGTCTTCAAGCTCTTTCTCCTCTGATCCTCCTTGCGAGCTGGATATCCTTAGGCATGATAGTGACCCTCTTGGCGTGAATTGCGCAAAGGTTAGTGTCTTCAAACAAACCAACAAGGTAAGCCTCAGCCGCCTCTTGTAAAGCAGCAACGGCACTGCTCTGAAACCTCAGATCCGTCTTGAAATCCTGAGCGATCTCACGAACCAGACGCTGGAAAGGAAGCTTACGGATCAGAAGCTCTGTGCTTTTCTGGTACTTCCTGATCTCTCTCAGTGCAACGGTTCCTGGACGGAATCTATGCGGCTTCTTCACTCCTCCGGTGGCCGGAGCCGATTTCCTCGCCGCCTTGGTTGCCAGCTGCTTCCTCGGTGCTTTGCCTCCGGTGGATTTCCTAGCGGTTTGCTTAGTACGAGCCATCTCGAAGAAATCAAACAATGACTAATCGATATAGATCGAATTTGTTCTTCTGGAGAATGCGAATGTGAATTTTGGTAGTGAAAAAGAAAGCAGAAGAGGGCACTGCTTTTATGGGAAGAATTTGGCGGTGAGGTGAAATAAACTTGGAGGGAGTTTTGTTTTTTTGGAGGTAGAGTTGAATTATTGTCCGTTGGATTAAATATTATTATCAACGGCTGAGATCTTCCAGATATAAATCCGTGTGAGACCTTATCAACCAATCAAAACAGTGCTTTTCTATATTTAGGCTATCCGCGTGATTTACTATCAACCAATTAAAATCATCCTTTTCAGTCCACGTAGGCTTTTGCGCTTCTTCCAACTTTTATAAAATTTTAAGCGGCAATCGAAAATTTTGGCAATGAAGGAGTAGAAGGCTCTAAACAAAAATTCAATTATTTCAAATAATAACAAATTTGATAAATTACATTACTCTTTAATTGATACATACGATCGCGTTCTAATTCAGTAAATCTATGAATTAAGTAAATCAATTAAGAGGATTTCTTTTTGTGATGGTATAAACAAAAACAGAACAATCTGCAAATTCTCACTTCAGTTTTACAAAGAATAGAGACTTTTCTTACGTTTCGTGAATGATTTACTGGAAATTAGAACTTGAAGATTGTTCTATTCATTGAGAAGAAGATTGAAATCAATTTGGACAATTCATCAAGCAGGAAATTAACTCTTTCACTGATAAACGATACTTAAGAGTGGCAGATCATAATATTTGTGAGAGCAAATCATAAGATTAAAAACAACCGTAGATTAATATTCATTTAAGCATTTCATCGAACATCTGGAAGACAAAATAAACTAAGCAAAAGCCTAAAAACACTCGAATACGAAAAAGGAACAGATTTACATATCCAATGAAACCAAACAAGCTAATCCATAACTAAACGACTATCCTTCTTCTTCTTCTTCACCATCTTCGTTGAATCGTTGTCTTAAGCCCTCTCTCCTCTGATTCTCCTCGCAAGCTGAATATCCTTAGGCATGATGGTTACTCTCTTAGCATGAATCGCACAAAGGTTAGTATCCTCGAAAAGCCCAACAAGATAAGCCTCAGCTGCTTCCTGAAGAGCCGCCACAGCACTGCTCTGAAACCTCAGATCCGTCTTGAAATCTTGAGCAATCTCACGAACCAATCTCTGGAACGGAAGCTTACGGATCAAAAGCTCAGTACTCTTCTGATACTTCCTAATTTCTCTCAAGGCCACCGTTCCTGGACGGAATCTGTGTGGCTTCTTCACTCCTCCGGTTGCTGGAGCTGATTTCCTCGCTGCTTTAGTCGCCAGTTGCTTCCTTGGTGCCTTTCCTCCGGTGGATTTGCGAGCTGTTTGCTTGGTACGAGCCATTTTCGAGTTTTCAAAAATGCAAATTTACTCTTCTAATTTTGATTTGGTATGAGAATGTGATTGATATGCAAGAGAGTGAGGTTGTGAGGTGTTTTTTATACTCGAGACAGAGAGGAAGTGTTTGTGTTTCGTCCGTTAGATCGTTTTTGCTTATTAACGGTTAAGATTGTTTGTATCTTTGCGATCCGCGTCTTTTGTTAAGTAACCAATCAGAATGATTTTCTCAACGTCCACGTCATATATTAACAAAATTGTCAAAAGCCGAAAATTTCACATAATTTCATTTATATGTTTATGCGGAAGAAGCCATGGTCTTCCATGCGACCGTGCCTTGCATCAATTAATTTATTCCTATGGATCTAATCATCTAACGCTTGACTTGACCAATTTGTTCTCATCACATTTCTATGAATATATAATTCATGTTGACATTAAAAAAAATCTCAAACTGGTGTCCAAATTTTCGAGTTTTTTTTTTATTAAAACTAATTTAAAAGTACATAGAAGCATAATGTTTGATATGCTTTTAATAGCAGAAGATTTCATTCTATTTACAAAATATTATGTAATTAAAACATATGAATTTTGATGATATTTATATTGGTAATTTATAATTGTCATTTGTTATATCTGATAACATATAATTTTCCTAATCTATAATTAGATAATAGATCAATGACAATACAAATACAACATTGGTAAACTTATTTATTTACAATACAAATCAACTTTTTTTTGGTACAAAGTCAATACAAATCAACTAGTATGTATTAGGATAACATAGTAGTTGACAGACTTATTCATTACATTACAATCAACATTTTATTTAACAAATAACAACAATTTATTGGTCTTATGAGGCTGAATATGAACTCGTCATGTTTAATCACTACAAGAATATTGTCCTTTCGTAGCGTCCGAATAACGCTATCTAATTATACTATAGCGTTTTAACAAGCGCTCTATCATCGCCCGTCATTATAGGTCGAAGACGTAATATAGCGGATTTTCTTTGTGCTACCGTATTGTTAGTTATTATAGCGCATTCTTTGCTGCAATATTAGATTTTACAATAGCACTTCAATTTTGTTATTGATGATATTATTCAAAGCAATTTGAATATTAAATTTTAAATCTTTTAATTTTGAATTCCAATAATCAATCCAAAATAAATAGAAAACCAAATCATTTTATTGATATAAAATTTTATCATAAAAATTCAATGAAAAAACAAATTATCTCTCAAGGTGAAAACAAAATACAAAGCAAGCAAGATCATATTCTTCTTTCGCTTCTACTACAAAAGAGATAATAAAAAAATCATGGTTTCTATGGCCACACTTCTTCTTCTTTTTTGTAGTTCACAGCCCTTCAATGAAGATGAGCATAACACCTAACATAAGACGTTAAGTTACATTAGACTAATCTTAACATTGTAAAACATGGGAAGTCAAAATACGACAACATCACAAAACACCAACGAAATCTAAAACTAATTACCTTAAGATTTTAAGAACTAATCATGGAACAATACATTCTAAAGTAAACAAAAACAAAAAAGGACCAAAAGAGACAACCTTTTTATCATAAGCAAGGTTTTTATCAAACCCCTAAAGACCTGCAAGTTTACATATAAGCATCACAATAACCATATGTCTATATATTACAACCAATAAACAAAATTCACTAATCAAAATAAACCCAACACTTCATGAGTAAAGAATGTGCACATACCACTAGATCGGTGATCCTCTTGCCAAGTTCCTTAATTTATACACCACTTTCTTGATAGGTGCATAGTAAGACCTTAACCCCTGCAGAGGAATGAGATTTAAGAAGCAAGAAAACATATAGAGAGAGAACATATACGAACAAGTATGACCATGAATGTTTCCGCTTAGACTAATTCAAATACTGAGGTAGAGTCACATGAAACTCTTCATCTAAGCACAAAACACGGACTCACATAAAACATGTAAAGAAGAAGACGGAGGTGTAAGCGTGGAGGGTAGAGGAGAAGCGTAGCCGTTAGTTGGTAAGCCAACGAGAGCAGCGAAATCAAACCTCAATCTATTGCCATTTCTCCAACAATATCTTAAGAATTAAACATTGACCAAATCTTATCAATCCCAAACTTGAAACCTTATGAGCTATTGAAGCAAATATAAACTGGAAAGTGAAAGGAGTTAGCGAGCTTACGAGAGATTGTCGAGACGTGTAGGAATCTGCGGGAATCTCATGACATCAGATTGCGTCTTCCTCCATAGCTCGGATACATACTTGTACGCACCTAGGGTTTACCAAAATCAATTGAATCATTAGGCTAACTAGTTCGCAACAACAAAAGAGATGATAAATCGATTCAGTAAAACAAGAGAATGGAAATGGATTGAAATCCATAGATCTGGAGGAATCGGAGTAAGAATCCACAGATCTGGAGGAATCGGAGGAAGAATCAGAGGAACATGAGGGGTGTAGGCGTATATGGTGTCGTTTCAAGCTAAGGCGAATCTTCTTCTGTACCTTGAATGAGTCCATGTCTCACTTCCTTCGGTGGTGGTTAGGATTCGCAACGGAGAGTAAAAGGGAGAAGAGGATGATGACTCATCTGGTTTTGAATCTAGGTTAAGGATTTCATTGAAGAGAAGCTTGGTTCTGAATTTGGCGAATTGGTTGAAGAAAGAGCAAGGGATTTTGGAGATTGATAGAGACAGTGAGAACAAATCTTGAGAAGTGAAACAATGGAGGGAGAGGGAGGGGAAGAGGGAGAATGAGATTTATTAAGCGCTTCTTTTTTTTCATTAAGTATTTAGGGCTAATAAATTATTTTATCCGTCTCAACAATACACAACGTTTTAAAACGTACGAGTGTTATGTATTCTACATTTTTAAAAACTGTTTTCAAAATTAAGATCTGATCAACGAAACATAGCGTTTGTAAAATGCAAACGCTATCTAAAACTGAACGATATACTAACCATAGCAAAAAGGCATTAAACGCTATATTATATTGCTATCAATACCTTACTTTCTTGTAGTGAATATAAGTTTTATAAAATGAATGAACGACGACTTTGGAATGAAAAGGATATATTACAAAATTAATAGTTGAGAAAAGGAAAATTAATCAAATTTGGATGTCGACCAAAAAAATAATATTAAATTTGAATGTTTCCAAAAGGAAACTCACGTATATTTTTTAAAAATGAAAAAGGAAACTATTAAAAAAATGGAAAACGAATCAAACATTTGGACGCATATAAAAAAAATCAAATTCCAACCTCACAAAGCAAAACAGCTTCAATTATTTTTTTCTTTAGTTCCATCGAGAGAATGTCAGAACTCAAAACTCGCATAATCGGAAAATTCAAAGACAAAGCTTCGATAGGCAAAGCAAGATTGGTTCATAGTTTTAGCTCCACTGCCGTCAAATACATTCACTTAGCCCTCTTGAAATCAACAACTCATACTTCTAACAAACCACCAAACAGTGATTATGTCTCCGATGTCATCTCTTACTCCAACAGCCGTTACGCTCCGGCAGCTTTCGCGGCGGCTTTGTGGAGATTACGTGTCACGAAGAACGCTATTGTGGCCACCAAATCTCTCATCGTCATCCACAAGCTTATCAAATCATCAAGAGACAACTTTGAAGGCCTAGATCGTGATCGAAACAATCTAAAGTTGAATGAGTTTTCAGACAAATCTTCTACTCTCGCACTAGAATTGTCTCAATGGATTAGATGGTAATTTACTTCTCTTTCTATAGCTTTCTTAATTCTCTTATTTGATTGTGATATTTATCTAATTTTTTGGACATGTTTATATCGATATATGATAATATTTTTTATTTTTTTGTATATGTAATTTAGGTATGGACTATATTTGGATCGTCTCTCATGGGTTCCGAAAGTATTAGGATCTTTTCCAAATTTATTGGAGAACCCAAAAGAGAAAGTCAAAGAGAAAGATCGTGTTTCGTCTTACCAAACCGGGTGTATTATGAGACAAACGGATTTTCTTGTGAGTTTTTTTGAGCATATATGTACCAGACCGGAGGCTCCACCTATGTACGAAAACAAGATCGTGGACGAGATTAGAGAGCTCGTGATTCAAGACTACTTTATGGTTGTGAGATTGGTTATGGTACGGCTTCAAGTGTTGAGTGAAAGATTGATTAAACCGGGTGTTAAGTATATTGGTGATCCCGGTTTGAACGATTTGATTTTGGTTTTGGTGAGACTTGAAGAATGCAAAGAGAGTTTGAGTGGATTTTTTTGGCGTTGCAGACGTCTAGCAGAAGATTTTTGGTGTTTGGTTGAGATGTTGAAAGCCGAAACGGTAAAGGACAATAAGCAAATGGTTATATTAGCCGGTTTGGTTCAGACTACGGTTAAAGACGACAAGGAGATGGTTGAAATATTGGCCGGTTCGTCTCCAACCGAATGGGTAACATTCGACGACTCTGAGACATCAACACACGATGTGAAAAATTTGGATTCCAAATGGGTAACATTTGATGACTACAATGGATTGACGAATGAGTCGGTGTGGCTCAGTTTGTATACGTAACATTCGATGAATGGTTGGTCCAATTAGGTGAGGAAAGATCCGGTTTACACATGGTAGACCGAAGTCGTCTCACTGCGAACATAAATACGAGCTTTATAATTGAATTTGTGTTTTTTTTTGTCTTGGAATGGGTTGTCTTGTTTTTTTTTCAAATTATGCTTGAATCCTTGTTAAATAAAGACAACGGAGAAGTGATTCCGTATGTAAATAAACTTTTTATGAAGTGAAAGTGTGCCTAAGCCCTTTTTCTGTTATTTATAAAGAAAACACATCATGTGAAATTGAAAGTTTGAAACCATAAGCTCTGTGTTTTACTCAACAATACGATTTAAATTTATGGAACGGATGCTCCAAAATGATCAGTTTCTTGCGTCCGAGACCAACAATTTATTAATGCGCACACTTGCTTTATCTGCCTGTAATGTTTTAAGATCGTACACTGTAAACAGTTACTTCAAAATTCTTATATCAAATTATAGACTAATGTATTAACTACGAGAAAATTAATAAAATTATAGATGAAAGTGATATTTTGTAATATTCTCCATGTTACCTCATTGTCCCAGTCACATCTTGTAGTGATGATAATCAATATCAACGTTTGAATTGCGGTTCCTCCAAATATCATACCGGCCCATATTCCCTATCATCATTACAAGGTACACAGTAGTTTTTTTCATCTCCACAAGATATTAACATCAAACAAATTAAACACAATTTGCCGACATAAAAAACTGCCGACATTTGGGAGAAATCTTGGCAAACCTTGACTCCAAATTTGAAAACCCAGCCCATAATAAGCCCAAACGGAAGCCCGATAAGGTAGTAGCATCCCAAATATATGCCACGTATGATTGCCAACCCGAACCAACCGCAACACCTTAATCAAACGTCAAAAGTCAACACACTTCCGTTGACCCGGTTTATGAAAATTGTAATATTTTGAGACGTACCGGAAAGAACTGGTTGCACGCTATTGAGAAGAACTGTGAAGGCTAAAACAAAGTATTGGTCGTGAGACCAAAATAAATAAAACAAAGTACTACAATGAAATGACAAGGAAAGATGGTGCCAGTGACTAGTTTGGTTGGAAATCAATGCGATCAACTTTTTAGGTAATGATTGGTAATTTTCAAATAGACAATTCGGAACTGAAGTATCTAGGAGATTACTAACTAGATTGATAAACGATAATCATGTGGTTAAATGAAGATGTTAAAACGTAATGTTGTTAATCACCAAAAGAAAATAAACAATTAACTATTTGCAAAACCAAATAGATGAATTTCTTTGAATGTGCTGTACTGATGTTAATAGAGTGTTCCTGCTAAACGATAAAACATAACGATGAAATATCTGAAAATGCGCATTAACCCAAAAAAAACAAAAAAACGCGCCAACATAATTGGGCTGAACTAGTTGGTCATATCGAACTAATGGGCTTTTTGTAATGTTGTCCAGGGCTTCAGTATTACAGATAAATGATAATACGGATACGAGTAAGCAAATTACCAAACATATGCGTGTGTGTTTTTGTCGTCAATCACTAATTACGAAAACACGAAACATCTACTGGTTCCATTTTTTACTTAACTTATTTTTACTGGCCTTGTTAGATAGTGCGAGTTAAGTCTTTTTTTTTTTTTTGCATGTTGAAAAATCTGTCTACTTTGGGTACAGCTTTACTCTAGTTTCTACAATATGCATATGACAAATAATTACACAAATTACTTTCGCTTTATTATTACGATCTAGAGCAAAACCATGTGGGATTATGTTTAAGCGAAAGAGTAATGAAATTGGTTTATTAATAATCTAGCATTGGATTTACATAAACAGATTGATTCCACCTCTACACAGCCCATATGAAGCCCTTTCCAATGGTAAATTACACGTGTCAACATTCCATTAGTTCCCACCAAGATAATAATTACTTTCCCCATTCCGACACACGAAAGCATAATTAAAAAAAAATTAACGATCAAATAGCGAAATACGAAAATAAATCAAATTCTCACATAACACCAAAGATTTGAAATAATTGAGGGAAATAAAAAATTTATATAACAAAGTTCTCAAGCCAAAACGGCGGCGTACATAATAGCGGCGAATGCGGTTCCGGCGAAGAAAGCCTTGTTGGAGAAAGCGGCGCTTGGGGCAGCGGCTGCATCTGAAGGTCCTGGAGCACCGCTTGGGCTCGCGGTGGGACCTTCTGGTGCTGGTGGAGAGGCGGCGGGAACATCAGCCGGAGAAGGAGCAGCCGATGGTGTAGTGGCAGGAGCTGGGGTTGCGGCAGGTGGTGGCGTGGCTGGGGCTGGGGTTGCTGCTGGTGGTGGGGTAGCCACTGGAGGAGGAGTTGCGACCGGAGGAGGGGTTGCGGGAGGAGGAGGAGTGGCGGTGGGAGTAGGAGCAGGGGCTTGAGCTAGTGCTGAAGTGGCGAATAGAGCCAACATCAAGAAAACTTGGACAATCTTGGAACCCATTTGTCTCTCTTTCTCTTGGAATGCTTCTTCTTCTTTTGGTGTTAAGAGTGAGAGAGAGAGAGATTATGAGATTAGAGAGAGTTGTGAAGGTGAGGAAAAAATGGAAGAGATGTATAAAAAGGAGGAAAAATGTAAGATTTATTTCGATTAATTAAAACAAGATTCCTAAAAATCTCTTTTTTAATATATTAAAGATAAAATTTGCAGACTAACATGCAAACGCATAATTGGAACATGGGGTTGCCCAAGCATTAATATAAAAAATATAAATGAATATGATTAGACTATGCTTAATTACATCTTGATAATGATTAATGAACATATACTATAAGGTAAATTGATTTACATATGGAAAGAAAAATATATCAAAATTTATTAGGCGGATGAAGTATTAACATCTTACTATATTGACTTTCCTTAATAGACAATCCATAATCATGAGTTAACGTTAACTGAAGAGAAGTAGTAAATTATGATGATTAGGTGAATAAACTTCTGACTTATCGAGCTGTGATTGGATGGAGAATATAATTGGAGAGAGAATCAAATATTTGTAATGATATTCATATATTTACAAAAATCATTATGTTAGGCAAACTAAGTCTATGACATGGCAAATGTGGGGAGACAGCTAACATGTTCAGTTCAAAAACCAAGAGTTGCAACTTCGCATGTCTTTTTGTCTACTTGATCCACCCGTTATTTTCGTTCTTTTTTCATTTTATATAGTCTATTATATACACTTTTATTTTTACTATTGTTAGTATAGTAAAAATGCGAAAAAAAATTGTGATAATCATTGAAACCATGTGCTAACCTGATAGATCATTGGATTAGTTTTTGTGAAAATTATTGGTGTTGTTACCGTTGGACATTGCTAATATACCCGTTGGAAAGAGCTGTCAGTGGATTTATAAATATTTGGATAAACAAGAAAAACAATAATGTATAAAAAAAGACTTTTGATAGCCTGTAAAGGCTACTTCGACAGTGATTCAGAAGGTAAGGTGTCCTTTTGAAATTTCTTATCGATCGAATGATTATTAGTGAATCTGAATCATATATAGTTGGCATTTGATTGCCACTTGATGTGATATTACAACATCTATTCTTTCCCCAAAAAAGTATAACCATATAAAATCGAATAAGCTCAAATGTTATTACACCAAAATAGTCTTTGTTAAGATAAATTGCTAGAAGTCACTGTTTTGAAAATTTGTTGTTTGATGTTAAAACAAATTCGGTTGTTAGAGTCAATAAATATTAGAGAACCAATGTGATTATGAGCTGATAAATTATAGCAAAGTGAAAAATCAGATAATTGACGAATGTTTATTGACTAATGAACTAGTTTGTTGATTAATCATCAAGAATGTACAAATTTTTTAATTCGTGTGTTCAAATTTACAAGACGATTACAAAAGTTTTTATCAGATTACGACTAAAATATCATGATAACACTTTTGTAAGACTAAACCAATCTCTAATCTATGATATTTCACTGCTAGCCACCGATCCCATTTAGTCTAAATAACTTTTATTGTGTTTACCATCAATTTTGATTTCTTTTTGTCAATAACACAATTATGAGCCTTAACCAACTCATTAAACAGAAGGGACCATGTACAACAAATCTGTTTGAAAAATATTTAGGCTTAGTAGCATTATTATTATATACTATATAGTCAATGATAGCCAAAAATTAAGTAGCCCTCGCATAAACAAATAGGGTCTAGTTAATATAGTATTGAATTATCTTTTTGGAGAACATTTAGGCTAAGTAAGGCCCATGTTTATACACCGACCACGTAAGTGGTTTCCCACCAAGCTGATTTGAACAACCAACGATCGGAGTTTTAATTTAACACCTCTCGAGTATAATCTCACTACCTTGTTGATGTTTAATATCATCATAACTATAATTTTATCATAGCAAGTCCAATTAACAAAAAGAATGCAAAATTTATAGCAATTTCTGAGGAATAAAGAGCCTATAATACAAATGGATTTCTAGCTAATTAACCCAAAACTTTTCTCTGAGAAGAAAAAGGAACAAGAGTCAAAACGGGACTTTGGACTGATCGAGTCAAAACGGAAGATCAGTAAAAGAACATATCGAAATGGGCTCATGGGCTCAATTGTAAGCCCAATACTTTACGAGCCACTTTTCTCAAAAGTTCTATTACAGTTGCGCCTAATAAGTCAACTTCGCTCAACTGCTTTTTTCCCGGCTACCATATTTGGCGGGAAGCCAAACAAGACCTTACTTAACATAAACATCTCATAACATCTCATATTCCACATATATTTATTCAATTATTCTAACTTCAAAAAATTATGCGATTTTTCAAAACCGTTTTAATCAACTATTACCGGGTTACAAAAAGAAAAAATGCATTTTTTTCTTTGATTTTTCATCAATTAAAATCCAAATTAAGACACTGTAGAAAGAGAGAAAACAGAAAAAAAGAAGAGAAATTAAGAAAGAGAAGTGAGGGAGGAGGAAACAGAAGCAGAAGAAAGAGAATAGCGATGAGTCTTATATTGCAAGACCATATTATTGGGTGTTTGTGAACTTGAACTTGATCCATCTCTCTCTATCATTTCACCAATCTTCTTCACTCTCTCCTGAACACACACACACACACATAAAAACCAGACAAATAAAATGTAAAGCTTGAGCCTTTTTTTGGTCCCTACGAGGACCCGAGTCACCTAGTTTGATTGTAATTGGAACCATTAGATTTGGAGGGACAAAAAACAAAAAGAAAATAACATTTTACCAACATGTGAATGTGTCACGAGATTTCAAAACATGAAGACTATAATTGAACTGGTCTACACACAAACTAGTTTTTGGATTTAAAAGGGATTCAACTACGGGACATAAATAGACAATGTGTGCATTAATGTATTGCCTATATCTATGTCTCGTGATTTTCCATATTTTTCACAATCTATTGAACCACTACTTTTGTAAATGAAGGTGACTTTTGGTGGATTGTTTTTACCTTTTGAAGTAGTGAGAAAAGAGGAGAGTTGTCAAAGTGTACTGTGTGCAATTCTCCAGAAACAGAAAGTGCCACAGCAGCAGCAACTTCAGAAGGTCTAAACTCCATAAAGTCAATACCTGCTCACTCGACACAACCACCATTTTAATCCAAAATCATAAAAAGCAAAAGTGAAAAAAACCAAAACCCAAAAAAGCACAAAAACAAAAGGGGTCAAGAAAACAAAACATAAAGGAGAGACTTTTTTCACCTTTGGTTGTGCTGGCTATCACTTGTAGTGATCTGGATATCAATGTGTTGGATGGTTCTTGATCACATTTATTCATCTTTCTCAAGAAATATATTATGTATGAGCATGGAGTTATAGCTCTCAATCTCCATTTCAATCTGTTCAGCACCAAAAGTTCCATTCTTTGGACTGATTTAGCCTCAAACACAAACTGAGGATCTCCAACCTGTTCCGAAATGTGATCAAACCGCAATCGATTCAAGACATTATCGAGTCGAATAGCATATCTCGACAATTTAACGAGTTTTGGGGAGAACCTGAAGATCAATTAACATTGGAACTTCAGTTTCTTCAATTTTGGCTGCCAAGGATAAACAAGCCACAGCCAACAACTGCAATATCCAACCTTTGCCACTCTACAAGAAGAATCCCAAATCAAGAAGCTAAAAAATGGGACTTTTAGATGAATGAATGGCTAACAACATTCCCAATCACTTAGTTTAAGTAATGTGAACTTACAGGCAGATCATGAACCGATAAGAATCGATCCAAGTAGTTCATTGATAAGCAAAAACACAATGGTCCAAACTGGTGTTCCTCACAAGCCTGTTGTAATCAGAACAGGAGAAACATCAATCAGAGATCTAAAACTCTGAGATTGAAGTGTGAAAGATCGGAATTTGAGCATCAGATTCACAGATTTAAGACAAAACCTCTCTATATGTTCTGCATAAGCTTCTGATCTAATATACATAGCAACATACTCTTTATGTTCAGATCATTCATCAAAAGGAATGTGATTTTCACAATTTGAGCTTATAAAGATGATTCAAAACCAATCAACATCCGAATTTCAAAATTAAATAGAGAATCAGACCTTCCAAATCCAATTGAGGGCTTCTCTTCTTCCAACATTCAAATCCAAATCTCCACTTCTGAGTCTCTTGATGTAATCATCACTTGGCAAATGCTGCTTCTCCTTCTCCACCATCTCTCTGATAAACTCTTCACTCTCCGATTGAGAAAAACCCATCTGAGGAATCGGAGTTTTGTCAACAATCATGCCCTTGTCTTCATCATCATCAACGTTGGTCTCTGTACATAAAAGACTCAGTGCTAGATTCTCTGTCTCTGCCATTATAACAGAGTGTTCATAAGAAAAAAAGATTGATCCTTTTTTGTTTGTTTGGTAATCGATCTAAAAAGAATTGTATCGTTAGGAAAATTGGAGAAGGATTGTCATCTAGAGATTGGGGAAGTGAAAGAAAAAGATTGGGTCTTTTATTTTTCTATATGCCCTCGTGGAAGGGGTTTTTGTTTTGGGGTTGAGGGTAAAATTAAAAGGTGAAGCTTTTCTTTTTTATTGAGGAAGTTAAGAAATGTGGTTTTTAGGGTAAGTTGGAAATGTGTGAGAGACTGTTCATATATAATGGTGAAGAAGATGAAAAATAGAAGATAAAATTTGAAGATTTTAGAAAGTGAATTGACTATCATGGTAACAAATGTTCCTTCATTGGAAAATTATGAAAATGTGGTAGGAAATTGAGGTGAAGATTGAAAAGTTAGTTGGTTTTATTCGTTGTATTTTCGTTTTTAGATGATCATTCGTGCAAATATCCGTTGGTAGTTCGGTATCAGATTCGCGCCAAATATTTTTCCGAATTTGTATTTCGGTCTTTTGAACGAAGTCAAAGGTTTACATTTTTGTATATTCAATGCTAAAATATTGAATGTTGAAAAATGTAATCATAGTATATGTATATGATTTTACATATTATTTGATATTTCATTATACTATTCCTTGTTTTAATAACAATGAATATATATAGTTTGACTAATAGTTGAAAACAGTATTAAATTTATAAATTTTATAAAATATTTTTTAACAAAACTGTTTGACTAAATAATGCAATTTGATATTATGATCGAAATATTCGTCGAACCATGATATTTTTATTCTCAGTATCCCATATTGAACAAAATAAAATTGACCCAAACAAACTAATGTAAATTCATGCCATAAATAAAAAGATGTTTTAAATGTAATTTTTGACTCAAAAATCAAAATCCATCTATAATGATATTTGATCCATTTGCTCTGGTAGATCTTTGACCACTGTTTTTGATTCTAGGGTCACTTTTAGACACAATAATTTCAAATACTACATCATTGCATATACCTTTGAATGAAAAAAAGCAGACTGTATATACTACTAATTCAAGTTCGAAATATGGTCTCTGTTTGTTACACAATACGGTCTTTGTTTTTTACACATTATGGTCTTTCTTTAATATGGTTTTAGTTTACCCAAAGATACTGTCTTCTGTTTTACCCAACTTATAAGATTTAACTATAAGGTCTTTAATATTTATAAAACTATTTCTTTTTTGTTCTCTTGCAAGTGGAGGTCAAGTCTTCGAAGCCACAACTAGTGCTCTATCACCTCCAAAGATTCTACATTAGTATATATTTGTAAGGTGATTAGTAATTTTTTTTTTTTTTTGATAAATAGTAATTAGTATTTGTTCTACCACTTGAAAATAAGCGCTACGCGACGAGTTGCTTGAAAACACCACACAAGAAAAATTCTTGCTTGAAGTTTACATTGCAAATGGTCATCGAGCCATTGGTTTCAACTTTCAACTTTCAACTACTATGGAATGAAATGTTACTTTGTTATCATTTTAACAAAGTCCTATTCTGTTATTCTTTTAAAGTAGTTTTCAATAAGAGATAACTAAGACCGCAAGCATGTTTGATGTTTTTGGTTTGGAGGGTTTTATAAAACAAAGAAATGAAAATCAAATCACGTGTGAGCTGATAAACTTTGATGTTTTTTACAGTCTTTAATTATCTTTTCGGGTAGAGCTGTGAGAAAAAACAAAAGTTGAAGTTAAAGTAAAATAAGAATGAAGTGTTTTTTCGAATTAAACTTAAAAGACTCACTCTTTATGATTTTTATTTTCTTTCATGCATGCAAATGCCAGACAAAAGTGGTCCAACTACACTTTTGATGTTTTGCTTCTCTTTGTGTGTTCTGAGATTCTAACTTGTATCTTTCTATATAACTTTATTTTGTTTTTTGTATAGTTGAATATATAATTCGTGTTTCATGCACGCCTATGTCAACTTAACAAACACTTTGCTCGAGTCACAATCTGGCTGTGTGAATTATAATTTGTATGCTTTGTGTGGTTTCGTCTGGCTGGCGATCGTTTGGTCGGCTGGCGATCGTTTGGTCTTTCACGATTAGGGCCGAAGTTAGTAATTTTAGTGTGTTACAACTAGCAACATTTGATTTGGACAGGTTTGTTAGTTATTTTTGTGTGTTTCGTCTAGCGATTGTTTATTTTTTTAACGATTAGGGATCAAGTTAGTGTAATTGTTTTTACTAGCGATCGTTTGGTTAGGGCGATTAGATTTATTAGTCATTTGTGTGTGCTCGTCATTTTTTTTTTTTTCAGAGTGGACTTCTCCCACACTGTCTGTCCGACTAATGCCAGGGGGTAGCCAGATCGTCCATATCGCCTGTTACTGACTACTAGGTAAACTGTTTTGCACAGATTTTCTCGAACGCACCATCACTGAACACAAAATCGACATGATCAATAACTAAGACATCATTTTCATAGATGTCGTATATGATCACCGTAGATTTCGCTGTAACTATCTTCAAACAAACTTTCTTTGCAAAAGGATAAAAGTCACCACTCAACAGTCACCACTCAACATGATCACCAGAATCGTTCTTCGATTGAGAGATAGCTAGGATAGAACTAGAGATCTGTTGATTCCTCGGAATACCAGAAACGAGAGAACGTGAGGAATTCGTTGATTCGCAGCTACACAATCTACACAAACATTCACCCTATATATACATCTACACACATTCACCCCACACACACATCTACTATGTTGCATACACACGTCCCCACTATTTCATCCACATCCTATACACATCTATACATTTCCATGTCGTCAAAAAAAAGAAGACATATGTTACGATCGCTTATATACACAGTCCGGTTAACTTCAAAGGCTGTCCAAGCAGAAGATGGAAAACTCTGGACACAACCCTAGGCTTTTGTTTCCCTTCACTAACACTCTGCAAAATTATTCAAGATCAATTTTCATTACAATCCTTCTTTCCGCTTGTCAACAATTTTGGCACATGTATTAATTACGTTTTACTTTAAAAATCCAAAAATCTTTTTAGACAAAACCTTTTTTTTAGACAAAACCTTTATTTCTTTGCTTTCACAAAAATTAAAAACCCAATCTATGTTTCCTAGACAGAACATATATAAAACTCAGAACACCATAAACATATTGATCTCACATCATTGAAGTCAAGACAACATGATATATAATTACAGACACATACATATAACTAAATCAGTTTACTAAACAACAAAACAGAGTCATGACAGCTAAACAGAGCATCTGAATGTTTGTTGAACTCCACAAAACATGTTTGAAAGATGAGAAATAGTGTAATTAATAGAGAAATCTTCTAATGGTAAACAAACTACAGGAATTAATTATTAGGGCAGAGAATTTTACCTTGTATATATGCCTTCATATTCGTTTCTCCCTCGATTAATGAGAATTATAGATAAGTTCGAGTGGAGAACTCAAGAACAGAACTAAAAGAATCAAAACAGAGTTGTATTCGACATTTGTGAAATTATAAGAGAATTCAGATTTGTGACCGAAGAAAGGAGGTACTTATAGAGTCATAATCAGCGATTTTTACAATAAAATATTACATCAAACGGTCGGAAAAATGTTACCGTTTCACAACGTTCATATTTCTTACTCTCAAGTCAAATCAATATAGGAAATCGTAATTAGTACTAATTACGCTCAAGACTCTCAAAGTACATAAAATATTATCTGATTCATTTTCTTTTGCCATTTAACTTTTGTATTATTCTCATTTATTATCTTAAAAATATTTGAATGCTATCACGCATTTACTTGTTCAGTCTTGCTTTATCAGTCTACTATATCAGTATTATTGTTCAGTCTTGATGATTTAAGTTGTCTAATTTCCTCTTCTTTTTCTGTTACTTCTCCAATTCTTTTTCTTTCAGCTACTTCTCTGATCTTTAATACGACTTTCAATTGTACTACTAGAAAGCAAATTCTTGAAAACAACTGAACTAAATATATCAAACCGTAAAATTGACCACTCATAAGTGAAATTATGTTTTCGGCTACAAAGCTACACGCATCGTTTCATCACTCTGGAAGGAACTCACAATCCAAAGCTAAGATTTGGGACACTGTTACTCGTTTGAAATATAAAATTTTGAAAAAAAGAAGAAGCAAAGATAAGGATAAATTACCAAACAAAAACAGAGTTGGTACAGAGCAGCAGATAACACCAAAGCTGTGCACATAATCTGTCATAAAAAAACAAACTTTTCTTTTCGACAAGTTTTACAGCAAAGGGGGTTGAACTCAGGTTTCCGGTTATGGTTGCAGGAACATTACATAACCGTCTTTCTTCCATTAGACCTTCAGGCCTCATCCATCTGCTCCTGAATAAAGCAGTTGATCGTTGAGTTTTGGGGTTTTATTATCCAAATAGTCTTATAAGAGAATCAATATGCGAGTTTCTAACGATGCGATTGAATATGAAAAGTAAAGAATTGGACAAACCTGCATATCGGAGGTCCAAAGGGTTAGATTGTCCCTTAGCAACTGCATGATGAGAGTACTGTCCTTGTATGACTCCTCTCCCAATGTGTCCAGCTCAGCAATGGCTTCTTCAAAAGCCTATACAGGTGATGAATCCAGCAAGAACAAGTTAGAAATGCAATGACCAGATATCTCTTTAGTCTTACTAAATCTTGTAGATGTGATGCATGAGATGTTCCGGATTCAACATGCACCGAAAGCCCAATGATCAGATTCCACTCAATCTCGTATGCATAGTGTATGAGATCTTATGGTTCTAAAGTCCTGTCATTTTAAGAGATTCTACTGACAAAAGGAATAATTTGGTTAATGTGAAGAAGGTTAGGTCAAAAAAGTTGAATAAAAAGAGGACTTTGCACTTTGCAGTTTGCAGAATGTCTTTTTCTATAGAATCTCTGTTCATTAAAAAGAAGTGGGTCCGTTCAGAAAGAAGAAAGAGTTACTTTTTATAAACAACTTCTCTATTTCTGGTAAAGATTTTCAAAATCAATCCAACACAATGAGTGAATGATGGGTCCAATAGGAATAGTAAAACAAGTGGCCAGTTAGTCACTCAAAACATCAAGCAAAAAACTCTTCCTAACCAAACTTAAGAAAATGATCAGACACAGAAACTCTACTTGAAAAAAACATGCAGTATATAGGATGAAGAAAGAGTACCTGTTTGGCCATGCTACAAGCTTTCTCTGAAGAGTTGAGAATCTCGTAGTAAAACACTGAGAAATTGAGAGCCAGACCCAGCCTGATCGGATGTGTTGGTGCTAGATCAGCAACCGCAACGTCCTTCAAAACAAAAACCCATGAATGAGCAAAAACACATATTTTCAGAACAAATTTATATCCCTTCCCAGATATAGCTGAGTTCTTGAAAAGAAAGACAGATTAGGGAAGCAATTGATAGCTCTTTAAGCAAAAATTGAATACTTCTCACGATCTGAATCAATACAATAGCTTAATTCCAAAACCAATTCAAGGATTAACGAAATCAAACATATACCTGAGCAGCTTTGTAAGCGATCATAGTATCTTCCGCAGCTGTTTTCCTCTCATCACCAGATTTAAACTCAGCCAAATAACGATGATAATCTCCTTTCATCTTCAAGTAAAAAACCTTAGACTCACTAGCAGTAGCTGAAGGAATCAGATGCGAATCAAGCAACCTGAGAATTCCAGAACAGATCGAAGAAAGCTCACTCTCAACTTTAGATCTGTAATCCTTAACAAGCGACACGTGTTCTTCGTTCTTCCTGCTCTCTTCCTTTTGCTCAATTGAAGAAACGATTCTCCATGCCGCACGAAGAGATCCGATCACGTTCTTATACGCGACGGACAGAAGATTCCTCTCTTCAACGGTGAGTTCACCGGCCGGTGTAGCTCCACTTACGAGCTGCTCCATGAATTGAACCATCTCTTCGTAACGCTCAGCTTGCTCAGCAAGCTTCGCCATGTACACGTATTGATCTCTGTTTAACGTCGTCGCCATTAGAGAAGAAGATCTCGATTTTTTTTTTTCGATTTCGCCGGAAAAATTTGAAATCGGAGGAAATTTCTGGAAGAAAAAAAGAAATAGAGAAGAAGAAAAGAAGAATAAAAAGCCTCAAAGCCGAGTCATAATGAGCTGTAAAAGGAAATTCTCTTCACTCGCGCGTGTTTAACAATCTCTGATAAACGACATCGTTGCTTGAAATAAGGGTTAATAGCGTGAAACGCACGTGGCGGGTTTGAGGCGCGTGGCTAGGGTTTTGGTGTTTTTGATAAGAGCGAGTGGATGGACGATAATAATTTAGTACGTCAGCTTCCCTCACCAGTGTCAACTGTTCAAAGTCAAATGTTAGAACATGGGCTTTTGATTAGTCGTTTATGGCCCTTTAGGAAGCCCGTTAAAGCTATTACCTTGCTGGCTAAGCATATGCGTTTTCGGCGTGACCTGGACACAACTAATGCGGTCGGAGAAAAGGCATATGAAGACAAGAAAAAGTTGTCTAAATTCTTTCGGTTGATATTAGTTTCTTTTGTGTCAATGATACTAATATTCTTTAATTTTTAGATTAATTTATTAATAAATGAAATTAATTAGTTGTCAATTTCCAATACCTCAAATTTAAAACCGTGGATCAAATTAATTGAATTCGTTTTTATGGTTTTTATTTGTTGATTCATTGTGTTTCAATAAATGAGAATTGATGAAAAATATGCTCCATTAATTTGATTAGTCAAATGAGATATTGAGACCCGGCAAGACATTTGGTAGGCATGGAAAAGAAAAGAAAAATATAGAGTTAGTTACCCAAATGCGACCAAATCATTAGAACGAAAATCTGAATTACTCATCTTTTTAATATTTGTAAGTTGTTTAGATTATTGGGTTTATACTAAATACTCGTAATTCTTTTTATTATAACAAAAAAAAACCAAATTCTCAAAAATAAGAATATAATAAGAATTAATTACGGATTTTGTCCTTTTTTATAGTGGCATTTGTGGATTTTGCCATTTTTTGAATAGTTTGTGGATTTTGTCATTTTTCAAGCTCCAAAAATATGATTTAACATGCGTTTCACTCGTTATGTTTGGGTTTAGTCGGTTCCATTTGTTCTTAGGGTTTAGTATTTGGTATAAAGTACGTATTTTTGCAAAAAAAATTATAAATACGTACATTTTTAAGTGTTAAAAAAGGGCAAAATCCGTAAACTATTCAAAAAATGGCATTTTCGTAAGTTTTTCAAAAAAAAAAAAAAGGCATTTTAGACGATAATCCCATATAATAATGCTATTGATTCTTCGATACACGCACCGTCACGCGCGCATAACGTTGCCGTTATGGAGAAAGAAAGGGCGTATCTCCACTTGCCACGTCAGATTTACGCTAAGCGTAATTAAAGTCTCCGTCACCGTCAATTGACGTCTCCATCCAACGCCGCTCTTCTTCTCCACTCTCACCGTATATATTTTTTTCCTTTGATGGCGCAACTTTTTACTAAACTCTCATAAAAAAAAAATGGAAGATTAAAAAAAAAAAGAGAGAAAGAAATATACGATCTTCAACGATCTTCCATTTTCGTTCTTCATTGTGAAATTCAAGTCCAATGACTGTCACTGGTGGAGTTTTCCCTCTGTAGTCACTTCGAAGAAAATTTACCAGTTTGTTCTACTGGAAAAATATCTGGTTTCACACTTGTGTTGACTCCCTCACTGGAAAAAAAAAAAAATCTCCGAAGAGTCTTCTCTGGGCAGTGTAAGTAAAGCTAATGCATTAACATTTTTGGTTTTGAAAAAGTAGATCGATTCTTCAATTTTGTGAGTTTCCGTTCACGATTTCGCTTTCTTTCATGTCAATTTCGTGAAAGAGAGAGCAAAAAGTAATCCTCATCTTTCTACATTCTCTTTTTGCCGTTTCACTAGAATTTCGTTTGATTTCGTTTCCAGATAAATTTCAGTTGCTATGTTTTAGGGATTTCACTATTGAACTGCGATTTGATTGTTGAATGTGAATGAAATTTTTGATAATTTTTCTTCTGAAATTTAGGGTTATAAGGTAAGGAGCAATGTTCAGAGAAGCTGGCTTAAGAAGCTTAGGAGAGGTACGAACAAAATTTTATCTGCATTTTCGATGTTGTTTTGATTTTGCTGTAACCAATTGCTTGTTTTAAGATGTTTATAGGATGTTGGTTCGAGGTGGACGATTGGTAATCGGAAATTGGATGCTAAGAAGACTGTTGCCAATGCCAATTCTGGTTATGGTTTTGGATTCAAGAGTGCTCCTCCATTGTCTTCAGTAACTAAACACGCGAGAGGTAATAACAATGGTGGTTCAAGTTCAGACATGGACATTGCTTCTGATTCAGATGAAGAGATATTCGAGAGGCAACACTCTCCTCAAGATTATAGAATTCATGTTGGTTTGCCTCACGTGGCAGCTCAAAATGGACTTGGACGTAATGGTGCTAAGGTCTTTGGTGCTGCTGATGAGTTATCAGACTCAGCTACAAGCACTGAAGTTTCATATGTACTTACTTTTATCCCTGCTTCTGTCTCGTTTTCTTTTACCGCTTCTAAAAGATTATGATACTTCGTAAATATGTGTTCTGATTTGATTATAATGTTTACAGGAAGCAGAAGCTTGTGGTGTGCGGAATAATATATCTTCGCATAATGAATGTGAAAGAAGAAACGTTGAGGCTGGAACTTCAGGAAGGAACCAGAACGGGACTAGCACTTCAACAAGTTCATTGCCTCGTTTTCCCACCTTTCATGCGAGGTTTGAGTTACATAGCTGGCTTATATTTTGCTTTCTTGCTTTCTTTTGTCCTCTGTGATTATTCATTCCTTCATTTTTTTGTGTGGTTTGAATGCAGTGAGCAAGGTCCATGGTCTGCGATGATTGCCTATGAAGCATGTGTCCGGTTATGTCTTCATTCATGGTCAACGGATAGTGTCAGTGAGGCTTCTTACTTCCTGAACAACGAATGCACCATAATGAGGAATGCATTTAGTTTGCAGAGGTTTTTCCTTCATTCTGAAGAAGAGTTACTGGGAAAGGGACCTTCTGAGTTGGTTACCGAGACATCTGCTCCAAAATCTAAGAAGAATATTGGAAAAATTAGACTCCAAGGTTTGTACTTTCTTATCCTCCCACTGCATTTTACCACTTGTAGAAATTGCAGTAGTTGTGCTTACAAGAGTATGATTTTGTACAGTTCGTAGAATTAAAATGGGATTAGATCCACCACCTGGTTGTAACATTGCAACACTGACGGTCTCCAAGGAAAAGCTCGAAGTTGTTCGTCAGCATATTGTGGAACTGAATTCGACTTTATCTTCTGGATGGAAAGCAGCGAGGAAAGTTCATGTCACTCCCCAAGTTCCTCTAAATGGTTCACTTTCGCGTCAAAGTTTGGCTTACATGCAGGCTGCTGCTCGCTACCTTAAGCAGGTCTCAAAGGCCGTTAAAAACGAAATTGTTACGTCTCACACTGGACCGCAAACTTATGAAGCAGTACAAGGTATTGCATTGTACTTCGGACATAACTCATTGTCTTATAATGGTCATAGATTTTTGATTCTTTCTGTTTTCAGAAACATATTCATGTTCATTGAGGTTAAAGAGCTCTGCTGAAGATGATCAAATTAAGACGCAACCTGGATCTGGCGAAACGTTTATTTTGTATGTGCCCTTGTTTACTCACATGATCTTTAAGGATCATTCTTTCTACTCCTTTCTTTGTGGATCTTAATATTCTTTTCTCTTGTAGCTTACCAGATAGTCTTGGTGATGATTTGATTATTGAAGTTCGAGATTCGAAGGGGCAACTTCTTGGTCGTGTCGTAGCTCAGCTAGCAGCTATAGCTGATGATCCGGTAAGATTCTCTCTCTGTCTCACACGCATTATGTTTTCAGATTACTGATTCCATTGGACGATGAAGCTGAAGATCTTATGTTTTTTCTGAAGCAGAGTGAAAAACTGCGATGGTTGCCAATATATCATGAACCAGAGCATGAACTAATTGGGAGAATCCAACTTACTTTTAATTACTCAAGTAGTTTAGATGAAAAAACTAAGTGTGGGTTGGTGGCCGAAACTTCAGCGTATGATCTTGTCCTAGAGGTGGCTATGAAAGCAGAACGATTTCAGCGAAGAAATTTATTGTTTAAGGGCCCGTGGCATTGGATGATAACTCGATTTGCATCCTATTACGGGGTTTCAGATGCATACACTAGATTAAGGTAATCATTGAGTGACTAAGAATGGTTTTAGTGTCTTAAAATTCTGTTGCAGTAACTAAACGATGTTTTGTGAGAACTTGCAGATATCTTTCTTATGTCATGGATGTCGCATCGCCTACCAAGGACTGTCTTGATCTGATACATGATTTTCTATTCCCTATTTTAATGACCAGCAACCACAAGGCTGTATTGAGTCATCAAGAGGTGGGTTAGCTTTGATCATCAAATTGTTATCTTTTCAGTATTCAAATAGCTTACTTCAACTTTTGGTCCTTTGGTCAGAATCGATTACTTGGGGAAATTGACGAACAAATTCAGCAGATTCTTGCTTCAGCATTTGAGAATTATAAATCACTTGATGAACTGTCTTTCTCCGGGATGAAAGATGTTTTTGAGTCTGCGACGGGGACTCCAGCACCTGCTATAGAATCAGCTGTCAAGCTCTATGGTCTTCTCAACGATGTATTAACCCCCGAGGCACAGTTGAAACTCTGCAGATACTTTCAGGTATTAATCAAACTTTTATCTGTTTCTTAACCATCTTTTCTTAAGTTGTATATGTGATTCATCACCTACGGAAACCACTTCAGGCTGCTTCAAAGAAGAGGTCAAGAAGACATTTGCTGGAAACAAACGATTTACTTAACAACCGTAGTGAAGGTGTACCAGTTGATCCCATGGCGCTTCCAGCTTCTTATCAAAAGATGAAGTCTCTAATCTTAAGCCTTAAAAATGAAATATCCACTGACATAGCAATCCATAACTGCAATGTGCTCCCAAGGTTTGTTTAAGACTCAAGTCAAAGATATGCAGCGTATATGTTAACCCAGATATCTACGGTTTGATTCTCAATTTATCTTTCTAATGATTTTCTCTCTGTCAACTATCAATCAAACAGCTTCATAGACCTTCCAAATCATTCAGCGGCAATATATAGTGTTGATCTCTGCAATAGGCTCCGGGAATTTCTTCTCGTATGGCCTCCTCCTGGACCATCACCTGCGGTTGTTGATCTAGTTATTACAACTGCTGACTTTCAGAGAGATATCTCTAGCTGGAACATAAAGTAAGTCCATTGGTAAAACTACTTTTAAACCCTTACATTTTTTTAATAATTACTGATAGGCACCTATATATTGTCTTGTCATGTTGCAGTCCTATTAAAGGTGGCGTTAATGCCAAGGAGCTTTTCTATTCATATATCACAACATGGATTGAAGAGAAAAGACGAGTTTTATATGAACTCTGCAAGCTAGAGACGGTACTAACCCTGCAACTGAGTTCTTCCAAGTTTAATTATATACTGCAGAACGTAGAACATTTTAAAGCCCTTCCTCCATGCAATTGAATTACATTATGTCTGTTTTTTCAGTCAAAAGCATGTGGCGAGATTCCGGGATTGACTTCTCCTTTTGTCGATGAGATGTATGAGAGACTCAATGGGACACTTGATGAATACGATATCATCATTAGGCGTTGGCCAGAATACGCAATATCCTTGGAGAAAGTAAGCGAAACAGAAAAGACTTCTTTCAAGTCCAATCACATGTTATGCTGTTGTTTTATGGATCGTAATTCAAGTGTTGTTGTTGTTCCATGGAAAAAGGTTGTAGCAGACGCAGAGAAGGCAATAGTTGAAGCCATGGAGAAACAATTTACTGAGATTTTATCTCCGTTAAAGGAAAGTAAAATATTTGGCCTGAAAATTGTCAAGAAATTCACCAAAGGCACACCTAATCCTTATTCTGTTCCAAACGAGGTATGTTGCTTATTGTAATTTTGCAAGTTTTTTTTATGGATGTAAGAGGAGAAGACATTCACGCCATTTTGGTAAAATTTCAGCTTGGAGTTCTTCTCAACTCAATGAAAAGAGTGCTTGACATTTTACGCCCGAGTATAGAGAACCGATTCAAATCTTGGAATTCATATATCCCTGATGGAGAAAACAGAGTCTTGGGAGAGCGGTTAAGTGAGGTGACAGTATTGTTAAGATCCAAATTCAGAAGTTATATGCAAGCGCTTGTGGAGAAACTTGCAGAGAATGTATGTACTCTCTAGTTATCATCCAATAATTCGATTATCTTCTGGTTTTTGTTCTCACAGCCACCTTTGTTGAAATCAATTTCTTGATCTCGTTATGTTAACAGACGAGGATACAAAGTCACATGAAGCTAAAGAGCATCATCCACGACTTAAGGGAAACCACAGCGGAACCGGATGTTAGAAACAGAATGACAGCATTGAAGGATTTGCTAGACAAAACCATCGATCATCTACACGGTGTTTTCTTACCCGATGTGTTTGTATCAATCTGCAGAGGAATTTGGGACCGAATGGGACAGGTAAGAGACATCATTACAATTCATTACACCGGTTCTTTTTGTCTTCTGCATTTACCTTCACTGTTCTGTTCGTTCTTTCCAGGATGTGCTTCGTCTTTTGGAGGATAGGAAAGATAATGTGACTTGGCACAAAGGCCCGAGAATCGCAGTTTCTGTAAGTTTTGTTTAAAACTTTTTCGGGAACTGTAATAAAAAATGTTCGTTGCCTTTTTTTCTAATCTTATTCTTTAATAACTTTAGGTTTTAGATGAGATCTTTGCGACACAAATGCAAAGCTTGCTTGGAAACGGTTTGAAGCCAGAGCACTTGGAGCCACCGAGATCGATGATGGAACTCAGGTCTATGCTATGCAAAGATTCTACGGATTACAGAGAAGGAGGCTACAACTACTAGTACCAAACATTGTGAGCCGGTGTAGAATCTGGTTCTTTTTTGTTTTACTATGTTTGGTTCATTGGTATGGTATGTCATTGCCAAGTTTATATTCTTTGAACCAAGCAAATGTAGTTAAAAGAAGGCGGGTAAACAGAGAGTTTAACTAAACTGTATGTAGTAAAAAGTTGAACGAAAGAAGAAAGAGAGATTCACATGTTGTATAATTGTTTCGGAACGGACCCGAGTTTAGTCGTTGATTCTGGTTACATGCGTTAGAGTCGGTTTTTAAAACGCGCGTGTTAACGTCTCTTAATTGGGCCCAGCCCACTAAGATCAAAAAAATAAAAAGAACCGTCGCCTGAGAGATTCGAACTCTCGCGGGAAAATCCCACTTACTTAGCAGGCAAGCGCCTTAACCACTCGGCCAAAGCGACGTGTTGCTAAATGGCGCAATATTTAACTAAATATTACAATACATAAAAATAAATCTGCTCTGTTGTCTGCCTTGAAAAATAAGATGATCTAATACCTATATCGCTAATAACAGTATAACTATAATCTATTCACCTGCACCATCCATTCAAAGCCAATAAACTTAGCAGAATAGATATTTAGATCTTCGGGTGGGATTGGATCATTTTTTTCCGGGTTTAAAAAAAATTTAGGATCCGTTCGGATTTATATGATTTTTCGGTTAGGTTCATATTATGTCTGGTTCGGTTTCTGAAGAAAAATTATTCAATTTTAATAAATATATAGTGTAATTTAGATATTTTGATTCTCGGTTTGATTCCGGTTGGTTGATTTTAATTTGGGTATGGGGTTTTATGCCCAAGCCTAGTACTTTGGATAATCTAGCCAAGCCTAGAATATATTATTAGTCATGAAGATTCCAAAACGATAAAACCAGAGCAACTCTTTTATATAAAAGAGAAGAGGCCCAAAAAAACAAAAGAGAGAAAAACATTCGTAAACGACAAAAAACAAGTGCACGTTTATTCCCTCCTTTCTTCTCTATTCACTTTCTCTCTCTAACAACACACCATCTCCTGATTTCTTCTTCTTCTTCCTCTCTTTCTCTCTCTAGCTTTAAATCTCTCCAGATGCCCAAATCCTTTACCCGCCGTCGCTTCTCTAATCGCCACCATCTTCTCCGCCGTCTTAGCTTCCACATTTACTCTTACTCTCACCATCACCGTCTTCGTCCTCCTCTGCATCATCACCAATCTCTTTTCTAGACAATGTTAATCACCTTTCTAAGATTCGTCTCTTCCAGATTGATTCTGGCTTCTCTCGTTTGAGATTATTATGCCGGTTTCTCCTGAAAGTGGAACCTTAGGGTTTCGTTTTCTATTGATTGGGTTTATGATGTTGGTTTTTCTTCTGATTCGTCGGCAATGGAGATCTGCTTCTGTGAGGAGAGAGGAAGTTATTAGTCTCATTGCTTTAGCCACCGAAGAATCTTATCTAGCGGAGGAGGTTCGTGCCTCCACTGTTGATTACGGCGTCGGCGATTCGGTTTCGGATGTTTATCGTTGCGCTGTTTGTCTTTACCATACCACTACTCGTTGCTCTCAGTGCAAATCTGTTCGTTACTGGTTCGTTCTCTCTCAATTCGATCGTTTCTATATTCAAATCATTAGAGATTTGAAGATGGCTAGTTTTAGAATCTGATCACCAAGAAAAGTTTAGATTTTTAATTCTTAAAAGATCATTTTTTTTTTTTTTTTTTAACCTTTTTGGTAGTTCAAGCAAGTGTCAAATTCTTCATTGGCGACGAGGTCATAAAGAAGAATGTCGATCGCCTGATTACGATGAAGAAAGGGAGGAGTCTGTTAAATCTGATGATGGTAATAATAGCTTTAGATACTTGAGGTTTCAGTATTTGATATATAAAGATTTCACATTTGGTGGTTTGTGATTTTGATGACTTGAAGCTCTCTGCAGATGCAAAAGAGTCGAATATGGATTTTCCATCTGGTGGGACTGCTTTTGAATCATCAGCAGAAATACCCTCAAATGTGTCTATTGATGTTGCCTGTGATCTGTCTACAAGTAGGCCTAGTATTCATAAAGTGCAAGCCAGATCTGAAGCTGTGGATTTCACTATAAAGGATAATCTCTATGAGACCAGGCCACTTAGTAGGAAGAAATCACGTAATCGTACAGACAAGGTTCAATCAGCGAGAAATTATTCCAAAGGAAAGACTGATGCAAAGCCGCGGAAACTTGGCAATCAAAATTCTCGTAGGTCAGGTGATTCGGCTGAAATGTCAATTTCAGATCAATTTTTGTCAGTTGATGAGTATGAAGAAGAAATAAATGCATTTGGACATGGAAGAATTACATCTGAACCATCTAGTGCTTCTGCTGCAATGTCATCTTCAACTGTTCTCCTACCTTCAAAAGCTAATAGTAAGCCAAAATTGTCACAAACTTCAAGTAGTGGATTGAAAACATCGGTGCAGAAAGTTGTTCAGCATTTTAGACCCCCACAGTCGTCAAAAATGTCTCAACCTTCCAGTTCTATTGATGAGGTTACTAGAATATATTATTTCAAGTTTAAGTTTTTTGTATCTTGATTATATCTATTGCCATTATCCCATAGTGACGTTGCTGTTTTTTTGTGCAGATGAGCTTCTCATATGAGTTGTTTATAAAACTTTATTGTGATAGAGTAGAATTACAGCCATTTGGCCTTGTGAACTTAGGAAACAGGTACGTATCTATCTTTAACGTTTCTTGCTTTTGGCATGATGATCTAATGTGCTAATGTATTTGTGTTTGTCACTTATATTATTACTTTTGTAGTTGCTATGCAAATTCTGTCCTTCAGTGCTTGGCATTCACTCGGCCACTTATGTCATACGTTATTAGGGGATTACACTCTAAAACATGTAAGTTGCACACCAAAATAATTTTTACTGCTCTTATTGTAACTATGTGGAATCTTATCTTGATAGTTGGATTTTCAGGTAGAAAGAAGAGTTGGTGTTTTGTTTGTGAGTTTGAACACTTAATTTTAAAGGCAAGGGGAGGAGAATCTCCTCTTTCACCTATCAAGATCTTATCAAAATTACAAAAGATTGGGAAGCATCTTGGCCCTGGAAAAGAAGAAGACGCACACGAGTTTTTAAGGTGAATCATATGGGTTATGCTTTTAGTAGCTTTTATCGGTTTTTCAAAGTTCAATATTTTCTCAAAGGTGAGTTACATTGTTCTTTCATAAGAATGCCAGGTGTGCTGTTGAGACAATGCAATCTGTTTTTCTCAAAGAGGCTCCTGCAGCTGGTCCGTTTGCTGAAGAAACTACTTTAGTAGGCCTTACGTTTGGTGGATATCTTCACTCCAAGGTTATATATTAGCAAAGTGTCTTGGCTTTAGTACCATTTAGAGTTTTTTTTGTTGTTTTATGACAGTCAAAGTAATCTCAATTAATGACGTTTTTATCAGATTAAATGCATGAAATGCCTCCACAAATCTGAGCAATCGGAGCTGATGATGGATCTAACTGTTGAGATTGATGGGGATATAGGAAGCCTCGAAGAAGCACTTGCTCAATTTACAGCATACGAAGTCCTAGATGGAGAGAACCGGTACTTCTGTGGCAGGTAGTTGAATTTTTCTTTTGTAGACAATGTTAATGTATACGTTGAAAAACTACTACTAATTCCTTTGCCTTTGTTTTTCCTTTTTACAACCACAGATGTAAATCTTACCAGAAAGCCAAAAAGAAATTGATGATATTGGAAGGACCCAATATTCTTACTGTTGTGCTAAAACGTTTTCAGGTGAGAGTCGTCATCCTCGTTAGTTTGATGGTATCTATTATTGTTGGGTTTACTCAGAAGAATGATTTGTTTTTTCACGCAGTCTGATAACTTTGGGAAGCTGAGCAAACCCATCCATTTTCCAGAGCATCTCGATATTAGCCCGTATATGAGTGACCCAAATCACGGAGATCATCCCGTGTATAGTCTCTACGCAGTGGTGGTCCATTTGGATGCTATGAGCACTTCATTTTCAGGTCATTATGTTTGCTACATAAAAACCCTTCAAGGAGACTGGTTCAAAATTGATGACAGCAATGTAGGTCTCAATATATCATTTATATTTTTATACCAATGATGCTAGTTTTTTTTTCTCGAATCTTGATTTTGTTTCCGAATTCGCAGGTTTTCCCGGTTCAATTAGAGACAGTATTACTAGAAGGAGCATACATGCTTCTTTATGCAAGGTGAATACAAAGAGAGGACAGACATCATAAAAACCCAACTCTTGTTCATTTACTAATATCTGAGGAAATCCTCTTCTTTGACAGAAATTCTCCGAGACCGGTGAGCAAGAACGGTGGTCGGAAATCAAAGGAAAGAAGAAATTTGGCCGCAATTCCGTCAAGACACGGCAACAAGAAACAGAGAGACAGTGATAACAGTTTGTTGCCGCGTGTGGACTGGTCGAGTGGAAGTCTATCGTCAATGTTTAGCTCATCGGACACAACAAGCTCATGTAGCACAAAAGACTCATCAGGTATTGAGAATTTATCAGATTACCTGTTTGGTGGAGTTGAACCGGTTTGTAAACGGGATCTTCATGATTCATCTGCCTTAACGTTTTATTGAGATTTAATTAATTTTTTGACTCTGATGACCAATTTTTGACTTTGAACCAATAAGCAAAAAAAAATAGAAAATGTTCTTTTTTAAAATCTACTTAATTCGAGCTGACGTGTACAGTTTTATTAAGCAAAAATAGAACATGTACATTTTTTTGTACCTTTTTTCTTGAATCCAGTCAATTCGAGATTTAATATAATGGATTTACCTTCTTTTGAATCTAGTTTTTTACAATTTGGAAAATAACTAAATTTATATGTAAACAGGAATCCAAACAGAGAATTCCATGGAAGATTTAGTGAGAGCTTTTCTTAACTGCTCTTACACAAAATACCACCATTAGTGGCGGCAAAACACAAAGTACACACAAATACAGAGAAATCCAAAAATATAAAGGCCTCACAGTAAAAAGAAAAAAAAGAATACTTACACAAAATGAAACTTTTTCATCTTGTTGTTTCATGTCGATTTGGTATCTTTTAAGACTCCTCCTTTCTCAAGCTCTCCAACGAGGTCCCTAAGAGAGGGAACCTTCATGGCTAGAGTTCTGTAGAGCCTAGAGTATCGAGCCCGTGTGCCATCAGCTGTTCTAGCTAAAGCCAGTGAACTTAGAGCTTCGGGCAACTGACCAAACACTTGTTTCATTTCCTCTAAGCTCATGTTTTCTAAAACCGAAGGCCTTGGTACAACTCTCATGATTTCGCCTCCTTTAGGTTCTTGAATACGGGCATCCGCTTTGATCACGAGCTCTGAGTTGGAGTTAGCTCCGCATTTTATGATGAATGGAGCTGAAGAGCCTCCTGTGTTGAATTGCAAAACGTTCCATTGAGACACATCGGTTTCAGTCGAAGATATTGAATCTAATGAAGGTCTCTTTTCGTCTTGAAGATTGTCTTCTTGCTCTGGAATTGTCTGCACTCCAATAAAAAACCAGCAAGTAACAAGTTATCGTCAAAATTCTCATGATTTTTGGATCGATCTTTTTCTCGACTTTTATTCATCACTTACCTCGACCAACTGGTGCGCCGTATCAATTTCTCTCTGTGCACATGGATGATCAACATCAAGCAGAGAAGGCATTCGTTCGTTAAGTTCATCAAGAGACTCCAGCAATGCTTTCTTCTTGCTTTTACTCAAAACGTGGACAGAGGCTTGTCTTGTTATTTCCTTCAAGAAGCAAAAGGTTTTTATTTCTTCTCGTGGTTAATCATAACTAAGATCAAGAAAGACACGTAATGGTTTCATATGATAAGAGTTATAAATACCTTGACTTGCTTCAGTATGGCATCTAGAGAAATAAGGGAGGCTAATCTCGAGTCTTCGGCAGCTGTAGAAGGATTTTGAACAAGAGAACTGCCTTCTTCCAAGGTAAACAAAGCTGCATCACTTCTCATCTGTTGCAAAATCTGATATAGAAAGAAAATGGGATTAAGGTACTAGAAAAAACTCTTAAGAGATAACAAGAGTGAGATTAACGGTCTGACAACATACGATTCTTTTTCAGGGTTTACCTTTCTTCTTTTGTGGTCAACAGACTCGAGAGCTGATCGAAGCTTCGAGACTTGACCAGCATCTTCTGCCTCTTCCGAAGCCAAAGTACCAGCAATATCCTAATCAAACATTTCCGTATCAGACCACACATGGCAAACAAGTTCTTCAGCGACTAAGACCTAGATCTCAACATAATCCCTTAACAGATTTCTTATTTAAAATCAGTTACTGCTGAAATCATTCTGAGATTTCCACTCAAAAAAAAAAAACACATCAAGTTCAGCTTTGACATGTCATATATACCTTTAGATGCTGCATCTGAGAAGTGTAGACTCGTTTTGCATACTCAGACAAAAGCTGTCCTAAAGCGTCTGTGTGAGGTGGCACCGCAGCTCCCACTCCAGCCATCCAGCCATCCATAATTGCTGTGGAAAGAAGCTCTAATTGGCCAGTGGTTACTCCTGAAACATCATCTGCTGTAACAGAGAGAAACTCAAAACTTTCAGCAAGCCATGACCTAATCTGTCTTTGCAGTTCACCAGCCGGAGTGTGAACAAATAAAGCAGCTAAGGGTTTGTTCCCAATGGCAAAACTTTTGGCTTCATCTTGTATCTCCCTCAGCTTTCCTCCAGTCACTTGCTGCCTCCCAGTATCCTAAGACAAATTTAGAAACAAGAGAAGCACGTATGTTTGTATCTTGGATTCTCAGTTATTAGGTTAAAGTAAAGCATCTCTGGGAGTCATAGCTATCTTACCTGGTCATGTCCACGGATTCTTGAAACTACAGATACCAACTTACTTTTCTTTTCTGGCTTTAAATTAACTTTAAACCCATGAATCTGCTCATCATAATATCGAACTGGTGATCTACCTGGGCTGCTACTCCCGCTGGAGCTTCTAGTTCGACCAGTATATGGCTTCTCCAAAAAGCGTTCAACTGGAGAAACCTAAAAGAAGTGGGTGACGTGAGATTGATCTTGCCGGGAGAAGAAACTTAGTGACACACACCAGCAGGAAAAGCTAAAAGGAAACTTAGCTAATTAAATCTGGTTATGCTCACCTTGATCGACTGAAGCTCAGGTGATCGTGCAAGTAAGGACCTTATGTACAATATCCTGACTCGAGAAACAAGCATTGTATCCATTACTCTTCTTGGTTCCATTTTCCGGATAAATGAAAAGACAGAATCTCTGATCTCAGCAAGTATTTCATGCTCTCTGGAAGCACCGGCCTTTATGACAGCTGCTAAGACCTGCAAGTCAACAATAACACCAATAAATTTTCTTAACATATAAACCTATATATGTATAGTGACAAACAGAATTTACTGCAGAAATCCCTAAAAATCTAAAAGGGTACTCAACATCAAACTATTAACCCGGTGGCAGTACCAGCATCAGAAGCTTGTTTGCGCCATCAGCAATGGCTGCAAGACCTTCATATTGTTCGGGATCAAAATCATTCAATGCAGCTGTTAAGTATTCTCCAGCTGGAGTGGTTTTTACTAATTCAGAGCTGGATTTTACTAATGTAACCGTGCCCTCATTTTTATCCACTGAAGATGGTAAAGCGCCCACACTATTTTTCCTGAAGAAAATACAGATCAGGTGGTAAGGGAAGTAAACAAAATAGAGAAGACAGAAGTTTGGATTAAGTGGTTCCAAGAGATCAAATAACTACCTGTCAACATCTGCAGGCTGCACAGTTGGTGAAGCTTTTGATGAGGGGCTAGATACCTATATACAACAGTGGATGAGAAAGCTTAAGCAAATAGCTAGCTGGAGCAGGAAAATCTCCATGCGTATGGCAATTAGTAACATTTAATGAAGAGAAGAGATAGAATGATTTTTTCTTCCAACAGCTATAAAAAGAGAAGTGTCCGTGATGTGATACTGAATCATGCGCAGTGTAGGATAAAGAAAAGAATCACCTGAGTTGAGCTAGCCATTGACTTTTCTGTCAATCTGTCAAACAACTTTTCATTTTCTTCATGCAACCTCTGCAGAAAACAACTACTCTCTTCAGACAAATGTTCAGTTCAAATACCATTTGGGTAATTCAAAATATGGAAGTCACTAATAAAATTGTGCTCAATAGGAAGACGAAGCAGAACCTCAATCAGTGCATCACGTTTTTTCAGTTCTTCCTCAAGTTTCTTGGTAACTGCAGAAGAATCGACTGTGTTCTCAGCTGCTCGGGGCTGAGATTCCAAGGGATCTCTCGATCTTGTCATGTCAGACTTCAGGGCTTTACTTAGTTGTGATTCTAAGTCTTTCACTTTAGACTGCATAAAATTGTGTAAAAAAAAAGGGAAGGCGAATGTCACGGCTATCATATTCAGAGAAGGCTACTTGAAAGCAATTTCACCATCTATTTTCTGTTACGTAGATGTTTAAGATAAAAGGCTAGCAGCATGTCTCGAAGTTTAGAAAGTAGATACTAATGAAGTACCAACCTGGAGATTTTGAATGGTGGAATCTTGTTGTTGTACCTGCAGCTTTTGTTCCTGTTCTAACTGTAAAAGTTGAGCTATTTCATTTCTTAACTGAGAATTCTGCTCCTTTTCTATTTTATGTTTGTCTGCAACCATCGTATTCTCTGACTGCAAAAACAATTAAGTAATTCGTTAGCAGAAAGGAATCTTATAAGGAATAATTGAAATAAGCAGACACTATCCCAGTCAGCATTGAAGACCTTTAAATCTGATTGCAGTGTGAATGAAACTCTCCACGCTCTCTGTACTTCATTATAGAGCAGTACACATTGGTCATTTGCTTCTTTAAGTGCTTGTTTTAAACCTGTAACCTCTTGTTTCAGACGCTGAGTTTCCCTCTCTTTCTCCAATACCTCCTTCCGAGCATCATTTGCCTATAGGAAGAAAGGATATTTACACGGCACATTTTCAAACTACGTGTACATAGTAAGTTAAGCAAAAAAACCTACGTGTACCCTCAAATCTATTCTTCAGAGAAATAAACTAAACTCCAAAAGGGGAAGAGATCAAACCAACAGACTAATTAAGTAAAATCCTAACAGTCTGTCAAGTGAATCCTTCCACGCTCTGCTTTACTTTCAGCTACAGAAAATTTAATCTTTGTTCTTCATTCATGAGGTATTACTGAAATTCCAGAATATGTATTATAATTTGAAATTTTATTCAATACTTTTATTTTGACAATTCCATCTGTTATATGTATGAATGTCAAGATACGAGAAAAGAAGTAGAGGGAGGAGGACAGGATTCTCTAATTCCACTTACCACGTCTCTCCATTTCTTAATTGTGTCTCGATTCCCAAGGCTTGGTACAGTATTCCGAGCTCTAGCGGCATAATTGAGACATGACATTATTTCAGACAAGTTCCGTGCACTTGGACAAATGTTGACGATCATCAATGTTTTGGAGCTCCCTCCTGCACGTTACAGGAGATTGTTCTCATTTGAAGGAACTTCAAGGAATGGAAAGAAATCCTCAACACAGAGAAAATATATTTACAGCGAAACGTAGAGGCACACGCACTCAAAAGCAGAAGCATTTACCTAGTGAATCTGCAAGTATTCTTGTAAGAAATGAGTTCTCGTAAGGAATGGTATCTTTTTTTGACGTCAAAGATGATAAAACATCTCCCAGCCTACAGAACCCGAGATATATGCAGTAAGTAAAGGGGAAAAAATTAATTCAAAGATTCAAGCTAACAACGCTTACACATGAAGAAAAATGTCAAAAATGTCAAAGATATGGGATTCACTTGTAAGGAACAAAGGAAAAAGATATGGGATTCACTTGTAAGGGAACAAAGGAAAAGAGGGATCGGAGAGAGGATACTTAAACTTACGCGGAAATTGAATTTGTTACATGGAGCAGATCAGTTACATGATCTCCATTGTCATCCTCCACAGTTAAACCTTCACTTCCAGCCAGGTCAACTAAAGAAAGCTTGCTAATTATATTTTCTCTCGTAATTGTGTTGCTATAACAAATGTGTATTGAGACAATCCTACCAAAAGAGCAGAAATCCATTAAGAAGAGATCATGAGTAGAGAATCTTAGCAGAAAATTATATGCTTAAAATAGGAGTTAAGCATATAATATAACATACAGATGGGTCACATTAGACTTTGATTTATCATTCCCCCTATTCTGAAATGCAGAGTTCAGGACTCTCATGAACTCTGATGGATTATCAACTTTTTCCTGCGAGAGTTCTATAACAGATTCGCGTAAACCCATATTGATCTTTGGCAAGTTGCTCTGACAACCTGAGAGTAAATCCCTGACCTAAAACATGAAAGTTACTGAATTAGAAAAGAGTTTCAATTTCCATTCTATTATCGAATGCCACTGAAATCGAAAAAACGAAGCACCTGTTCGTTATAGAGCTCAAACACTGAAACAGAGAAACTGAACTGAGATGCGGAAGTTGAATCAGAATTGGCCAAGTCGACCAGTTCCTCAAAACAACGAGCATATAAACCACGGTCATGATTAGATCCTTCCTGAGAAAAAGCAACAGCATTAACTAACATCAATCAGAGAGCAATTGCCTGATATAGAAATCTCTAGTAAAATCGATAGGATAATACTATGAACGTCCATGAACTTGCCTATCATAATTAAACCCTGTCAAATAACATGAAACTTTTTTGCGATCTCAAAGTTCATTCACATAGATATCCTCGGCTTGGTTAGGGCCAAAAAGTATTGAAAGCATAAACATGCAAATAAGTAGTAAAAAGCATGAGTATATTAGGAGACTGTTCATACCCCGTAACTTTAGCAACTTTGAAAAATTATTTTGTATGTATGTCCCTCAAGTTAGATATTACGCATGCAACATTGATGATACGGATACCAAACAAGATCTATATCTAATTTCAGAAAGGAAAGGGAGGGGAGGGGCAACCATGGTGTATGTCTTCCCCGCGTGAGTTTGTCCATAGGCAAATATAGAAACGTTTGATCCATCCAGAGCAGATTGCACAAAAGGTTGGACATCACTGAACAGTGAAGCTGAGGAAAGTTTACTGAATAAGTTCCAGATTATATGGAGTAAGTACATAGATTACATTTACAAACCAAATGTATGAATGTTTGCTACTTTTTTAGAAAAGTATTGGAAACAGTTCTTAAGCATAAGGTAAGATTACATTAACAGTGAAGTATTATAACTCACCTTGTCCAACTTGAGGCCCATAAACTCTATCAAATTCAAATTCCTTCTTGGGATTGGACAGAGTATCATCACTAGTGTTTACACGTATAGTGCAGTTATCAGGAAATTCAATGATAGAGGGACCCTCGTCTTCAAATAAGGGTCTTGCTCGACAAAATACCTTTACATTCCCTGAAAGATAAACCATAAACTACACATTCAGGGTCATATAGAACAATCTAAAGCTGGTGTAATGAATATCAATACAAGTAAAGATAGAGAGAGAGAGGAAAGACAGAAAGACTGATCACGTCGGAAATGGAATGATCTGCACCTTTGGTCGTCAGTAAGTCATTGAACAGTCTTTTCTTCTCATTGATAAGTGGAGATATCCTAGCCTCAGTCTGAAGTGCATATTGATCTGTGATAGGCTATGCAGATAAGTGAAAAAAAACACATTCCCGAATTTCACCACAACAAAACATGAAACAGATAATTGTAACAAAATTCCCATCACAAGAGATACATAGATATAGATGCATACATTCTAATAATGAATAAGTGACCAAAAAAATCTTATCTTCTCAACATTTCTAATCCAAATAGTCTTATTTTGCCAAAAAAAAAAACTACACTTTCACACTGAAGGGAACTAAAAACTTACCCAGTTTACGACTTTTATCAGCCAGAACACCTAAATAACGAGTAACCCTTTCAAGCTTTGCATTAGAGTACTCTTGAAGATCAGTAGCTTCCTGTCTCAATCCCACATAATCGTCCTTTGCAAGCTATTCAACCAAAACCAAATTTTCTTAAAAAATAGCTTAATCACACCACCGCAAAATAGCATCATTGTACTTAAAACCTCAGCTCTCTATACTCGTCTAAACATTAAAATCATCCTCTTTCACAAATTTCAAACTCATCAATAGAAAGAGCTTAAAAACATAATTCTTACTCAAACCCAAACAAACAAATCTCAGAGAAACATTATCACACCTGAACTTTATCCTTCAAACTCTGAACCTTAGACGCAAGCTCCGACGAGTGCGGTGGAAGCGAGTTCTTCGGGATCGAGTACCGTCGAAGCATAGACGACGGTGACCGATGGACGCCTTCCTCACTAGAAGGCGACTTCTTCGATTCGAACCCAGTCACCTCCCAGTTCCACCTATTGGTGGTACTCTTCTGCTCCGCCATTTACAAATCCACGAAAAACCCTAATCTTATTCCAGATTTCAGCACAAACCCACCACAATTCTCGAGCAGACAACCTCAGATTCCAAACGAAAACATTCAAAAGTTTTTGAAATTTATTACCTCCAAATCCTAAATTTTGTGTTCTTTTTTTTCTTTGTTTTGTCTCTTTGTCTCTCTCTCTCAGATATAAAAATGAAAGGCCGAGGCAATGAGTATCATACGATGTCGTTTTGAATATGTTCTTCTTTTTAATAAACAAAACAAAACCAATTAAAATAATAAAATGACAGAGACACCAAAACGTCTTTTAAGACAACAGTATTTTGTGCTGTGCGTCGTTAACGCCTTCTCGTGTTCGATTTTGGTTCATTATTTTATTTCAGTCATTTTCTAATAATCTCAACAAAAATAATTTATCAAATGTAGCTTATTTATTGGTTGAAATATAGAAAATAAACACAATTTTCCTTCGAAATTACGGTGCAATGAGTAGCTACAGTAGTCTTCTCTATATATATTACTAATTTAATACGATAAAAGGATTGGCATAAGATGATAATCATTACAAGAAAAATGGAATTTTAATTGATTAAATGATAATGGCACACGCAGATCTGTGTGGTGCATATGATTATTTTTTTGTTATTAATTCTTTTGGAATTTTGGACCGACCAGATAGCGTGTCATTGAAGGTAAATAATTACTACTTGTATTCATACCAAGAAAAAAAAATTGATTACAAAAGTTTGGTGGGTCTACTTTATGAAAGAAGAAAGAACCACACAAGTAGGGTTAATTTCTGAATACTCTAAATTTATAATCAGTGTTGTAGTCAAGATCAATTAATTTTCAATAAAAGGCCCAAAGTTTTATCATTCTTGGACCTTAAACAATCTACTCAAAATAAAGGGCCATTTCTTAGTTTGGTCAGGCCCAAATGTTTAGTAAGCCAATAAGCTTAAATAGTTTTGTTTAAGGATTGACACTAAAACAAAATCTTAAGGCATTAAAACAAAATCTCAAAGCATTAAAAACTTGTGAAAAAGGCTTGAAGCCTGTTTAATAAAACAAAATCAGATGATGTATCTTGACATTAATTACAAAAATACTAAATGAAATTCTCTTTAAAAAAAAAGGTTAGATTCTTGGCGTTATGGTACTATTTACTTTAATTCCGCTTTATATATAAACTTTGTATAAATTCATTAACTGCGTTGTTTAATACTTCGTCCGATGCGAAATTGTATCTCAAAATAAGTGAGTAATCCCAAAACTTTGTTTATGTACGAAACAACTTTAATATGATTCAACTCATCTTCTATACCTTTTTCCTATGCTTTAAAACCTTTTTTTATTGTATGACTAACTTTTTTCCCTTTAAAACACATATCAACGTACCGCTCAATAATTGCTTATTTGAAGCAAAAAAAAAATGATAAATACTGAAAAAGAAAAGTAGAAGAATCATATTCCCACCCCCAACAAATCGTATAATGCTGGTTCATCAAAAATTGGTCCTTCGAAAATCACGTTCATAATATATTGATCATTAAGCTCTCACGTTCTCGCCGAATCAATTTTTTAATCTTAATGTTTAGTCTTATAACCGGTAAAACGCATAATTTTTCATTTTTCGTACATATAATTTATTTCCATTAGGTTAATCTACCAACCGGAGTAATTTATAAATTTGTTAATATCTCGCCTACCACAAAGTGAATAATAAATATAGAAGTGATCATCGTTCTCAAGTAACTTGCTAGATGTTTAGCCAAACGTAGAAATAAGAGTAATGAAAAAAAAAAAAAGTAATAAGAGTAATGTGATTGTTTATCTTTGATAGAACTATAGGACAGATTTATTGATGGAAAAACTAAAAAGTGAAAAAAGTGGGTGAAAAGAAGAGAGGGGATACTAAAAAAGGACACGAAGCGAGAAGTTTGCATCTTTTGATGGATATCTAAAATCTTAAGTCAAGCTGTATAATGGGAAGAAGAACACAACAAAGTGTCGGTGCCTCGAATCAAATTCACATAATTATTATTGTTAACATAAGAAGAAGACATGAAAAGCAGAATTTTCGTTCCAAGCCATGCGTATATATAAGCTGTCTTTTCGGAAAAAATAAAAAAGCTGTCTTTATCTGTCCCAACGGTACAAAAATCTAATAAAATAATATTATAAATGAACTCTTTTTCCCAATGTTTTATTTTCTGGAGGATTAAATAAGCAAATACTAGCTTTGTTTTATTAACAGCTAGCTAATAAGCGAAATAGCTGTAGATAGCGCCACTAATCTAATCCATGGCCATTAGCTTCTGTTGTGTGTGTGGTACCCCCAAGTCGAATGTGTTAGTGATGGTGACGTAATTAATAATGGTAAATTTTAGATGACGAGTATGGAACGTGTTCCGAATTTTGTGAAATATTTTTACATATGTTTCTCTCAAATTATGCGTTTTGTTTTTGATTATCTGAATATGAGTCAAAAGATCCCAGAATAATTTCCCAAAATTTTACATTGAAGAGTCCGTTCTCTAATCTAAAACAACATGATAAACTTCGGACCACTCGACGACCACATTTGTTTTAGTTATTATGCGTATTTACTAATTTAGTCAATAAGGATATCAATTCTGTGATTCATTGACATTTCCAAAACCTTAATAATCCTAGGCTATATGTAATTAATTATGTACGAGTCACACATAATTATATAGAACCGTGATATATGTCTAGACGTTATATATCAATTATCATCATAACAGCAAAATAAATAATTTCACAATTTATTAACAACACAATAGGAAAAAGATAAAAACTAGTACCAAATAGAGTCTTAAGTCATAGAAAAAAATAAAAACAAATGAGGCAACTCTAGATTTTGTTTCCTTATACTTATAAGATAACCTCATATAAAAATTGTTTTCCATATTTACATAACATCGGACTTAAAGTTTAAATATTTAATACCGCATTTGTGTCGTCATTAAGTGCGATAATTCTGTAATTATGTAACGTTGTCATTCTCAGGAGTCCAAAAATTAAATAATTAATTAATAATCCGTTTTCGTGTCACGAGAATAAAAGGTTAAATTCGCCGTGTTTTTATTTAGAGGAGACGAGGTGGGACCCAATGGAGACAGACAGCAAATTTAATGAACAGGTGTCCATGTGAGACGTATTCACACGCTCTCTCTCTCTCTCTTTCCATTACTACTATAAACCGTTCTGGGAACTTGATCAACATTTTTAATCCTAAAACTTCTTCTTTTGAGTGTGTTGAAGAAGAAGAAGAAGAAGAAGAAGAAGAAGAAAGATTAAGATTCACTTAAAACCCGAAAAAAGTGGAAGAAGGAAGAAGACAAGAGAGCATTCTGATTCATGTGACTCTGGTTTCGTTTCTTTCTGACTCTGCTGTGTCTCTTTCTCGGCTAATTTCTCATCTTTCGTTCTCGGCTGGTTGTTTCGTTTCTGGGTATTGATTGATTGATTGATTAAAAGTCTTCAACTTTCCCGGAAATTGGATCTGGGAAGAAAAGGATGAATCTTTATGTTGCTAAAGACAGAAGAGGGATTCTCTCTGTGCTCTTCTTCGTCGTTTTGCTCTGCAACAACGTTTCGACTTCGTCTTCTTCATCTGTAAGTTGGGCAAAACTTAATTCTCTTTCTTTCCCTGTTTTTCCGGGATTCTTTTGGTTGGATTCCGGGAAAATACAAAATATCAGCTTTTGGATTTTTCGTTTCACTGAAGTATGGTTTTTAGGATTTCCAGAAATAGTAGTATTAACTTTCCTAATGAAGAAATTTCTCAATTTTGAATACATTTGTAGAAAGACAAATAGAAAGAGACATCAACGGTGGTTGTGTTTTGTGTGTTTGACTCTTGTTAATTCTGTGGTTTGTTGAATTTAAAGATTTTATCAACGGATTGATTTTATATTATCTGGGCTTTTATTGGAAATTTGACTAGTTTGGGACCGGAATATTTACTTTGACTTGTTCAATTTCAAGTCTAGAGTCTCTCTTGAGTTAAGTAGTGAAGCTCTTTAATCAAATCATTCTTTTTTGCAGGAAGTGATCACAATTAAGCCAAGACATTTATCTTTGCTAAAGAGTGCTTTGCAACGGGTAAAATTAGATGATTTAAATGATTCTTTCATGATTTCTTTTTTGATTTCAGAAAGTTAGGAGGTTTATGGCTTTTTGTTGTCACTTATAATTTCAGTCAAGTGGAGAACAGTCTGATCTATGGAGGCCATTGACTGATCAAGGATGGAGTCCTTGTATTGATTTGGGAAATTCCCCTTGTAAGTAGTATTGACAAATTGTGTGAAACTTTCCCATTTGTTTTTAGATGGCTTTGATCTCTGACTAATCTTGTTGTCTTGGAGCAGCATTACCGGATAAAACTGCGGGATATGTTCAGGTATTTCTTGATGGGGGACTTAACCAGCAACGAATGGGGATATGTGATGCAGTTGCGGTTGCCAAGATATTAAACGCCACACTCGTGATCCCGTATCTTGAAGTGAATCCTGTGTGGCAAGATTCAAGGTAATGTTTCTTGAAAAATTCTTCTTATTTGATGAGTTTGTATTTTTGACTCCGGTTTTTTAAAGCTGAATTTGTGTGCTCTTTTTCTTTCTGTGTACAGTTCTTTTGTTGATATCTTCGATGTTGATCATTTTATTGATGCGTTAAAAGATGACATAAGGGTAGTTAGAGAACTACCTGATGAATACTCTTGGAGTACAAGAGAGTATTACGGTACAGCAGTCCGAGAAACCCGTGTGAAAACCGCACCTGTCCATGCCTCTGCGAATTGGTATATTGAGAACGTCTCACCAGTTCTACAAAGGTATGTCTTGCATTTAATCTGACTAGTGATAGTTTAAGTTTTCAACTTTCATACTAAAAAGTTTGAACTTATTTTCTTGTATTCGTAGTTATGGGATTGCTGCTATTTCTCCATTCTCTCACCGTCTATCGTTCGATCACTTACCTGCTGAGATTCAACGGCTAAGGTGCAAAGTGAATTTCCAAGCTTTACGCTTTGTCCCTCACATTACATCACTCGGTGATGCTCTTGTAAGCCGCCTTAGAAACCCATCATGGAGAAACAATAAGGAACTGAAAAATGTGGATCATTTAGGAGACATGACCAACCCACACAAAAGACAAGAACCCGGGAAGTTTGCCGTACTTCATCTTCGCTTCGACAAGGTAAATTATACTTTGCTCCAATCATCCTACTTTAGACATTTGATGATTGTTGTTAGTTATTTGATCATATGAAGATTTTCTTCTTGTTATGTTTATAGGACATGGCAGCGCATTCGGCGTGTGATTTCGGTGGAGGCAAAGCCGAGAAACTTGCTTTGGCGAAATACAGACAAATGATTTGGCAAGGAAGAGTTTTGAATTCTCAATTCACAGATGAAGAGTTAAGAAGTCAAGGACGGTGTCCTCTAACACCAGAAGAAATGGGACTTCTTTTAGCTGCTTTCGGATTCGACAACAATACTCGTCTCTACCTCGCATCCCACAAGGTCAGAATTTTTCTGTTACATTACTTGTTTAAAGTATGGTTATAATGTGATGCGGCGGAACATTATTCATTACTTACGTTCTGTTTCTTTTTGGAGAATTTCAGGTATATGGAGGAGAAGCTAGAATCTCAACATTAAGACAAGTATTCCCAAGAATGGAAGACAAAAGAAGTCTTGCATCTTCTGAAGAACGAGCTCGAATCAAAGGCAAAGCTTCTTTATTAGCCGCACTTGATTACTACGTTAGTATGCACAGTGACATTTTCATCTCTGCATCACCTGGAAACATGCACAACGCTCTTGTTGGTCATCGAACATTCGAGAATCTTAAGACGATCAGACCAAACATGGCGTTAATAGGACAGCTGTTCCTCAACAAAAGCATCACTTGGGTAGATTTTCAACAAGCGCTTGGTGAAGGACATGTGAATAGACAAGGACAGATCCGGTTAAGGAAACCTAAACAGTCGATATATACTTATCCTGCTCCTGATTGTATGTGTCATGTTTGATTAGTTTAAAAGTCTTGATCTTTAGATATTTCTTATAAGAATAAAATAAAAACTCTGATTCTTGATGAGGCTAGTTTGGTGTTTGCCTTTGTGTTCTTGAGGCTTAATAAAAAGAGTATAGTTTGATTAGAATATGAATAATACAAATTATTGTGACGATAATGATAATTTGAGCAAAAATAAGTAAAGATCAAGTTGATAGCCCATAAATTTTATTTATAAACTAACAACTATAACAAGTGTATTAGAATATGCTTATTTGTAATACCTTGAGATTCTGATGAATGCACTATTTTATCATCGTATATGAATTTATTCTAATATTTGAGGATTAAAAATGTGAAACCTTTATGAATTGAAATAAATTAGTAATAGAGCCTTGAATTGTGGCCAAGAAAAGCTGACGACCTATTGGAAAAAGGTCGCCTAGAATTTTGTTTCTTGTTTTGTTCTTTTTATGACGTCTGTTACCCATAATTTTGCAGGTTTTTTTGCGACCGTTAATTAATTAATCAAATATTTTATAGTAACATTTAACATTCATGGGTGATATTTAGTCTATTGATTAAGTACTTAAGTTTACAGATACTTTCTAAGATCAACCTATATTTGTTTTTTTCTTTTGTTTTTTGGTTACATTATCAAAGATCAGCCCTTGACCCTTGTCATAGCACTAATTACAATTTAACGACATACATGTATAAATTTCATGGATTTTAATTGAGATTTGATTAACGGTTTGGTAAACTCTAGTATTATTATTAAGCATCTCTATAATTACACAAAAATCCATAGAGAAACCAGATATGATTGATTCCGGGGCGGGGAAAATGCATCAACTTTAATTATTTCCAATTGATAATTCCAAGATTTCTGTCATCATTATACCAAAAAATAAAATTAACAAGAAAATCGATTCGTTTTATTATTATTAATATAATATGTTGATTTTCTACGTATAAATCCCTGATATTTGTTTTTTTGTTTTTATTTACTTTTCTGAATGGGTAGAAGGAATCAAGTGTGGTGAAGTGTATAGTAGAACCGTAGACCGACAGTTGCCACGAAAGCAAGTAAACCGCTACCAACCGTCGGATCAATCTTTATTGGTTTCGCAGAAGCGAGGCCCAATTAAAACGGCCTAAAATAAAAAAAAATGAGAAAGGAGAGTAATATAAATGAAGCAGAGCAGAAGATGAGCTTCTCTGTACAAAGTCAGAGAAAAGTCAGAAGAAGAAGAAGAAGAGAAGAGAGTCAGAGACGACGGACGAAACGACGCGATTCTTAGGGTTTCTTCGATCGTCGATTTGATTTTTTCCCTTTCTCTCTTCTTATTTTCTCGGTAATTTACGTTTCGCAATTACCGGAGATTTTTCTCTTCTTCCGATTTTTTCGCATTTATTTCCGCCGAATTTTCCGGCGAAGCCTTGCCGTCTTTTGGCGGACATCGGAGGCTTTGATCTTCCTTTGTTTCTTCAATTACCGATCGCTTTCGCTTTTCTAAATTTAGCGCTTTTTTTTAATTGGACCACCGATCTGATGAAGCATTAATTACTTTCCATTGATGAAGAATCAACGATGGAAAATTTAAAAATAAAATAAAATTTGAGATCTTCGTTGTGTTTAGTCTGAAATTTCATTGAAAATTGAATTTGAATAAAATTTCGTGTTTGATCTATGTGATGAGTTAATCTAATCGATCACATCATAAACAGTATTAATGGATAAGAGATTTGTCTTTTGGCTTCCGAAATTTGTGTAAAGTCTTTATATTTGTTTGTGTTTGGTCAGTGTCATCATAATGGTGACATTATAATGATGATTTTATTAATGAAGATGGTTGATTTTTTTTTTTTTAATTGTGAACAGATTGAAGAAGAAGATAAAGCATCGATACATGGCTGATTGATAAGAGTTTTCTCCGGAGGTTCGGAGTTTTTTTTTAGGAAGGAAACAGAAAAAAGATGGCAGTCTCTTTTCCTCGTCTTCCGAGGTGGTTGTGTGGTGGTAACAGTAAAGAGAGAGAGAAGAAAGAGTCAATGTCTAAAGGATCTTCTTCACTGAGTCCTTCACTGAAGAAGACTACTACTAAGACTGGTTCTTCCTCTTCATCGGTGAAGAAGACCAAGAGAGGATGGATTGGAAGAGGAGGATCAGGATCAGGAGAAGAGGATAAGATGGGGAATGTGGTGTTTCCTGAACCAGATGATCCAGAGTGGTCAATTGGTTGGGTTGAGCCACATGGACCAGGTTTTAAAACTGAGGAAGCTGATTGTGGTGGGTTTGTGGTTTTGGTTCCTCTTTACAAGAAAGTGTTGGATGGTTCAGGGAATCAGATTCCGAATGGCTTTTTCTCTCCTGCTGCTCCTGGTAATGTTTGTTTCCATTATCATCATCATTCATTAATAGCAATTATTTGCATGTTTTAAAGATTGCAACCTAAATCATTGGTTTGAGTGTTTGGTTGTAAATTGAGTTGGTTTTGGTTCTGATGACATGTATACTGCAGATGGGAAGAACATGGAACAGTGGCTGTCGTCTATGGGGAAGCTATAAACCGGAGATTGGGAAGAATAAGACTATTTCTCTGTTGGTTCAGTATCAGAATTAAGAATCGAATAATCTAGAAAAGAAAAGGAAAAAAAAAAAAGAGAGAAGCAAGATAGCTTCTGGAGACTTCTTTTGATTTTCTGTTCGAAGCGAGTGACAACAAAACACCAAGTCATATCTCAAGAATCTACTAATGGACAAAGATGATGGTGATGGAGACTTAGCAACATGAAGATGAATATGATATGATTTGAGTATTGGATATTTTCCATGTGGGTTTTTTTCGGTTGTGAAAGCGTTTCTGCTTCACTTATGTGGTCGAGATAATTGGGTTTGGAAAAAAGAAAAAAAAAACTTTTTTCTTTTGTTCCTTTGTGGTTTGATGATGTGTAATAGTAGTCTACATGTACATATTTTGTTTTCTTGAATCACATGTCATGTGCTTACTTTCGACAACACAAAAACTCCCCAACAACGTTACTCACGATTATGTGATTAAACAAAGTGAACCCAAAAACGAACTACATTTTTGAACAGCATTCAGTTTTTGTCGCTAGAATCCTTGGGAAGCTGCAAACCCATGAGGCCGAGCAAATTGGAAGCAGGACCAGGAAGTCCTTCTTGTGAAGAGTAGGATTCAAGTAGGTTCTTAACAAGGTTAAAATCTGCATCAACTGGTGTAAATTCATCATCATCCTTCTCATCTGAAGTCTTTGATGATTCCTGCAGATGCACATAAACACCATTAAAATCAAATCTTAAGCTCTTAAATTCACACACAGTCTTAAGGAAAAACTGGCTCCAAGATGGTACCTCTTTTTGCTTAGAAGAATGTTGTTGATTCACATGTTCAAAGCTTTTCTCAAGAGTTGAGTTTTTCAGTTCCTCATTCATTGCTCCATAGTAGGATTCCTTAAAGCTTTCCTTAGCATCTTCGTTAGACTCTTCTCCTTCGCTTTCATCTTCAAAGTCATCTGCATACCATAACACTTTAGTAAGTGCACACACCTTCCACACCTTCCACACCTTACATATTTGTATATGTTGCCACTAGGAAAAAAAAAACTAAGAAATTACCAAAATCCATGTCCATAGAAGATCCTTCAGAGCCATCACTGTCATCATCAGCTTGTTCGTCACGACCTTGGCTCCCTAGCATTGACTCAATATCTTTCATGAAACGGTCAACATCTAGATTCACTTCTTTGAAATCCCTACACAAGTCAAGCAAAGAAAATACAATGTGTTGAGCTTGAAATTGACAAAGAGATGTTCATGAAAAATGATTAATGTTCAATATAATGGACAAACCTGTTTTCTGGAACTTCTGCTCCTTTGTAGCTTGATACTTTCTGCATGAATTGCTGCATCGACTTTGAGATATCACCGAGATCAAAATTGTTCATGTTTGCATCAGATGAACTTCCAGCTTCTTGCTTCTCCTTACCTTTCTTTTTGCTTTCCTTCTTTGAGTTATAAAACTCCATCTCTTCCTGCCTCTCTTGAAGAACAGAGTTTAGCTCATCTTCACCATCGTACAGCCAAGAATCATTGTCAGAAGCAGGAACCTCCTGACCCTTAAAGTCATCCTCCGAATAAGGTAAAGCAAGAATCTCATCAATACGTCTCACCGGTGCACTCATAATGTCTCTGCACATAAAAAAAAAAAAAACTACTCAAGATCATAAACAACTCAAAGAAGAATCCTTTTCACTACCTATAGAAACAAAAACTGCAATTACCTTGTCCTTGAAAACGAAGAACTCTTCTGGTAGTATTCCTCAGCATTCTCCATCAACCTCTTGTACTCCTTCGAACCAGAAATCAATCCTTCAAAATAACCATTCTTCTCAAGATTGTCTATATACTTGCTCCAGCTAATCCCTTTCCCATCTTCTCTTTCCTTCTTCCTCTGCTGATACATCATTTCCATACCACAAGCTATTTTCATCCCTAGCTCAGCCTCAGAGAAAGCATCCCTGTCACTGACACTAGGCATTGGATAACAATTTGGTGCTTGAAACTTCTGCTGCACTAGCTGCCCGTACATTGCACGAGACATCTTGACAAGAACAAGCACAAGCTTCTCTTCTCTTCCTTTGCTCAGAAACTTCTCCATCTTCGCTGCGTGTTTCATTGAATCCATATCACGATCGTAAAACCCTTCCACTGCAAGCGAAATCAAGAAAGGTTCATGCCTAAGCACTTGAGCTACTGATATCGGAACCCTAACCCTAACACGATGCATATTCCTCCACGCTCTTTCGGGATAATCAGAAATCCGATTCTTCAAAGCGGATTGAACTGAATCCGACGCACGAGATTCGTTACCACGCTCGATTAGAAACCGTAGAGACGCAACTAAAGAAGGATCAGGCAAACGGCTTCTGGGAACGATGTGGAGGTCACCGCCGCGAATGAAGACACGATTGAGACTAGTCTCCGGATTGAGCCAACGCGGGAGGTGAAAAGCAGCTTCGATTAGGAGAAACTCGCCGTCAGTGTCCCAAACACGAATCGAATTAGACGGAAACGCGGCGGAGATTCGAAAAAGCAAAAACACAGCGAACCATTCGTCCTCCAGATTGTCACCGTATTTGAGCTTCCCGTGAAGATGAGGCATAGCAGTGTTGGTACAAGCACAAGAGGAAGAGAGAGCTATGGATAGAGAGAAAGGCTCGTGCTGCCATATGTAAGGAGAAGTAAACGGATAAACGAAATCGATGATTTCCAAGTGAAGTGACTGAAGAACGGCGGAGGTTTCTGATCCGGCGCCGGAGAGAGATGAGTCCGGGAATATGGAGAAGTAAACGGTTTCGTCAGGTAGACGAGAAGAGGTTTCAGAGAAGAAGACTGAAGAAGAAGGCTTCGACATTGTTCTCGCTTCTTCTTGCATTCACCGCCGGTGACTGATTTATATAAAACTTAAACTCTCTGGCTAAATAAGAAGGTTTTGACTATTAAGTTATATTTATGAAATGACCGAAACACCCTTTTTGTTTCAGTTTCTTCTTCTTCTACCTTTAGAAAGAAACCCAAAACCGAAGAATTGATTTTTGTGTTATCTTTCCTTTACGAGATGTGTTACGGTCACAATCAATCGTTTTCGTCGCGAAGCAGTCTCCGTCGCCGATCGCACGACGGAGATGACGATTCAGTGGTGGTAGACGATCTTCGAGACCGGCTGGCGGAAACCGAGGCGCGGCTGAGACGAGCCAGAGCGAGAGAAGCTGAGCTAAGCCGGAGGTTGGAGCATATGAAGAGATTCGTTTCGGTGATGGAGATCATTGAGACTTTCTTAGAACGGCGATTCCAAGAGCAGAAAGATCGAATTGCTCGCCTTTTCTCTCCTGTATCGACGAAATGAAAGGGAAGGAAGCATCATCATCGTCTTCTTCTTCTTCCTCTTGCTTTTTTTCTTCTTTTTGTTGTGGGATCTCTTTACTTTTGAATGTCCCTTGTTTGTTTGTTGTTTGATAGTAGCAGTTTAAATCAATTTCAGCAGCAAATATCTAAGAACCATAGATTCTGTTTTGTTGAAGCTTAAGGTAAAATGAAAGCTATGTGCATTATGTCCATTTTGATCATCTTATTTGTGAGTTAAGCTTGTCAAGTTTGATCCTTTGTTGCTGATTACTACAATATCTTTGGATTTTATTGCTTAAGATAATCAAAAATATATAATTAGAAACCTTTTGAGGTCTGTGTTTTTGCCAATTCTCGAGGTTATACAAAATAATTTAGGAGGAAGCTTGTGCTGCTCTCTTGCTATGCCAGTCTTGAATCAGAGAACGAAGGGTATGATTTGGTGTAAGCATCTGGTAATCGAGTCTCAGATTTGTCATTGGAGATGTGTCATGTCCCATGCTTAGCCATTCCTCTATGGCCTCAAGCTCATATGAAAACCCATCTGCTGCAACATGTGGATTCTTCATCACTTCCTGCAACAACAACAAGTTAGATTGTGAATCATTCACTCCTATAATCACTGAGAAGGAAAAGATATGGATTTGATTTAACCTGAAGTATTGGACACATGAAAACACTTGGTATGTCATTCGGATCTCCTTCATTGATGTTTGAATTGGTTGCTTCCTCGTACCCTCCTGTGGTTTTAAACTCATCGGCTTTTTCCCTTATCTTACCAAGCTCTTCCATTATCTCTTTGGTTGAAAAATCTGTGTTCCCTCCTCTGTTAACTGAAGAACACTTCACTGCAAGCGCACCAAACTCTTTAGCTAACTCGAGTGGCCACTTACCAGCTGTTTGATCCAAATCCCTGAGAATGCTTGTCTGGTTCATAGACATTGCCTTGAGCAAACCAGGCCAGTTCCTCCCGGTTAAAAGATGCAGAAGCAAAACCCCAAAAGCCATCACATCAGGTTTCGTATCAGATTGATCGCTATGCATTATAAGTCCAAACCCGGTTATTTTCGGAACAAGGTTACGGTCCAAGAGGATCTTAGACGGCGTAAGGCGACCATGGACAATCGGTTTAGGCTTAACTGAATGGAGAAACCCGAGACCAGAGCAAACCTGGTGAGCTATACGAATCCTATCATGCCATATCAGTATCTTGCTTCTTCTCGATTTCCTCTGCGATGTGAATAGATTATCCCTTAAGTTCCCATTATGCATGTACTCAAAGAGTAAACATTTAGGCCTTTGTGAACAAAACCCAGCAATTGCTACCAAATTAGGATGCCTAATCTCATTCAAAAGCTTAACTTTAGCTCCAAAATCCTCATCTGATAAACAATCACCAATCACTTTCACAGCCACAGTTGTATGTTCGATCCTTCCTCGGTACACATTTGTCCAATTACCACCAGATTTCAACCTCAATCGATCAGAATAACTCTCTGTTGCCAGTCTGATATCCTCTGCAACATACTCTCTATACCCGCACTTCACTTCTTCCTTCGAAACCAAACCTGTCACCTCTTTCTCCCTGCAAAACTCAATCCTACGATTGAAAACATCTCTTTGATTCCTAAGTTTCTCAATCTCCATTACCATCTCTCCTCTCTGTAACACAACCCTCTCAAGCTCGACCTCCGCCTGCGATTTAGCCTCCATCATTGTCTTAACTTTACTTGAGAGCTCTTCTTGAAGCTCTGCAAGTGAATTAAGCTTTGTTTTCCCTTTTTCGACATAGTTCTTCGCTTCTTCGATACATTCTTTATTCGAATCTAACGTCCCTTGAAGCTTCTCTCGTCTCTCACTTTCTTCTTTAATCCAAGCTTCAAGCTCTCCAATCTGATTCAAACCAAAAACGTTTTTTAAGACTATGAATCTCAGTTCTTGTTAAGTATATGATTCCAAAGTTTTAGTTTTTAGCTATTATTACTCTGCTATTGCATAAAGAGATTGCCCATTCAGCTTTGTCTGATCTTTCAGCGTTGACTTTGACTTCTATTCTTTTCTCATCTATCATCAGCTTAGCTTCATTAACCTTTCTTCTCACATACTCTAACTTCTCTGCTACATTCTGACAATTTCAACATATAAATATTTTAATCATAGTTTTAAAAATCATATCAACAAAAAAGCATATTCTGATAGTATCTACCATATGTTGCAGCACGTTTAATGCCACATCATCATCATCTTCCTCTTGTTCTTCTTCAACAACGCTTTCGTTTACTTCTTCTTCAAGATTCAAACTCAATAACTGCTCGAAATAAATCTCTATCTCGTGTAAATTCTTATCCCATGAACTTCCACTAGCCGTTGGATCATCACTGTTGCCAGATGAACGGTCTAGATTTCTTCCCGGATCATGGAACATCTTACCAATCCAGCTTCTGATATTGCTATTGTTGTTCACATCATTCTCTCTCTTTAGTGAAACCATTTTGCCTCCACAAATTATATATAATTCGCAAAACTCTGGTTTGTTTTGATAAACATAGAACGATCCGCTTATCGCACTCTTCGATTTCCTGCATTACAAGAAACAAAAAATGCATTTTAGGGTTGAAACTGATAACTTTAGGTTTAAAGGAAAAAATATTACCAAGATGATGAAGATCTCATGAAAGTGATTCCCATGACGAGTTTTGTGATTCTAAGCTTTGAGATTAAATCTAAGATCAACACTTGAATTGAGTCATCTTGCTTCTCAACTTTGAGCAACTCTGCTTTCACCTGTAACTGTTAATAACATGAAAATTTTACATTTTAAGTCCCCAAGAAACATATTACTTGGATTTCTTACCCTGATAAAACAAAATTTACAGAAAAAGGACAAACCTTTCCACAAAAAGTAATGTATTTGGACAACAACTTGTCGATCTTTTGTTCCTCGTATTTCCTTAGAACTTGAAGCTTTTCCTCACTCACAGAACTCGCTGGAAGCTTCCCAACTATAAGAATCAAACACACATGTGAAAAATGGGTTTATATGATTAAAAGGAAAAGAAGAGGTGTGAAATGAGAAGAAAAAGATTATACAAGGGGTGTAAACAAAATCTTGAGAAATGTTGCAGAGATGAAGAAGAACAATGGAGATAGGTATGTTGTTCCATTTCTTTAAAGCCCAATGAATCGTCTTGTGACCTTCTTGTACATCGTTTCCTACAGCAATATATACTTTCTCCATTCTTGATCCTAATTCTGCTTCTTCTTCCAATTCTTGATTCTTTATTTCCTCCATCTTCTTCTAATTCTTGAGGATGATCGTTTTGTGTTTTGTTCAAAGACAAGAGTTTTGTTCTTGTTTTTATGTTAATTGTGATCTGAGAGATAAAAGATTATTGACTTTTTCTATCTTGTTTAGTTGACTACGGAAACAGGTGATTTTTCATCTATCTTTAATTATTAATAAATGGTGAAGTGATAATACTCGAAATATGGAAATAAATGATTATTTCAACTAAATTTTTAAGTATAATTGAGGAGAAGAAAATTCTCGAGACGTGTTAGCTTGTAACATGTCGGGTGACCAAGCATAAGTATCCAATTAGGGTTTTCAAAAGCTTCATTTTCTTTCTCATTAGCTATTGTAAACTAATCCCAAAGTTTAATTGACTTTTTTTTGTATTGCTATTGGAGAATGAAACTTTTCTCTCACATTAACAAGATGTTGTGAGACTATAAGAAGACTCTTTTTAAACAAATCTTGCTCCTTTCAGTTTATCCATCTCTTGGAATTCTTGCCTTCCTTTGATTTATGTTTAGCTTTACAAAACAAAATATAGGTCTCTTGTAGAATACGAGGTTATGACAAAATATAGACAAAGCAAAAAGGTTAGAGAAAGATTATTGATTAAGTAAGTAGGATAATTAATTAGAGAAGAGGACAAGGTCGCACACGTGCCGCTTCGGTCAAAGGTTCAAAAGCAGCTTATTATACACACAAGTTATTGGACCTCTCCACCCAAAAGCTTATCAATTCTTAAAACTCGATTAAACAAAAAGGCAACAACAAGCCCAAAAACTGTCAACACTTGAGGTATAAAAGGGTTCTCACTAAAGTAGAGTTTTAGGATACGAAAAAGAAAAATGCTCTAAACAAGACGACATTAGTCCTTAATTGCTGGGCCTCTCTTTTTTTATTTTTTTCGTAGCCTAATAATCATAGTGATGTACTTACTTATTAGTCACCTCGGCCCAGATATTTTGCGACCTTTGTTCCAGACAAAATCTATCTTCCGCTGTGCTAAACACCACCTCTCCACCTCCTAAAACATTATTTTTATTATATAGCTTTTACTAGTGAAAATGAAAACAAAGAACTAAATCTCTGGAACAAAAAACAAATGAAAACAAAGAACACGTACTTAAAATATTTCCTAGTTTCTGGTTATAGATACAATATACACATTTATCCCCCAAAAACAAAAAAAGATACAATATACACTTAAGTACACACTTTGTTTAAAAATGAGAATCAAAAGAAAATAACGTTTTTCAGATTATTATTATTTTCTAGTCCAAGTTAGTGATAACAAGAAAGTAAAAACAAAGTTATGATTAGACTGAGTTTTCGGTAGTTTATATCTGGTTCGGTTCAATTCACACTCAAATCTTAATTCCATTTTCCTATTTAGCTTAATGGATTAGATTGGTAAATCATTTCCCATAATGGTAAAAAATCTAGCATAGTTGATAGTCCATAACATAAAAAGAATATTAAGATTCCCTATCTATCTCCGCTTAAAATCTCTTAACCGTTTAAATTGTTTTACCACATCACATAATAATAACACTAATCAAACGATAAGTAATCAACAAATGATTTTTGTGTGGAGGCATCATTATCATTTGATTTTTTACAAATACAAAAAGCAAAAGTATCACTCTTTTTATAAAAACATCCTCTCCGGTTCCACGCCGGTCGACACAGAAGAAACCGTTCAACATTGTCTCTCTCTCTCTCTCTCTCTCTTTCATATCTCTTTTTTTACATTTTGGTAAATTTTTCCTTTTGAGTAAATTTAATATCATTTACTCTTTTTTTTTTTATCTCTTGTCTCATTAGGAAAAAATTTCTGTCTTTACAAGGAGCTTCTTTGCTTGTACATCATCTTCTTCTTCCTTCACATTCTCTTTAAATCTTTCGTACAAAATGCAAAACCTGAACCTCTAAAGCTCGAAAAAAGTTTAGAGACTAAACGCTTTTATCAGGTTTTACTTTTTTCTCCATCTTTTCTATTGGCTTTATTTAACAAGTTGCTTTCATTAAATCATCTTTTGTCATTTTCTGCAGATTTTTCAACTTGAAAAAAGTTACAATCTTTGATGGCTCCTCCAATGACGTTTTCTCTGTCACCAATTGAGATGTTGAAATCGCCACCTGATCAATCTCACTTCTCTTCTTACGACGCTTCTTCTACTCCTTATCTCATCGATAACTTCTATGGTAACAAAAATCCCTTTTTTCTTCTTTACCCAGTCTCTCTCTGTTAACCGACTTATCCTCTTTAATACTACAAGTTGCTGAGTTCAATCACATAGCCTCCTTTCTCCTCCTTTTCTCGGTTGCTGAATTTGTCTTTTTCCCGAGAAAGGCAAAACAAAAAAACAGAACAAAGCAAAAAAGATTGAATTTTTATACAAAAAAAAAAAAGAGATGTCTTTTGATTTGGTATATAAACTCTTCAACGTATGGGTTCTGTTTCTCAGTGAACTTTCTCGGGAAAATCTTTTGTTCCTAGTGTGTGTTGGTTAGTTAAAGTTGCTAACTTTTTGTTTGGTTTGGTTTAAGCTTTCAAAGAAGAAGCTGATATAGAAGCTGCTGCTTCAATGGCGGATTCAACAACTCTATCCACTTTTTTCGATTCGCAAATCCATTCTCAGACTCAGATTCCAAAGCTCGAAGATTTTCTTGGTGATTCCTTCGTTCGTTACTCTGATAACCAAACAGAGACACAAGACTCTTCTTCTCTCACTCGATTCTACGATCTACGTCACCACAACGTTGCCGGAGAAGTTACAGGGTTCTTCTCCGATCATCATCAGCACGATTTCAAGACGATAAACTCGGGATCAGAAATCGTCGATGACTCCACAACTTCCAACATCGGTGGGACTCATCTCTCTAGTCACGTGGTGGAGTCATCAACGGCGGCGGAGTTAGGGTTTAACAGTGGTGCAACCACCGGAGGAGCTTTGTCTCTAGGGGTTAACAACACTTCAGATCAACATTTAATAAGCTGTAACAATGGCGAGAGAGGTGAAAACAGCAACAAGAAGAAGACAGTGTCTAAGAAGGAAACATTGGATGATTCAAAGAAGAAGACTGTCGAAACATTGGGACAAAGAACTTCGATTTATCGTGGAGTCACCCGGTAATTTAATTATGAATTTATCATAGTTTATTTCATTTGCAGTTTTGATATATAGCTTGTGGGTGGGGAAAAAGATTGAAACTTTTGAGATTTTTGATTTCGGGTTTTGGAAATGGGATCTTATTGGATTTAACAAATCAAGTTAACTTTTTTTTTTATCGTGGGTAATGTAAATGCAATGTGGGGTGTATGAACTTGATTTGGTTTTTGGTTGTGGGTGGGAAAAAGATTTGATGTTTGATTTAAGAAAATTTGAATTGAGTTCAATTATATGTATGTGTTGATTGATGCAGACATAGATGGACTGGAAGATACGAAGCACATCTATGGGATAACAGCGGTAGGAGGGAAGGTCAAGCCAGAAAAGGACGTCAAGGTAATAATCTATCATTCTTTACGTTACTATGAGAAACAGTTTCTTGAATTATTTGCTTGATTACTATGTAACTTTTGGATGTTGGCATTTCAAGAACTACCAATTTAGCAATTATCAAGACTAATTTAGATAACCATGATCTCACTTTCATGTGTTAATCTATCTTTTGTATATATTTTGGTTATGCTCTAGCTTAAACCATTTTTCTTTTGTCTGAGTCTTTGATAGAAACTAGTTCTATTTGGGTTTTTAAACAAACATTTTTTTTTTTTTTTGGTCCTGGTTTAAACAAACATTTATTCTTTAACTTTTACTGGTTGGGGAAAACAAAAGGAGAGAGAAGCAGTACAAAGGTTTTGTCAAAGAAAGAGTGAAAAGAGAAATGCATGCAAAGGGTTTCAATAAATATTAAATTACTTAAAAGCTTTTCCTTTTAGGTGATATGTCTATCTCTTTATGATGAGACTTTCGTGTATGGGCATAATGTCAAGGAAATTTAAACAGAAAGGACTAACAATAATAGAATAGAATATGTAAAATACATTTGGTTGAGTTTTTCATTACCAGGGTGCCGCCATTTTTGTTCCTTGTCTTTATTAGAGCTATCTTTGAAAATCTCTCATTTCATCTTGTATGGGGACCCCAATGCTGATGCCTATATGATGCAATCTCTGTTTCTTGATTGACATATTTTTGGACCCACTTTTAAGTTTTGACCCTTTATTCCAGTGTTATTATATGACAATAATGATATGCATGCATAGATATATAGTAGACATGTGGTGTAAGACAGTAGACACTATGCATATATTCTTTTGCTAGCTTGTGTTTTTGGCGTTTTGGTTTGAAATTGAATGTTTGAAATCTTTCTGGTTAGATATTAGGAAGATTTTGTAGGGTTCTCTATGTCTACAATGTGTCAGATTGATTTGTGTCTTGTGTTCACATCACACACAAAAGCAAAGTGTGATGTGAAGTTGTGAACACATGAGAGGAATCTAGCTTTGACTCTAATCAAATCCTTCTTCCCCTTTTCTCATATTTTCTTTTTGTGGAACTATGAAATTACAATGATTTTGTTTGTAGTAATTAGTATATAGATTCAAGAACATGATAAGCTGTGAGCATTGTTAATGATTTTTGTGATGGCTAAACCTGTCCTTCTTTTTTTTACATGTACCTTGGTGTATGGTTTTCCATTCACATCGCGGCTTCAACAGTGTACTTAGGTAAGCAAAATAATACTCTATTGACAAATTTATCGAATTGATATATCGAGTTTGGCAAATGATGTCCATGTTTGATTGATTCAAGGTGGATATGACAAGGAAGATAGAGCAGCTAGAGCCTATGACTTGGCAGCTTTAAAATACTGGGGTCCTACTGCTACTACAAATTTTCCGGTTTATAATTCTTCTTTTTTGCTCTGTTTTGCTAACTTTGTTTCGATTGTTGGTTTACTCGTTACTTACCTTGTCATCGGTCTACTGATTATAGGTCGCGAGTTATTCAAAAGAACTTGAGGAAATGAATCACATGACCAAGCTAGAGTTTATTGCATCTCTTAGGAGGTGAGAGACCAAATCAAGATTGTTTATACATATATGTTCTTGATTTCAAAATGGGACTATTCCAACTTTTGGTTAATGTAAATGTTTTCAGGAAAAGCAGCGGTTTTTCGAGAGGAGCTTCCATGTATAGAGGTGTCACAAGGCATCACCAACAAGGTCGTTGGCAAGCAAGAATTGGCCGATGTCGCAGGAAACAAAGATCTTTACCTTGGAACCTTTGGTAAAACGTTATATCAGTAAACGACCTATTCTTTACCCGAAAAATCCAGTCATTGATTCGTATATATGTGTATAGCAACGGAAGAGGAAGCAGCAGAGGCTTATGACATTGCAGCCATAAAGTTCAGAGGAATCAACGCAGTAACTAACTTTGAGATGAACCGCTACGACGTTGAAGCAGTCATGAAAAGTTCTTTGCCTGTAGGAGGAGCAGCTGCGAAACGCCACAAACTCTCTCTTGAATCTCCTTCTTCATCATCCTCTGACCATAACCTCCAACAACAACATTTGCTTCCGTCATCCTCTTCCTCGGATCTAAACCCTAACTCAATCCCATGTGGCATTCCGTTTGAGTCTTCAGTTCTCTATCACCACCAGAACTTCTTCCAGCATTATCCTTTGGTTTCTGACTCTACAGTTCAAGTTCCTATGAACCAAGCTGAGTTTTTCTTATGGCCTAACCAGTCTTACTGAATCATATGGTTCGTTCTTGCTTAGACTTCTATTCACCGCGCTAACGGATGACCCGAGGCTTATCTTCTTGATTCTGTTTATAAGGATGGATCTTTGAAGTTCCTTTTTAACTGTAGGCTAAGACAGAAGTAGAGGGGATAAAAGTTGAAGAAGCTTAAAACTTTTGGGGGTCAATTTTGTAGTAATCTTCTTTTGTTAGGGGTGGATTATCGGTTTTATTACTTATTTTTTGTATGTAATCGGCCTATCAATATAACTCTGTTTCCATATGTTTGAACACTCTTTAAATCTGAGTCAAAAATATAATTTTGGGGTAAATGAGAGAGTTTACTAATTAAAGATCACAAACCGAATTAACGAAAAATAGCAGGGTACAAACTGAAATTCTATTAAGTTAATTAGATTAAAAAAAAAATGCCACGGCCTAGTTCTGTCTTATCTATCTCATTCATCATGACTCGTTTGCTGAACTCGGTTGGGCTTTTAAAGCTTCACTAAAAGCCCATTGGGCTTTCTCATTCAAGCCCTTGAATTCGTAACACTCCCCCAACAGGCGGAATAATCTCGCCGCATCTGTGCCGGCGGCGAGCCTCACCGCCTCTTCCAGATCTTCGATCGCTGAATCAATCCTCCGTCGCCGATTCACAGCCAGTTTCATCTCAGCTCTCTTTACAAGAGCATCGGCTCGTTCTCCAACCGAAAGCGACTTCAAACGCGGATAAGTCAGCGCCATATCGAACGATTTGAGAGCAGAAGTGTGGTGACCGAGCAGATCTAGAGCTAGGGCACGGACGATGTGACCGGCGGCATCATCTGGTGAAATCGAGATCACATTATCAGCTTCAGTGAGCGCCGCTTTGGCGAGAGACTTGAGATTGAGATTTTTTGGGTGTGGTTCGTGCTCGAGCGAGGAGACGTGAGGCTTGGATTAGTTGACGCTGGGTTTGGAGTGTGGCTCGGTGTTTGGTTCGGAATTTGGTTAGGCCTCGTTGAGAGAGATACTTAATCGCCCAGAACATAACCAAGGTTAGCACCAAAATTGCTCCTTGTATGATTGTTTCTGTTGTAGCCATTGTCTTTTTTTTTTTTTTTTGCTTTCTCTGAATCTCAGAAGACTAAACCAGTCATTATATACACTTTTATTTCTATCAAAATATTTTATTTTCTCCCTAAAAGCATTACAAGTTGTGATATTTATCATCTGAATTTTGAAATTTTACTAACAGTGACAGAGGGACAACCAGAATTTGAAGACAAAAGCCAAATTATACATACAACATTTTCCCTCTTTTGAAGATTTTTACAATGGAGAAGATGAAACAAAATAACAGACAAGAAAAAGGAAAAGAAAAACATTTTTGCTTCTTGTTGTTTCTTCTCTTTGGAAGGAGTTTTATTTAGGTATTGGTATCATCAGATTGCTTACTCCATTAAGAGTTGTCTATGTCGAGTGAGATCGTTAAGGTAAGAGGAAGAGGTGTGATCTAAGTCGCAATCGTCGAGACTCACTGTTCTTGCTCCACCTGGTTTTTGTTCTGCTAACTGGTTATCTCCGCGCAACAGCTGAACTAACTGCATCCAAAATCATAACAATTCATCATCCAAGTTGTAATGACAACAATAGCGAGACGGGTTTTGTTTTTCTGGAACATACCCGGTTCATATCAGGGCGCATAGTGGATACATGGTGTATGCACATGGAAGCTGTTTGCATCACTCGTTTCATCTCTGTTTCATCAAAGTCATTTATTAGTTGAGGATCAACTATTTCGTCCACGCTGTTCTTCTCCAAAAGAGGTTTTGCCTATATGAAAACATTCAAGCTATTTTAACTATTTTATTTAGAAGATGAACGATGCATAGAAAGAGAAGGGAAAGGGGGATCATTACCCACATAACTATGCTTTGCCGGCTAGCAGTATCAACAGCTCGACGACCAGTTATGATCTCTAGAAGCAATACACCAAACGCAAACACATCAGTCTTCTCGTCGACAATCCCATGCATAAAGTACTCTGGAGCTAGATATCTGCAAGATAAACAAAGCACCAGCCAGGTTTTTGGATTTGATCATCGAGAAAAAAAGGTTCACAGAAAGAGATTGTTGCTGTGGAAATTCTGTCTGACCCGAATGTGCCTTCGATAGGGAAAACAATGTGATGAGGCCAATTCTCTGGTAGCCACTTAGCTAGTCCAAAATCTGAAATCTGCAAAACCGATTCATATCGAATGCTCAGTATACAAAAAATTTGACTGCTTGTTGAATCAATCAATCAGTCAATACCTGAGCTTCGTAATCTTGAGAGAGCAAAATGTTGGAAGCTTTGATGTCTCGGTGAATAATCCGTCGAGGGCAATCATTATGAAGATAACTCAAACCATCAGCTATACCCAAAGCCACTTTATACCGTTTCTTCCAATCCAAACACTCCTCAGATCCTACATAAAGTTTAAAGAACATCAGCACAACAACAACGACTGAAACCAACCACAAGAAGGGATAGGATTTTTATACCAAAGAGTAGAGAAGCAAGACTGCCATGAGGAGAGTACTCAAGCACAAAATGCAAACCGCGATCACAACTGAAACCACGAAGCCTAGCTGCAGTTTGGATGGTTCACATGTGCGATTATCCCAAGCTCCGATAAGAAATCACTGACTCTTTCTTCTACTTCCTTTGCGTGTCTCGTCAGCTTCTTGATCGCCACAGTCTCTCCGTCCGGTAAAACACCTTTGTACACCTCCGCATGTCCTCCTTTCCCAATCATGTTCTCTAACAACAACAACAACAACAACAACAAAATCAAGAACCAATAAATCCCATGATCAAAACCTCTGTTTCACAAGGTTCGAAAAGTTTGGGGGTAATATCGTCTTTTAAAGATTTAAACTTTACCGGGATTAAAATTGTCGGTGGCAGCAACAAGCTCGTCGAAGGTGAAATTACGCCACGAAGGTTTAGCGACGAGGATTTGGTCACAATCGAATTCGTTTTCTGAACACGGAGATAGCTTCGGTTGTTTCCGCCGCATGTTTTTACGGGTAAGCTCGTAGCTAGCGAGGAGAGGAATAACAGAGAATCTCCTAATTGATTTCTTCTTGATAGATTCGATCATCTTGTTCCATTGATGAAAAGACGAAACGTTTGTAGGAGTTGTTGATAATGGCGACTGATGATTTATCAGGAGAACACGAGCTACAACTACTGCTGCTGCTGTTATCGGAATCTGAACTCATTGCCGGAATTTCAAGCACGCATCTTGGAGATGGATCTTCGATGGATAAGTCGTTTTTATGTAGCTCCGTCTCATGGCTTCCTTTGATCTTCTTCTCCATGTCTGCAATGAATCAAAAGGAAGATTTTTTTTTTTTGTTTCTAATTTCTCGATGCACATAAAGTGTTTGCGTAAATTCCTCAATAGGAAATAATAACAGAAAAAATGAAGATTTCTTATTTGGAGACAAAACCCAGAAAGGAAAAATCAGAAGATAAACAGAAACATGTCGGAAAATTAACGAATTCTTCTAAAATAGTCTAATTTTAGCGTTGTTACCTTCAACAGCCATAGCTTTGAGAAAAATTAACGTCCTTTGGGATTCTTCTAGGTAAGAAGCTTTAAAAAAATCCCTAAATATAAGTCAAAGCTTCATACAAATTTCACCCAGAAAACAAAAAGAACACAAAAGAGGGAAGCAGAGTAACATCTCCGAGATGGAGAAGGTGAAAGCTCTCAGAGCCGGAGAGAATCCGGAGAAACAGGGAAACAGAAGTTCTGTGTTTTTTGTTGTTGTCTCGTTAAAGAGTATCTTTAGAAATGGTTATTCTTAGAAGATTTTAGAGAAAGCAAAAAAAAGTTTGAAGAAGAAGAAGAAGAAAGACCAGGTTTTGATGACTGGTAATGGATTGGAATCTCTGCTATATTTATACAACTCCACCATGCAAGTCAAGTAAGCTTTTTTATAAGAATTTTAAAGATTATGAAAAATTTATGTCATTTTTTTTTGAAGAAGAAGAAGACGAAAAGATACGATGCCGTAACTAACGCCTTCCAACGAACAGACACGCCGACGGTTGAAATATCCAAAGCTAGTCAGTAGTCAATGGCATTTCCGTAATTACTGCGACTGATGTTTACTTTTATTTATTCAAAATTACATTTTCACTTAATTTTCATTTAATACTAGCCATGTGAAATACTGACATTGTTTTTTTTTTTCTTTAGTCTGGTCCAGAATTTCTTCATTAATGTGAACCTGCACGAAACTTATTTATGAAATGTCGTAGAATGTGAATCTTTCGAGGTAAGAGAATGCCATCTTATTTTCCGTTATCGTGGCGCCATCGTAACGAGTGTGGAAACATATGGCAATGAAGCTTGACCACCCTAGACCAAGCCATTGTTGGTGCTTGGCATCTTGATATATAATCAGTATATAATAAACTCGTAAACATCAAAATTAACACGTTTATACATATAGTTTTATAACTAAGTAAGATAGCATACATTTATGACATTGTTTTGGTTCACGACACGACAATCACGAGTCATCATGAAGCTTTGTAAAAAAAAAACTATATCCGAACCACATCAGGCGCGCAACATAGTTTATTAGTTGATTTGGTCCCACCACTTCATTAATAACTTAAGAATTACGTGAAATAAAAATTAATTTTTGATTTAGCTTACGTGGTACGATCATGATTATAAATTAGAAAGAAGTACGATATGCATGGAAGAAAGATCCAACCAAAACTATAAACATAGATGTGTCAAATTTCCAATACATATGTGTGGGTTTAGTAAAGTTGAGTCGTTAACTAACAAGACTTTTTTTGTTTTCTTTTGGGGTCAAACTGATAATTTCCTTAGCTTGAATCAGAGGAGAAGAAAACATTAAGCTACAAGACTTTTTCGATAATATTGATTTTCCTCTAAAAAATGTTAGTAGATTTGATGATTATTTGTTGAAGTCTTTTTTTTAGCTTTGTTATGACAAAAGCGATTTTCTTTACGTGTATATTATTTGTTGTAATATTATCTAGACAAGCACATATAAAAACAAGAAGTTAAGTGAAGTTGTTGCTGCAAAAAATTATCTTTTAGCCTTTGGTGAAATGAGATGATTAGTTAATTGGTAATTTCATTGAGAAAGGTGATAACGAGAGAAAAAGAGGTTTCTTGTATAGTGGGTGAACTAAACCCCTTAACTAATTTTGACTCTCCAAATGTAATCTCTTTCGATCTCTTAATTGGGACCCAAAGTCCAAATCAAAAAGACCACCAAACTCACCAATGTCAAGTTCTATCGAAGAAGTCAGTCTAACCGATTTCATTCTCACTTAAACAGTCATAAACACTAGCTCTCCTGTTCAATCCGAAATTCAGTTATGTTTTTTAGTTGACTTTTGGTTTAGTTTTTCATTTACTGGTTTAGATCAAATAGTAATCAAAGATTCAAATCTATCAACGTAAAACACAATTGCGTTATGATCGTAATTTTCTCATATTATTGTTCAATTGCATTACAACAAATTAAAAGAAAAATGGAAAAGCGTTACGTGTAAACTATGAATTAAATGATAAACTAAGAGGCGATCACTTAATCCAACAACGAATTAGAGAGTAGTATTTAGTAAAACGCAAACATGTCATATACTCGTATATAAAAATCTAACCGAACCACAACGATAGTGGATGTGACATGAAAGTGTTTACGTCTACATGGAAAATAGTTATCGTCATTAACTGAAAAGACGAACATTAAGGTTATTAAATAACAAAGATATTGTTATCATAAGATCAAATCAATTATCTTATCAAATAAATTAACTAATTAAATGATCATCGTATTCATATAATCTCCAATTCTCCATCAACGACTCGAGTATCCTAAAATTAATGACTAATAAAACTTATATATATTTAAATTGGTTCATAACCAGATGCTCAATAGGCGCCTGTAGCTCAGTGGATAGAGCGTCTGTTTCCTAAGCAGAAGGCCGTAGGTTCGACCCCTACCTGGCGCGTTAAATATTTAAAATCAATATTTTTTAATTTTGTTTTACTGGGCAAAATAAATGGGCCTTATTAGTCTAAGCCCATTATCGATAAACAAAAACAGACTCAGGCCGACAAACTTAGACGGAAAAATTAACGAGACAATGGCACTGCTCGGCGACGACGGTCGTGGCTTCGATCTAGCGAGAAGACTTGAACTTTCCGGCGTGTGGCGGACATGGCTCGGCGACTCTATTTACTCTTCGTTCCACCCTTACCTTTCTTCTCCTTCTACCTGGGAAGCTTTTATGCGCGTTGATGAATCCAAGTCTAGGGCTCAGATTCAGCTCCAGCTCCGCGTTCGTGCTCTCTTATTCGATAAAGCCACCGTCTCTCTCTTCCTCCGATCCAATACAATTGCCGCTTCATCATCATCCTCTGCTTCCATTCTTGATGTTTCTTCCGTCGCCAAGCTCAATCCTAATTGTAATGTTTATTTCCTTCTTTGGAGCTTTGTTTTATGCCAATTTCAAGTGTATTGAACTGTGAGGTTTTGTTTTTGCTTCGCTCTCAGATTTACAGCTACACGGAGATGATGTGTACTACACGTTGGAGAATGCTTCTCTTGAAAGTGGGTTTCAACGAGACGGAGGGATTCGCCACAATCCGAGCTTAACCAAGGTGATTCAAGGAGCTCTCGTTATATAAATTTTGATTCGAAAGGTTTCACCTTTGGATAATTCTGAATCACTAAATGCTAGTTTTATGTGCATCTGTTAATTTCTCTGTTGTGATGTTTTTTTTCAGAGCCTATCGAAGTCAAGTTTTACCTCTGGGACGAGAGGTAGTGAGTCTGATTTTAGTAATCTTTCTCAAAGGTCGAGGTTTGAGGAGTTACCGGACACTTGGTACACTCAGTTTATTTCAAGGTATGGTTTTAAGTATGGAATGTCTGTTGGAGGACAAGAATCTGATAAACGCACACCTGAAGGAATGTCTACTTACCTTAGAGTTGTGGATACTCATAAGAGAAAGCGTGCACCTTTTTTAGAAGATCGAAGTTTAGCTCATATGAGTAGATCTAGTACACATCCAAGTTCTGGCTTTGATGGAAGTAGTTCAGAAGATGATATACTTTTTCTTCCGGAGACAATGTTTAGAATGAACTGTGTACCTGAGACTGCCCTTTCGCCGGTTACTAGAACACAAGACAACTTAAAAACAGAGTTCTATGGGGTACTTGATACTTTACCACAAGTTACTACCAGGAGTCATATCATGATCGAGAGGCTTGGGATGATGCCTGAGTACCATAGGATGGAAGATAGAGGAGTTTTACGCCGTAGAAAAGCTGAAAAATTGGGTTTTAGTGACGATCAAGCAACTCTGGTGTCACGGAAAGTTGTTGCACGCATGCTTCTGACTATGGGATTTGAAGGTGCAACGGAGGTTCCGATTGATGTCTTCTCTCAGTTGGTTAGCCGACATATGAGTAAATTAGGCCATATTTTGAAGCTTCTCACTGACAGTTACAAAAAAGAGTGTTCAGCAATGCAGTTGATTAAGATGTTCCTTAATACTACGGGATATAGGTCAGTTTTTCAGTGGTTTTACCTAATTCAACTGATCTATGAAGATTCATCTTTTTCTTAAGGAAGTCTGAAATCTTTAGATGTTTCCTATCATATATGTTTTCCCTTTCATAGCTATCTCCTCTAGACACCTCTGAAAAAACTTCAAATTTTAGTTTTGTTCATGTGATTAAACTTGACGTCTTTTTCCAGTAATCTTGGGAGTTTAGCGGAGCTTGTTAAGGATGGTATTAGGAATCATCCTCCCCAAAATCAGAAACAACCACAAGTGCTTCAGCAACAGTTACATCTGCAGCAACAAGCTTCACTCCGGTTACCGCAACAAGTATGTACATAATTGTTGTTGTTGCACTTATCATTTAGCATTGCAATTGATTTTGTTTGTTTGTGAAGCGATCATAGAAATGGATAGTTATTTTCTTGGGTTTAACTTCAGTGAGTTCTTGATTCGATTTTATTGCAGATTCAGAGGCAAATGCATCCACAGATGCAGCAAATGGTTAATCCCCAAAACTTTCAGCAGCAGCAACAGCTAGAAAGAATGCGTAGGCGTCCAGTTACATCACCGCGACCCAACATGGATATGGAAAAGGATCGGCCGCTGGTTCAGGTAAAGCTAGAGAATCCTTCTGAAATGGCAGTAGATGGGAATTCCTTCAACCCTATGAACCCAAGACACCAGCAACAGATACAGCAGCAACTAAGACAGCAACAGATTGCTGCCATGTCGACTATGCAACAACAGCCGGGCTATAACCAATTCAGGCAATTGGCTTCAATGCAAATTCCACAAATGCAAACACCGTAAGTAACTCCTCGAAACTCAAAAACATGGTTCCATACCTAGTCGACATGTCTTGAAAGTTATGTCCCCATTCTATTTGCAGTACACCAGGAACAGTCAGGGCTCAACCCGTTAAGGTTGAAGGATTCGAACAACTAATGGGAGGGGATTCTTCTCTTAAACATGAGTCGGATGATAAGCTGAGATCTCCACCTACCAAATAGCATTATGTACAGAGACAAACTACCCTGACCAAGGTACTTATTTGTGTTGTACGTGTACACAAAGCCCTGTTAGTTTAACTTTTTGGGTCAATGTATTTATCTGATATTTCATCTAAGTTTAATTATCATCATGTGTAAAAGGGAGAATCGGATTATAGGTTGACATCTTTTGGAATCATAAAGTTTTTGATTATTGTTTGAAGAACATTTGTTATTACTTATTACATTAATTGTGCCTTATTTTCTCAACTCTTATTACACATCTCGCTGACGTTGACAGAGAAGACAGTAAACTTCTTCATTATTTGCTATACACCCCAACTCTAGGATTCTCCAGAAACTCGATAAAACCATCCGCATACTGATCTTGCAATCTCTTGTTCCCGAATATTTTCTTTTGCTGAGATGCAGCATTGTTTCTGTAGATCTTTCCTTCTTCTTCCACAACAACTTGTCTGATTGTCTCTGCCACAGAAGCACTCGTGAACAACCCGTCTCGCTCATTCCTTGGAATCTCCAAGCCTATATTCATCCCACAAAGAAACCTAGCCACTAGCGGCTGGTCTAGGTTACATGGAAACATTATCAAAGGGACACCAAAGCTAAGCCCTTCCACAGCTGATCCCCACCCACAATGAGTAACAAACCCACCAACTGAACCATGGCTCAGTATCTTGGTCTGAGGTACCCACTTGGTCCAAATGACTCCATGCTCTTTGACTCTCTCTTCGAACCCATCAGGTAGTAGCTTAGAAGCTCCGGTCCTCTTCCTTAGCGTCCAAAAGAAAGGTAACCCGCAAAGCTCCAACCCATGAGCTAAACCGTGAATCTCTTCGTTACTAACGGTCACTTCGGTTCCTAAGGCTACATAAACCACAGACTTTGCTTGCTGTCTGTCTAGCCATTCTCTGATGTCTAACCATGTTCCCTCGTTATCTGCATCATCCATTGGTGTAGCCGGAAGTAAACCGATTGGAATCACAGGCTTTCCTTGGAGTTTACTGAGCAATTGAATCCACTCAGGTTCGAGTTCTATACATGATCTAATCGCAATAGCCTCAGAGCCAACGTAAGCTAAACCCAATCTATAGTTATCGTTCAATTCGACTCCGGTTACACCTGCCGTGGGATACTCCATGATCCTCCTAGCCTCAAAGAGACGGTAAACTATGTTGGTCTCAAACGGGACCCATGGTGGAGGCACGATAAGATCTTCAGCAGTCTTTCGAGGGTCATGACCATGAATCATGATTAATGCTGGCCCACTGATGATGACGATGGAAGCTGCGTTGAACGTGCAGAAAATGGCTCGTCTCACGCCGAGCTTCTCAGCGATAGGTGGGACCCAATGGTGCAAGATATCATACACTATCCAGTTTGGTTTGGAAGCTTCTAAAAACTCTGAGAAAGCTTCAGAAAGCCCATCAAACGCTTTCTTGAGATAAGCTATGTGAGTCTCTGGGACATCAGTGGTGGCCTCAGCGTTCTCTGGGAGGTGGTCGACGGCGTGACTTAACGGCAAAGACACGAAATTTACGGAAAGGTCGGAGGATATATTGGGAAGACGTGAAATGTTACGAGCTGTGGAGATGAAGGACACGGTATGGCCTTTCCTTGCTATGAGCTTTGAGAGTTGCAAGTAAGGAATCATATGGCCTAAAGCTAACCATGGGAACACTGCAACATGAAGCTTCGGTTTTGGCTCGGCCATGGTCTGTCTCTTTATTGATAAACAAACAAGACCATGACTGATTCTATAAAGCTTTTCTTCTTCTTCTTCTTCTTCTTCTTCTTCTTCTTCTTCTTCTTCTTCTTCTTCTTCTTCTGTTTGAACATCTGGTAGTCATTAATGGCGGCTGTGTAGATGTACTCTCGACACATCAAAACTCCATCTGTCATGGGTCTTTGGAATCACGCAGTACCAAATATGTTTTTTTTGAAAAGTGTGAATCTTTTTTTTTTCTTTTTTTTTTGATAACAGTGTGAATCTTCTTTTATATTGTATGAAAGTGTAAGAAGATGAAAAAAAAAAGAATTTGGTTTTAATATCAAAGGAAAACAATAATCCTCTGGGCTGAAAAAAATACAACAGCCTCCGACCTCCTCGGACGTCTACAAACATCAAAGCCAACATTGGTCTGTTTTTCATGTATTTGATCTACTCTGCAAAGGAGAATCAATGCATCAACTATAAGCAACAGAAGACAAAAATGTTGGCTGGAGTTAAAAAATGTCAGGTTGCATACCAAATAAACAAAAAAAGCTCAACGAGGTTGCTTCAAGGGCCTTCTCTTCAAGCAAAAAGACAACTCAGTTAAAGAATTTACATCTGCAGACTGCAGTGGCTTAATAAGTAAATAGTGAGCCTTTGACTGCAGTATTCACTCCTTATTTGTGTCTCAAAGTCAAAAATCCAAGATGAATCGGAGAACGACTATGCCATGGTTTGACCCTGAATACAAGTAAATCAAATTTCAGTAATGAGAGATTAGAGCGTGAAATGGAATGGTAATGGGCTAATGGCCACACATTTCAGCCAAAAAGTATGAATATTTGTGCACTACCTTATTGAATGACCTGTAGCAATATCACAAGTACTTGCAGATTTTTCAGGTCGAGTCATGGATCCAAAGAATCTGAGTTCCATAGAATTGCATGATCTGCTGGCAAGTTGATATAATATTAGCCCCTTTATATGCTAACAGGAGGTCCTTCGATTAGCAGTGAATATGTCTGTGAGCTAAACTTGCAGCCATTTTTCTCCATAACGTTGAATAGTTCATAAAATGCCTCTACAAGTCCCTGCTTCCCCACGCCATCAATGATGATCTTCCAAGCTAATTCATCGTTATAATAACCACATTGAACCAAATTCTGGAAAACCGAAGTCCCTCTCTCTTTTTCTCCTTTCTTATATAACCCGCAAATCAAGATTTTGCAAGACTCTAGTTGCGGTAAGTGACCAACACAAATCATATCATCTACAAACTTTGCTGCTTCGTTATGCTTTTGCAGCTTGCAGCAACAGCTAAGTAGCGCATTGAAAACCAACTCACTAGGAGATATTCCTTCGTTTTGTTGCATGTGGTCAAACACCTTTTCCGCAACTCTGAGATTCCCAGTTTCACAGATCCCTAGTATCAGTTGCTCATAGGATTTGGCGTTGGGAGTTACACCATGTTCAACCATCTTCTCAAGAAGCTCAACAACAATATCAAACTCCACCATATTAGACATCACACAGACTCCTGGTTCACCGCCTTTCACTTTTCCATATTTCATCTCTAACAGATGTTTGATCAGAGACAAAAACGTATGTGGAGAAGGTTCACAACCAGTATCACGCATGCGCTTGAGGACATCAAATGCGGAATTTGTCTGCCCTAGATCTCCATAACCTTTAATCAGAGAAGAATAAGTGAACAAATCTGGGGAAACACCATTTTCTTTCATCTTTGCCACCATATCCTCAGCGTCTTGCAGTCTCCCTTCTCTACAATAGGTTTGAATAAATGTTGTGTAAGTATGTGCATCGGGCTTTGTTCCAGAGGACAACATTTGCTGAAAACGTCTATAAGCATGATCAAAATCCCCGTCCTTTAGCAATCTATGAATCAATATTGTATCTGTACTAACTGTAGGCTGTAGATCAATCTTCACCATTTTTTCCTCCAACAACGTTGCTTCTTTCAATTTTCCATCGGTACATAACCCATGAATCAGAGCATTAAAAGTCAACGAATTTGGCAAGCAATTCTTACTCAACATTTTCTCAAGCATAATATGAGCTCCGTCTACTTTACCCGCCTTGCAGTATCCATCAATCAATGCAGTGTACATCACCACATTTGGATTTACACCTTTCTGCTCGAGAGAATCAAACAGGTTGCAGGCTTCTTCCACTCGTTTGCTTTTACACAAAGAATCTATCATACTAGTATATGTCCACTGGTCTGGAACTAATCCTCTATCATTCATCAAACTAAGTAATCTATATGCACTATCAAAATTACCAGATCTACACTGCTCATCAATTAATGAATTGTAGGTGACCACATCTGGAAGCACTTTACGCTCCAGCATTTTATTAAGCACTCCCATTGCTTTGTGCACATTCCTTTTACAATACCCCTTTATCAACTCATTGTACGTGCGTGTATTCGGACTGAGGTTACGTGATTCCATCAACTCCACAACGTCTAGCGCATCTTCAATCATCCCCCGCTTACAATACCCATTAATCAATGCATTGTAAGTGATTACATTTGGCATCAACCCTTTCTCTAGCATCTGATCTAGCAACTCTCTTGCTTTCTCGAGCTTAAATTGACTGCATAAACTATCAATTAACACGGTATACGTGTGAGTATTCGGCTTAATGCCTTTCTCTTCCATCTCCTTAACCAAGTTAAGAGCTTCAGACTTCCGTTCTGATCCACACAAAGCCTTTATAAGAACTGTATAAGTACGAACTGTTGGATAACAGTCGTCATCCTTCATTTTCACAAACAAGTCCATCGCTTCATCGATCCTTCTCTCTACACAAAGACCATGTATAAGGTGAGTGTAAGCAACCTCATTTCTACGAAAACCCTTCAAAGGCATCTCCTTAAAGACCTTAAAAGCAGAATCTAAATCCTTCCTTTGACAATAGCCCATAATCAAAGACGTATATGTGAAAAAATCAGGATCCAACCCAGCCTCAACTATCTTACTCACATACTGATTCGCCTCTTCCACATTACCCACCTTGCAATACCCATTAACCATTTTATTATATGTGTAAATGTTGGGACAAACCTTATCCTCCAACATTTCCAAATAAACCTGCTTCATTTCATCGACCAATCCAAATCTAGCCAACGAATTCAACAATGTGTTGTAACACCCAATAATAAGCTTATACTTAAGCTCAAAGCTTTCGTCTTTATTCATCTTCCTACACAAATCCAAAACAAACAAAATGTCTGCCACTGAATCACAGCTCTTAATCATCAATAACCTGATCTTAAACACAACACCCACATATCCATTGTTGATGAGAAGAGTAAGAAGGGACGCATAGGAATATACACTGTGCTTGTATCTCGGATTCTGTGAGATCCAATGAGAGAAATTAAGAGCTGTTTTGGGATCTAGATCGAGTGAGAACAGTGAAGAGACGTGAGAAGGGCTTATCGCAGGAACCATTGATTTCAAGGACGGACATTTATGCCAATTGGGTTTAGAGAGAATTGAGAGTAGACGGTGTGGAACACTCGTTGGATCAGATTCGTCCTCTGGAAGATTGCGAATCAGCGGAGACACCGAGCAAAATTGCCGGCGAGTGAGCGGAGAAGGAACCGTAACATCCGTCGAGAATTTCTTCTTCAGGACTTCGACGGCGGAGATTGAACCAGTCAAACCCGATTCGCACCGAGGTTGTATTCGACGGATCATCGATGATCCGTGGCGTTTTGGATCTTTCCGATGATGAAAACACAGAGAAGAGAAAAGGAGGAAACTTTGCATAAATTTCCAGAACAGGGAGGGTTTATCTAATGGGCCTTACTGGGCTGTTATATGTTCAAGTTCAAAACCAGTATGGGCCTTAGAGACCTTTAATGGGCCGATATGAGCTACACTGAAACAATGATCGGAGGAAAAATGCGCCGGCGATGAGAAGAGATTATAACGGCGGATTGATCGCCTTTTCGAGATTTTTCAGCTTCTTTGCTACCAGAACATGCTCACCGGAATTATCTATCAATAGCCAGTTTAGGCTTCTCTGCACCACTTGTGACTCCTTGACAACGACGCACACTTTCTCTCAGCTTCTCAGACAATGCATAGACGAAAGATCGATATCGGGAATCAAGAATATCCAAGCCCAGATGCTCAAATCAGGTTTTCCAGTCGAACTTTCCGGCAGCAAACTCGTCGACGCGAGTTTAAAATGTGGCGAGATCGGTTACGCACGCCAGGTGTTCGATGGAATGCCTGACAGACATATTGTAACATGGAACTCTCTAATTGCTTATTACATTAAGCACAGAAGAAGCAAGGAAGCTGTTGATATGTATAGATTGATGATCACGAATAATGTTTTGCCAGATGAGTACACGTTGTCTAGTGTTTTCAAGGCGTTTTCAGATTTGGGTCTTGAGAAGGAAGCACAGAGAAGCCACGGACTTGCTGTGATTCTGGGTTTGGAAGTCTCGAACGTGTTTGTGGGAAGTGCCCTTGTGGATATGTATGTAAAGTTTGGTAAAACGAGGGAAGCTAAGTTAGTATTGGACCGTGTGGAGGAGAAAGATGTAGTTTTGATCACAGCTTTGATTGTTGGTTACTCGCAGAAGGGTGAAGATACTGAAGCTGTGAAGGCATTTCAAAGTATGTTGGTTGAGAAAGTTCAGCCTAACGAGTATACTTACGCTAGTGTATTGATATCTTGTGGAAACTTAAAGGATATAGGTAATGGCAAGTTGATTCATGGACTTATGGTCAAGTCCGGTTTTGAGTCTGCGCTTGCTTCACAAACTTCTCTTCTTACAATGTATTTGAGGTGCAGTTTAGTCGATGATTCCTTGCGGGTTTTCCAGTGTATTAAGTACCCAAATCAGGTAACTTGGACGTCTCTTATATCAGGGCTTGTCCAAAACGGTAGAGAAGAGATGGCTCTAATCGAATTTAGAAAAATGATGCGTGATTCAGTCAAGCCCAACTCTTTTACATTGTCAAGTGCTCTCAGGGGGTGTTCGAATCTCGCAATGTTTGAAGAAGGCAGACAGATTCATGTTATAGTGAGTAAATATGGTTTTGATAGAGATAAGTATGCCGGATCAGGGCTCATTGATTTATATGGGAAATGTGGATGCTCAGACATGGCAAGGTTGGTTTTTGATACCTTGAGTGAAGTTGATGTTATATCTTTGAACACAATGATATATAGTTATGCACAGAACGGTTTTGGACGCGAAGCACTTGAGTTGTTTGAGAGAATGATAAATCTTGGACTGCAGCCGAACGATGTAACAGTCTTGAGCGTACTCTTGGCTTGTAATAACTCTGGATTAGTTGAGGAAGGTTGCGAACTCTTTGACTCCTTTAGAAAGGATAATATCATGTTAACGAATGATCATTATGCTTGTATGGTAGATATGTTTGGACGGGCAGGGAGATTAGAGGAAGCGGAAATGCTTATAATCGAGGTAATAAACCCAGATTTGGTTCTGTGGAGGACGCTGCTTAGTGCTTGTAAAGTTCATAGAAAGGTAGAAATGGCAGAGCGGATAACTAGAAAAATCCTAGAGATATCACCTGGAGATGAAGGAACTCTCATTCTAATGTCAAATCTCTACGCATCCACTGGGAAATGGAACAGGGTGATTGAGATGAAGAGCAAAATGAAGGAGATGAAACTAAAGAAGAATCCAGCAATGAGTTGGGTTGAAATCGATAAAGAGACGCATACATTCATGGCTGGAGATTTGTTTTCGCATCCAAACTCTGAGCAGATTCTTGAAAAACTCGAAGAGCTGATTAAGAATGCTAAAGATTTAGGATATGTTGAAGACAAAAGCTGTGTGTTTCAAGACATGGAGGAGACTGCAAAAGAGAGATCTCTGCATCAACATAGCGAAAAACTCGCCATAGCTTTCGCGGTTTGGAGAAATGTTGGTGGAAGTATAAGGATTCTAAAGAACCTTAGAGTTTGTGTTGATTGTCACAGTTGGATCAAGATCGTGTCAAGAGTTATAAAGAGAGAAATTATCTGTAGAGATTCAAAGAGGTTTCATCATTTTAGAGATGGGTCTTGTTCGTGTGGGGATTATTGGTAAAAGTATGGGTTTGTATTCGGCCCAAGCCCGTTTCTTCTGAACTAGTGAAATAGATATAAAGCCCAACATTGTAATCTTGTATTAAAAAAAAGGAAACTTTGAAATCCCAAACACGGTTTATAAATAGATAATAAATTTACTGATATACGAAAACTAACCGGATTTTGGATTCAGTATTAGTCGTTAAAAATTCTAAATATTCTAATTGTTTTCACATTATCGCTATGTAGATTTAGTATTCAAGTTTTTAATTCGGATTTTTATAATAGTTTTTGATATTTTCATATGTTCTCTAAACTTAAGTCAAGTGATTTATTTTTAATTCAGGCATTTAGAAAGAGAAAAATAACCCACTATTAATCAATTATTAATGGCATAGTTGGCAAAAATTAATAGTTGGAGCTAAAGTCGAATTTGAAATAAAGAGATATATAAACCTTTTTGAATCTAAACATTTTGGACTTTTTGTGTTGCTATATATAACTCCAAAAAACAATCGTTTAAAATCACTATATAATTTCGGTTACCAAGAAGAAAAAGGAAATGATGTGATAGAAAACATGTAACTCGTTTCGTGTTGGAAGTTTTCTTCCTTTATTTTTCATCATTACCAAAAGACGTTATTTTGTGATGAGGTTATGACAAATTTCGTATTAGTGTTCGGTTCGATGGCCAAATGTACAAAACTTGATTCGAAAGAAAAGCAAAAGCTGCAACATTAGCTTCCGTTTTGTTTACTCTTTTGGAGTAACAATCTAAACCTTTTCTACTTTTTTTTCCTTATTGCCAAATGGAATGATTTACTTCCTTATTCACCCACTTTAGTTCACATACATGCATGTGTGCGCATAACTGATAAATTTAATGAGAATAAAATCATAAATATGTTTTTTCTATCAAAGATAAATTTGTTTAAAAATAATTATTGTTAACTTTCCTAAGAATAATTAAGTTACAATATGTATAGATTTAATCTTTACACCTGAAATTGTTGCATTTGAGTAGGGCATACATTAATTTAACCATCTCTCAATGTAAAAATGAAAAAAATAATATAAAGGCGATAGAAAATATCGGTAAAATATCGAACATATGCTTCACTATCTCCTCCACTCACGAGTCTTAATCGTGAGCTTCCTGGCAATTGGTTTAGATTGTTGTTGCAAAGCCGTGAAATAGCGACATATTAAATCTACTCATATTGTATGATACAAAAGCAGTTACATCACTTTTTTATTCACATTCATCATGCTCCTTCGCCCTCTATCCATTTCATTAAATCATCAAAATATTTCTATGATTATTATTTATTTATTTATTTATTTTTTGGTAGGCTATTTTATTTTATTATATTACACTATATAAAGTCAGTTATTTGAAATCAATGCAATTAAATTTTAGCTTTTTATTTATCTAGTGCGGGTTCATGGTCGTCGACCAAAAGCAATAAAAGGTTAATTCTTGATCTTTTTATTACCTTTTAAGGATAGATAAATAATAAAGATGTGTCAAAGAGAAGAAAACAAAAAGTTAGGATATCCGAAAGATAATGTTCTTAGGAAGAAATCGTATAAAGCAAACCTACAAATGATGAGTCTTAAAAAAGCTTAAAAGGATATTGTAGTATGCAAAAGTGCCAACATTGGCTTTTAAGAGATCGAAACTTTGTAAAAGAAAGTGATCGGAACCTAAAAAAAGTAATTCTTATAGATGCGTGTGTATATATGTAGATCATTAATTCTATAGATAATATAAAAATAACTGAGAAGAAACAAAAATTGAAAGAATTATAGTCTTGTAAATATTTTATATAACATAGCTTTGTAACTTTGTACCATTAAATGGTAAAAGACTGATTACATAGTGGGACCGCAATTTCTTTTAGAGTCAAAGTATGTAATTGAGTAAAGAACGTAATAGTTGCATGCATGGCTAAAAATAAACAGATAAAACAAGGAAAGTAAAAACTTTTTAGATTAGTGTTTACGAAGTAGTAATATTCTTCTAGAACCCACAAATTGACAAAAATGAATTAAGACGTGTCTTTTCTCTTTTAGAAGTCCAAAATTCAAATTAGTAAAAAAAAAATCCCAAAATCAAATTAAGCGTTAGAATTTAACAGACTCATTATCATTCTACACTTGTATCTTAGACTATAGTGTTTAAGAAACTTCAGTGTGTAAAAAAAAAACTTCAGTGTTGGGTATGTTTTTGACAGTGTAACGCAATAGTTGAAACAATTAAGTTTAGTCCGTTTTCACATGCCTACTTATGCATTAGTTCTTGCAGACCTTGCTCTAGAGATCAGTGATAAGATGTACATAGTACACATGCCTACATAAACAAACATATACGTATATATGCATGCGTGTTGATATTATGTAGAGAGAAGCTAAAGATGGGGCTAACGAGAGACTGCAACAGAAGGCTAAGGCCTGATCTCTATGTTTCACATAGACTCGACATAGTTCAGTGTCTACTAAGATGCTATATGCTCATACATATTAATTAGACCACACTTCACTGACATATTTTTAATGTAACATCAATCTATATTTTCAATTTACATTATTTTTTCACTTGGGTATGACATATGATGTGGATGGTCAATTATTCTGCTTGGCTCAATGTCTGTATAATTATGCTCAGTTAAAACAAATAAAAATTCCAGTAGACTTATTTAAAGGTACACTATGATCAATCCCAAGGAGACATTATCTGTTAACTGAAAATGACTTTTTGAAGAAAATAATTTGAATTATAATTAACATTGGGATAACAACCATCCAATAAGTCATTAAGTGAACATTTCACCACCAAACCAAGAGCTTTTCAATAATTAAACACAGTAAGTTCTGTTCCAACTTTATAATAATATCAATACAGACAAATCACCAATATATAGAATATATTATGTAAGTATCTCTCTCCATTCTTGAATATCGCCCCCAATGTTGTTTTTTGTTTACAAATTGAAACTTAAAGTACTAAAATAGTAACCAACAACGACAACAAAAAGAGCACCAAAAAAAAAAACTACAAACATAAATAGTTTTGGCATTACATCACAACACACATAACAAATATATATAAAATTATAGATATATATATAGTTTCTTAAACTTACCAAGAATCAAGGCAAAGCATTATAATGATTAAGATCAGTCCAAGCTTGAATTCCATTGTTCCATTCACTTCCTTCTCCTGTATTAGCATTATTACTAATCACTCCTTCATTATCACTGTTATTACCAAAATACCACTCTGTCTGATTATCTCCTTTCTTCGTCGGAGACGACGGCGATGATGAGTTCACGATCTCAAGATTCCGATAAAGAATAGGTTGGGGCCTCTCCACAACAACAGTTTCTTCCTTAGAATTACCAAAAAGCATCGCCATCCTCTGTTGCTGAAGCCTCCAGTGTAAATCTTGGTTTAAACAACTCAAAGTCTCTATGGAAGAAGCTAAGTTCCCGTCGCTTGCTCCGGCGGTTGTGAAAGCCGTCGGTGAATGGTTGTTGTTGTAATCTCCAAAACCCATTAAGGATAAACCCGACCCGACATCAACGGGTGTGTTTTCTCGACCCGAGGAGATCATGGGCCTAAGATCAAGAACTTCTTGGTTATTCAAAAGTTGAAGATCGTTCATTTTGTTGAGAGATAATCCGGCGAGCTGAAAATCCATTGTTGTCGGAGGAGGGAAGAATTTGGATGAATCTTCCATGATTGAAGAGAAGAACCTCTGAGAAGAAGAAGACGAAGGAAGTGTGTTCATGGAGGAATTAGGTTTGATGGATTTTTTGGTTTTCCGGCAACCACCACCGATGGGAACGTTTCTTAAAGCGCCTCCACGTGTCCAGTAACGGCGACAAGATTTGCAGAAGTGACGAGGCTGAGAGAGACTGTAGTTGTTGTAGTAACAGAACTTTGTGTTTGGAGAGTTGCAGCGAGGGCATTTTAGGTTTTGTTGGTCTTGAGCGACGGAGGAAGACGGTGGTTTCTTGGTTTGGGATGTACCGGAGATACGGTGATCCGGTTTAGGAACTTGTTTGGGAGAGGGGAGATTGGTATGGGAGGACATGATGATGCTGATGGGAGGAGAGAAAAATGAAGGAAGAAAAAAAGTTTGAGGTCCTTTTTCGATTTCTTGCTTTGAATGAAATAAGTAAAGTAGGAGAGGAGAGAGAGAACAGTCGGTAAAAGGGTTTCGTATGGTTTATATTTATATATAAAATATTGAATATATATGTGAGAATATGGGGTTATGTATTGTCGCGTTTGTGTGTAAAAAGTTTCTTTGGCATAATTCTACATAGATATTTTATTTATGTGAAGTAAATGAAAAAAGTGTTTTGTCTTAAAAAAGTTGGAGAGACTTTGATTACTTAAATTTTTTAAAAATGAAGTGTTTTAATCACTTTTGTTTCAAAAAAAAAAAGTGTTTTAATGACTAAATACATTAACTACATTAATGAAACTATAATATTTAGTGTTTTGTTATTAATTAGTTTTCAAATTTTGATTAGTAAAAGTTAATTGCAAAAATAAGTTTACATGACAGTTGTAGCATACATGATTATTTGATATAGTCAAAATAACTTATATAATAACTGTTCATAAGGAAAATCACAATATTATTTGTGTTGTACATTGTGGTCTTCGTGTTCTTGTTTCTTTACACAGTTATAGCCTTGGATAATCGCAAACCGCCATTTTTATCAAAATTGTGGTGCTCTTTTATTACATTTGATTAAAATTCTTCATAAAATCTCCTTGTAGTTAATGTCTGTATATGTACATTGTACTTATGAAGGTCTAGAGAGAGAGAGAGAGAGAGAGAGAGAGAGAGAGAGAGAGAGGCATGAGAGAGAGATAATGGAGACAAAAGGAGAAGATGAGAGAGAGACATGAAGTGGCAGAAAAGACAGAAGAACATATATAACTGTGCAATTGATCGGAACAAATCGGATAGAATTTGTTATGTGTCTTGTTTCTATTGTTGAGGTAACGTTTTTTTTATATGTGTGAAGTGTGCACTGCACCATCTTTATACGTACATGCGTAGACTATATATTAACATATTTGTGTTATTTACAGTCACAAATGATGTTTTCTTCCTTTACATACAGCTATATACTTATAGCTGTCAAGCGTATGCAACTCTATTAAGGAAACCAAAACCATTGGAACAAAATTTACGAAACACATATATTTCGTTTTTCTTAATATATCTTGTATATTATTAGCGTTTACCAAGAAATCGAATAAATGGATAAGTATCAATTGTAGGCGTAATTCAGTGTGCATATATACTAACTGAAAATTTTGGATTTATATGAGTCCAAAACGTCAATCAAAGAGTAATTAGACCAAAACATACAATATGTAGTAATTTAAAGGAAATTAATTTGAGATAACGAATCTTGTAATCTAGAGAGCCTAATTAAGAAGAAGTAGGGTTTAATTAGGAAGAAAGTAACGTTAGGTTAACTCTCTGACATCTTTTTTGTAACCCGTTTCTAAAAACATTGTTTGTGTCGCTAATACATGTACATGCATGATTAAGTTCTCAATTAAAAGCCAAAGTGATTGACATATATGTTCAAAGTGAACTGCCATCAAAATCAGACTCAAGGTTTTTATGTATGTGGCCAATACAGACAAGTGTATATATTATATAAAAATAATAAATCCAAAAATAGAAAAAGAGGAGATTGTGTTTTGATGATTGATATATTAAACGTCTCCATCTGTGAAGAAACACGAGAGAACGGAGAAGATAAAAATGGGAAACATGTGAGAGCCCTCGAGGAATGGATCTCTCGTGAGACTAAACCGATCATCCACAAGTATACAAGTTACACCGATTTTTTTTATTTTTATAATCCTAAACAATTTTCTTGAGGCAATCATATATGAGTTATTATTTTACCAAAACGAGATTTTTAACTCGGATCTCATTTTTATTGTCACAGCGGAACAAAATTTATTACGGCGTTTAAATTATTTGTTGTATTTATTTTTTAATTGGTTGAAGGGAGAAAGAGACATGACAAGAAAATTACTTAAGGTAAAAGACGCAGTTTCATCAAAGATTGGTCAAATGTGTTATATCGTTATCAAACGTCGTAGAAGCATATCCACCTGATTTTCGTGCTGTTCCCATTTATTCCAGCCGTAATTTGCCACTATTTTATTTACAAAATCATATCTCGAAATCATATGATTTCGAGATTATTATTATTTAGGTGGATCATGAAATAGGACAGAAGGAAGAAGAAGAATTAATAATCGAAACATGTGAGTGAGGCTATCACGAGAGCAGAGCTAAATTTGTAGAGGCCCATTAGTATTAATATTGGGCCTTATTTTGAAAATCCCATCTCGCGTAAGCATCTGTTGCTTGATGGGTTTATGACTAGTGCAAAAACAATAACGGTCTGGTGGGCTATCTCGACCATTAGTAATGTAACACGTGTCATAAGTTTTCGATATTTTGCGAAATCATTTCTTAAAAAATTATTATTATTTTCTCACATGTAACATACGCATAAGTTGGCGTTTTTTGAAACATTCAAAGCCTAATTAGAAACATTTGATTATGTTTTCACCTTCCACTTTAATTGAAAACTATTTCTTTGTGGAATATGACTTGATCTATATAAAAACTTAAAAAGAAGGAAAACTCTGGAATGTTTAAAATATTCTCGTCTCCAATACTTTACAAAAGGAGTATTAATAACAATATACAAATAAGATTAAGTATGATTATACAAAGAATAATCATACTTTAAGATGAAATAAACAGAGCTAAAAGAGATTACAAAAAGAGAGTAAAATTTCGAATCTTTAACGACCATACTCGATGCCTGAGAACGTTACCGAAACTCCATTTGAGTTAACAGAGGGAGAAGAAGAAGAAGTCGTAGTCGAGATGTAATACATAGCAACAGGCCTCTTCAATGGAAGATCAGGTAATGGTGACTCAAAATTCAAGACTTGAATCGCTTGTTTTATCGAAGGTCTCCAGCTTTTGTCAGGATGAGCACACCACAACCCTAAAACCAGAAGACACTCAGCTTCTTTATTATCGAAATCATTACCCAATTTCTCATCAACACATGAAGTCATCACTTCTTGTCTTCCATAAAGTTCCCAAACTTTCTCCACAAGACTCTTCTCATCACTCTCTGTATCACTGTTATCTTCTTGCGTCCGTTCCAGCGATTTTCTCCCTGTGACAATCTCTAGTAAAACAATTCCAAAGCTATATATATCAGACTCTTTACTCGCACTTCCTTTCATTACATATTCAGGTGCCATGTACCCAAAAGTTCCAGCCAATCCTGTTGTATGGGAACCAAGCTCATGGTTCATAAGCCGAGCCAACCCGAAATCACCTAACTTTACATTGAAATCACTGTCAAGCATTATATTGCTTGCTTTGATGTCTCTGTGCAGTACACATTGATCCCATTCTTCATGAAGATAAAGCAGAGCAGAGGCTAAACCAAGAGCTATCTTGTACCTTATCTCCCAAGAAAGTAAATGGGGTCTTTTGCCAAAGAGGTGAGAGTTCAAGCTACCATTTGGCACTAACTCATATATCAGCAAGAACTCGTTTTCTTCATTACACCAACCGATAAGCTGCACGAGGTTTCGATGTCTTAGTTTGCTGATGATCTTAACTTCGTTTAAAAACTCTTTCTTTCCTTGCCTTGAATCACCGGATAATTTCTTCACCGCAACCATTGTATTGATTTCTTTCAAGTTTCCTTCATAAACCGCTCCGAACCCTCCTTCACCTAGCTTTCTATGGCTTGAGAATCTGTTGGTTGCTGACACAAGATCCTTATAAGAAAACTTTCTTGGTCCTGCTTCCCTTTCAAGATCTTCGTTTATTGATATCATGTTTGCTATATCTCTTTCTTTCTTCTTTCTTCGCTTCCGCGACCTAACCACCACGATTGTGAAGACCAAAAATGTCAGAAAAACAAATCCGGAAACCGAAATGCCAACTACCAATCCTATCTTGCTATCGGCTTTCTCACTATCCAAACTTGAACTGAGCTCCCATGATAAAAGTCTATGTTCCTCTGTGTTTGTTCCAGCAGCAGCTATAAACCCGAACATAACTTCTGATGGCAGAACCTTTGCGAGGTCGAAGATGTAAGAAACGCTTGAACTCTCCTTAGGATCAGTGGTTGTTAGCTCATAAGCCCAAGTCACACTTAAATTCTTAGTCACAGAATCATAAGAGATCTTTGCATGACCAATATCTTGGCTGTGTGAGGTTGCATTCCAAGAAGTGTAGTTGGAAGAAACAAGAGAGTTGTTATTGATACCGACATGAGATCCAACATCCTTAGGATCCCATCCTGGATTGTTGAATGTGTCAAATTCGACATGAACTAGCGGAAACGAAGATGAGTAATTATTCTTTCGAGTGAACAAATTCAAGAAACCACCAACTGAGTATGCAGGTAGTTGAGCTCCCACAGGAGCAAGAAAGAAACAGATTCCATGACCATCTGCTGAAAGGTTCCGAGCATCGATTTTGAAGGAGAAACTGGTGTTAAAATCTGAAGCCTTACCAGTACTATGACTCCATATAGGCACCTTCTTGGAATAAGTAATCCAACCAACCTGAGATGTTTGTTCAGCGTTGTTGAAGTTCACCGTTCCATCTTCATCGGGGGTTGCATCCCCGTGGTAAACTATGTCCCCGGGATCATCACCTGGTCGAAAACTAGTAAAGTTGAAGTAAAGTGAATCAACAACAAAAGGGAGAAAGAGGAAAATGGAAAGGAACAAGATTGAATTAGACATAGAGGAGGAAGAACAAAGATTTTACAGAAGAAAAAAATAAAGCAAAGATTGCCCTGAGCTAGATAGATCATCAAGGCACAATAAAATATAACAAAATTCAAAAACGAAACAACGGTCAAGAAAAGAGGGCTTATTTTAAGAGTCCATTCAACAGATCACTATCACTGAACTTTGTTTGAATTTTCTTCAAAATTTATAAGTCAAAATCATCGCTTAAAAAAATCTTAAAACTTGGAAGAGTTGTAACATTACACGTATGTGGACCTCCCTGTTTTAGGATCCGATATAGAAACTTTACGAGAGCATAACGTAGACCAGCCAACACTAACCACAAGTATAAGCAGCATTGTTAGATTCAATCACACCAATTTGTTCCAGAGATGTTTCAAGCTAAGAAGGTCTAAACAAATGCTAAAACAAAACGAAACCAACAAAACTGTAGAGTAAGACGTAGAAAAAAAAATATAGGGTACACATGTAATAAACCAAAACTATTGGGGTATATACTTAAATAAACAAAAGTATACGGTAGGCAACATTTGTAACATACAGAACTTGCGGGTGCATACGAAAATAAAGCTGAAAAAACAGAGCATAAATCAGTGACCCGGACTCTGTTTTGGAAGATCTCTGAAAACCTTAGGATCATCATCGCGGAAACAGAAACCATCGTCGAAGTTCTGCGAATAACTCACAGCATCGTAGTGAAACGTAACTAAGGTTTTTGATTTATTATTCTCCAATCCGCAACTTCTAACCAGTAATAATCTTCTCATCACATCCCTTAACTTCGGACTTGATCTTGTCTTCTTGTCGTGGTTACTGATTCGAGCGTACTCTGTTTCTGTATGGATGAAACAAGATAACGGCGAACTCAAGCATCGACCGGTGGAGTATGATTGTCTACGGTTGTCGACAAGATCTCTCTCCATTTCTTGCAGAAAAAAAAGAGATTTTATTGATTGAATGGGAAATTTGGGGTTTATAATCGACGAAAGAGTTAGAGCTAACAATAAATGAATTACCAAGAAAAGTTGGAAATAATGTTGATTTTGGATGGTTATGTTTTAGCGGTCCAATCAAATAATTTTTTTTTTTTTTTGGCAACTCATAATTTCTGGTTTATGGGAAGCATTCATTTATTGAATCTTGGAAGTTTTCACTAGTCATTTAGTCAACATTTTGTTGTTGTAATGTACCTACCTATCTTCATCCGGTAGTAAAATACTAAAATGGTGATACAATGTCAATGTGAAGTTATTAAATTTCACTCCTGTTGGTACTAAAATCCATTGGCAATCTTTAGAAAACGTGATTATTTCATCAAATAATTTAAATTTCATTGTTTTTTGTTTTTTTTTTTAAAATTTACGTAAAGTTAAAACATATTTTGGTTTAGGGAACAAGGGAACAGACTTGCCAGATGCCCAGATTACGTGGTCGTGGTATTTGGAGAACAACACACACTAGACACAGAGCTACAACACTATCACTAGTTCACTACCTTTAAAGTTTAAACGTGTCATGTTTGTTCTTGCCTTCTTGGGATGCTATAGAGGATAAAAAACGCTAGAAGGAGGGGTCGAACCTCCGACCTTGTGGTTAACAGCCACACGCTCTAACCAACTGAGCTATTCCAGCTTTTGCTTAACGAATCAAAAACATGTATATATTCTAAAAACATGTTTCAATTTCATTTTGACTTGCCAACATTACCCTTAGTCGCGTCAATTAAACATATCGACGACGACTTTGGAACCTCACATAATCGCATGTAAGTCACACTCAAACCCGTACCAAAAAAAAATCTGAAGAAAATAAGAAAAAAATAAAATAAAAATGAAGAGAATAAGAATAATCGCGACGCTTGTAATAGCAAACATGTTAATGGCGACTCCAACGTCTCGAGCCTCTCTCAATCTTCTTCGTCGCTCACCAAAACCCAAATATTTCTCATCTTCTTGTCAATTTTGTCCCTCAACTTTTCGTAAATCATATCCTTGCCCCATCTGGTCTTCTTCTTTCTCTTTCTGTCTCCCTTCTCCTAGATCCACTACCTCCACCTCTCTCTCCTCCTCCTTCCGTCCCTTCTCCTCTCCTCCGTCTATGTCTTCCGCCTCCGCCGCCGCCGTAGAATCCGTCGTCTCCGACGAGACTCTTTCCTCGAATCCTCTCTTGCAGGACTTCGATTTTCCTCCGTTTGATTCCGTTGATGCCAGTCATGTTCGTCCTGGGATTCGTGCTCTATTGCAGCATCTCGTATGTTCACACCTTCTTCTTCCTTTCTCATCAGAGATTCATGTATTTTTTGATTCGATTGTTATATAGCTTCTTTGATTGATTTCAGGAAGCTGAATTGGAGGAGCTAGAGAAATCTGTGGAGCCAACATGGCCAAAACTGGTTGAACCATTAGAGAAAATCGTTGATCGGTTAACTGTTGTTTGGGGAATGATCAATCACCTTAAAGCTGTAAAGGACACACCTGAGCTTCGTGCTGCCATTGAAGACGTTCAGGTTAAATATTAATCATTAGATGTGTTCTCATGCTTGTTTGTGTTGGTGTCTCGGTATAGCATTGTTTTGCTAACTACACTGTTGTTCTGCAGCCAGAGAAGGTGAAGTTCCAGCTCAGATTGGGACAAAGCAAGCCTATTTACAATGCCTTTAAAGCTATTCGTGAATCTCCTGATTGGTCATCTCTCAGTGAAGCTCGTCAACGCTTAGTAGAAGGCAAGTACTTCTTATTGGAACGTTGAAAGAACATATCTTTCATCTCTTTGCAGATTTTAGTGTGCTAACTTTTGGTTGATTTCAGCTCAAATAAAGGAGGCGGTTCTCATAGGTATTGCTCTTGATGATGAAAAGAGAGAAGAGTTTAACAAAATTGAACAGGTTTGTTGTAAGTTATTAACAATTAAATCAGTTTACTTGGTAAAAATTTGGTTCTATGTTTGTCACATTGTTTTGTTCTTGATTCTAGGAACTCGAAAAACTTTCCCACAAGTTTTCTGAGAATGTTTTGGATGCTACAAAGAAATTTGAAAAGTTGATTACAGACAAGAAAGAGATCGAGGGATTGCCTCCATCTGCTCTTGGGCTATTCGCACAAGCAGCTGTCTCCAAGGTATCAATATTAACTGAAAGATTTACAAAGTTACATGTTTTTTTTTTTTTGGGGTTTGTCAATTTTTTGCTTCTTGATATGTGACACTAGGGCCATGAAAATGCAACTGCTGAGAATGGACCATGGATCATTACACTGGATGCTCCTAGTTATCTTCCTGTCATGCAACATGCTAAGAACCGTGCTCTGCGTGAGGAAGTTTACCGTGCTTACCTATCTCGTGCCTCTTCTGGCGATTTGGATAATACAGCAATTATCGACCAGATCTTGAAGCTTCGATTGGAAAAAGCTAAGCTTCTTGGTTACAACAATTACGCTGAGGTGGAGTCATCAACCTAAGTGAAAAATGTTCTTTTTTCTTTCTTTTTGGCTTAACGTGACTTTCTACTGTTCTAGGTAAGCATGGCTATGAAAATGGCTACTGTTGAGAAAGCAGCAGAGCTTTTAGAGAAGCTTCGTAGTGCATCTTGGGATGCGGCTGTTCAAGGTAAAATACAGAGAAGATATATTTAGATATGTTCAAATCAATTTGTTATTCGTTAAACAAGTTTGGCTACTGTTGGAACTTGTAACAGTCAGAAATAGCATGAGGCATTGGCCTATCCAAGACAGAACTTTGACTTTTTTGATTCGTTGTATAAATTAGATATGGAAGACCTCAAGAGTTTCGCAAAGGACCAGGGTGCAGCAGAATCTGACAGTTTGACTCACTGGGACACCACTTTCTGGAGTGAGAGGCTTCGTGAATCCAAATACGATATTAATGAGGTTCTTTGTCCTTCTGTAGCTGGTGAAGCAATTATATTGTTTTGAAAGTCTTGATCCTTAGCTCTCGTTTTGGTCTTTCTAGGAAGAACTACGTCCATACTTCTCACTGCCAAAGGTTATGGATGGACTTTTCAGTCTAGCTAAGACACTATTTGGAATTGATATTGAACCAGCAGATGGTTTAGCTCCGGTAAATCTGGAATCTTATCTGTTGCCTTTACATATATCGATCATGTGATATATTATTTAAAGTTAGTGACATGAATTATTGATTTGAAGGTCTGGAACAACGATGTTCGGTTCTACCGCGTCAAAGATTCTTCTGGGAACCCTATCGCTTACTTTTACTTTGATCCATACTCTCGCCCTTCAGAGAAAAGAGGTGGCGCTTGGATGGATGAGGTTGTTTCCCGTAGCCGAGTCATGGCTCAGAAAGGCTCTTCTGTTAGGCTGCCTGTTGCACACATGGTCTGCAACCAAACTCCACCAGTAGGTGACAAGCCAAGCCTTATGACATTCCGTGAGGTAAATGAAAAACATCCTTTACACTTGCATATATATCTAAGCTTAACATGAGATCTCGAAAATCCTTTCTTCCTGACTATAATAACATCACTCTGATTTACAGGTAGAGACAGTATTTCATGAATTTGGACATGCTCTTCAGCACATGCTTACGAAGCAGGATGAGGGGCTAGTGGCTGGTATCCGAAATATCGAGTGGGATGCGGTTGAATTACCATCACAGTTTATGGAGAATTGGTGCTACCACAGGTACTTTGGAGTTCATTAACAGGCAGAATCAATTTCACCCTCCTTGTGATCTACAAAGTAAAATTATGTTTAATGAGCGTTGTAAAAATCTGAATTGTTGCTTTCAGGGACACTTTAATGAGCATTGCTAAGCATTACGAAACAGGAGAAACACTCCCAGAGGAAGTATACAAGAAACTCCTGGCCGCAAGAACATTCCGCGCAGGGTCCTTTAGTCTTCGTCAGGTGAGTATAAGACAACTAGCTGCTAATGTTTTGTATTCAGGGGTGGAATTAATGATGGTTTCATGTTTTGAATTTTCAGTTGAAATTTGCCAGTGTTGATCTTGAGCTGCACACAAAATATGTACCAGGAGGACCAGAGTCCATCTATGACGTAGATCAAAGGGTATCAGTGAAAACCCAAGTTATCCCTCCACTTCCTGAGGATAGATTCCTCTGTAGCTTCAGTCACATCTTTGCCGGTAATAATCCTCTTAACCTTGAGAGATTATGCATCGTTGGTGCTTTTTGATCAAACCATTCACCTACTAACTTGTTCATGAATTTCCAGGGGGATATGCAGCTGGATATTACAGTTACAAGGTAAATTTGAGAATCTCTTTATAGCAAAACTCTAAACCGGCTCTTCAAATTCTCACCCAAATATCTAAAAGAACTGGATGTGAAAAACTTGCAGTGGGCAGAAGTTTTGTCTGCAGATGCATTTTCAGCATTTGAAGACGCTGGACTAGATGACATCAAGGTATCATTTTATCCTAAAACATCTGTTATAGATACAAAAAGTTTGAGACACAAGATTATGAAACACTTTCTTGCAAACAGGCTGTGAAAGAAACAGGACAGAGATTCAGAAACACCATACTTGCACTTGGAGGAGGAAGAGCGCCTCTTAAGGTATTACTTACTACTATATAGTGTTGTTTTCATTCAATAGCTTCAATATTTGTTGCATTTCATTCTCAATTGATTCCAAATTATGATCAGGTTTTTGTTGAGTTTAGAGGACGAGAACCTTCACCAGAGCCTCTTCTCAGACACAATGGACTCTTGGCTACCTCTGCCTCTGCTTAACTCTTATATTTCAAAACATTTGGCAACTTTCAAAACATTTATATAAGATGAAAAATTGAAAACTCAACCTCAACAAATAAGATCTTTTTTAATATGGCAACCATTTACATTTCTCAACTACATTGCATTGCATTGATTTCTGTCTTCTCTTCTATCACCATTTTACCTACCACAACCAGACTCTTTAACACTAACCATAAAGGAAAAAAATAGTCATAGAACCGAAAAAGACTCTTTCTTTTTCTTCTTCTTCTTCTTCTCCTACATTGAGCACTCACTCTCACCCTTTGTTCAGCATCTCACAAATACACTAAACACTCCTAAATCTAAAAGGTATTAAATAACGAACTCTTCTTCTCTCTCTATCTACCCATTACATTTTTCTCTCTAACTACAACTGCTTCCTAAGTTTTTCCATCTAAAGAAAAAACAAATCATCTTCCTTCAGTTTTGCCCTTCATTCCTCCCTTTACACCCACAGCTAAACGTTCCTAGTACTTCAGGACAGTATCAACGGCTAAATCACCAAATGATTCTATCATTGAGCTTCTTTTGCTTCCACAAATGGCGATTGAACACTATCTGCATCAGAATCACTACCTGATGAACTCCCACCTGACCCTGAATCTGTCAGACCATTACAATGTTAGAGAAGACAGAAGAAAAGGAGAAAACTTCTAGCAGGGAGAAAAGGGTTTGAGAAAATATACCACTAGACGAGGAACTACCACCACTAGAACTGGAACTGCCTGAAGAACTAGACCCACTACCTGCAACTGCAGTACCATCTCTTTCGATCTCTACAGATGGGTAATCTTCGATTGGTATGTCTTCTCCAATGTCTACATCCTCTTCCCCTGCATCTCCTCTCCTTGTTCTCTTCTCCGCACTACCCATTTCTGCTACCGAAGTCTAAGAGAGACAAAGAAGAAAACAATTTTTAAGTATTGAAACCACAGTGATCAAATGGTGGTTTTGATAGGGAGGCAGTGCAATTGTGCTTACCATGTTCCTAGGTGGAGTTGACACGTTCCTGATAAACCCTTGCCGCTTGATTTTGCTAGCCATCTTCTTGTAATTCGTCACAAAACGATCAAGCTCCCATAGAGTCTCGTTGTCGACAGCTTCTATATCTAGCTCAATTTCGTCACCATCTTGAGCTAAATGTCCGTTTCTCTTCCTGAGAATCTGAACCAACTGACCAAGCTTCTCAGGAGGTAAGTCTTGTAGATTCATACCAAGCTTTGACTTCTCCTCCATTGTCATCAACCTCTTATTTGGATCCTTAGCCTTAGGCTTCGGCAACTTCCCCTTCCTTCCTTTTGTCACTTCACTCACATCAGGAGCTGCTTCTACTTCAATAACCGGCTGCGGAACTTGAGGCTCAACCACCGGAGGAGGAGGAGGTGGTGGAGAAGGAGATTGAACACGTGACGGCTCGACTAATTGAGGAGGCAATGCAGGTAGTGGTGGCTTCACTGAATCAAGCTTCTTCGCGATAGATATTTGTTCGGTTCCTTTCCTAGGATTTGCCACCATTGGCGAATTCTGATTCCAATGTCTTTGCTTGACCTCAGGTTTAAACTCAGGTTCAGGACGAGAAGAAGAACCAGTGAGTTTAAGCTGCTGAGCCTCAAACTTCTTAAAAGCAGGATTGAACATTCCATCGAAATGATCCAAAAGCTTATCAGCCATAAAATACACATCTTGACCCTTTGGATTATACGTCATTGCATTGTTGAATGTCAATCTCACATCAGTAGCAAAATCAATCGGCGAAACGTAAAATCCTTTATCAAGATTCAACTTAACCGTACCCAGATCCATAGGTTTCTTCACAACCTGATGATAATCATGAAGCCCTAAACCAACCACATCAACAGGAGTGTTGAACACCCACGCCCATTTATGCTTCATCAGCTTCACCAAGATTTGACCACAAGTATTCAACATACCAGCCAATAATTTCTCCGACTCCGGATCCGAAGCAGCAAATTGATTGCTTCGCTTGAGACCTGACACATTTTTCTTCTGTTTCTTCTTCTTCGGTCCAAGGTCATTCTTTTCACCGGTGAAGCTATTCAACGGAGCTGATCGAACGGCGGGTACCTCCGGGATAGTATAAGCTTGCTGAGTCTCGAACGTCCCTGACTCGATCCGTTCTCTTAGGATCCGAATCTGCTCGAGCTCAGAGGTGAAACGCTTCTTCAGCTCCCTGAGCTGATTCGAGGTGTATCCAGCGATATTAAAAGTAGCGTAGCTTCCAAATTCCGACGAATCATCGAACTGTTTGCTCGAATTGCTCCGGTCGAAATTAGGGTTAGGGTTAGGGTTGAAGAGAGGAAGGTTATTGGTGTTTTCGGTGACGGATTGGTTTGTAAATTTCCTCATAAAAACGGCGCCGCATTGTTCCTGGTACGACGGTTCGTTTAAGGTACCCAAAACAGCCGGAGCCATACGAATCGCAAGGTCATTTCAGAGGGATAGAATCTCTTCTCTCTCCGCCGGAATCAGACCTTTGATCTGATCCTTGTATAATTTAAAAAGTTGAACTGAGAAATAAATACCACCGGAAAAACAATTCCGGCGATCGGAAGAAAGAAGGGGATTATTGTTTGGAGAGGAGGACGAGGAAAAATAAGGTGAGGCATCGTCTCTTCTTAAAGGACTTTGAAATCTGCCCGTTAAAACGCTTAGTGCTTCTCCTCACCGTTGATTCGAGATCTGACGGTGAAGATCTGTTCGATGACGTTGCCCGATCCATCTGCCCGAGTAATCTGACATGGACGGCTCAGATTGCGTTAATTGATCCAGTGACCGTTCCATAGCCGTTGGTTCGTGTGGCGCGTCGTGCCTCGTGTGCGCTTTTTTTCTCCTACGATTTTCTTAATTAAACAAAAAATAGAGGCAAATTGGTAATTTCGGAGTCTGAACTGCTTCACATGGGCCCACACTGAATTTTCTTTTTTTCTTTTTCTATATTTTTCTAATTGAGACTTCTTAATATCCTCGCTTTCACTTTTGCTAAGTCAGCAATTTCTTGAATAATCTGTCCATTTGTTAGATTATAAATTCCTATCTCATCATAAATTTAGAAATGCATCACATTTTAGTTGATAGAGATACATAATTACAAATACAAATCAAAAGTTAAAGAAATTTATTCGAGACTAAATCGACGGTCAAACTCGCCGGATTTGAAGGGGTAGGACAGCCCAGAAACACCAAGATTTTTTTATTTTTTTCTTAAAGCCGGAGGAATAAGCCAATTGTGGCAGCGTCTGAACTTCAAATGACGAAAATACCCTTTAAAAAGAAATCACCAGTAATGATGAATCTGAAAAACTGTAGAAATAACCCAGATTTCTCAGGGATCTAAATTTTTGTCTAGCCCTTGATTCCTTGAACCAGATCATCAAGAACTTGGAAGGGAGAGAGGAAAGAGACTCGATCCAAGATTTAAGAAAAAGAGAGAGGTGAGAGTGACTCAATTATTGAGAAAATAAGTGCAATTTTGTATATATACATTTGACGAGGTTGGTTCAAATCTGAGCCGTCGGATCCTTGATTAAAAAACACACATCTTTCCATATATGCTGAGGTGTCAGGTTGTATACTGGAAAAAGGAGGTCATAACCGTAAATAATAATAATAATGTTGCGTCTATCCCCAAACACAACAACAGATGTGGGGACCAATTTCCCTGAAAAAAAGTGGGACCCACGACAGCTCACCTTTTTCTGTTCAATAATCTCTCCCACGACCACACGCGCAGCCAAACTACGTGCGTCTCACACTCCCTTAGCTGACCTGGCTTTCTAGAAAGAAGGAATTACATTTTGATTGGCTTTTTCCGGATTACAGTTTTTTATAATTCAACAGATAGAGAATGTTGTAAATCTCCCAAGAACAAGGCATGAATCCCCAGAGGAATCACTCTCTTCCCGACATCATTCGCAACGCTTAGATGCTTGCAAGGATCGATCACGAACACTGTTTCCATCATCTCATTGGAACGAACATGAACACGATCAAATCCAATCAGCTGCTTCTCCGGAACACCAGACAAAACCCGAGGCATTTTCGAAAACAGCATCAAAACATGACTACCGTCGATTTCTCCGGTATTTCTCACGTTAACCTGAACATTAAAGCGCAGAGATTCGCAAGAGTTAACCATCACATCATCGAGCTGTATGTATTGGAGCTGTTCTTCTCCGTGTTGTAGTAGTTGTTTCTTGTGAGAAGACTGTTGTGGAAGAAGTTCTGATAAGCTAAGTCTGATTGGTGCTGATATGATCTTGTAATCGAATTTCGTGTAGCTTAAACCAGCTCCAAAACTGTAAACTTGAGGTCCGGTATAGAATCTGTATGTTCTTCCCGGATATCCACGAGATGAATCGGCTCTCATGTGCATATCCGACATTGGAACATCCGTGAAGGACTCGGGATACCACGTTATCGGTAATCTTCCACCTGCATTTGAACCGAAACCAAAACCGTATAAAACCCAAGGATTTCATAAACAGAAAACGGAATGGACAAATGATGCCTTGATTTACTATAGACTAACCTGGATTGAAGTCTCCAAATATGATTTCAGCGAGTGCTTGTCCACCGGTTTCACCTGGATAACCAATCCAGATGATGCTTCCGATTCTCGGGTCATTTTTAGCAAACGTTACATCCACTGGTCCTCCACCGGTTAGAACAAGAATCACCGGTTTTTTGCTCACAGCTGCAATAGAAGACACAAGATCTTTCTGTTTACCCGGCAAAGAAAGACTAAATCGATCCTTATCCTCGGTTTCTTGAGAGAGATCTAATCCTGCAACTACTATGACAAAATCCGCTCCCTTGGCGATGGCAACAGCTTCTCCAAATCCGGTATCAGAAACACAAGACACGTCTGAGCAACCAGACACATAAGATGTCTTCTTTACATACTCCAGAAGTTCCGTGAACAAAGTCTTTCGTTGACACGGCTTTCCTTTACAAATATGACATTTATAAACTATTTCAGCGAGGAGAAGAATTTAGCCTGGTTGAAAATAACTAGAAGATAGATTGTCCGAACCTGTATAAGTACCGCCCATATTGCTTATATTATTCGCCATTGGACCAACGATTGCTAAAGAAGAAACATGGTTTTTGTTCAAAGGCAACAACTTGTGATCATTTTTCAGAAGCACGATACCCTGTCTTGCTGCTTCCAGTGCCAATTTTCTGTGGTCTGAGCTACAAATATCATTTGATCCTAACTTTCCGTAATGTCCTCCTCTTGGATCACCATCAAAAAGTCCAAGACGAAGTTGAACAGCAAAGAGATTTAGCAGAGCTCGGTCTACTAGTTCTTCGCTAACCTTCCCTTGCTCAATCGCAGATTGTGTGTTCCGAAGCATGTATGTTCCACAATTTATATCCACCCCTATAACTTCACCATCTCAGATTTCATTTAAAAAAATATATATTTACAAGTTAACAAGTGTAAAAAGAACTCAAACGGACCTGCTTTTATGGCATCTGCAACAGCTTCCTCTGGTGACTTAGTATATCCTTGGTACTCAAAAATGGTTGCCACAGCATCACAGTCTGATGTAATGTACCTGCAGAGATACAAGAAAAAGGCTCCCCGGTAAATCTTTCATTGGCCAAATCAAAGTATCACCGCTCTTTCCTTGTTGAAGATTCACTTACCCTTCAAATCCCCATTCAACTCGAGCTTTTTGTAATAAGTCTCCTTGCGCACAAGCAGGGACCCCATTAACTGCATTATATGAACACATCAAGCAGCTAGCTTTACCATCTTTTATGCAAGTCTCAAATGGGGGCTGATATGTGTCTTCCATGTCCTGTTCTGTGACCTACTAATACAGAGTAAGCTAGACTCAGTGTACGACACAAAACCATGGAGATAATGCAAAAGCCAGAAGCAATATAACTAGTTAAATTCTGTTTCATGGACACAAAACAAAGGTGCAATCAATAAAGGCTATAGATATATCTAATAGCATGTTTATTTATTTTTGGGTCAACCTGATCCACTAAACCTGAGAGTTCTCAATTGAAGTTGATCCATAAGCTACATTCATAATGAAGAAAAGAGTTGTTAGTCTTACCACTGCATTGAAGTCATATCTAGTGAAATTCCCCCATTTTTCCAAATCATAGGCAGTGAAATGCTTACAACAAGCAGATAACATGAGTTTCCCATCACCATCATCATCATCATAACGAGCATCATCATCAACATCATCACTACCAAATCTTCTTTGCAAAACCTTCCTCTTCTTCTTTTCTTGAAACCCTCTAACGAACTCAACTCCATACTCAGAAACTACCTTTGGATCCTCACCAGGAGTCTCCTGCCCTCTTCCCCATCTCGGATCCCTAAACACATTTATATTCGGAGCCCAAAAAGTCAACCCAGCTTGACCACCGTTGTACATAGCCCGAGCTTCTACCGCAACAGCAGATCCGATCTTGTACCATAGCGTTCTATTGAAAGATGCAGCAGATACGATTACCTGAGGAAAACTAGTAGCGGCGGAGATCGAACCGTTGAAGGAAACTCCGGGACCGTTATCGGCGAGTCCGTGTAGAGACTCCGACCACCACTCGTACGGAGGGATACCGAGACGAGGTACTGAAGCAGCTGTGGTTGAAAGCTGACCGATCTTCTCCGGGAGCGTAAGGAGGGAGACGAGAGAAATTGCTCGTTGTTTTATGGATAGAGATACGTTGCAGAATGGGTAAGAGCTGAAATGAGGAGGTTTACAGGGGAACTGTGGATGAGAATCGAGGTTTTTGAAGGTTTCAGCTATGGCGGAAGTGAAGAAGAGTAAGGGGATTAGAGTCAACTGATGATTCATATTTTCGAGGAAAATAAATCTGTAGAGAAGAGAGAAAAAGGAAACTAAAAGGTAGAGTTTTAAACCGGACTAAATAGACTGGTAAAATCTAAAATTAACAGTTGGACCGGTTGGTTCACTGCTGTTCCTTGTTACACGTCATCTAACGGTTGTAAAATCTACCGGTTGGTCTGACGGACAGTGGATGGTAGTTGGATTAGTGACTGTTCCCTTTATAACATGTTAACTAACTATAAATGGGCCAAAACATTTATGGGCCTTATTTATCAATTGGGGTTTTATCTAATCAACGTTTATACTATAAATTAAGATCAATGAACATAATTATATTTATATCTTAATTAGATGTGTCAATTTCACAACCAAAATATTATTAAGATTATTTAACTAATTTTCGTTATCATTTTTATAGACAAATGCTTGAATATTTTTGAATTTTTTATACATTTTCTTGCAAATGTGTGGGTTTTCAAGTGCCCAGTTGACAAAAGAAAACATTAAATATTCTTTTTAAAAATAAAAATTACAATATTTTTAAATTATTCAAAAAAATTATTGACAATGATTTAAAAATATTAATTGTAAATAACCAAAATCGAACAAAAATAATAAAACCAGCAAATTAATGTATTGTAGTTACTGAATAAAAGTCAGAAACAAAATAATTTACTTTGGTGTAGAAACTCTCTAAATAAATGAACCAAAAACTCAAAAGTCCAAAATTGAAACTTAACAAAACAAACCCATGAGTTTCAAATAGGCACCCCTAGTGGCCTAGTCGCTTGTTCATGGTCACATAGCCAAAAAAAATGTTACAATATTGGATTTCACAGAATTGCTGAAGCTATTCACGTGTTTTATCTCTTCTTATCCCTGCTTGCATGCATTCACCTTGAGATCTGTGTCATTTTTTTTCTTTCTTATGTTGTTACTTTATTTTAGAGATAATTGGGTGAGAGACTATGGATCAGATGTAAATTAGTTTTTTAGTAATCTGACACAAGGTTCAAAACAATGAAATATTTAGCCCCTCATCTTGCCAATTATAACCCTACGCGCTTCTGATATTTTTACTCCAAATCAGTTCATCGCATGAGACAAAACTATTGACTTTTGTCGTTCTAATGATGATAAAACATATTATATCTAACTTGTTGTTATAACTACCTGAATCTTGGATGTCTACTTTTTCTCTCGTTCATCATCCCGTCTTTCTATTCTGTAAACCATAAGTCCTATCCACCTTTAACATTTTCGGTAACTGTTCAACCACACTCCGGCAAAACAAAAAATAAAGTCTTGCTTCTTTTCCTAAACGCGGCGTCGAATAAATTATTATCATTGAAACGATAAGCCGTCGGTTGTACCGTGTATACAAATATACAAATGTTAATAACACTCTATATCTATATTTACAAATATACAAATATTAATAGCGCTTTATATACCTGTTTACGTGTATACAAATGTTAATAACGCTCCACGTACATATTTATAATTATACAAATGTTAATAACGCTTCATGTACGTGTTTACATGTATACAAATGTTAATAACGCTATATATATGTATTTACATGTACACATAGACCGAAGTATTTAATACTATAATAATTTTAACGCTCTATGTATTTGTTTATCTGTATATAAATGTCAAAATCGTGTAAAATATTCATTGGGTATCCATGTAACTAGGTTAGTTGTTTAAAAAATCGAAGAACTATTTCTTGGGTGTCCATACAACTATGTTGGTTGTTTACATTTTTCGATTCCCGTCTAAAATAGTTTTCGTTACAGTTTTAAATTAGATAAAGTTCAAATAAAGTCGATTGCATCTAATAATTGTCACCTCGTTATTTCTGTCAAGTGGTGAACATTTATTACATGTCAGGTTGTATTTCTGATGCCTTAAAAGTCAAAAGCATTTCTTCACGCGCAGAGATAAATCAGGTGGTGGTTTTTTTGTTATTAAACTGAACTCCAAACCCATTTATCTAATTTATTTATCTTTGTTAAAGACCAAAAACCCATATTGTCGATTAGCTAATTTTATGTCCAGTTTTTGTCTCTGCACAAATTCACCCTTTATTTTATTTCCAAACTTAACATAAACTTAAGCAACCCAATTGGTTGTTCCTGAATTTAATTTAACCAACCATTACAAGGATACATACATAATTTAAAAAGTCAATGGAGATATCCAAGAATGGTTAGTTTAGAAATTAAAATATCTAACATTTGTTAATTTTCAATTCAAATGTTGCGAAATGAAAACAATGAATTGTAAAAGAAAAACAATTGACAAAAAAATGCGGACAATAATGATATCCGATTGACAAATAATGGAGTGAAGATAGAGTAGGAGACAGTCTCTAAGTGTGTGTCCACAAACTCTCACGCAACTCGTAGCTTCTCTGATATAAGAAACAAAATTCTTTGACTAAAGCCTTCTTCGATCTCTTTGACCTGTCAGTCTTTTCTTTTTCCATATTAATACAAGCATACTCTGATACACCCACAATGTAATAATTTGCGGAATTATGTGTATGGAAGACACGGGTGTTCATTTTTGAGTTTTGTTGGATACGAGTGTTTTTCAGATGGTAAAAACTCACAAACTAAAATATATATTGAAGATTTGTTCCATATTTTTAATTCAGTGCTAAAAGCCTATCCAATAAAATAAAATAAAAGTTCTGATGGCAGCTTCTCAATCTAGAAATCTAGACCATTATCTCTTACTTTTGTATGAATCTGATTATTCATATTTCTAATATTAAATACCATTCGGACACCAATTCATTTACCTTGAGATCAATAGAATCAAACAGTACATAAGTTATAATAAGGAATAAGTTGGGAATTAGTACGTTTGGAGAACTTAATTAGAAAAGTAGTACCCATACTATTTATAATTGTCAAAATCTCCATGTCCCACTGTACACTACTATTTAGGTGACTTCCAAACCCTCAACCAACCATTTTATTTACAACCATGCCATTTTAACTAAAATAAATTATTTTTCTCTTTCTTTTACACATCTCGTCAGATCCCTTCTTCTCTTATCTAAGCCTTCTTTTTCATCTGGAACTTTTATAGATAATCAAAAATATATAATTTTGGGTTCATAAATTAATTGGAAATTATATCTCCAATTCACTTTTGTTTTTAATTTTGATTCTTTTACGAAATTCTCTAATTTCAAACAACCATAGTAAGAGAAAGAAGAAGATCTATGGGTTTGAATTCTAAGTACGGGAGCCAATAATTAAAATCGAATCATGAAAAGATCTCACATTTCTTCTCCTCGTTCTTATTCTCGACCAGCGATTTCAATCTTCGGTGTTTTCCTCTTGTTCCTTATGGGTTTATCACTAACTTCTCGAAAACCATCAGATTCATCCTCCGGTTTAGCTCCAAATCGGAACTTATCCAGAATATCGAAGATTTCGAAGCTCGCGTATTTGGTAACGGGGACGAAAGGAGATGGTAACGGGAACAACAGAGCATATCGACGGCGAGAGCAAGCCTTGCCTCTCCTCGTTTTTTGTTTTCTTTTTAACACAATCTTTTGTTATTGTTATTGTTACCTTATTAATGAATCTTTTTTTTGTTAATTTACAGATTTATTCAACGAGCTTGATCGATAAATTCTCAAACATTGTTTTCTTCAAGATCTATGGCGGAAGAACATCGATGTCAGACACCGGAAAGCAACCGTCTCTGTGTTAACAATTGTGGCTTCCTCGGCAGCTCCGCCACCATGAATCTCTGTTCTAATTGCTTCGGCGATCTCTGTCTCAAACAACAACAACAATCCTCCATCAAATCCACCGTCGAATCTTCCCTCTCCGTATCTCCTCCTCCATCATCATCGGAGCGCTTCCATATCTTCTCTGATCATCCTTCCTCTCCTTAAAACTCCCTCCGTCAAGCTAGAGGTACCGGAGAAAAAGCCGGTGAATTCGCCGCCAGAGAAGAATCAGCAACAGAGGCCGAATCGGTGCACGACGTGTAGGAAATGGGTCGGGTTAACCGGATTCAAGTGCCTGTGCGGTACGATGTATTGTTGGGTCCATAGGTACCCGGAGATCCATGGATGCAGCTACGATTTTAAATCGGCCGGTCGTGAAGAGATCTTGAAAGCAAATCCGTTGGTGAAAGCAGCGAAGCTTCATAAGATTTGATCAGAGCCGTTCGATGCGTTGACTTTTCTCGTAAGTCTTCAATTTCTACGCGTATATGTGTCCTCCGTCCCCCGAGAAATACGGATGGTGTCGATTTGATCTCAACCGTTGGATCAAATGGGTTATTATTGTAAAAGATTGATTATGTATTTATCAAAGGGACATGTGTCACGTGGTTTTAGGATGGAGATGCTTTCGCTTTCTTCTTCATTTTCCTTTAATTTGATATATCAAACATCGTCAAATCCTTCTGTATAGATGTACATCGTCAAAGTCTATAACTTTATCAGATGGGTTTCTTGGAAATGTTGTTGTCAAGCTAATCTGGGATGGTTTTGATTGTATTGTCATGTTTTACTTTATAAAGCTATAGACTTTGTCTTTGTTTCCTATTGCTTATTCTGTTTTAAAGCCTGCTGTACAGATGTATCCTGCTGTACATATGTATCCTGCTGTACAAATGTATCCTTCTGTACAGATTTATACTTCTGCACAGATATATCCTACTGTACAGATGTATCATACTGTACAGTGGTTTATATCTGTACAGTCATTATTCTGTACAGTGAATTTATCAGATGGGTTTCTTGGAAATGTTGTTGTAAAGCTAATCTGGGATGGTTTTGATTGTATCGTCATGTTTTACTTTATAAAGCTATAGACTTTGTCTTTGTTTACTATTGCTTATTCTGTTTTAAAGCCTGCTGTACAGATGTATCCTGCTGTACAGATGTATCATGCTGTACAGATGTATCCTTCTGTACAGATTTATACTTCTGTACAGTTGTATCCTGCTGTACAGATATATCATTATGTACAGTGGGTTATATCTGTACAGTCATTTTTCTGTACAGTGGTTTATATCTGTACAGTTATTCTTCTGTACAGTCACTCTTCTGTACAGTCATTTTTCTGTACAGTTGTCTATATCTGTACAGTCGTCTATATCTGTACAGTCATTCTTTGTATACAGTAGTCTATAATATAAATTTTTTTAAAAAAATTAAACAAAATGCATATCAAATGATAGAGAAAAAAACATAGATTTTTATGTATTTGATAAATTTTAGAAACAAAAAATTTACTAACGAGTATTTTAATTATGAGACTTTGGGGGAATATGAGATAATAGAGAAAAGAAAAGAAATTTAAAAAAAAAAAACATGTCCCACGTTCTCTTTCTCACAAATACAAAGCCCCTACTAGTAATTTCCATTCTCTACACTCTACCCCACTTTCTCTCCTATCTCACACAAATTCTATTACACAAATAGGAATAATGTACTGTTTCTACAATTATAAATAGTAACTGTACTACTTTCCCTATTATGTTTCTAAAACGTACTATATTCCCAAGAAACCCTAATAATAAAAGTTAGAAAAAAGTGGCTGAGATGGTCTCAGTCTTAGGCCTCATAGGTTGGTGCTGGACCATGGATTAGATTAAAAACAAACAAAACTATTGTACTGTTTTTTTTTTTTTTGGTTGTTGTTGTTTTTAACTCTTAAAATCCATTTTTTTATGTAACAAATCATAAAATTATTTGTCAAATGGAATAAAGTAACTCTAATCAGTTAAAAAGTGAATTCTTCATTACACTTCACACTTACGTAATGCATTTATATAGATAACATTTCATCTTATTTGACCCAAACTCACAAACTCTGTTCACTTCCACTTAAACAAAAAAAACAGAGTTTCAGAAACAGAGAGATGGAAATGGAATTGACTCGATCGAGAAAACAAGAAAGCAACAATCTCAACGTCATTAATGGAGAATTCATGGCGGTTGACCAATTCCTCCCAAATGATTGGAACTTCGATGACCTCTGTTTCAACAATCTTCTCCAAGAAGAAGACAACATTGATCATCCTTCTTCTTCTTTGATGAATCTAATCTCTCAGCCGTCTCCATTACTTCACCAACCACCACAACCGTCGTCACCTCCTCCTTATTCTCCGCCGCTCTCCTCCGCTTTCTACTATCCTTTTCTCGAGGATATCATAGACTCCTCTCTTTCTCCTCCTTTATTGATCCTTCCGGCTTCGCAAAAGAACACCAACAATTACTCACCATTGATGGAGGAAGGCAAGAGCTTCATAAGCATCGGAGAGACTAACAAGAAAAAGAGTAATAAGAAGCTTGAAGGTCAACCTTCGAAGAATCTCATGGCGGAGAGACGGCGGAGGAAACGGTTAAATGACCGACTCTCCATGCTCCGATCCATTGTCCCTAAAATCACCAAGGTCAAATTCCATAAACCTCCTCCTTCCACATTTTTGATGGTTTTATTTTTTAGTCAAGACTAAATAACCTTCCTTTTTTGTTGAGTTCTTAACGTTACATGTATGTTCTTCTGGCTGGAACCTTTTGTTGACACTGTTCATTGATAATGGTTATTGCTTTTTTTGAATCTGCATAGAGTCTGTAGTTTGAGAAAATGTATCTGATTTCTTTATGATAATTATAATAAAACAGATGGATAGGACATCGATACTAGGAGATGCAATAGATTACATGAAGGAGCTTTTGGACAAGATTAACAAGTTGCAAGAAGACGAACAAGAACTTGGAAGCAACTCTAATCTAAATAACCTCATTACAAACGAATCTATGGTCAGAAACTCCCTAAAGGTAAAAACAAAACAAGAATATATGATATTTCCGCTATATGTCTTTTACAAATTCATCCTGTTACAAATCAATTGGTACAACCCCCCATCCCATTCCCATCATATACTTAAATCATTTTTCTTCCCTGTATAGATCACTGAAAAATTAGAATCATTTAAAGTCAAGGCAGTTTTTCTGAATTTTTGTTGTCAATAACAAAAACGGATATTTTGCAGTTTGAAGTAGATCAAAGGGAAGTTGATACACATCTTGATATATGTTGTCCTACGAAACCGGGTTTGGTTCTATCAACGGTTAGTACATTGGAGAGTCTAGGCTTAGAGATTCAACAATGTGTCATTAGCTGCTTCAGTGACTTCTCATTGCAGGCTTCTTGTTTTGAGGTAAAAATATAATTACACTGATTTAGCCTTACTTGCAACATCGGCAAATTGTTTTGTAATATATAATGTTACAATAATAGGTTGGTGGGCAGAGAGACATGGTTACTTCGGAAGATACTAAACAAGCACTAATCAGAAACGCAGGTTATGGAGGAAGATGTTTGTAGGGGAGCTTCAAAATTGCAATGCTTAAATAACGATAATCTTTTCCGGTTCTTTTTATTCTCTTGTGATGAGTATGATATTTCTTAAGGAAATAGTTTTGAAATCAAAGGTGTAAAAAGAACTTATTAATGTTTTGAACGTACCAATTATTTAGTCCTTGATCCTCTTTGCGGTCTCGAATCCTCCTCCCTTACTAAATAAAAACATGCAAAAGAGAGAGCAGAGAGGTAAAAGAGTTCAAATTTGGGTTCAAGAAGCCCAGTTATACTAGATTAAAACCCCATCTCAAAGCTAATCATAAGAAATGCAGAAAAGCCCAAATAAAGCCCACTAAAAATCTGCCAGCTTTTGACCTAATGAGCTCCATCCGTTTCCTCTTTAAATAGCTGCGTCTAACTTTGAACCCTAATCATGTTATCCGAGTATCGGCCTCTCATTACATATTATCAATCTACATAGTTCGATAGATCTCTGTTTTTTTTTTTTTTCTTCCTCGTGTTTAGTTTTTATGTTTATGCTTTGTGGTGGTTTTCGATGGGAATCGGGACTGGAGTTTGACTCTTTAGCAAAATAACGATGCCATAGAGATGAATGCAGCGCCCTAAATAAAAAAGACCACAATCGGAGATCTGTCTCAGTTTTGTCCGAAATCGATTCTGTCGATATTGGACGCTGAGATAGATCTTACATAGTTTGATCTTTCCTTGTTTTTCTTTGATTTATGAATGATAATGATTGTTAGTAACGGAGCAGTGATTCAGGCAACCTACTTGTTAAAAAAACAGTGACATGAGAGGTGTTTAACTGCTCCTAGATCAAATTATGCTTCTGCTCTTCAGACTTGCTGAGATTTTATCGTCTTTGAAGCTGGTCTAGTAGTCTTAAGCACATTCTTTCAATCTTTGCCTATTTATTGGTCTTTAATCATATTAATCTGTCCCAATTCTGGTGTTGCTGACACCAATTAGGTCCGGTCTGATTGTGTTTCTTCCGGTTTGATCTGGTTAAGTCATTTGTTGATATATTTTCTCTCCGATATACGTAGGTTTTTATTGTCCCTCAATTCCTATGAAAAAAGAAATGCTTAATGGTTTGGATTGCACCCAGGCCCATTTAAAGTCTGTTTTAGTAGTGACTCGATATGAAAAAAGATTAATGGACATGATATGTCTAATTGGATTCCATACGATTATTAATGGACATGTCTTAATTAATTGAAAGAAAATCTAATAATTTGTGTTTGCACAATTCTACAAAACAAACCAGGCGATAGTGCTTATGAAAATAAGTAAGTATAAAAAACAGGTTGTGTTGATAAAAGGACAAAATTCTTCAAGAATGTGATATGGTGATAACAAGAGTTGAGTAACAAAAAATGGTCCAATTAAAGTTAGGGCTTCTTTTTGTTGAATCCTACAATATTGCTTAGGAAACTTACGATTTTGATCAAAAATTGATTACCTATTTTTGCCAATTCGAGGACCATTCCTCCGGCAGTGAATCACCTCTTCTCCCTCTGTCTCTCCCAACCCATGAATAATCAGCCAAAGAGTTTCTATTTGACCAAGAGAGTTGTTGGGGGTGACAATGTTTTATATGAATGATATAGGTCTAAACTTATGAAAGTTGAATAAAGTTTTATTATCACCATTCACACTTAAAATAATTCAGAACTCACAGACAAGAAACTTAAGACGGTAGACTAAAAGAAAACAAGATAAAGTTTTTATAAAGACACCGCCACTCAAAACCTTAATTCATTTGGTAGAAAACAAGTTGTCCTTTCAAATTTTGTCCACTTATCAAAAGAATTTTGATTATTTTAATTTTTAAACACACAACTTTTTATAATCTTTAACAAAGACACCCATTATATTTTTTTTAACTAGTTATTTTGATTCAAAAATATTATAAACGAGAGATCATAATAGCATATAAACACAGTACTCTTTCATTCATATAAGGAAATCTTAATCACTTCTTTACGGCGACAAATAAAAATAATCACCTCTTACATTTACAAATGTAAAATGGAATTTTTAGTAGTAAGCAAGCAGATGAATAATCATATAGAAACAAATCAATTCTTAAGAAAAAATGTAATTAATTTTCTATTAAATGAACGGTGAACTCAAAAGTATGCACAAATCAATACAATTTTATACTTATATTAAAGATTTGGGTAGGTTAGAGCACTAGGGCTTTGTGCGAGTAGGTTAGGTTTTCAAGTTTATACACTAAAATATGGTCGAATGTGGACCTCACAATTTCTATTTGCTGACGAGAGCTTCCTTATTTGTTATTATACTTATAAGATAAGATGAGCTGTTTAATAAGTTAATAAATCATAATTAAAGTAATCGTGTAAAAATTAAGACATGTGAGTGCTTCATTTCTTTTCCATAGTGTTGTTGTTAGTTATTGGGTCGCACGCAGCCACCACCCTCTCTCTTTCTTTTTCTTAATTGGTTAAGGCCATGAATACTGCTTGAATTGTTGTTTCCTTATAGTGTGCTGATACTATATTCAATTACGTATGTGTTAAATTTAAGTATTCGCACGATAAGGGTATTTTTAAATTTCTTTATTAGTTAGACTATAAACTGGGGTCTAATTTTGTTTGTTAGTGTCGTCGAAAAATATTATTTTTTGTTTACTTTTTTTTTCTTTAAAGTAATTATATGATAATTTCTAATTTTTCTAGAGGCTATATATTAATTTCTTTTACCGAAATTAAAAGAAAATTGCAACAACAAGCATGACCGTGTTGTAATATTCAGATTTTAAATTTCAGATCTTTCTGAGTCTTAATTAAAAACAAAACAAATCTAAACGTTGAAATGAATTGTGTATTTGTATGTATATATATTTTGTTTTTTTGTTTTTGGGCACAAATATATATTCTGGTTTTAAGTTATATATATATGTACTTTGCGGATGGATTACTAAATGAGGTTGAAGAGTCGTATAACTATAAAAGTAAATGTCAGATATAGCGTGCGAATATATACTATAAGCATCCGATAGATATGTCGATTCATGCATGAATCACAAATTAACACCCATTTAGAAATACGGTTAGGTATTTGATCACATGGAAAATTACAAGATAGTTCAATAATATTATAAATTGTTTCTCCATGAGTAGGCCTATCCCATGAGCATCTATTCTGGCCAGCAGGTTTTAATTCCCATTTATAAATTCTACTACAATTTTAGCAAGAAGGATCCTCAAGATTTATTGGAACATTCCCTGATTTTCTTGGGGTCATGTAGGTCACTTTCTTTATTCGAAGAATATAAATTGATCTTAATTAGAACTTTGTATATATGGTTTGAGCATTCTGGCAAAAGTTTTCCGCAGACCAAATAAAATCACTAAACCAAACTCAAATAAATTGTATGCATAGAGTTGAATTGAACTCTTACAGATTCAAATTTACGCTTCCAACTACGTTTGATCTGTCCTTATTCGAAAATCAGATACTACTAGTTAAGGGTTTAGTAGATAATTCATTACGGCTGCTTTGTTTTAAAACCTTTAAAGGCTAAACCTGAAACTCAAGTGGTTTGTCCATATCTCTCAACTCAACATATATATTTATAACTATTATGTGTTTGGACTTTGGTATAAGCATGCACATATTTTATTCAGAATTTGCATGTTACTTCATCTCTATTTGTAGAGTCCTTACATATTTAATTAAGTGTATATTATCTACATATTATCTTAATAAAAATAGTGTGAGCAAAAAGGTATAAAAGTAGTCGTAGATGAATAAAGAAATAGAAGGACAAAGGGTGTTTAATCTCAATAAGCACGATTTTTCTTTAAATACAAAAAATGAACCAACCATTAGCCAATTGGGTCTGACTCATGTTCAAGAAACTTTAAAAGTTACTTTAAATTTCTTTCATTTAATCATTTTTGTCGTTTTATAAAAATATAAGTGCACCTATTCCACGATCAATCGAGATCTAGGATCCTAAGGAGAGATGACCAAATATTATGTTCGAGTACCGCGTTTATAGGAAAAAAAAGAATTAGATAATAAACGTTTATCTAAACCATAATCAATGTAAAATCATCAGTGAGTAATAAAAACCAAAACTGATTTTTGATATTCAGTGATGTAAATTTTCGATTTGGGATAGTCTTTTTGTATGCCAAAAATAAAAGAAATGCAATCACATGGTGGTGGGCGAGTGGTTCTCGTTTGGTTGGAAGGATCGCCCTGTTGGTCTAGGCCAGGGATCGATCCTCCCCAGACGCAGTTTCCCTCTCTCACTCCTGTGGCCACCTGGGAATTTACCTGCGGACTTGCTCAGGCGCCCCAGACCACCAGTTTATCAGGGGGCCCTTAAGTGGAGGCTTAAAAATCCCTGTGACGCGGGCTTAGGCCCAGTAGGCTAGTCAGATCACTGTGTGGTCTGGATACTGGGTTATCAAAAAAAAAAAAAAAAAAAAAAAAAATGCACTATACTGAAGAAGACTAGTAACGTAATGACGTGGAGATAACTCGATAAGTTAGGTCATAGTGTAACATGTGTACATAGCATCGTCTACAACAAATGTTATATTCTGTTATCATCTTTGTGACATGTTCCAAAACCATCTAATCTAAGTCTTGTCTCCTTTATCTATATATACGGACATTTAGATCTCACATGTGAGTATATACAGACAATGACGGACAAAATTCAAAAAAAGATGTCTAAAAGGGGACAAGTGGTCATTAACCTTAATTTAAAGTACGGCCAAATGTTTAGTAACTAAATAAATATGGGGTCGAAACGTAAATTCCAAATTATCTCACAAAGTGGGGTACAGAAGTGAACACTAATATAAGTCATAAAGAGAAATTTAAAGGAGAGACGAAAAGCATTAACATTTAATTTATATGAAATTAGTGTAAACCAACCAAAAATAAATAGTGGCCCTTGTAATTCTAAGGGGCAAATTTTGGAACAAAGATTTTAACTAGCAAAAGGAGTTTCAGTATAAATATATGGAGACAAGGGCCATAAAAAAATATAAACCAACATTCTTAGAGCTTTGAAGACAACAAGAGCAAGAAAGAAAGAGAAGATTATATACATAGAAAAAGAGAGATCAAATGGAGTGGGAGAAATGGTACTTAGATGCGGTTCTTGTGCCATGTGCTCTACTTATGATGTTTAGTTACCACATCTACTTGTGGTATAAGGTTCGAACCGATCCTTTCTGCACCATCGTCGGGACTAATTCTCGCGCCCGTCGATCTTGGGTAGCAGCCATCATGAAGGTAGTTATATTACTCAAAAACGATATCCCGAAATATTCTTGTGTTAAGTGATTGGTAAGTAGTAATCATCATATTAGTCGAGCTGGTGGAAAGTAAGCTTCATTGAACATACCATAATGTTTAGTAACTGCAAATTTTCTATGAAAGTTTCTTATGCAAAGAAATTAGTTGAAGTGTCGGTCCAAAATTGTATCAGGGCCGTACGGATACAATAAAAATTGCTGGCATGCATATGCATATTTGGCTATAAGAGACAATGTCAAAATATATATACACAACAAACATATACTTCTCAAATAGTAACAATATTTGATTGTGTCTTTGGTCAGGACAACGAGAAGAAGAACATCTTAGCGGTACAAACACTACGAAACACGATAATGGGAGGGACGTTAATGGCAACCACTTGCATCCTCCTCTGCGCAGGCCTCGCTGCCGTTTTAAGCAGTACTTATAGCATCAAGAAACCTTTAAACGACGCCGTATACGGAGCTCATGGTGACTTCACTGTCGCACTCAAATACGTAACCATCCTCACAATCTTCCTCTTCGCCTTCTTCTCTCATTCTCTCTCCATTCGCTTCATCAACCAAGTCAACATCCTTATTAACGCTCCTCAAGAACCTTTTTCTGATGATTTCGGCGAAATTGGAAGCTTTGTGACTCCCGAGTATGTCTCTGAACTACTCGAGAAAGCTTTCTTGCTCAATACGGTAGGTAATAGGCTGTTCTACATGGGCTTGCCTTTGATGCTGTGGATCTTTGGGCCTGTGCTTGTGTTCTTGAGCTCTGCTTTGATAATCCCTGTTCTTTATAACCTCGACTTCGTGTTTTTGTTGAGCAATAAGGAGAAGGGTAAAGTCGATTGCAATGGAGGTTGTGATGACAACTTCTCGCCTTAATTATCTGTTGATGTTGAATTCGAATAATGATAAAGATGTTTGTTATTACTGATTTACTAGTCTAAAAAGTCTTTCGAATTACTCTTTTCAAAACGTACCAAAGAAATATGTACAAGAAGAGTCTTTTTTTTTGTTTTTTTTTGTTTTTTTTTTCTGGTGAAGATATTCATGATCTGCTAAGACTGCTATATACAATTAACAAAAGTTCCATGGATAGTCAAAATGGAAATTAATTAACAAAACTATCTTTTTTATAAAAAAGATTATTACTATGCTGCTAACAAGTAACAATGATGCGACCATATATCCTTAGTCCCTTACACTTGATTCGTCTATTATTTTTTCTAATTCACATATCGATTTTTTAATGACACAGATACTCGTTTTCAAGTCAATGGAGTCATACTCATCTGAATTGGTCGTGTCTTTTTCCTTTATATTAGCCCTGTCAGCGGCTTTAATAATTTTAACAAACATTATTATATTGATGATTATTACGATTATTTGGATGCCAATGCCGAAAGCGCGGATCACCAAGTTTTTGATCATTGGTATATGCGATTCATCCATTTCATAACGGATAATCATTCTTACGCGATGACCTGCTGAGAGTGTGACAATTATTTGATCGTTTACGCTATGTTCCTTAACCTGGTCATAAACAACGGTATATATGCGTTACCTTAACTAGTTCACAAGCAAGGTTTCAACTTTTCAAGTAAGGAATTCACTCACCTTAGACTCTGCAATATCAAAATCTTCCAACAAGCTCATCGATAAGTAATCTTTTTTGCGCCAGTGAATTTGAACATCTGAAATAGTTGTAATCATTTTAAATAGCTATCACCTAGGCTAGGCATAATTCCCTAATAAACATGAATTGACAAAAGCGTGATAGATATATTTAAATATACAAGTATAGCTAGATTACCGGAGTTTTCAAGTATGGATATGATGACGTTGTGAACCTCCGAAGTTATGTTCATCATCTGCACCATAACTTACATGTAAGAACTCCGAGTGATCAGTCACAAAATAAAATAAAACAATATACTTTTCCTGTTCCTGACACAGAAAGCCTTCCGAGAAGAAGTGCAAATGAAGGTGCCGAAACATGAAGAGCTTCTTTGAGTACTAAAGCATTATGAGGAGGTTTAATGTTTTTTGAGTATGGGAAGAAAATGCAGTAGATATTGCCTGTGTCAAGCTCTATCCATGGCTTTGAATGTCTTCAGTATAACATATATTCATGAGAGTCAAATTAAAGCAAGATCATGCATATACATGTATTCACTGAAAGCAAGTAAAGGTACGCAAAGGTAGAATCATGCATACCCTATAAATGGAAGTTCCACTTGGCAATCAAATGTAGCTTTGTATCCATTTTCAAGAGCTACAAAATTGTTCTTCCTGTTGCATTTTATATTATCATCAATGAACCGTAAGTTGATTCAACGGGAGAACACGTGTCTTTTAAATGCAACAAATCAACCGGTAGAGATATTACATATATAAATATAATCAAAGGAGAAAACGTGCGATTTATACCTGAATTTCAAAGGAAAATTGTATCTTTTCGATGTGAGTGTTTCTCTAGGAGAATCAGTATATTTATGTAGTCTTGTACGAAACTTTTGAGAACCTTTTAGAAAGAAATCCAAGTTAACAATATATACAAAATAAAAGAAAACATATACTAGATTTAAAAAGAAAAAGAGAGACAAATTCGACTAATAATTACCTGCTGTAGAATTTATTGTGACAGCTATTTGCATATGTGATGCAACAACGGTCTCTACCTGAAAATTTTGCCACATGACCATGGAGGATGGATAATTGACACTTGAAGATGAAGTTTCTCTTGCTAAAAGCAAGACCAGAGCGAAGACGCGGAACCCTAAAGAAGTCATTTTTCACCGAAAAAATTGAATAATGCAGAGTCGGAACGCATAGACAAAAGGATACCCAAGATTAAAAAAAAAAAGAAATACACAAAGACAAAGGAAATAGATAAATGTGAAATATGATACCAATGTTTCTTAAAGGGATCTCTTTCTTAAATAGGGTCCAATTTTGTTTGGAGAGATATTTAGTAAAAACTTTTAACTAGAAAAATATGAAAGATTAAGGTAAAATTTTTAATTTGATATCATTATTTTAATATTCAGTAAATGACAAATATCACTATAACATATCTTGATATATATAAGTAAGGAAATATTTACTCTAAAAACTAAATTCCCATTTTGACAAAGATAAAGTCCTATAAAGGTTGATTAGAATAGATTTCTAAAAGTCCAAACAAGATCTTATGTTATTTAATCACTGCTGCTAGTCTGTTTTATTCATTTTATTTTTAGTTAAAAGCTTGTGTTAAGTATAAATGATTTTTAGTTGATTATTGATTAAGTTGAGAGTCGTGAGACCAAACGGTTTGGTCAACGGAAAGTTTTGGTTCTTTTTTTTCTTCTTCTGATAGTTTACGAGACTGACCAAAAAGAAAAATGGAAAATCTCTGGGTCTTCTTCTTCTTCCTCACAGCTACTTTGACCTTCTTCATCACCAAGTTCCTATGGAGTCAAAACTCTAAATTACCTCCAAGCCCTACGCCTCTTCCCATCATCGGCCATCTTCATCTCATCAAGAAGTATCCTTTACCACAAGCTCTACATCATCTCTCTTCAAACTACGGACCAGTTCTGTTCCTCAAATTCGGATGCCGTGCCGTTTTGACCCTCTCTTCTCCAGATTCCATCGAAGAATGCTTCACCAATCACGACATAACCCTCGCGAATCGTCCCAAGACCATCACCTCCGATCACTTCAGCTACGGCTACAAAAACTTCGGATTTGCTCCTTACGGTGATCTCTGGCGAACTCTCCGTCGTCTCTCTACCCTCGAGGTCTTCTCCTCCGTCAGCTTACAGAAGAACTCTTCCATACGAAACGAAGAAGTCTCCAATCTCTGTTCCATTCTTTTCAGATTATCCAGTGGTGATTCTTGTAAAGTGGATCTCAGGTATCAGTTCACTCTGCTCACCGCTCACTTCATGCTTAGATTAGTATCTGGGAATCGCGGAGTCGAAAAGGGTGATTCAGAAGCAGAGAAGAAGTTCTTGGATGAATTCAAATCAAGGTTTTTCTCGAGCCTATCGTCAATGAATGTCTGTGATTATTTTCCAGTGTTGAGGTGGATTGGGTACAAAGGTCTTGAGAACAGAGTGATTGAGATGCAGAGGATGAGAGATGAGTATCTTCAGCGACTCATTGATGACATTCGAATGAAGAAATTTGATTCCACTGGTTCACTAGTAGAGAAATTCTTGAAGCTTCAAGAATCAGAACCTGAATCTTACTCTGATGATGTTATCAAAGGAATTGTAGTGCTGATGTTCAATGCTGGATCGGATACTTCACCAGTGACAATGGAATGGGCAATGTCCCTTTTACTGAACCATCCAGATAAGCTTGACAAGGTCAGGGAAGAAATCAAATCTAATGTTAAACACAAAGGGCTTATAAAAGACTCAGATCTCTCGAGCTTACCATATCTTCGATGTGTCGTCTATGAGACGCTTAGGCTATACCCTGCAGCTCCAATCTTGCCTCCTCACTGCTCATCCAAGAGATTCAACTTAGGCAACTACGAGATCCCTGAAAATACAGTGTTGTTGGTGAATGCTTGGGCTGTTCATAGGGACGATGAGCTTTGGGAAGAAGCCAATGTTTTCAAGCCGGAGAGATTTGAAGGGTTTGTTGGCGATAGAGATGGTTTTAGGTTTTTGCCATTTGGAGTTGGGAGGCGGGCGTGTCCTGCAGCTGGACTTGCAATGAGGGTAGTGTCGCTTGCTGTTGGAGCATTGGTTCAATGTTTTGAGTGGGAGAGGGTAGAAAAAGTAGATATAGACTTCAGGCCTGCGTTCAGTGTGGCAATGGCTAGGGCTGAGCCGCTTGTTGCATTGCTTAAGCCATGGGCCGAAATGGTTCCTATCTTGTCCCAGCTCTAGTGTCATCTGTGTTGGCCAAGAAAGCTGATTTAGAGGATGCTTTCTATGTATACACTATACATATTAACCATAAGGAGGGCGAATTATCATAAAATCACAAACGGTTACCTAATAATGGAATCAAGATCTTTGTTCTTAGTTTTCGTGCTTCCTTGGCGCTAAACCTGCAAGAAGCAGAGACGACCTTAATTAGGGGTTTTCGTTTATGAATTGGCCTTATATATAGACTATGTAGGGGATCGTCTCACCTTCCACTAGATAGAGATATATGGAGAAGGATTATTTGTTAAAACTATCACTGTTGCTTCTACATTCATTTTCAATCTTATATGACCAAAAAACTAGAGATGCAACGAACAAAAACAGAAGTCCCATTCGATGACCCGAATCTGAACTGGATCAAAAGCAAACAAATTTGGATTGCAAAAGTTTGACGTTCAATGAACAATCTCTGATACAACTACCAGCTGAGAAGCTATTTAGTAATGTAGTTTCTTTATACAGGAGAAAGCAAAGAAGAGCCCAAAAAGTAAAAGATTCATGCATCATCAATCTTATTTGGGTCTAGAAAGTCTTTAGGATCACTTGAGTTATCACAAAAAAAAAAAAAAAGAATTGAAAAATATATCCTCACTCGAAGTAATTAGTTAACATGGTAGCACAAAGGTTCATGTAAATTTTTTCCAAAGAACAAAAAAAAGTCACACTTTATATAGAAAATAGTGTATGCCTGCGAACCCGCGCGTAGCACCGGAATATCCCTAGTATACATCTAATGTCTAGTCTTTTCTTTTTGACAACACATTTAATGTGTGTGTGTTGTAGTCGAAGTTGAATTTTTTTACCGACATATACTATTAATTAGTCTCATATTCAACCAAACTTTTGATTTTGCTATAATTGACAAAAGAGTGATTAATTGAATTTAGAGGGCATTACACTCATTTCTACAACATGGTAAACTGAACATTTGTAAAGCAATTACAGACATAAAACGGCGATCATAATATTAAAATGATAATGATACATATGAATGATCAAGAAGAACGGTTTTCAGAGGCGTGACGATCTTTTTTTTAATTCTTGAGAATGCTATGTAGTGTGACAGTTGAACGACTTTCTGGATCACATAATAATACAATTGTAACTATTCTGTGAATCTATCTCATAAAATATAATTTATGCAGCTAACAATGCTAACAAAGTAACAATGATGTGAGTATGTGACCATCCTTAGTTATCTTTTTCTCAAGAACTCATCTGCCTTGGTCGTGTCTTTTCTATTCTTTTTTAGCCTTGGTAGCTGCTCTACTTATAATTTTGTTAGTTATTTTAAAATTGATGATTATCAAGATGCCAAGGATGAAAGCGTTGATCATGTGATCCTCCAAGTTATCGTTCATTGGTATCTGTGATTCATCCATTTCATAGCGGATAATCATTTTTACGCGCTGACCTGCTGAGAGTGTGACTTCTTTTACGCTTTGTTCCTTAACCTGATCATAAACAATGGTATATATGCATTACTTTAACTGGCCGGTCAATAAACACTAGCTCACAAGCAAGGTTTCAAGTAAGGACCTCAGATTGTGCAATACCAAAATCTTCCCACAAGCTCATCGATAAGTAATCTTTTTTACGCCAGTGAATTTGAACATCTGAAATAGTTGTAATCATTTTAAATAGCTATCACCTACGCATAATTTCCTAATTAATAAACACGAATTGACAAAAGTGTGATTGATTACCGGAGTTTTCAAGTATAGATATGATGATGTTGCTAACCTCCGAAGTTATGTTCATCATCTGCACCATATATTAATTACATGCATGTAAGAACTCTGAGTGAGTCAAACTTATATACTTAGTTTTTTCCATAAATACAAAAATAAAATAAAACTATATATACTTTTCCTGTTCCTGACACAGAAAGCCTTCCGAGAAGAAGTGCAAATAAAGGTGTTGAAACATGTGGAGCTTCTTTGAGTGAAGCATGATGATGAGGTTTCATGTCTTTTGAGTATGGGAAGAAAATGCAGTAGATATTGCCTGTGTCAGGCTCTATCCCTGGCTTTGTATATCTTCAGTACAACATATAAAAATGAAATTAAAGCAAGATCATGCATGTACATATATATCCACTGCAATTAAGTAAAGGTACGTAAAGTTAAAATCATGCATACCCTATAAATGGAAGTTCAACTTGGCAATCAAATGTAGCTTTGTTTCCATTTTCAAGAGCTATAAAATTGTTCTTCCTGTTGCATTTTATATTATCATCAATGAATCATAACTTGATTCAACGGGAGAACATGTGTCAACCGATAGACATATATAATCAAAGGAGAAACCGTGTGATACCTGAATTTCAAAGGCAAATTGGATCTTTTCGATGTGAGTGTTTCTCTAGGAGAATCAGTATTTTTATGTAATGTTGTATGAAACTTTTGAGAACCTTTTAGGAAGAAATCCAAGTTAACAATATACATATAAAAAATGGAACAAGATAGAATTAAAAAAAAAAAAAAAGAGACACGTTCAATTAAAATTACCTGCTGTAGAATTCATTGTGGCAACTATTTGCAGATATGATGCAACAACGGTCTCTACTGAAACATTTTGCCACATAACCATAGAAGATGGATAATTATTGACACTGGAAGATGAACCCAAATGCGATGAAAATTTTCTTGTTAAAAGCAAGACATGAACCAGAACCCAAGCGAAGAAGCAGAACCTTAAAAAAGTCATCTTTCACCGAAAAAATGAATGAATTTTAAATCTCTTATATATGTAATACCCAAGATTAAACAAAAAAAAAAGTAAATTAATGAATAAATGTGAATACCAATTTCTCTTAAATAGGGTCCAATTTTGTTTAGAGGGAAATTTAGTATTAACTTTTAATTAGAGAAATATGAAGATGAAGTGAAATTTTTTAATTTGATATCAATACTTTAATATTCAGTAACTAATACATATCAATATTAAATATATTATATATGTATATAAGTAAGGAAATCTTTAATTTTAAAACTAAATTCCCATTTTTACAAGATAAAGTCCTAGAAAGGTTTGTTTTTCCAAACAAAATCTTATGTTATTTAATCACTTCTAATATGTTTAATTCATTTTTTTTTTTTAAATACGAGTCAAAAGCTTGTGTTAAGTATAAATGATTTTGAAATAAACTTCAAGTGCTTATTAATTCTTACGGATTTTCTAGTTAATATAAGAGAGAATTTTAGCTAAACCCTATCTATTTGAACATCTATATAATCATGAAAGATTAAGTAAATCCTTTTGATATAGTAATAATAATACTTTTGATATGGATTTCCATAATAACTAGGGATTAGCTAGTTTTATATGAAAACTAAATCCATAAGAATTATAAAATCTAGAAGTTTATTTCAAAACACACAAGAATTTGATAAAAAGAATGAAAAATATATTTATAATTATATTTGTTAAATACTGAATATTTTAAAATAACTATACCAAATTAAGATTGAATATACTTTACCGAAAATTAACTGATTAGGCCGAGGTAATTTGACTTATTGTTGACAAAATATTGTGAATAGAACGAATCATCAAAAAAAATTGAGATTCGTGAGACCAAAACGGTTTGGTCAACGGAATGTTTTGGTTCTCTTTTTTTTTTTAACGAATATTTTTTTGGAATAATTGTGATTTAAATGATGTTTTTTTTTTCTTCTGATAGTTACGAGATTGACCAAAAAAAGGAAAATGGAAAATCTCTGGTTCATCTTCTTCTTCTTCCTCACAGCTACTTTGATCTTCTTCATCACCAAGAAGTTACTGTGGAGTCTAAACTCTAAATTACCTCCAAGTCCTACGCCACTTCCGATCATCGGCCATCTTCATCTCATCAAGAAGCATCCTTTACCACAAGCTCTACATCATCTCTCTTCAAACTACGGACCAGTTCTGTTCCTCAAATTCGGATGCCGTGCCGTTTTGACCCTCTCTTCTCCAGATTCCATCGAAGAATGCTTCACCAATCACGACACAACCCTTGCTAATCGTCCCAAGACCATCACCTCTGATCACTTCAGCTACGGCTACAAAAACTTCGGATTTGCTCCTTATGGCGATCTCTGGCGAACTCTCCGACGTCTCTCCACTCTCGAGGTCTTCTCCTCCGTCAGCCTACAGAAGAACGCTTACATACGAAATGAAGAAGTGTCCAATCTCTGTTCGAATCTCTTCAGATTATCCCGTGACTCTCGGAGAGTGGATCTCAAGTATCAATTCACTCTTCTCACAGCTCATGTCATGTTTAGATTAGTGTCTGGCAATCGTGGGGTCGAAGAGAGCGATCCGGAATCAGAGAAGAGGTTCTTGGATGATTTCAAATTGAGGTTTTTCTCGAGCATGTCGATGAATGTCTGCGATTATTTCCCAGTCTTGAGGTGGATTGGGTACAAAGGTCTCGAGAAGAGAGTGATTGAGATGCAGAGGATGAGAGATGAGTATCTTCAGCGTCTCATTGATGATATTCGAATGAAGAAATTTGATTCCACTGGTTCAATAGTAGAGAAATTCTTGAAGCTTCAAGAATCAGAACCTGAATTTTACGCAGATGATGTTATCAAAGGAATCGTAGTACTAATGTTCAATGGCGGAACGGATACATCACCTGTGGCAATGGAATGGGCAATGTCACTTTTACTGAACCATCCCGATAAGCTTGAGAAGCTCAGAGAAGAAATCAAATCTAATGTAAAACACAAAGGGCTTATACAAGACTCGGATCTCTCGAGCTTACCTTACCTTCGATGTATCATCTATGAGACGCTTAGGCTATACCCTGCAGCTCCACTCTTGCTTCCTCACTGTTCATCTAAGAGATTCAACTTAGGCAACTATGAGATTCCGCAAAACACAATGTTATTAGTGAATGCTTGGGCTGTTCATAGGGACGGTGAGCTTTGGGAAGAAGCTGATGTTTTCAAGCCGGAGAGATTTGAAGGGTTTGCTGGCGATAGAGATGGTTTTAGGTTTCTGCCATTTGGAGTTGGAAGGCGGGCGTGCCCTGCAGCTGGACTTGGAATGAGGGTAGTAGCGCTTGCTGTTGGCACATTGGTTCAATGTTTTGAGTGGGAGAAGGTAGAAGAAGGAGACATAGATATGAGGCCTGTGTTTGGTGTGGCAATGGCTAAGGCTGAGCCGCTTGTCGCATTGTCTAAGCCATGGCCTGAAATGGTTCCTATCTTGTCTCAGCTCTAGTGTCATCTGTTTTGGCCAAGAAAGTTGATTTAGAGGATGCTTTTTATGAATAAACAATACTAAGGAGGGTGAATGAACATAAATCAGAAATGGTTACCTAAATAATGGAATCGAGATCTTTGTTTTTCGATCTTTCTTAGCCTTATAGACCATAAGAGAATCATATCAGAAGGATCATTTGCTTCCGCATTCATTCAATCCTTATATGACCACAACAATAGTTATGCAACAAACAAAAACAGAAGTCCCACTCGACGACAAGAATCTAATCTAGATCAGAAGCAAACAAATTTGGATAGCAAACTTCCGTCGTACAATATACAATTTCTCATACAACTACCAGCAGAGAAGCTTTTTAGCAATGCAGCTTCTTTGTACACGATAAAGCAACCAAAAAGTAGAGATCCATGCATCATCAATGATGGTAATTTTGTCCCTTGAGAATAGTCCATGACCTGAAAACAGAAAACCCATTACAACATATGAAAGTGTAATAGGAATGCAAGACCAGAAGCAACAATGGTTTCACCTGTAAAGCTGTTCCATCAGCACCACAAGAGCAATCTGATGATTCAGGACCATGGAGGAAAGTCTAATGGTCACATTAGCTCGCTTCCTCACTTGTCTTCCATGTCCATAAGCTCCACCTATACAAAACGAGATCCGCGAAGCTCCCTGGAAACAGAGATAGCCACACCAAAGGCTGAGTGACCATCTTAAGCTTTTTCATTCATAAAGACAGTTTCTCCAAGATGAGACTAGATTCAAACCCAAAAAGTCATTACATACAATCAATTTGACTACTTTCCAAGCAGAAAATGGGTGATATTTCAACAAAGAGAGGGTATCTATAACAAGCTTACACTATTTCCGGCATCCCCTAGTAACTCAGCCATGGCCTCTGAATCAATGTCACGGCCTCTCTCGTCAAGCACCACAACCTAAAATGAAATCTCACAATCAGACGGACCCATCTAGAACAATCAATCACATTGACTAAATCCAAGGAGATTACTATTAATACCCAATCATCAGACCCAATAAGCTTCATCATAGCCACCTCTTCATCCTCAACCTGAGCTCTAACATCCCTGTGAATAAAAGACTATTGGTTTCCAGAGAAAGCTACCAGCAATCAAGTTACGGAGTTGGGTCATTCAAATTGAAGGAAACTTACTGAGCATTTCGAGGATTGGAGCGAACCAATGAATCTTCAAAGGAGCAATAAGGTTTAAGCTTGGTTTTGTATTCATCGACCAAGAGTCGAACACCTTCTGATCTCTTTTTCCCAACTGTTATTACTCGTATAGGAAGAGCTCTCTGTGAACCAAAGTAACAATTCCATCAAACCCTAAACGCCCAAATTCAATAAGCTCGAGCAGAGAAGGTTTTTAGTTACCACTGCTTGACCCGCGTATCTACATGTTCTGCCTGATAAAAGTCACGAACCAATGACCATACACAATCTTCAACATTGCGTTCAAAATCAACAAAAATTTTAGAATGAAAAAAGAAACCTTTTTCGTGAGGAGTAGGAGAAGCAGATGCATATAGCTGATTCAATTGAGAAATGGCCATGACAGAGATGGCCGCTTTTGTGTTCTTCAAAGTTCACGAAAATTTGCATTAACCGTGTTTGAACGACTCGACTAATCCATCCACATGAGAAGCCTCCGATTGATATCGACGGTCTAAGGCCCAACGCTTAAAATATGAAATTATGGGCCCATTTATAGCGTCTATGAAAAATTAATTAAAAAAACATTTTTACTTTTCCTTATTTTACTAGATTATATGATGAGATTTTTCATGGTGATGCAAACTTCTTTGAAATTTTGAATCCTTTCAAATGAAGTCGGTCTTAACAAAATATTATGGATCGGAAATATAGGCCCAATTAATAAAGGCCCATTGGAAAACGGAAACACGAGTTTCGTTGATAAATTGCTAAAACCTAGGGTTTATTACTTGTTGAACAAAAAAAAAAGGGTTTACTACTTTGGTAGGAGTTATCTTCTTCGTCTATTTCCAAAGCTTTATCCCGAAATCGTTCGTGCGTTTCCTTCCCAGCTTGAGGTACGGTGTTTCTTATCTCTCTCTGAAGTCCGAAACCTTAATTAGTTATTTGCGTCGCCGATACCTCTTCTTTGTCTCAGTCTCTCTGCCTTCTTGATCTCCACGTTAACCAACCAATTTCAGTAGATCTGGTAGATTATTTCAAACCGCATATTAGGTCAAAAAAAAAAAAACTGCAGTTCTGAGAATCTGATTTCATTGTTTCGTGAATTGATATTCATTTTCCAAATTTATCTCCGAATCTGATTCTAATAATGTATCTCTGCTTATAGAAAAAACATGTCGTTCCAAAGCAATCCGAATCTGGAAGAAGCAGTCTCTGAACCACCTCCAGAGATCAAAAATTGTCTCGAGGAAACGGCATACGTAGTTGCCAAACTTGGGGATGCTCGTGCGTTGGAGTTTGAGAGACGGATATTTGCCGCTGATGTAAAAAATGCAGTATTCAATTTCTTGCATCCCTCAGACCCTTATCACGCATATTACAAGGAAAAGGTTACTGAATACCGTACTCAGCCCCAGCCTCCAGTGAGATTAACCTGCGATCTTGAGCCTCCTGTGAGGAAACCACTTTTTGATATCCCTGACAAGTTGTCATTCTTTCCTGAAGCAATAAAGCCCAAGGAGCTTGGTTCTATTATCCTCACAGCTGTGTTTGTTGCGCGTTATGGGAAGTATTTTTGGGACGAGTTGATGAAGAGAGTGGGTACAGAACCTCTGTTTGATTTTGTGAAGCCAACTGGTAGCAGTTTCAAATGTTTCTATCAGCCTGTTTATGCTTATTCCAGAGTAATAAGGCGTTGCCGAAAGCCTGATACTAGTAAGGAGGATCTTGTGGACGGTTTTCGCGGTCTTCTCCAAGCGGAGGGAGTAGGGACTGCTTTGATTGATTTGCGTGTGCTTGAGTATATTGCTAACACAGAGGATAAAGATTTGCTACACCCTTCAATGATGATGAATCCACCACAACAAATGCAGCGTCCTGTTGCTGTGCCGCCTCCGGATTTCATCAAGTTTGTCGAGCATACTGCACGTTTTGTTTCCAGTCATGATAATGTGTTGGAGTGCGAGAGAAGGATGTTAGCCGCTGATGTGAATAACGAATCATTCAGCTTTCTGGTTAGCTCAGACCGTTATCACTCATATTACCAGGAAAAGCTTATCGAATACCGTGCTCGGTTCCAGCCTCCAGTTAAGGAACCGCTTTTTGATGGGCCTTACAATTTGACATTGCTTCCTGAAGAAATAGCTCCCAAGGAGCTAGATTATATTAAGCTCACAGCTATGTTTGTTGCGCGTTTTGGGACGTTTTTTCTGGATGAGTTGATGAAGGGAGTGGCTAACCAACCTCAGTTTGAGTTCATAAAGCCAGCCGATAGCAGGTTCAAATATTACTCTCTGCTTCTTTCTGCGTATTCGAGAGTATTAAGGTGTTCCCAAAAGCCTGAGTATAGTAGCGCGGATCTTGTGGACGATTTTCTCCATCTTTTTCAAGCGGATGAGCAGCAGGACGAGGGAGCGGTAATGGCTATGATTGACTTGCCTACCTTTGAGTGTGTTATGGACATATCGGATAATGTGTTGCTGCTAAAACACGCATTGAACCCACCACAATAAAGGCAGTTTTGTATGGATGTGCCAACAAATTTGGATTGAAAAAGTTTGACGTTCAATGAACAATCTCTGATACAACTACCAGCTGAGAAGCTATTTAGTAATGTAGTTTCTTTTCACACGAGAAAACAAAGTAAGAGCCCAAAAAGTAAAATATTCATGCATCATCAATGATGGTAATTTTGTCCCTTGAGAATAGTCCATGACCTGAAAACAGAAAACCCATTCAGCATATAAAAGTGTAATTGGAATGCAAAGACAGAAGCAACAATGGTTTCACCTGTAAAGCTGTTCCATCAGCACCACAAGAGCTATCTGATGATTCAAGACCATGGAGGAAAGTCTAATGGTCACATTAGCTCTCTTCCTCACTTGTCTTCCATGTCCATAAGCTCCACCTATATAAAAAAAAACATTTACTTTTCCCTATTTTACTCTTTGTGATGACACAATTATGTTTGGTTTTCTGAACTACCGCCAAAATTTTCTAAAACATGAACTTTTGATAGGTTTGTTTCCTAGGATTTGTGATAACTAAAAGAATACAAATCTAAACATTTGATATTTTTAAAGAATGTTTGTATGTATTGCTGCAAAATAGTGCAACGATAGTTTATAACTTTTGTGTGATGTGATATAAGTTTTCTGTAACTAAATCGTTTAACAGGTGTACATGACAAGGATTCACAATGGAAAGTTTTATTTTCCAACATGTTTATAGTTTATAATTTTTACCTTTAATACACGATGAATGATTCTATATATATACCGTAAATTTTTTATAAAGTGTTTTCATTCATTTGCATAATTCACATTCTTTATCAGTCAAATATCATATAAATATACTAAGAAGAGCCTAAGTTAAATCACTAATCTACTGATTACATTTGTGTCCGAAGGAGGCATGAAAAGACAACGTTAGACTTTATTAATTATCAGATAATCATTTTATTATTCCGAACAATGCATCCCCTACCACCAGATCAATTATATATAGTTTAGTGATGTTCTTTTCTTCATCCAACACATTTTAAAACTTTATAATAAACATGGAACAAAAATATGCGTCTTCTTTTGTATATATTCCCCAATCTACATACCTTTAATTAGTTCTAATTCCGTATTAAACAACTCTTGGCATCTCCACACTCATTTGCCCATCCATGCATCTTTATCTTTAGCTTTTACCGTTAATATTAGTATTTGAGATCAGATGTATATATATATCCACTTCTTCATACACTGCCCGAATATTTATAAGATGAACAAATTTGATCGGAAATAATATATATATATATATATTGAGTTTTTATGTTTCTAGGTTTCTAGATTATGGGTCAAACACTCAAACTAATATGATTCATTCTAGAATCAGTATGTAAAATGCAAATGATCAATACGTACACAAAGTTTGTTCGAACTCGTGGTCGGCTTGCTGTACTAATTCCATTCATATCGAAATAAAATACTCGTTCCTTGAACGAGACGTTAACTAGAGTACATATTCCGTTTTACTACTTATGTAATCAGAATAGAATTTCTCTTTAATATATGAAAACGATGTCTTCAATAATAAGATTTAAGAATGCATGATTCGGTCAGTGACGTATTAGGCTCTCTCGGTATGTACTAATTAATGAAATCGGAAATTGGCTGGCTAGAATAATATATTTTTGGTGAATAATAACTACGTCGACTAGCCTCGGATAACTAATACTTATTATTTAATCGAAAAGTAATACAGTAGTTATTTATTGATGGAGAATAGTCTCGTAGACAATTGAATACGTGATTCTCTCATGCATATATGCTATTCGGAAATGAATTAGCCCCCACCATTAGGGCTCCTTTCCATGTGTTTTGTATGCTGATTTTTTGCAAAAAAATGCTGAGTAGAGTGGATCCAAAATTGTTAGAGCTAGTTACCCTAAAATTAAGGTTACGTATATGCATATATAGTATTACGGTAATACTATTACCCTAAACTATCAATTACTAGTAAGCTTCTGAAGCATCTTTAGTATTTTTGCCATTCTGAAAAACAATAGACAGCTTTAAAAACATTTACTTATGTGTTAGATCAGTAAAAGTCATAAAACTATGAAAATAAATCAAAGAAAGCCCATTTTTTAAACGTTTGATTATAGATGCAATCAACCATTAACCAAAAAAAAAAAGCCCTATCGAATATCAACAATTTTTGTTTAAAGATAAATAGATCGAGAAGAATTGAGGAATGGTATAAGCATGACCCACAATATCTAGATTCTCCATACGATTGAGACAGAATTTTATATAATTTATTCAAGTGTGTCGGCTTTCTATGTTCTCCCAAATCCCTCATTCATTGTTTTTAAAATTTTAGGTCACTATCGAGAATATAAACCAAATAAACTAGTGATACTTTAGCAATGACTTCTATAATATTTTAAGCAAGGATGTGTCTTCTTTAATTAAATTAGTTTCTATGCGTTCAATTTTTCGTGTAATTCTATTATTAAGTTATTAACGTCCAAAAAGTTATCACCTAAGTCGATCATCTCTTATATAATTGTTCTATGTACCATATTTACTTCAAGCAAATGATATTTCTTTGCCTTGTGAATCCACACTTTGTCTAAAGGACAAATTTCAATATAACTAAAAAAGAAATTTCACTTTGTAAAAATAAATAATTAAGTGCTCTATTTAAAATTGGAGGTATTGTTCAACTTCATGCTTGAAAAGGCGGCTGTGAAAAATGAAAAAATCTCTGGTCTCATATCCAAAAACGTTTTTTTTTTTTTTTTTTTTTTTTTTTTTAAATGTAAAAAGGGATAACCATCTCATGGCTATAAATACAGAGCTCACACACAAACTCTCTCATAAATTCATAACTAAACACCAAAGCAATCGCTCGAAACCCCTTACAAACATACATCTCTCTTTACATATACATAACAAAACTCATTTTGTGAGGCCATGTCAGGCGTTTGGGTGTTCAACAACGGAGTGATACGTCTAGTGGAGAACCCGAATCAGTCCGATGGAGTAGCCACACAGGCACACGGCCGGAGATATGTCTTGGTTTACTTGCCGACCGGTGAAGCCGTCTCTTCTCACTCGTCGCTTGAACAAATCTTAAGGAGCCTCGGGTGGGAAAGATACTTCAGTGGAGACTCCGATCTCATCCAGTACCACAAACGCTCCTCCATCGACCTCATCTCCTTACCAAGAGACTTCTCCAAGTTCAACTCCGTTTACATGTACGACATCGTTGTCAAGAACCCTAATTCCTTCCACGTCCGCGATTTCAAATGAAATCCCACTTGAGTTAATTACTCTCGACCAAGAGGTCTAGTTTGTGTTTGTTTTGTTTCAACCGGGAAATTCCAGACATAAATCTTATACTATAAAAATCGATCGGAATCTGCAGTGTGAATTAATGATTCTACGTAAAGGTAAAAGAGAAGATGTGTGCAGCTATTTGAATTCGACATACAAAGCGATGACTATTGGAATATCATTACTACGTTAGATTGTGTTTATTTGTTAATATATGTGTGTTTAACTGTTGGTTTGGTTTTAATTGGTTCTCCAAGTTTGCCGCATGTGCATGTGCATGCTTCCTTATTTTTCATTTTTTTTGTGAGGCTTGTATGGGACAAGATAGTAGTGTTGCAAAAGGTGGCACATTACTTAAATGTTGTTACTTATTTAGTTTTGTAGCTTTGTAATTGTGGTGAATGGTGATTGATCGATGTAAGAATTGTGTTCCTTTTTCGTTATATATGTAAAAGTAAAGTAAAATTTGTGTTGAGTCCGAAACTACAAGTTCAAACATTACCATTTATTTTGTATAGTGTAACGATCCAAAAACATGTTAATTGTTTATCTTGGAACTATATATATAAAATTCCTGAATATAGGCCCGTTAAAAGCCCAACTAAATTCTTAATTGTTCATTACGCTTTTGTGTGTTTTCCATATTCTTACTCTATCCAATCGAAACCCGAATCCGGATCCAAACCCAGATCCGGACCCTTTATCGTCGGCATCAACAGGCGACGAATTACCTCAAACGCAAAGCAAAATCTACAGGCGGAGAAGTTGGATTCCAAGGAACGTTTTTCTTGAATCAATTCTGCTCTACAACTAGTTTCTGTAAGTGTTTGGATCAATATTCTATGTTAAGCTCAAAGTTAGTGAATTTGGATTTGGATTCTTGTGATTCTCAAAATCATCGTCGTAAAGTGCTTCAGAAAGATGTTTTAATTCTCATTGCTTCTGATTATTTGTGGGGTTAAGTCAGAACAAGTGTAGGAGCTTTTGCTTATGAGTCATGTCGGTTTTGTTATCTTAACTTTTTTTCTGAATTCATTAATGGTGACTATATAAGTTTTCTAGGTGATGTGTTTGTTATACAGAATTGAAACTTTACTTACATACAATTTCTGTTTGCCCTTGTTCGCAGAAACTAACTATGCCTCGTAAAGGATTATCCAATTTCGATGATTATGATGATGGTTTTGATGATGAGGACGATGCTTATGATTATGACTATGATATAGATATTGAAGAACACGGTATAAACATCTTCCCATTACCTTTCTTGTGGTGGTTAATGGTCTCTCTTTAACTTGGTTTATGATTTGTTTTCCTGTTTTCTTAAACTGCAGAAGAAGAAGAAGCTGCTGAACCAAAGGAAGAAATTGCTAAGAAAGGGCTTTGGCGATGTGCTATCTGTACATATGACAATGATGAGTGTATGTTTGTATGTGATATCTGCGGTGTTCTTCGTCATCCTGTGTCCGGAAATCAAAGTATCAATAAGACTACAGGTACTATATCTTCTTTCCTCCAATCTGTATTTGTATTTATGCGATCTCTCTTTGCCTCTGCATAGGGTACATGAATTATTGCATCCTGTCTGATGTATCTCGTATGTTTTGTTTTTTGAGGTCACTTGATCAAGCTATTGGTTTATGTTTAGAAAAAGTAGTGACTGTGCTTTTTATACTTGTGTTGATTTTGCTATTCTAGGTGTTTAATTATAGAATAGATGTGTTTTATGCAGTTGAGAGCAGATGCAAAGAACCTGTGGTATCCAAATTGGCAAAGTCCCTTTTCGGATCAGTCCCATCTAATACACCGAAAAGGGCTGTTCTTTATCTGCCTGAACACAAGAATCTTGTGATGGAACAGGGACCTCTGCCTGGAATTTCCCGTGGGAATATTCATGATCTCCACAAGGCCTTTAGTTCTAAAAATTCCTGCGTTAGTATAGGTTGTGAACTTTCAGTAGTTTGATAGTGTTTTCTGTTTTTCAGTTTATCATGACAAGCTGTTTGTGTTGAGAGTCTATAGTTGGTTCTTTGCAATTGTGGTGTTGCAAATGCGTTATTCTGACATTTCCTTTTCAACTTATGTATAGCACCTTTCAAGTTTGATGCTCCATCGCCAGATGATTTAGTGTCCAATGGACTAACATCCTCAAAAAATGGTCCAAAAGGTATCCACACTTACTTGGTTTTCACTTTGAGTTTGATGCTGTAATGTTATTGGACGGATTAGATGCTGAAACCTATATTGATACGGATCCAATGACGCCTTGGATAGTCTATTCACTTAGTGACGTAGAGAAAAGGAAACATAAGCACAAGTCCTAGTCTAACTAGGATTTATAGTTCAATTACTTATTGCAATAGGATTTCTTTTATTGTTTCCTTTCCTTTTTAATTTTGGGTTATTTTTCTTATTAATATGGCTGAAACTTGTTTGTGAATTTCCTCCAAGTTATTCTCTTTGGGCGTTTTTACTCTGTTCTGTTTCTAATTTTTAATAAAGGTGTTCGTTTTTGCATTGGGTTCTTAACTCTAAAGGCTCAGGTGATGCTAGCATGAGACAGAAGGAGAAGCAAGATAGCGCAGAACAGAAACCTTTAAAGAAAGGAGGAGATAGTTCCGAAACAAGCTCCCGAGGTAGACATGATAAACTTGATAATAGTGTTTCAAAGGGTGGTGCTGGTGGCATAAAATCGGGAAAAAGTTTGCCAAAAGCAAAAGCAGATATGTCTAATGAGACAAGTTCTTCCTCCAAATATTTGGAGACGTCAGAGAGTCTTACCGGTACTATGAACAAGATGTCTTTAATTGGGGAAGCAGAAAACTCCAGCGATATTAAAATTAGAGGACCAAGATCACAATCTAAGCATAAGCCAGAGGAGTGGATGCTTCTTGATAAAGAATCAGATGCACTTAGCCAGCTTAATCTTGCCATCGTGAGTTTCTTCGATTACTGGCGACTATTTATTGATTTTTGTCCAGGCAGATTACTGATAGTTGCAATCTGATTGTAGGTGGGGCATGTTGATTCTGGTAAGTCAACACTTTCGGGTAGATTATTGCATCTATTGGGAAGAATATCGCAGAAGCAAATGCACAAGTATGAGAAAGAAGCAAAGTTGCAGGTAACTTGTTGTTTTGTTTGGATCTTAGATATTCAAATTTTCAGTATTCTGCTCTGTTTGCTTGACATTGTCTTTCTGATCTGATCAGGGCAAAGGGTCCTTTGCATATGCCTGGGCATTGGATGAGAGTGCTGAAGAAAGAGAACGAGGAATAACAATGACTGTGGCTGTTGCTTATTTCAACTCCAAAAGACATCATGTTGTTTTGCTCGACTCTCCTGGACACAAAGATTTTGTTCCAAACATGATTGCAGGAGCAACACAAGCAGATGCTGCGATTCTTGTCATAGATGCATCTGTCGGTGCTTTTGAAGCTGGTTTTGATAATTTGAAAGGCCAGACAAGGGAGCATGCACGGGTTCTGAGAGGTTTTGGCGTGGAGCAAGTCATAGTTGCAGTCAACAAAATGGATATTGTTGGCTATTCGAAGGAAAGATTTGATTTGATTAAGCAGCATGTTGGATCTTTTTTGCAATCCTGTCGTTTTAAGGATTCTTCTCTGACATGGATTCCTTTAAGTGCCATGGAAAACCAAAACTTGGTGGTAGCTCCCTCTGACAACCGCCTATCCTCATGGTATGCTCCTGTTTTTCCTTTCTCGATACCTGACGGAAATTCTGGTACAGATAGCTGGTAAATTGCTTTGCATGCTCGAAATAGGCCATGAAATGGTTTAATTTTTGGCTAATACAGGTATCAAGGTCCATGTTTATTGGATGCCGTTGACTCTGTCAAGTCTCCTGATAGAGACGTCTCAAAGCCTCTACTCATGCCTATATGTGACGCTGTAAGATCAACTTCGCAAGGGCAGGTATCTGCATGTGGCAAACTTGAAGCTGGAGCTGTTCGGCCAGGATCTAAGGTACACAAGTTTCACAATGGGAAGTTATTCTTCTCGTTTGGTTGCATGATTAGTGATTTTATATCTATCTACCGGAATTAACCTTAGGATACGCTTTTCTGGTGATTTTACCTAATTTCCTTTTCGATATCTTAGTAGCTTGACCTAAACCCATGATTGAATTCTCAACATCAAACGCCAACAATTACTATATTGTGTACAAAATCAGTTTGGGTGTTGGGAAGATTTCACAGTATTAAGTTTCCTTTGTTATCAATAGCTTCCGGTCGAATTACTTTCTTGCGGATGTGCCTCTAGTCTATTGTTTAATGAAATGAATGAAACTGCTTCAACTAATTATTTACATTACTGGAACTTTCTGCTAGATAATGGTTATGCCATCGGGAGATCAAGGAACCGTGCGGTCTCTGGAGCGTGACTCTCAGGCTTGCACCATTGCAAGAGCTGGAGATAATGTAGCGATAGCTTTGCAAGGGATCGATGCAAATCAAGTAATGGCAGGAGATGTATTGTGTCATCCTGATTTCCCTGTATCAGTAGCAACTCATTTGGAATTAATGGTGCTCGTCTTGGAAGGCGCAACACCGATCTTGCTTGGTTCTCAGGTAAAACAAAAAACAAAAAAAAAGCCTCTCTTTCCCTCTTGCTCGATTCTCTATAATCCGTTCCATGTTTTCTGATCCTTTCCATTGAAATTCAATCATTATAGTTGGAGTTTCATGTGCATCATGCAAAGGAAGCTGCAACAGTTGTGAAACTTGTGGCAATGCTTGATCCCAAAACAGGGCAGCCAACAAAGAAGTCTCCTCGTTGTCTAACTGCTAAACAGAGTGCAATGCTTGAGGTTTGAAAATCTCTTTGCCTTATGAGGTGAATTATTACAACAAATGATTTGATCTGACTATTTTTGATTGTAACTGCAGGTTAGTCTCCAAAATCCAGTTTGTGTGGAGACATTTTCTGAAAGTAGAGCTCTTGGAAGAGTGTTCCTTAGATCATCAGGAAGAACTGTTGCTATGGGCAAAGTTACTCGGATTATCCAAGACTTATAAAAATTCTCTGTTGTTGTAAGATTTTTACTTGTTCATTACAAATTGAGTCGTCCCAAGTTTTGTCTGCAATGCATTATCAGAAAATATCCTAAAATAGATATGCAACATTTAATCAAATTTTACTGTGTAATTCAATTTATCCAATTTTTGTCTTTAAGGTGTTTAACACAATAAATCTTTATTCTTAAAAGTAATTTTTTTTTTGTTTTCAATAATTCTGTAGACTATGATGACACTATATAACCTTCCTAAGGTAATAAACTCAGTACAAAAAGAGTGGAGATAAAGTTAGAGAATGTTTTGTTTTCTGCAATTTCATGCAAATAACTTGAGACACTATTTTAATAACACTGAGTTTCAGAGTGAAACTACTATATATAGGATTTTATCTTGCAATTTTTCCTAACAATTCTATAGAGAGTGACAGGAATTCCCGTATGATATATATAACTCAGTTTAGTCTTGACGAGTGCAGAAAGAGAGTATAGTTGTTTGTATAAACCAAACAATGTTTCAGGCTCAAATCAAAAGTTGAGCTTTTAATACAGAAAGAGAAGGATATGGTCACCTGATCTTATTTACCCATTTGTACCCAATTGGGTCAAAAGAAAGATATTGTTATATGTACAAAAGAAAAGAAAAGAAAAGAAAAGAGAGAGAGCAAGATGATGTAGAGACAAGCACTTGGTGAAGAAAAAAGCAATGTATCTGCATCATCTTGGAATCATCCCACAAACCTAAAACTGGTGTTGGCATTATTCACTAAAATGATTTCTCCTCTTCCGCAGAGGTTTTGCAGATTGGGCACCAATTCTTCATCCGCAGCCATTGTTGTACACAGCTCACATGGTACATATGTTGACATGGCATAGTCCCTACTTCATCTCCATCAACATACTCTTCCTGCATATATCAAAGCACATTAACATCTTCTTCGTTTTCACTAAAACCCTTTTATTACACAAAGCAGAGTCTAGTTTGGGGTAGAAATTAGAGTGAAGATAGAGAGACAAAAGAGACCTGGCAAATACTGCACTTGATATCATCTTCCTTATTCAGAGATATGGATCCGGTTTCATCTGTCTCCTGATAAGTGCTTTGCTTGAGGCTTCTCGAGAGTGCTTCTTCGCTTAGAGCTGTGCTCACTGTACCCATTTTCTCCCCCAAAGCTAGTAGTTCCTGCAAAATTTGTATTCATATGGTTTTAGCTTTCATAGACTTTTGAGTTTGAATAATCCAAGGAACAAGAAGTTAAACATGCAAGACTGACCTCATATGACATGTTATCAATGTCAAGCCTCATATCTCTATGCTGATCGTAGAATCTGAACATACCACTTGAGAATAGATTGGTCTCCAAAGAAGCCAGTTGCTATGGGAAAAGAAGCAGAACAGAAAGTAGAAACGTCAGAAAAACCATAAGCTCAGACAAAACTTGTTCATATCAAAATACAACCAAGCTGCTAAATACCTCATATGTAAGCTCTTCATCATGTTCAATCCTTTCCAGGGCCAACAATACCTGAAACATTTTCAAAATAGTATTGTGTTAGCACGATTCACGACCACTCAGGAACATGTCAATGACATCAGACAAAATGGTGACGGAAACTACCTCTGCAATACCATTCATGTTGTAGTGACTCAAACCATCCCGGTTCACCAAAGAGCTTGAAGGGTCAGCTTCTGTGGGGCTACCAGGCATCGTGCTATGTACGCGTCCAGTACTACTGTTTGGCCTACTGTATCTATCTGATGGAAAAAACGAAAGAGAAGGATTGGGATCGGTTGGTGTTGCAGGATGAGGCATTTGTCGAGAAGTAGCAGAGGATGCAACAGCTCCAAGTCGCTCTGATCTACCAATATAACCAGATCTCCTACCACCACTTGAACCAACACTGCTGTCCCTAATACTTGGTAATATTCGATTTCTTCTGTTATCAGAAACTGTGATGCCATTGCCATGAGAAGAATTTTGACTCCTTACCTTTGGCACCAACAAACTAGTCTTACTGCCTTTGCTAGAGGAGCTGCTCTCTCCATCAGAGTTTTTCTTTTTAGTCACACTGATTTTTGTTGCTGAGTTTGAGTTAGTTGGAAGAACATCAGACACAGAATTGCACCTCAAGTTCCTCAATCTATTCCTGCTCAAACCGCCTCTTATAGTGTGCTCGCTGTTATCAGAAGATGTGGAAACAGAAGGACCCGTCAGAGCATCTCCGCTGCCCAATTCAGACTTTTGATGACTAATTCTGCTGGTTCCTCTACTTGAGCTTCCTGCCTTTGTCAATACGACTTCTCCAGAGACAGCGCTTTGAGGATGAACATTAATTGTGCCTCTTTTAGTCTTTTGGCGTGGAAGTGTAGGCTCTGTTGCAGCTGGATCATCATGAATACTACTCTTTTCCGAAGATTCTGTGTCTAAACTAGATGACGGCTGTCTTCTGGCAGTAACTTTGGCTGGCTTTCTTAAGTATCCAAATCCACCAGGAGTTCGAGATGAACTCCCAACAGTTTCCTTTCCATTTGAGGAAGACGGAACCAGAGGCAGACCAGCTTTTGTATCGTTATCCGTAGAGCCAATCCGGGTTCTCTTGGTAGAAGTTACCTTTGCACTACAACCAACTCGGCTGCAGAAAGGAACAGTCTTACCATCTGTCTTGTTCATATTATCACGCAGGATAAGACCAGTAGCTTTCCGAGGACCAACCAACCGGTCAACAGATCGTTTACCCGTACATCCATCCATAAATCAAAGAAACACTTTCCCTGCAGACAAAAAACAAGTATCAACCCAGATTAAAAAGTGCATCCAGCCAGAACTATATCAAATAGTAATAATCCACTAACACCAAACAGAAAAACCTATAAAATAATAGCTTCAATAAAGTCATGGAAGCTTTAAGATTGTCTTCCACCAAATAAAAAAGCAAGTCGTTGAAAGTTAAAAGCATCACGGAGAGAAAAAAAAAACAGACAACCACATAAAAAAAGCTTACGGTAACAACATGGATGAAGATAATAGATCATCCAGAGCAAAACACTTGATGAATCATAAACATCAAGCTACAAAGCTGATGATTCTGTGATCGTAGATGAAGAAAAAAAAAAGTAAAAAGAAACCAAAAGAGAGAAAAAAGGAGGTGACTTTAATGGTCCCAAAAGAAAGGGTCTGATTCGAATTAGACGGACTTTCCATAAACATAACAACCCTTTTCTCCGCGATTCCAGCTTCACCATGAAACAAGGCCATCAACAAATCTAAACAGAGATGAGACAATTAAAGAAACTTTGCCCTTCAAAATTTTCCGATCAAGCTAAAAGTTACTTGTGAAATTGAAGACAACCCTTCCAAAATTGAAAAATTCAATCCAAATACAGAACAACAAGAGAGAATCTGATACAACAAATATATCAACTTTTTTTTTCTCGAGATCACTTTAGAGAAACCATGTCAGCTGCTGCGAGAGAGAGGGAAAAAAAAAAAACTTTCCGGCGTTACCTTTTTTTCCTTTTCCGAGAGATTACTCTCCGCCGTCTGTGAGAATTAACAAAAACGTGGAGCGAAGTAGAGAAGAGAGAGAGGAGAAGAAGATATATATATATATATTTATATGTGTATATATAATAAATATTGTGGGGTTTATAAAGTTTTTAATTAAACTGGGAGAAGAAAAAAGAAGTGGCGTAGCAAATATGTAAAAAGCGGTTAGAGAGATCAGGACCGTTTATTTCGGGTTTGGTTCAGTTGAAGCTAAAGATGGACGGCTGAGATGACTACTGACGTTGTCCTCAGTAGATGGAAGAGTATTAGGAAGAATTAAAACGACGCCGTTGTCCGTTAGCGGCGTTACGTATTGTAGACGGAATGATAATTGAGTATTGAATTTTGTATTTTTTTTAGTGAAATATTATTAATGGATGAGTTTTTTTTATATAATATGGGATTGGTGATTAGATTATTACTGTTGGAAAGTGTAATGGATTAGTTGATTTTGTAGATAAAAGGATTAGATTAGATTAGATTAATTAAATTATCGATATTGATAATGTCGAGAAAGGTGTAATAACAAACGTATCGTCCTTTTTGGCGTAAATCAAGAAGAGACTTCCTACTTCTTTGCAAAAGATAATTATAATTATACTCCTATAAACTAAACATATATTCTTTGTTTAGCATCAGAATTCAGAAAACAAAAAACTTGGACTTTCTCATGTATATGTGATATGTGATAAACTCATAAAAGAAAACCTTAACAACAATTTTCTTTAAAATTTCATATATCTAACAATGGAGTTTCTTTTAATTTTGAAAATGCTAAAACAATAGATAGATTGCGCAAATATATCAAACGTGGAATCCTTTGGGTAGGGAATTCCCAAAGAGGCAAAGACTTAGAACTACACGTCGGAAACTCTTATGCGGTATTTATTAACAAAAAAAGAACTCTTCTGACTTATGAGGTTCATATACAAAGCTCACTTTAAAGGTTGTTTTATGTCTTTTAAAGCGTGGATACATCGACCACCATTTCTCCACTATAGCATTTTTTTCATTTCTTTACTTTGGAACATTTTTCATTTTTCATGTATAATCCCTTCTATGTCTTTTTATTTCACATAAGCAATCATGTTATCACAAAAGGAGTAGTTGATTATCTTCGAAATATGAATTCAGCACGTTGTTTAATTTCGTGAACCTTTAATCAATATATATGTATCATGTTACTTTTTTTTGTTGGGGAAAAATGATGACTTGGTCGAGTTTCTGATTTTCAGATACGACCCAATCTTTGATCAAATTCAAAGTATTGTGCATGTCGGATTGCTATGCCCAAATATTTTATCGATGTATCGTTTGAGAAGCTGTTTTAATTCGAGACTCTTGACTCTTCCCATTGGAGATGCCTACTAGGCTACTAGTCTTTTAAGACATTGTGCTCTATGTAAGCAAAAGCAACCTACATTACGAGTTGAAGAAAATAGAGTTACAACAGCTGTTTAGGAAATTTGGAGAGATGATTGCTTGCCTGGAGGATTCATGACGGTAAAAGCAAAGGGGGTGGGTGGATTTACTGAATTCTCCACCAAAGACTCTCTTGCTAGAACCATCAGTTCTGCAAATGGTATGAAAGTTTTAGTTAGAACCCTATAAGAGCTAGTTGTTTTTACATACTTTTTATGACGTTTTCATTTAATGTATACATTATATTACATCTATGAAAAATGATAAAATACCTAATGTATCATTTTATTATTAATAATCAACAACCAATAAATATATGAAATTGTTAGTTCTGTTTTTAGGCAACAAATCACAGAGTAGCCTTTTAATTTAATGTGTGGGTAGTTAAAATTAAAAAAGTAGAATTGTTATCTTTGTTAAACTAAATTAGGAAGAATATACTTTTCCATTGAATATGTAAAGCATTATATAGAATACAATTAGCTATTATTTTTATAAGGAAACAAAAATAATAATAAATAAATTTAGACATGTATGACCATATCTAAGTAATAGTAATTACGTGGAAAAACATGTACATTTTAATAAAAAGATAGACTAGCTCAAACAAAAGTCTACGGTTTTCCAAAACGGTCGAAATCGTTATAATTTGTTTATGAACAAATAAATAAATGGAGGATTCATGGTCTCCACCACCACCACCACCTAAGAAATGCGAGATTTAAGCTCCAATTACAAAAACAGAGTTCCAAAAATAAAATAGAAAACCCTAATTTTCAACCACAAATCTTTGGAGATTACGTTCCTTGATATACACGCCTCTTCTCCTTGGTTCAAAAGCAAATTTATTCCATCTCCTTTGATCACAAGGTATTCATCTTCTTCTTCTCGTAGTAATTTTTGTCTGAATTGATTGATATTCTTAACTTTTAAGGCTGGCTACTTATTTGTTCTAATTGTGCGTTGTTCGGTAGCGTCTCAGGTCGTTATTTGATTTCTTAATAATGGCAACGACGTCTAGTACAACGAAAACGAAACCGGACAACCAAAACCTAACCAGATCAAAATCACTCGGCAGAAAGCCAAAGCCTGTCTCATCATCAGAACCTGAAGCGAACGCAGATGGATCTGATCGGAAAACAATTGGGAAGCCTTTGCCTAATTATCTGAAACCAACAATCAGCTCGAGACCTGACCCGGTCAAGTTCTTGAGGAAGAACAACGCTGTCGAAGACAATCAGAAGCTTCTTCGTAGACGATCCTTTGATCATCCTCCTTCGTCTTTGACTTCTCCATCAACTTCATCATCCCTGAAATCTCTCAATACCTCTCCTGCACACCCACGAGACAAACCCGCGGTTCCAAGGGAGAAGCCTGTCGCTGGTCTGCGTTCTACATCTTTCCATGGAAGCAGCAGAGGCGGTCTCAGAGGAAGCAGTACGGTGAAATCACCTCCTGTGGCTTCAAGAGGATCTCCAGGAGTAAAGAAGAGCGGTCTAAACGGTAGCAGTTCTTCCAAGATCAAAAAGGAAGGTTCTGCGAATGTTCCCAAGAAATCTTCGGGTAAAGAGATTTCCCCGGAATCTTCTCCTCTTGCGCCTGCTCACGAGGACGAAGAAGAGATTGTCAAGGTTGAGACCGATGTACACATTTCTGACCACAGAGAAGAACCGAAAGAGGAAGATAAAGATCAGGTTGCACAACCGGATGAATCCGGTGAAGAGAAGGAGACCAGTCCAGTGGCTGCCTCCACAAGTCCAGTGGCTGCCTCCACAGAAGAAGAAAAAGGAGAACTGATTCATGAGGATAAAAGCAAAGAGCAAATAGAGGAGCCGAAAGAACCAGAGAACACCGAAGAAAACAACAGTGAAGAAGAGGAAGAAGTTAAAAAGAAAGTTGATGATGAGGAAAATAGGAAGACAGTTGCTACTACTACAGATATGAATGAAGCTGTGAATGTCGAAGAAAGTAAGGAAGAGGAACAGGTTGAAGCAGAAGTTAAAGAAGAGGAGAGCGAAAGCAGCAAAGAGAAAGAAGAAACAACCGAAACAAAGGCTCAAGTAGAAGAATTACCAGAGGAGGGAACAAAGAAGGAAGTGGTGCAAGGGAAGAAGGAATCTCCAACAGCCTACAACGATGTAATAGCAAGTAAGATGCAAGAGAACTCGAAGAAGAACAAGGTCTTGGCTCTTGCTGGAGCCTTTCAAACCGTTATTGACTATGAAACTGCTGCATCTAAGTGATAGACATGCATCTGCATTACATCACATGCAGACATTGCAACTGCGTCTTATTAGCTTTCCTATGTCAGTGCTTTTCTTGTTTCTTGTTAATTTTCTTTCGTTTTTCAGCATAGCATAAGTGTTGGACAAACGATATGGTTTTGCCTGTGAACATGAACTAGTCATCTGCTTTTTTTTTTCTTTACCCAAAGAGATTTCTATATGCAATTGCAAAAACGTGACAATCTAACAATTTGGAAGAACCAACTCATATAAGAAGCGATATTATATTACTTACATCCACTAAAGCAGCTGTTGTTCTGGTTCAAATAGCCGATACAATTGTGCTCTTGTAAAAGCTCCTACTGCCTTTGAGCTATAACTGCTCCCACTAAGATTTCCGCAATGAACAACTATAACCATCTTAAGTTTCTTTTCCAAAACCAGATCTACCACACGACCAATCGATGTTGTTGTACTCACACATGTGGGCGGGCTTCTCATCATTGAGACCAATGGCGCATCAAGCTACGAGAAAATAATTAAATGCACAAATCTATCAGTTCATCTATCTTTTTTTTTCCTGTCAACAAGTGCTGAAGCAGAACAATATTTTCTTTTACTCACATTGTTGCAATCCTCCCGATGCAAAAGGCCAATGCAGCTTCCCCGGTAGTCTACAATTGGTACAACTTGCTCATTGAAAAACCGCATGACCACATTCTTCAACTGTAGAGTGCCTAGCAGTGGCCGAGTCGCTTCAAATCGAATCATAATGCTTTCTATTGGTTCACTTGGTATCACCTGTGTTGATTGTTGTTAATTACCAAACTTACATCTCAGTATTAGATTAAAAATTGAGGCAAGCACAGCAAACCACCAAACCTCACATTCTGAGATCATTTGCGTGAATAGAGAGTGTGGGAAATAGTTATCTGTACCTTAGTTAGTAGATGTGGACGCAATATAGACTTGGAAAACCCCAACAATGCTTCTAGCCGGACAGCAGCCTGCGGTTGAACAAAAACCACCCAACTAAGGTTTCATCGGACATAACCGCTTAGTAAATATATATTTACCAAAACAAATATCTCATGTCTGCAAATAACTTTTCACATCATACCATGCCTCCACTAGTCGTCCAAGGGATTGCCTTCCACCTTCTCACGATACTTGAAAGAATCCCTAGGGCCTCATCGAGCTGAAAAATAATCCAGAAAATTAGTTAGAGGACCCATAATCATTACCTGACAAGCAAGTATCATCAGAAAATGATACACACCAGATAAAGGATAAAGCAAAGTCTTTCCATTCACTAGAAGGCCCACTACCAGAGAGTTGATCTAATTTTTTAATACCTGGCCAGCATTGAGAGCAGCTTCCATCAAGAGATTATCAGCTTCTTGTTGAACCGCCTTGGAGATTGATCCTGAAGAATCCGGCCATAAGCGAAGATACAGATTTCTAACCATTCCATAATCCCCTTGGACAGCAAACGCACGCATCATAGACAGGTACAAGTGAGGCTTTGGTCGCAAGACTTCATTAGCTCCACTTCTCTTCAATATCTCACCAAATACACAAAGGGCCCCTGTGAATATATTCAATAAAGACCCTAAGAAGTTACTCCAAGCTCATCTATGTTCTGGGAAGCTGAAAGCAGCAACAATGTAAAAACAATTCATAGTAACATACCGTTTGTTGAACCACACTTTAGCATAGCGTCAACTACTGCTGTAAATGCAGTTCGGTCAATGAACACGTTATCACACAATTTCATTTCCAAATATATGTCCTGCAGTGATAAAAGATCCTTCGCATCCCCAAATCCCTAACAAGTAGAAAGTCATCATAAGAAGCAGAAACAACAAGAGTACTAGGCCATCTCCCGCATAAAGATTACATATATAAAGAGATCCACAGATTGCTGGCTCACCTTCACCAAAGTGGTGTATGTTACAACATCTGGCTGAAGAAAATCATCGTAATATTCCTCTGCTTTCTCCTGAATTGTATTCAAAACCAAGACATCATAATTAACATGAGCCAAGCTCTACCCCAGTATTACTCTGAGTAACACTTGGAGAATAAAACTGGCCTTTTAAATATACATGTGTGACCTTCATATCCTTGAAAAACTTCATAGCTGCATCCAAGTCGCCACACTTGATGCAGGCATGGATCAAAGTATTGTAGGTCAACCTATCAGGCTCCAATCTAAGTCGTAACATTTCATCCAGCAAATTTATTGCAGCTTGCGGAGATTCTGAATTGACATAGCCCTAAAATATATAACAAGAAATTACTATTATTACTATGGCAAAAGCATGAAGACATAGATGAAGCTTCACTGAGCTTAAATGCAACTATGCGTAAAGAATTACCTTCATCAACAAGTTATAGATGAGAACTGACGGGGTACCATGATCTAGAAGCAAAATATCATATCGTGCAAGCAGACCATTGGCACGACGTAAATCTCCTGCACTAGATCAATACCAAGTGTTTTTGCATCAGCTTCAGGCCATTTCACTAACACCAAGATTACATAATCAAGATTAGCCGCAGCCTATTGAGCAGGAGAAACTGTTACAGCTTAAGAATCTTACCAGCATTGATCAGAGCGTCAAGCAGACCATAGATAAGAGATGATGACAACTTGGGATTCCCAGCAGCAGTTCCATGCTCTATAGTCTCCAACATTTGGAACGCTTCATCAATCCTCCGAGCCTTCCCCAATCCCTTAACCAAAACAAACGATTCGAAAATCAAATTCAGGTGTTGTGTTGTTCTTCTCACACAATGACACGAAATCAAAATTCAAAATTAGAGGAAAGAACCAAAAATCACCTTCAAGATAGTGGCGTAACTAATAGAGTCGACTCCAATCCCACCGGGTTCCGCCATCTCATGAAACATCCGGAGAGCCAAATCGATATTTCCACAATGAACGCAAGCCTCTAGAACTGAGTTCATTACAATTGTGTTAAGCCTCCCATACCGTTTCTTAGCTGCTTCTACCTCCTCCACGATCTGACCAAGCTGACGACGGCGCGTGAGGAGAACAATGCGAGAGGTGAGAGGCTTGAGATTGATACGCCTGGAGTAAGGAGTAGCTCTGCGAGGATAACACCGTCGTGTCGGAACAAAGGAGGACGAAGGATGGAGAGGGAGAGGAGTGACAAGAGTAGAAACAGCTGAAATCCGATACATCTTCAAGGAAACCGGAGGCTACCCATCCGCCATTGATGGGCTTCTTAAGCTTCACCTTGTGCTAATCGAAATAGATAACGTCAGAGAATCTGAAATCGCCACAACAATCAGTCATGTTTATTCTTCACCTTGGCGGGTCGAAATATTACACTGTGGAGATTTGATAAATTTGGGCCTTCAAAGCCCAATATACTTATATTTTCAACGTTGACGTGAGTTTTGACTTTTAGTTCCCTTAATCTAAAATTGCTTCTAGATTAAGCTATATTTCTCCAGAACTCCTAAATTTCGATCGTATCTGCAACTTTTCTTTAACGCGGAAACAAATATCCTAAATTCCATTGAGTCTCATGCTTATAAATATCATCGAAACTGCAACCTTTTTTTACGCGGAAACAAAAAAACTAGAAACAATTTCATTTTTTGACTTTGTCTAGAGAAGAAGAAGAAAGAGCAGTAAGAAGAAGAAGAAGAAGGATGTGTTTGGTGTTCGTGTGTGATAAGGACGAGAGGGTGATCGGAAGGTATGCAGCTCCTGGAGCGTGTCCCTACTGCGGCGGAGCGGTTCAAGTGGTTGACGTAAATAGCCAGTGGAGATTCTGCTTCGTCCCTCTCTCTAATAAATCCAAACGTCGCCATATCTGTTCAACTTGCGGTAAACGCCTCGTCGTCCATGGCTGAAACAAAACTCCCACCTCCGAACGAGATCATTTCTATATGTAAATATCCAAATCTCTGACTTGCTTCGTGTATCGTGTTTCTAAACGTTTGTAAGATAAAAGAAAAGAACATGTCTCTCTTTAATGATGTCTCAGTATATGTATGAATCATGATTATGAAAATGAGATTTTTAAGAAATTGGGAATCTGGAGAACAAGAATGATCACTTGCAAAGCTTGAGCTTTTTGAAGAAAGAAGAGACTAGAGATTTTGGATAAGGCTTTGTTGCAATACATGTCGGAATATTCTCCGGCTGCTCCATCCATAGCTTATGAGAGATTCCTCCTAATTTCAGCTTCTCTGACAAATTCATCATCTGCGTTTCACCTTTAACCTCAAGAGTCACCTAATCCACAAAATAAGAAAACGCATTTAATTTAATCCACCATTGATTCCGGCAGGGAATTCTAAAATTAGGGTTTCGCGGATTAACCTTATGCATAGAATCAATGTGCTGCGGATCACAGTACTGAAGAGTGACCGGATCGTCTTTGAACGACCAGATCGCAGCCACTGACGCATGACATCCCTGTGTTACAACGCTCCCTAGTGGCCACGAATCGATTAGATCTCTCCGAAGCACAACGTACTGCACCACGACGTCGTCGGGTTTCTCCGCCGAGTTCTCATTGTTACGGGAGGAAGCATCGACGACGGAACCGACTTCTCCAGTCGGTTGGCTCATTGAAGAAGAAGCCGTTGTGAATCTTCGGAGATGAGCAAATCGGATCGTGGAATGATAAAACCTAATTCGCGGCGCCGGAGTAGAGAGTCGGCGGGTAATGCTCGGGAGACGAAACGCTGCGGAGACCACGGCGCTCGCCATATGAAAGGAAGACACACATGGACTTTGCTATTGGATAAGATTTTGCTTAATGGGCTTTTAGTAGACCCAATTATTTTCTGATTCGCTAACCAAACCGGTTATTTCGTTCGCTCGAAAATCCAAACCAAATAAATTGCTTCTTATTTTCCTGATTAACTCTTTTCTCTTTTCGCGGTTGAGATTTTATGATCTCTCCGGGCGAAATCAAAACATTCCGACGTCCGTACACTATCCGGCGCTGCTTAAAACCGTCTCTCGCCGCCAATCTGATCTGTTATCATCTCTACTCGCCGGCGTCGTTGAGTAATTACTCTTTTCTTCTTCTATTTTTTGGTTTTAGAGTTATTGTTCTTTGTTTCATGCTTGAGGCTGCTGCGCGAAATTAGCTGTAAATTCCTGAAACAAGCTCGGCTTATAGGCATGATATGGTTTCACATCATCCTCGTTTCTGTTTAGTTTCGTTTTCGTGTGTTATATGTGAGCAGGAATCGTGATTTCGCCGCCGGTACGATTTTTCTGAGTATAACTCTTGTTGATTTGGTCGCTTTAGGGTTTTGCTATCACTCGTGTTTTTTGCTGTTGCTATTTGTTTGAATCGTAGAACTTGGCAATTCTTTCAGATTTGGGGACTCTTTTCATCTTCGTTTTTGACTTTTATATGGTGTTGTTATAGCTCTGATGAGTTACTCTTTCTATTTCTAAATTATTTTCAGGTTGCAAATTTTTGGAATATGTTAAATTTCGTAGGAAAATGAGTTGGAAATCACTGATTTATATGTGATGTATGAAAATTTAAAATTTTGTGTACAGATTGATAATCAACTTCTCTACTTTCTGGAAGGAGCTTGGTCAACTGGGAACTCTCTGTATAGATGGGAGAAATGGTAAATAACACGCCCTTCCAGTTTCGTTTTCCCTTTTTTCCAATTGTTGTTCCCTTGAAAAGGCAGATTCCGCAACATTTACCTTTTGTTGCAAATAGATTGTTTCGCTGGACCAAGATATCCGACTGGATACAACACGAGCAAGATGTGAGTAACAACTTTTCTTGTGGTTCAGATCCTTTTTTTGTTTGGCAAAGTTTTTGGTAATAATTAATCAATTTCTATGCTCTTTTCCTAGTGTCAAATCTTCTCAAGAGGCATCGAGAATTGTCAGACCGTCTTACTAGGTAGGAAATATGCTTCTGAACTATATAGTTCACTTCTCGATCTTTTTGTTTGCTAACTTTGTATTTGGTGATCATTCTTTTTAGGGATTCTGATAAGACAATATTGGATCGCTTAAACAAAGAGTTTGAAGCTGCACGGAGATCCCAAAGTCAGGGTGGGTATGGATAGCTGAATTGCAGAATTGGACGAATTATCTGCGTGACTGTATTTTTGTTTCATAAGTATTTGATCATCCGTGTATCTATTTTAATCAAATGCTGTATTCGCTCCTATCCTCTGCAGAAGTCTTCTTAGATGGGGAAGAGTGGAATGATGGTTTGTTGGCCACGCTGAGGGAACGGGTATGGCATCCATCATGGTGTACCTTTTTTTTTGTCAACATCATTGTGTACTTAAAAGAGTTTTTCCAGGCCTTGGTATCTGGTTGAGGACTTAGTAGACACTTTAATAAGGGCAGATCTAGATTTATTATGTCGCTCTGATAAAAAGAGTTATATTTTCTCCGTGTTATGAAATCTTTTATGCCATTTTTTTCTTTTCATCTGTTGATTTTATTGACTTATTCCTGAACTTTACCATGAACTGTGTAGGTGCATATGGAAGCTGACAGAAAGGCAGATAACGGTAATGCAGGTTTTGCACTAGTTTGTCATCCTGAAGAACGAGTTACTTACAGAGTGGGAAATAAGGTACTCCTGAGGTCTTTAGAGAAATTGATTTTGTTTGTACCCAAGGTCTGTTGGTGTAAGCCTTATCTAAGTCTAGATAGCACAGATTTTACCATGATTCTTTCAAGATACCCGCAAAGAAGACTACTTCTGTCACTAAAGATATACTAGAAACCGCATCATAAAACCGTATGGCTGTAGAAAGCTCTGGATAGTCCAATGGAAACCTATAGTTTTGCTAATCCATCTTGGCCTGATGCAATGTTTGCCTAAATGATAGATCCAGTCAGACCAATCTTGGTTGTATGCTTGTCTATCTTTTCTGAAGAATGTCGATTGTTGTGTCTTTCCCCAAATTTTGTAGTTGCTATAATCTTTCCTGATTTTAAAGTTTTGGCTGACACCAGGCTAATCTTAAGTTTAGAGTGACCTCTCTCTTTGAATTGATACCAGGTCGTTTTTTGCTTATATATTTGGTGTTTTATCAAACAGGTGATATGTTGCCTAGATGGATCGAGAATTGGAATACAGTATGAAACATCAACTGCAGGTATTTTGAACTAGAATTGGCATTGTTATCAAGTTCCAAGTGTTTTGGTTTACCAATTATTTGCAGTTATCATTACGATTTTTCTTCAAAGGTTTCTTACCTTCTGGCGTGTCACTGATAGAGAGTTAGCTGTTTTGTCTACATATGTCTATGTAAATGAAGACATTGGGACTTTTCCTAACCTTTCCTCTCCCTGTATATGAGAATTTAATCCGTTTTTATATAGGAGAAACTTACGATGTTTACCACTGTGTGCTTGAGAGCAAGTCGTTTTTGGAGAAGATGATTGTACTTGAGCACACAATTCCTTTCTTTTTGCCACTACGTGACTTGGAAAATGATCTTCTTTTTTCGAATGCTAAGGTAGGCATGATTGCTGGATCTGTTACCGAGATTCAACTTGCTTTGACGTTGTTTCACCTGATCTTCAGTTTATCCTCTTACTTCTTTGTTTCTTATATTTTTTTGGTTTAAAATTTTTGGATGCCAGAAATTCATCGATAGTGTTGGGGATCTCCTGCAAGCATATGTGGACAGAAAGGAACAGGTTTGTCAACAATCTAGATCATGAGTAGATGATCAAACTTAGATTGTGCTTGTTAGATTGGCCTTTTAAATTGTTCTTTTTGGTCATGATTTCTGGCTTCTTGTTCGATTTTTTCTCAGTCAAAAATGCATCACTATGATCTCTAGATAGAAATGAAAATGGAACTAAAATCATGTGACCTGTTAACTTGGAGTAAGAGAATTTCAGCACTAATGTATCATCAACCTTGTTAGATTAGAGAATTTCAGCATTAGGATATGAATTGATTTTTAGATGTATTTATTTAATAATGAAAATGAAAGACTGGGCCAAGTAATCTGGTGTGAGTATACTGGGTGTGTTGTTACAACCACTGTCGGTGAAATATGCACTAAAAGTGTTGGGAAACTCGTAAAATTTTCGCAAGTTAACCAGGATGCTTCTCCTGATTTTATTGTAGGTCCGGGTTATCAAAGAGCTCTATGGAAATCAGATCAGTGAGATTTATCACAGTCTTCCTTACCACATGATTGAGTTTTCCATGGATGATTGTGACTGGTTAGCAATTTCATAAATCCATATGCTTTCTCTTAACTGCTGCTGCACTAGATATTGATATGACCTTGTTGCCACTTAAGATTCTGTTTTTATAGCCTTTTTAAAAAACAAATATGTTTTGGATTGAAGCAAATTCGTGGTGAGCCTTAGATATGGAGATCTTCTGTGTGAACTTCCGACAAAAGTGAGGATTCTAGTTTGGCCAATGCATCATCATCAGTCGAAGAAACAGTGTACAAGCCTTGGAAGTCAACCAATCCCTGTGCGTTTATCATTTGCCGAGGATGCTTTCCGGATCCAATCACTACCTGAAGGTATTTCTAGTTTACATAACGATCTGTTTAAGTTATGTTTTTACGGTTTATTTATTCTTTTGTTCATTGTAGCATACGCAGAGATTATGCAGAACATGCCGAATGAAATTCAGCAACTATTTCAGAGAAGTCCAAGCTAAAAGCTGAAGCTGTGTGCAAACTTTCTATTTCTCTGGGTGCTTCGTTGTATGATGTTTGATATTGATCCTTGTTCCAAACTGTTAAAAAAATAGTGCTATGAAGAAGAGTTTTTTACAGAATGCAGTTTGTTCTGCTATTCTGCTCCTGTTAAATTGTGCTGCTTCATCGATTATTTGACTATTACTAATTGGAAATGTTCATGCTCGAAACAGAAACAAATATATGAAGTTTTGTTCTCTATGGCAAACCATGGTTCATTCATATTCTTCATGAATTTACGCATTTGAAAGTCAAAAGTCGGAAATCTAAACTTATCTCGAACCTAGTTATAGATATAGATTTGTTTGGTTGGTCCACCATTAGCTATTTTTCATATTAAAGATCCTAGTTGAAGTTATAAAAGGCAATATAAAACTAAAAGTATGTTACCACATATGAAATTACGGTGATAGTAATGAATCCCGGAGTTGTGTTAGCCACTTTGAATCATCTTTCCACAAATCCATCCATGCAAAAACTTTAGAGTCATCACTGATTTTCGTTGTTGTTCCTTCCCCCATCAATTTTCATATAAAATTTTTAAGAGATTATGTTCATAAAACTTATGATAAATGAAAAATATTTTCATCAATGATTTTTACTTTATAAATGATTTCAAATGGGTTTGTAATTGGCGAAATATTTTTTGTATTTTCAGTGATATTTATCAATTAATTTTCAGTGAATATACTAAATATAAATATAGTCGAATTAGTGACACAAAGAAACATCAACTCAAATTCTTCTCTAGATTATGGCCGGACTATCAGATTGTGGATCATATTTTCAGATGTACATAGGAGAGTGTACACTTTTTCCTTTTTTATACAACCAAAAAAACCAGTACATTGCAGATTTACTTTAGATCTATCTTCGTGAGTGATTTATTATTGGAACATATGATTAAGACACTGAAAAGTTCATTGTCAGAAAAATAAATGTAAAGAACTTTTACATGGGCCCTACTCAAAATAGATTATCGAATTTTATTGTAACCTTTTTTTAATAATGGAACCAAAAAAGCTATCAAATAATAGTAATCGACTAAAAGTATACTAATCCAAGTGTTATTATGAAACTACCGAAAATTATGGTCTAGCAGCTAATAGAACCTCTCAAACACCATGTCATCTTATCATCAATCTAAATATTTTATTTATTTTGTTGGAAAACTAAAAACATATTTTGTATGTTACTCTAAGAGATTCACGGATGACATTTTCACTCGGAATTTATTATAAATTGGTAACAATATAATATTACCGAGAAGAACAAATAAATCTACATGGCACCGAGTCGTTCATAACAAGAATCTTTCTATATGCCCCCAACTATTGACTTCGATAAATCGACAACCAATTTACAAGGTTTTAACTTAATCATATGCAAACACGAAACACTACATTATTTTCTATTTGCATGATGGATTAGTCCAAGGAGGTAGAATTTTCGTGAGATGGTAAATCTAGATAAGTATTTTGATCAGTGTAATTTCTCTAATATTTAACTTTTAAAGTGGTCATTATGTCAAATCCAACTTTACACACACATGTATTATGTATATGTATACAATATAATAATAATACTAAGTAGTAAATAATTAGGAAGAAAGCTGAAAAGTATGGAGCTGCTTTAATCGAGAATTAAACAAATCCGGTATTTAAGGATTGGTGTCCCCATCCAATTAATATCTCCACATTCTCGTCTTTTCGTCCTCCAATTCCTAAAATAACAATATCCTTCATCACCGTCCATTTTTTTTTGGCGCGAGAGCAACAAAAACAAACAGCAGAAACATGTTTGAAAATAGTTAGACCACGTGTTAGTCAACGGTACTTCCACGTGTCATATTGAGGCTGACGTGGCACATGTGCCTAACCACATCACATGTTTCCTATTAGCCACTTACGGACGGGACAAAAGCCTCCGAGCGCCGTTCAGATCGGGACTTAAGACATCAAAAATGGCTTAGCTGTTTTCTTAAATTATTTTATTTTAAAGACCCTTTGATTTATTATTATTAATTTTGATTATTGTGTGTACTACTACTACTAGTTGCTAGTTTTTTACTATTAAAATTTATTATATAGAAATGTGATTGATTTCGTTGGACAACTAATTTTGTGCCAATACAGTTGTTGTCCGCTCCATTGAATTGTGAGGATTGGGTCTTATTTATTTTCTATTAAGTTTTTTCGTTTTTTTTTAAATGTTTATGCGCAAGGTGTTCAAATTATTGATCATACTACTTTCCAACTGAAATTGAATCGTAGAATATAGTTTAAGATTTGGGTGATTAATATTATATTGACGATACATTTGTGGTACATGTGCTTTGATATTCATGAAACAATGAATGTCCCGACCCAATTCGAAACCCTTCGAATATTTGTGTACTTTCGTCAACATTGACATTCTATAGACTATACAACCACATGATTATATAGTATTTTCATTTTTTTCGTAATGAGTAGTACAAAAGGCAAAAAGAAATAAATCATTCATTCGTTACTTATTGTCACAACTAGAAATAACAATAATTTTTTTTTTTTTGAAAAAGAACTAGAAATAACAATAATTATGCTCGTTTATTTACATTTTCATCAAATCCGTCATATTGTCACAAAAATTTACTAATCATTTATCAAGCTATAAAAACTAGATATATTAGCTAGTCGTAAATATAATAAAAACAAAGTCTAAACATATCATATTCTAGTTAACACCAAAAATATCTATATATCATTTTCCGAATACATATTTGATTTTAATATTGTTATTATAATATACTATAATTCAACTTTAAATTGATGAGGTATATATATAGAGAGAGTTGCTCTGTTTCGGAAATCTTATAACTAACTTATTAGTTGGCTGACAAATTGAAGTCAGTTGGACTAGTTACGTAGAATAAAACTCACTTGTATAAATCGACTAATGGAATGGTTTATCAAAGATTAGTCCAATTTACTGATTAAGTGGCTAAATCATGAAATTACTAATCTAAGACGGTTTAACAATAATTGACGCCACTTCTTGTTACTCAATAAAGAAACTAAGAAAGTGATGATAACTAAAAAAATATTAGTGACTATCCTGAATATACTCGGAGCGTGACGTAAACGCGCCGCCTTGGAGCTTCCGTCGTCAACTCTGTGAGGTATAAAAGACGTAAGAAAAGCAGAGAAACTGGAAGAAAAAAAAAAAGAACAGTGAAGAATTGTGAGACAGATCGAAACGTGTCAATCTGTGTGTCATTCGATAGTAACTCGGATTCGGTCTGAGAAAGAAAACAAACGTGCACACACAGAGCACAGAGACAGAGTCACCATTAAAATAGTCATAGCTAGTTAAAAATGTGAGAAAGAGAGAGAAGAGAAGAGATGAATATAATATACATTGACCTCTCTGTCTCATGAGCAAGCACATGTCCTCTCTCTCTCTTTCAGCTCTTTCACAAGTTTTTCTCTCCTCTTCTCCGTAAAAGAAAAAAATACAAATCTTTCACATGCTCTTCTCTCTTTCTTCATTGGTTATTCTCTTCCCAATGCTCATTTGAAGTTTTATTTACTCTACTCCCGACGACCTCGACCCCTCTTCAGATCTACTCACTCCTTCTTATTCTTCTTCATTTTCCGGTGACTGGAGCCGGAGAAGGTAAAGCTTCTGATCCAATCCTCTTCGTTGTTTCTATACTCCGGCAGTCTCGTTTCTTCGCCCTATCTTTCCTTTTTCTTTTTTCATTTCTTTCTGTTTCAGCCTTTTGACTCTCAAGATTACATGATTACAAATTTGTTTATTTTTTCTTAATACGTGATTTTCGTTTATATATATGTTCCAATTATATCACCTAAATTTTTTTTTTCCTTACTGGTTTCCGATCATTGCTCAAAAAATGTTTCATCCGATCAAATTTATTTTCAGATTTTATCGTTATGATCCTAGTTGATATTTCAATCTAAGAAAGAAACTGATCCAAATTATTTTTGAAGCTCTGCAAATTTCACCTTTTCAAGCTCGAATCATATAATTTGAAGTTTCCCGCTAATGTTCAATCACAATTGGTCCACACACTTGGTTGTTGTGGACCCTTTGCAAAATTCGAATTTTAGTTCATTATTTTCACATTTTACGGATCATGATTCTCTGATGGAGATGGATTGTCCTGACTCTAATCTCTGTGTTTGAAAATGTCTATACAGGTTCTTTGTTCAGATCAAGATTCTGGCTTAAAGAAAAAGTTGTTTGAATTTTGAGATTTGTTTAGTCCATTGTGTTGTTGTTGTTGTGCATGAAGAGAAACTTTGATAAATGGTCTGTGAAATGGAGACTGATCAGATTGAGGAAATGGATGTCGAAGTCTTGCCTTCCATGTGGCCCGAAAATGTTGGAACTGAAGCTGACAAACAGTTCAACGTCGAGAAACCTGCCGGAGATTTAGACACGTTGAAAGAAGTGACAATTGAAGAGACACCGACCATTGCGGATTTGACACGCTTACCAGAACTAATGAATTCCACTCAACAAGGCTCGTCTCAACTAACCAACCTTGTGAAACAATGGGAGTATATGCAAGACAACGCGGTCCGCTTATTAAGAGAAGAGCTTAAGAATCTCAATAGACAGAGAGAAGAAGCTGAGGCAAAAGAGTTGAAGATTATTGAGGAGTATAAGTTTGAGACCAACGAGCCTGAGAATGTTCCGGTTTTGGATGAGACGAGTGATTTGTTCCGCAGGTTTAGGCAGAAGAAACGAGATGCGTTGGTCGATAGCAAGAAGATTGAGATCTATGAGGAGTTTGACACGGTTGCATATTGGAAACAGAAGGCGTTGAATCTGGAGAAAATGCTTGAGGCGAGTACTGAGAGAGAAAGGAGATTGATCGAGAAGCTGAGTGAGAGTTTGAAGACTATGGAAAGTCAGTCAGCACCGGTCCAAGAGCTAACTCAGAATCTTAAGAGAGCTGAAGGTTTCTTGCATTTCATACTTCAGAATGCACCTATTGTTATGGGTCATCAGGTAAAGTAAAAAACGTGATTCTTGATCTTGTTTTCGATCTTTTCGACTTCTGATTCTTTGTTACTTACGGGTTTCAGGATAAAGATTTACGCTACTTGTTTATCTACAACAAGTATCCTAGTTTGCGGGAACAGGTTAGTAGAAAAGTTTTTGTTCTGTTGGATTTATTGATCACTCTCCTGAGGAAATGTGTTTGAATCAAAATCTGTTTCTTACTGATTTCAGGACATTTTGGGAAAAACAGACGTTGAGATATTCCACGGAGGTGGCGTTAAAGAATCTCAAGATTTCAAGAGAGAAGTTCTTGAGAAAGGAAAAGCTTCAAAGAGAGAGATCACATTTACGACAGATTTATTCGGATCAAAGACGTTTTTGATATATGTTGAGCCTGTTTACAACAAAGCTGGCGAGAAAATCGGTATAAACTACATGGGAATGGAAGTAACTGAACAGGTTAGTTATCTAAGACTAAGATTATTGAACCAAATCTATAATCTATGTTCTCATTTTCACATCTTCACTGTATCTTCCTGCATTACAGGTAGATAAAAGGGAGAAAATGGCGAAACTTAGAGAAGATAACGCAGTGAGAAAGGCGATGGAATCAGAACTGAACAAGACCATCCACATTACAGGTTTGTTCAGTGAAATCAAGTGATTAAGTTTCAGAAAGTTTCATGAGAAAACTATACTTAGGTGTTGTGTTCTCTTTTACAGAGGAGACAATGAGAGCGAAGCAAATGCTAGCGACGATGTCTCATGAAATAAGATCACCATTATCTGGAGTAGTGGGAATGGCTGAGATACTTTCAAATACAAAACTGGATAAAGAGCAAAGACAGTTGTTGAATGTCATGATCTCTTCTGGAGATTTGGTGCTTCAGCTAATCAACGACATTCTTGATCTCTCCAAGGTTGAATCAGGTAGAATATACTGTCTAGTTTCAAACTTTTTATCTTGTGGTGTGGTCATTGTTCAGATCCTCGATTACATATATCTTTTTTGGTCTTTGTGTGTTCTTTTTTAGGTGTGATGAGATTAGAAGCTACAAAGTTTCGACCAAGAGAAGTGGTGAAGCATGTTCTTCAGACAGCTGCAGCATCGCTGAAGAAATCTTTGACATTAGAAGGAAACATTGCAGATGATGTTCCTATTGAGGTTAGTACACATACATCACCTTTCAGAAAGAGTTTTAATGTGGCAAAGTCTTTCTGATCTTTAACTTCTTTCCTTTTTATGTTCAGGTAGTTGGAGATGTTCTAAGGATTCGGCAGATCCTCACCAATTTGATAAGGTTCTTACCTGATTCCTGGATTATCTGCATATGACAAGTTTTGGTTCCTGATTTGTTCAAACGTTTTGCAGCAATGCTATCAAGTTTACACATGAAGGAAATGTAGGAATCAAACTCCAAGTGATATCAGAACCACCCTTTGCGAGAGAGAACGCATTGAACGCAGACACTGAGGAACACGAACAAAACGGTTTGACCGAGACTTCAGTTTGGATTTGCTGTGATGTTTGGGACACTGGAATTGGAATCCCAGGCAAGCAAGCAATTCTGACAAATCAACTTGCTCAAAAACATGGAAAGAGAAAAACTCCAACCAACCTATATATTATTAACCTGGTACATGTTTTGTGTTCTTGTGCAGAAAACGCTATTCCATGTTTGTTCAAGAAGTACATGCAAGCAAGCGCTGATCATGCCCGCAAATACGGTGGAACTGGTCTCGGACTTGCCATTTGTAAACAGCTGGTAAACTAAAGATTTTACAACGTTACAAAAGAAACTAAAGAACTTTGTTATTCTAATCTTTCTATACTTGTTTACAGGTTGAGTTAATGGGAGGTCAACTCACTGTGACAAGCCGGGTGAACGAAGGATCAACGTTCACATTTATATTACCCTACAAAGTTGGAACATCAGATGATTATTCAGATGATCAAGATGAGTTCTCTGACATGGCGGATCATCAATCCGAACCAGACGATACAGCTGAAGGATATTTCCAGTTTAAACCGCTTCTAGGATCTATATATACTAATGGCGGACCAGGCATCGGCAATGACTTCTTACCTCATAAAGTCATGCTTACTAGTCCTATTAAGCTCATCAATGGTTTTGTCGCTGATCCTTCTAACAACACTGGACAGAGCGAGATGCTTCAGCTTGAAAACGGTGGTTACGTGGATGAATCTAAACTCGAAACCAGTTCTGGTCATTGCCCTGAATCAGCTCACCAATATGAGAATGGAAATGGTCGATGTTTCTCTAAGGAATCTGAATCTTGTAGCAGTTCACAAGCTAGCTCAGAAGGTGGAACCTTAGAAATGGAGTCAGAGCTTACAGTTTCATCTCATACGGAAGAGGAAAAAGCCGAAACAGATCTAAAAGAAACACCAAAGCCAAAGATTTTGCTTGTGGAAGATAATAAGATCAACATCATGGTTGCAAAGTCGATGATGAAGCAGTTAGGCCATAGCATGGATATAGCTAATAATGGAGTTGAAGCCATAACCGCTATCAATCACTCTAGTTACGATCTGGTACTCATGGTATGTTAATTCTCTAAGATCCAAAGACTTGTCCTTTTCAAATTCACTTAATTTGAAAAAGGCTTATAATTCAAATTGGGTTCACAGGATGTGTGCATGCCGGTTCTGGATGGTTTAAAAGCTACAAGACTGATCCGTTCATATGAAGAAACTGGGAACTGGAATGCTGCAATAGAAGCCGGAGTAGATATAAAGACATTGGAGAATGAGCAAGTTTCTGTGCGTTCCACAAACCGGCTGCCTATAATCGCGGTTAGTACTTCTTTTTCGAATACTAAACAGAGATCTAATGCATAACTTGAGAAAACTGAAAAGTAAAATCTGGTGTGGAATGTGCAGATGACGGCAAATACGTTAGCAGAGAGTTCAGAAGAATGTTATGCAAATGGTATGGACTCGTTTATTTCGAAACCTGTAACGTTGCAAAAACTGAGAGAGTGTTTACAACAGTATTTGCATTGACATTTCAGAGTTTGGTGTTTTGTAGATTAAGTGGTTGTTTTGTATATAAATTGTGTAGGAAAAAAGTTTTGGAGAGCTACTAAGTAGCTTCCTCTCTTTAGAGATGTATAGTTCAATAAAAAAAAAGCTTCTCTTCTTTATTTATTTGTGGGAAATTTCTGGCGAGAGAAACAACAAGAAAACATTTTTGTTCCCACCATTAGAATCCAGTAGAATACTAAAAGCAGCCAAACTCTACAAAACGACATTGAGCATACTCAAGCTTTTCAAAACGGACTTATCTCGATTTCTGTTGGCTGTAACGTTGTATTCCATGGACATCCACAATCCCGGGAGGGAACACTGGATCAGTGGCTGCTCTAACTGCGACTTTTGCAACCGATTCAACATTCACCGGAGGTGTGAATAAAGGTCCGACTAACGGAAGCTGGTTCAGAGGTTTTGCTTGTTGAAGAACCTAGAAAAGCAACAAATTATGAATAAAGAGGCAATCTTGAGGGCTATTGCAACAAAGATGAGATCTCTTACCATCTCCATGGGTGAACCAAATACTCCCAATGGGATCTTCATGCTCCCAACACTGCGAGTTCCATATATAAAACCAGGTCGCAAGATTATACCTGCACAACATTCACCAAAACTTCAAATGTAAAAAACGGATAAGTTTCAGAGAGAGTTTTGTAGATGTAACATAAAGGTTATACCTCCATATGCAAATCTTGTGAGCAGCTCGGTCTCAGCAGCTCGCTGTAAGGATGAAAAAGAAAATTTCTTAAGACACCGTATACTAACTAAAAAGAGCTATGCAATAGCTGTAGTTTGAAAAGTATATGATCACCTTTCCCTCATAGTATCCTCTCAACAAGTAGTTGGCTAATCCGAAATCCGCAGCAGAAATATAGACAAATCTTTTAACACCTGGTCAACAAAGAAAACAAAATTAAAATGCCAGTAACTCTTGCTAATCCAATATATGCCCTGCTAATATACATGGCTATCATAAAGAATTAGATTGTAAACATTTTATATAGCCCTGGTTAATGCAAACTAAAAGAACTTGTACCTTTTTCTGAGGCAGCCCTAATTGCATTGATGTTTGCTGTCCCGTTAATCTTATACATATATGAGTTTGAACCAAAACCACCAACACAAGAAATCTGCAATGATTTATCCCCAATTACTTCCAATAATGTAAAATTGACAAAAGCAGCAGTGCTTCAATAAGTAAAAATCTGTAGCGATTATCAACTTTCTACATTATTACTGAAAATTGAGAAAAGAGAACATACCACAGAAGTCACTCCATCAAGAGCATCTTTTAATAAATCAGATGATAGAAGGTTTCCTGGTAACAAAAGTGAATTACAAAAAGAATATAAACACACAGGGAAAAAAATACCAAGTTCCTACAAAAATGTTGAAAAGTTAACAACAACAGTACCTTGATGCCATGTTACTCTAGAAGCCCAGGACTCTTGTAAAGACGACTTACCTGACCTAAAACCCATACAAATGGTTAAATACAAACCCGTAAATCAACATCTAATATAGATCAGATTTCTTTAAACAAGAAGCTTCAACTGTGAGCCACAAATTTAAACCAAATTGCATTTGTTCTAAGACAGGAGTTAACGCCCTCAACGAAAGTTTAGATACCTGCTAAGGCTAGAGACAGATAAGCCGCGATCTAAAGCTTCTTTACAGACATGTGATCCCACAAAACCATTACCTCCCAGGACAAGCAGCTGACAAAAGAAGGAAAGATAAGTTCCAAGATCATTGCAACATCATTACAAATAATCATTAAGTAAGATCCCCAAAAACGCATACCTTCTCAGTAGGAGGTGGAGGCACATGTACAGTCTCAGCTTCTTCCACATTGAAGGGCTCATCAATTTTGTTAGAGTCTGTAGAGAGATACCTCCCGCCACCACCAGAGGCAGAAACAAACCTAATGCAACATAATCCATAAGCACAGAACAATAAGCTAAGTCAAGTATCTAAATTTCACAAAATACTCAATTGCAACCCAAATCTCCTAATTTTGAGACCAACCTAGCTACGAGAAATTACCAAAACAAAATGCGCATTTCCTTCGACACCCTACCAATTGATGTCTAGAAGACGATTAAGGTGCGATCAAAGTTACTAAAGAGCTGGGGAAGAGACCACTCACCGTATCTGGGAAAGAGATGATTGGTAACGAATCAAACGCGAGACGATTGTCCTCATTTTCGAATCGGAGCAGGAGAAAAAAAAAGCAATTCGAAGTAAAGATGAGAGCTAACAAAAATGAAAATTAGTAAGAGGAAGAGAGTCCGATGGCGATGGAAATGGAAATGGAGGAGCTCACGGCCAAAATAAACAGAGGCAAAACGTCGAAAAGAGAACACGTCGCCTCTTACCAAGGTGCCACGTAGACCCTGACCCGAGGATCCGAATCCATGGGAAGCCACGAGAGCCGCGCGTGGCTTCAACGCGAGATCATTGGATATTAAATTGGGCCGAAGTTAGTTGGGCTTATATTCTAATTGACCTTAGATGTATGGCCTGGCTCGCTCCGTTTCAGTAGAATTGTGTTGTTTCACATTCATTCCCTAAGTAAGAACCAACCACACTCAGGAAGAAGTGTCAGAGAGGTCAGCCAGAGTGATGATCACAAGAAAAAATCTGGCGACGACAAAGTCAGATACAGAAATCTGACTTTGGCCTAAAACAATTAGTGCATCTTTGAATCTTCTTACTATTTTTCTGTAGTCTGATGGTTTCAATTAACATTGTAAACTTTTGCGGGAAAAAATAAGATTAACATTGTATACAACTTTTGTTTGATAACTATTTTTGCATTTACACACAAACAAATACAAAAATCAATGCATGTATTATACACACACAAACGTAATCATAAACTTAAAACCTTCATATTAAATACATCTTCAATCCTAAATGCAAGCGCGATCAATGATCAGTAAGTAAGTTTGTGTGCCGTGTTTGAGGGAAGAGAACACTGTCTTTAGTTCCTAGAGAATAGAGGATATCTCTATTTATACCTTGTCGGTCACTGAATTCCTCTTAAGGGTCACTGCATCAGTTGAGCTACTTGCAGTCTCCGGTTTTCGATTCCCTGAATTCACTGGTTTATTCCCTAAACCATTAACGGTCACTTCATCGCTAAAGCTGCTTGCAGGGACAGGTTTTCGATTCGTTACATTCTCTGGTTTGTTCCCTGAGCTGATATTCTCTGAGTCGATTTGGACTTGGGTAGCTTCATTGGATGAGATAGCAAGGTCTCCAAGTGGCGGCATTTCACTGGCTTCCTTGGAGGAGGAGGAGCTAACGTGGCTTGATGAAGCTGTCTTCTTCTCCAAGAAACGAACGACAACACATGTGATGTTGTCTGCACTTCCTCTCTTTATTGCTTCACCCACAAGTTTCTTCGCTGAGTCCTCTGGATCTTCAACTTCCTTAACCATTGCAACTGCTGCCTGCAAAATATGATCAAATATTATAATTACAGTATTGGAGTAGGAAATAGAAGATGTTAAAGAAGCTATTAACTTCACAGACCTCATTAGAGAAAACATCCCACAGTCCATCACTTGCTAGGATCAAAAACTCAAGAGAATCATCAATCTTTTCTTCCTGTATCCAATGACAAAAGTTTGTGAAATTTGTCAGCTGGAGAACAAAAGGGGTCAAAACGATTATGCAATGTGGTTCTTATAGAAGTGCTGAAAATACCTGGATTTCTGGATCAGCAACAACATATTGCTTCAGAAGCCGATCACCAAACGCACGAGAAACTGCAAGAACTCCTCCAACCCTCCAAGTTCCTATTTAGTTTATGAATGAAATAGATACCCCTATAATTAGAACTATATGTTGAGAAAAGCATGAAGCAGAAAATATAAATCATATAGTTGCTTGTTACTTACCTGCCCACATCACAAATCCACCAGCATTCTCAATCCTTTCACGTTCATCACTTTGGTCAGGTTTATGGTCCCTTGACACAGCAATGGCTGCAAGGTACAGATTTATGAAAAAGGTATTATCTATCAGTATACTACATGGTATTGGTGGTGTCATAGATATTGATTACTTAACATTACAATGATATACACCAAAAATGAAAAGAGAAGTCATAACGGATCTCCTAGAAATTTACCTTTTCCACCTCTGCTGATAACAGCTCTTGAATCACCAACATTTGCAACAACTAAACGGTCACCAACAAGAATAGCTGTAGACGCAGTCGAACCAGCGTCTCTATTGTGACTATTTTCTGACTTAAGAAGTTCTGAGTCTGTATGGTTATAGGCATCAGCTGGAAACATTGAAAAAAATTGCAATGTAAATTAGATCGCTGCATCTACAACAAATTATATTAAAAACAACTTTGCTCAAGTTTTTTTTACAGTACTTATAGCTGATTTGGTGTCAGAAATAAACTTTGGGTGGGTGATCAGGTTACTGAAAAGATGACGTTTCACGTACTCAGCTGCTCTGGCTCCACCATGGCCTGGCAAAACAGTAAGTAGCATAATTAGTTTCCTGTTCTTAATGTCAATACTAAGATTTAAGCTAGAGTAACAGCGAGAACTCGAGGTTAATTAGCACCAAGACCAATACTTAAAGCATGACTCATGGCACAAGTGAACAATGAGGATTCATAAACCAGGCTACCGATAATACTAAGTTTGTTAAGAGTAATGTATAAGTTCTTGTCAAGAAGAGAGAGGGATGATACCATCAAAAACTCCAAAGAGACCAACGATTTCTCCATCAATACCGTCGATCCTAGTCTCAAAAAAGTCTTCCATAGATGATCTTTTCCCAGCGGAGCTTGCATATCCATAGCTAAATTTTCCATTCTGGCTGAAATTGAATCATATCATGTACAAAGCACAATAAACATTTAACACACCAAAAATCACACTGATAATAATAAGCACATGAGAAAACAGAATGAACTAATGAGATCAATCGAATCCAACAAGGTGAAAGAAACCACAATTAAAGGAAAAAAAATCAAATCCAACATAGCTATTATTGGTTCAAGTAATTTCATACTAACAAGAAAGAAATTTAAGATTAAAATCGAGCTGAGATTAAGCATGACCTGAGACCTCCTCCGCTCGCTGGAGCTTCAACAGTATGCGGCTGGTTGGAATACGACAAGGCCAAGTCCAAATATCCCATATCTCTTCAGAAATTTCAAACGCTAATGTTCATGTAACCTAAAATTGAACTAGAAACGGGATAGATCTAAACAATCACAATTTCGGAAACACAGAATCGATTTTCAAAATTGAAAAAAAAAAAAAAAAGTACCTGAAAATTCCATGAAAGAATTAGAAGAGAGAAGTGAGAATGGTTGGAGAAAAGAAGATGGGAGATTCAAGGTTGATTCCTAGTTGAGAAAATAGAGAGAGAAGGAAGAGAAAACAGGTGATCGACGTTAAGAGAAGGGAGCATATTCCGGCGAACAAATGGATTTCGTTTGCTGAAAATAGAAAAAAGTAGGAAGGAACCACCACATCCACAAGTCAACCAAATTTGGAGGATGTACAAGAGCTGACACTTGTCACGTAAAGCAAGTGGAGTAGTATCACGTGGGTCCTTCACCAGTCCAGATGTACCTTTAATTATTGGCAATTGGGCTAATGGGCCTTTGTTTTCAACTTGAGTCTAGAGCAGGGATAAGTCTACTCCAACTGCCAAACAGCAGCTAAAAAACTTGCAAATCGGAGAAAGAGTGTGAGAAGTCGACACACATTACATGCTGTCATAGTTACTGGCTTCTCGTCGCCGGAGGAATTCAAAACCCAACGGATCCGTTTTGAGATCAAGAAGAAGTTCTATCATGGCGAAGGAGCAGCACTTGCGACCTTGGTTTCTGGATCTAGTACCGGCTTTGGTTGTTTTCCTCGCTGCAGCTCATGTCATCGCCTTGGTACTTCTCGTGATCTCATCTTTTCTTTTTTTTTCCTCCTTCTCTTTTTATATATTCTGATCTCGAATGGTTGATCTCTTGGGGCTCGCAGGGTTACTGGATTTACAGATTGGCCACTGATCGTCGAGCTCAGAGTCAGAGAGGCAAATTTCACTGAAGAAACATCGAATAGGTTCGTAATCTCAACTACGGTGGTACTGAAATTTCAACAGTTCGTGGGTTTGCTTCCGATCTGATATTTGCGATTAGTTGAGGTTTTGTGATCATTGATTTTGTCGCTTATGAGGAGGATTTCGGAAATGTTTGCTTTAGTTCCGGGATCATCTCTGCTCACTAGTTTTGTTTTCACCAATGTTCTAGCTTATACCGACCTTTATGCAGTTTTCAGGTTCTTCTAAATAGATTAAAAGTTTTAATCATTGTTTCATTACACTAGTGTCTGCAGGCCAGTAAATTGAAACAAATCCAAGTGTTTTTCTTTGTGCTTGATGGTTTAATCGTGGTCTTGAGCTGTCGTGACGCTTGTGTTCTTAGTTCTTGACTACTATCAGTAACACTTTTGAGTATCATTCCGTGTCGAAGACTATTAACGTATTACCATTGCTTTCCTGTGATAAGTCTTCTTAAAAAAGAGAGAAAAAGAGTTGTCTGATGCTACATCAGCTTAGCTAATTCTGTCTGTGTGTTGTTGACATGTTAGTTGGTCTTTGATGACTATTAAGTATAGGATTGAACAGATTCATGGGAGATTTTGGTAGTGGGTTGCTTGGGAGCCTTTAGGCATGGGAGTGTAAAGGATGCTCTAGGATTCGTCCTTAGGTTTTGGTTTGTTCTTTTGTTCTTTTGTTTTTTGGGTTTCTTGTTTTTTCATTGATTCTCTGCGGAAAAATAAAAAGCAGAACCATTTTGGTTCTTATCACCCTGTTTTCTGGATCTATGTTTTCATTTGAGTCTCACTATCCTCACAGACATATCATTCACTAGGTGGTTTCATGTGGCAGGTACCCTTCAGTGGTGTTTCACACATTGTCTAAGGGTAAGGCCCAATTTCAATGTTTATCCATTCGTGTTCATCAAGACAAAGTTGTAGTCTCCCTGTATCAGAACTAAGTATATATGTTCACTAACCAAGATCCTATTGCAGGGGCCAACAGAAGCGACTAGAAGGTGTAACCAAGAGTAGAAAATGTCTCCGGAAACCATTTTATTTGGCTGGGAATGGTATTGAGTAGTCAGCTTTTAAAACAAAGATCACAATGTGGCATTGTATAGGTTGTATAAGTTTTGCTTGATTAAAAATTGGGGATAAATAAAAGAATCCCTTTTCATCGCAAGTTTAGAAGATCTAAATCAAGCCTTTTCATTTGCTTAGTTTATTCTCATTTTCATGTTTCTTTAACCAGTTCATTGATTTTACCTTTGCCCTTGCCTCTTGACTTGTGGAATGTAGTTTTTTTTCTCTTACTTTTGTTTGCTATTATGTGACAACTCTTATTTAAAGATTGAATTTGCTGATATAGATTTATCTACCTTCCATATATTTGTCCTGCCTGTGACACTGTTTCCATATATTAGTATCCAATTTTTTATTTAGAAAAACTTTCCAGCTGATACAGATATTTATCTAACCTGCCACATGAAAACCCGTATCCTTTCTGTTGTCACCAAACTCCATATGCGATCAAAATAGCTTACCATACACGGCCTTGCTACATTATCCGCAGTCAACAAAGAGTAAGCAGAGCGTACAGTAAATTCAGTTTGCCCGATATGTAATGGGGCGGAGGAGACTATATTACATGTGCTGCGGGACTGCCCTGCGATGACAGGGATTTGGATGCGTTTAGTCCCTTTACGGAGGCGAAATGAGTTCTTCTCTAAGACGTTGTTAGAGTGGCTTTTTGATAATCTGGATGGCAGAAAAGAGAATTGGCCAACTTTGTTTAGTATGGCGGTGTGGTGGGCGTGGAAGTGGAGATGTAGGGATATCTTTGGGGAGCGACGACTTTGTCGGGATAGATTGAAATTCATAAAGGACAGGGCGGAGGAGGTAAGCCGAGTCCACGCTGCGGCCACTGCTCGGACTCGTGGGGCAGAACGAGTTAAGCAAGGAGTAAAATGGAAGACACCAAGTGAAGGATGGGTGAAGATTAATACGGACGGTGCTTCCCGAGGCAACCCCGGGGCAGCAGCTGCAGGTGGAGTAATCCGGGGAGCGAATGGGGAATGGCTGGGAGGATTTGCGTTAAACATCGGGATATGCTCGGCTCCACTAGCGGAGCTATGGGGAGCTTATTACGGTTTGGTGATTGCCTGGGAGAGGGGCTATAGGAGAGTGGAGCTAGATTTGGATTCGGAGTTGGTTGTCGGGTTTCTACGAACAGGGATAAGTAATGCTCATCCGCTGTCTTTCCTGGTGCGTTTGTGCCAAGGCTTTATATCAAGGGACTGGTTAGTCCGAGTTAACCACGTGTATAGGGAAGCTAACCGCTTAGCTGATGGGTTAGCAAACTATGCGTATTCTTTACCTCTAGGCTTTCTCTTTGTTGAGACTTGCCCCGAGGAAATTTTTTGGATTATGTTAGAGGATGCAAATGGAACAGTGATTTCTAGAACTGTTCGAGTATAATTTTTTGTAGTTTGTTTATTTAATAAAGTAGGGAAGACAATTGTCTTCCCCCTCCTACCAAAAAAAAAGATATTTATCTATTTTAACGCTTTTCTTACGCGGAACGTTTTTTGTACTTTTCTACCTTTACCGGCAACTTTTATGATGAAAAGCAACCAAAGTAGAGAGAGATAGAGAATATATATCTTGATAATTCGTAATTGTGTATTTTATTGATAACCAGCTAGAAATGCCAATGCATGACATTTCCACCAACTAATTAGCTTGTATTTGTCCTGTGTTTTAAAGATTAATGATAATATGTCGACAAAAAGTTGTTCGTGGCTACGGCCAAATGCAATAATTATGATTGGTTGGTTTAACACGTGGTTTCACCATTTATTCCAGTTCTATGCAAACTATTCACCAATCAAGAATACAAGAAAACCTGAAATTGTCAAAAATGTAAAAGAAGAACAAATCTTTATTTTTATAGGAAGAAAATATCAATAATCCCCACGGCTTTGATTTGCAAGTGATTTATTAGAAGTAAAATATCTCACATAATTATCGTCATTAATTGAGAAAAACACATGAAATACAGATAAGCCAAGCCCAATGGTACTATTGGAGTTTTCTATAAAACTCCGAAGCCATTTCCTCCGTCCCTTATTTTGTGACACCACACAAAGTCGTCTTTGGAGAGAGAGAGAAGGGCCAACGACCACACACACACACCAACAATAAACCATGAGCCCTTCCAAGCAGCGACATCGTAGCTCAACCGGAGAAAACAAGTCAAAACCGGTCAGATCCGGTTCATCCTCCGGCATACCGGAATGGATTACCGAATCAACCAACGGCGGATCTCTCCGTCGCGTAGATCCCGATACAGGTATCGACGGCTGGGCTTCTCCTCCCGGCGACGTTTTCTCTCTCCGCTCCGATTCTTACTTGACCAAAAAACAAAAATCTCCCGCCGGTGATTACCTCCTCTCTCCCGCCGGTATGGACTGGCTCAAATCCAGTACCAAACTCGAGAACGTGCTCGCTCGTCCCGATAATCGTGTAGCTCACGCGCTTAGAAAAGCTCAATCTCGCGGTCAATCTCTTAAGAGCTTCATCTTCGCCGTGAATCTCCAGATTCCGGGTAAAGATCATCACAGCGCCGTGTTTTACTTCGCGACGGAGGAACCGATTCCTTCCGGTTCGCTCCTCCACCGGTTCATCAATGGCGATGACGCTTTCCGAAACCAGAGATTCAAAATCGTGAATCGGATTGTGAAAGGTCCTTGGGTAGTTAAAGCCGCGGTGGGGAACTATAGCGCTTGTCTTCTAGGTAAAGCCTTGACGTGCAATTACCACAGAGGTCCTAACTACTTTGAAATCGATGTCGACATTAGCAGCTCGGCGATCGCAACGGCAATCCTCCGGCTAGCTTTAGGATACGTGACGAGCGTGACGATCGATATGGGGTTCTTAGCGGAGGCACAGACGGAAGAGGAGCTGCCGGAGAAACTAATTGGAGCTGTTAGGGTCTGTCAAATGGAGATGTCGTCAGCGTTTGTGGTCGACGCGCCACCGCCGCAGCAAATGCCGTCACAACCGTGTAGAACATTGAGTTCGGCGAAAGTTAACCATGACGAGGACGAGGATTGAGATTAAACCACAGGTCAATGAACCATTTCTCTATCTCTCAAAGAATGTGAAACAATTTTCATTAATCACAATCAAATTTATTATTAATCATTTTTTTGTTTATGGATTTTGTAAATAATCGAGAGGTTTCATGATATAATTAATGGAATTAAAATTGAAGTTCGACGGATTCTTCTTTGTTCTTTTTTTTGCTGGAACCGGAATATAGAGAATAGTTCACTTTCACCGGAATAATTAAGCGTGTGATGATCATTTTAAGAGTCGTGGGACAGATGAGTCCATATGTGAAAAGCGAAAATGTTGAATCTTTGGAGGAGATTTTATACCTCAAAAAACCCAAAAAAATGTATATAATGAATTTATGCTTTTTCGAGTAAAAGATTACACTCAAGGAAAAAGATGATTCTGATAGCTTAAATTGGACTTGGAAAGTAAGCAAATGTTGAACCATGTTTGACGTTCACTACAAAACATACTTCCAAGTCAGGATGAAGTATATTAGAAAGCAAATAATATATATATGTAGATATTAACATAAAACGATTTAAAGCATTGTCAAGCAATATGAAGCATATTTGAGACTATTGATATAGTGATATCAAACACTTAAAACAAATCAAAGGTTCAATTCCTATGAAGAAAAAAAATAGCATCGGTCAAATTAAGTTTGGTATTTGAGCTGAATTCTAGTTAAAGCATAATTTTAGTTATTTAGCTTTTCATCAAAACGATATTGTGTTAATTCTTCGTCCGTCAAAATTTATACATGTTGTTAAAGTCCAGAATCATATTTATTACTTTCCTATAGTTTGAAACTAAAAACTTTTTTATATCTTGCAATAAAAAATAAAAAAACTGGACAAGTTTAAATTTATTTATTTCTTGATAAGATTTTACCAAATTTAAGTTTGGAATAATACAATAAAAAGCAACTGCCTCGTACACAAACTTTTTTTTGGGGCAATTTACTTAACACACGTACTTCATGAAGGATAAAGCTAATTTATGAGCCAAAACCCTTACTTAATTAGCTACAACCATTCGGAGCAAACCCAACTCGTCTACCAGCCACGTCGTGCACAATTTCTAGCGTTTTTTGCTGAACGTTTCCGAAAATGGCTGGAATGTTATCATTTCCTGCAAACGCAAAACAAACCTGTGATATCGTGAACGGATACAAAATCCCTATTCCATCAAGTTCTACGACCGTGCCACCGCCAAAGGAGAATGAAATCTTCGGGAGCGTCACCGTTTCCAATCCAGTGAAATCGTAGCATGTGTCAAAAATCGAGCGTCCCGACGTAGCCTTGTAGCTCGACATCTTTTCTTTAAACACGCTCCGCAGTTCCGCGTAGACCTTGGTAGGGAGGCGAGTAATCACAGTGCCAGAGTCGATAATAGCACCGCGCGTTGAGAATACTGTTGGAGTAATCTCTAGCTTCTTATCGCCGACGTTGATACCTATGATATTGATGCCATAATGGGATGAGCTTGGGGAGGAAGTAATCGGGGTGAATTTAACGGATTGAGAGATTCCGGCGGATCCAAAGGTAAGATGGCCGGTGTTACTTGCAGAAGAAGGGAGGCAGTAGGAGAAGATATTGTTGTAGGTCGTCGTTGTTTGTGACGGAAATGAGAATTTGCCAGGACTAAGACCGAGAAGCCCAGCAGTACCGTTGAAAAGTCCTTTGTTGTTTTCACCGCAACCAAAGTAAACATTGTCCAAGACGTCAGAGTTCGTTAAGGTGAATGTCTCCTTGGCTAGGAATCCGACGGTAATCGATCCATCTCCATAACGGAGTCTGTATAGACAATTGGAAGCCGAACAACTTGCGGTGTTTTCACACATTGGAGATGAGCACGAGACGTTGTGGTAAGAAGAAGATGAAGAAGGGTTGAATTTTGGTTCGTTTTGTGAATAGCAACTTCCAAGACATGGCTCGCATTGAGTCCATGTCAAATCGCTTCCGGTGTCGAAGACTAGCGATATATCGTGCTTCGGTGTACCGATTCCGATTGTTACGATGTAGTTTGCTGAACCGATTATGATTCCATTTTTGGCCGGTAGCTCCGTTGATTTGGTTTTGCTGACTTCATCTGCGATATTCTTTGACAACTTCGAGTGGATGGACTCCACGCGTGCTTGATCACGTCTGAGGATTTCGTCATGGTCGAGTCTCGCATCTTTGTTGCTGCTAAGATGGGAGCACGCGCCATGCATGTGCACCACACGCAGCGACGACTTGGTATTAGAAGCTGTGCAGAAAATTCATGTTAAAAATAACAAAAGAGACCCAAAACTTCACAACTATTGCAAACAAAACAAAAACAAAAAAAAAAAACTTATAAACACAATGGATGATTAGAGAGTAAATAGGCTAAGATACTCACCTTTTGAAGAAGGGACACAAGATGATGATGAAGGAAAAAGAGAGCTGACTTGAATGGTGTAAGAATCAAGTACCTTTCCACTCTCTCTTTTCTCAGCTCCTTCAGTAAAACACCAATTGAGACATACACAAAGAAGAATTATCATATTCAAGAAATTCTTCATTATGCTCATTTTAACCTCTCTCTATCTCTCACAACAATAAAAGTGTTACTCAATTACATGAAATTGGTTGGTCCTTTTATAGCCATTACTCTTTGCTCAAGATAAGTGTTTAATGGCTGTTGTTAAAGTCTAAGCTATCACATGCATTCACATTATCAAGTAGGGACTCCATCCCGTTTGTGTCTGATATATATGTCGTCTCTCGAGACGACTGACTCCAAGTCTTTAGTCTCCATGCATGTCCAGCGTACTTAAGGGGTTGTAACATTTTCTCTAGATACATTGTTAACGTGTAATTTTGTCTAAAGGCTCCAAGTTTGGCGTAATTAATCGTCAACTAGATGTTGATGTCATTCTGTTCTCTTGTCTTCACTCGAGTCTCCAAGTCTAGCGTACTAAATGGGTTGTACTATTCCACTTAAGTCTAAGCGCGATTGATTGAGCAGTGAACTAATTGAGTTTATTTTTTTATAACGTTTTTCATTAAATATTAAATGGATATACATGGTTCCTTATTTAGGCTTTACAAAAAGAGATCAAGAAAAAAGGTAGAACCGGATTTGTGAACTCGCTTAACGATTAGTGCAACAAACGAAGAAGTTTGATTGAATAATAGATGAGAGTGACTCCATTAAAGTGCTACAGCCGAACTAGTTTTGCAGAAGGTCCGAAGCTAAATCTGGCCGGTTGTGGCTGTAATATGAAGCTTTGTTCCTTATAGTAGCATCGATGGTTCTGAAGTTTAAAAAAGCAGTTTGTCTTGAGTTGTGTGATGTACTAATTAACTACAACCATTCGGAGCAAACCCCACCCGTCCATCCACTCCGTCGTACACAACTTGTATCGTCTGCTGCTGAACGCTTCCAAAGATGGCGACATTGTCGTCGGGATACTCTGCAAACGCCAAACAAACCTTTGATCTCTCGGACGACGAATACAATATCCCTTTTGGATCAAGTTCCACGACGGTACCGCCGCTGAAGGAGAACGCAATCTTCGGGATTGTCACCTCCTTCAAGCCTGTAAAATCATAACACGTGTCCAATTCCGAATCTCCCGACGACGTAATCGTATACTTGGACATCTTCTCCTTAAACGCGCTCTTCAATGCCGCATATGCCTTTGGAGGAAGACGAGTAATCACCGTGCCGGAGTCGATTATAGCACGTGGCGTTAAAGATTCGATTGAAGGAATCTCCAGTTGTTTATCGCAGACGGTGATTCCTACGATATTAAGGTAATAGAAGTCTTTGCTTGGGGAGGAAGAAACCGGCGTGAATTTGACGGATTTAGAGATTCCGGCTGATCCGAAGGTGAGATGACCACTGGTGTTGCTAACGGAAGAAGGGAGGCAGTAGGAGAAGATTTTATTGTAAGTCTTCGCCGTCTGCGACGGAAAGGAGAGTTGACCGGGTCCAAGCCCGAGAAGTCCGGCGACACCTTCGTAGTAATCTCCCGTATTGTTCTCACCGCATCCAAAATTAACGCCGTCGAAGACATCGGAGCTCGTGAGGGTAAATTTCTCCTTGGCGATAAATCCTTGGGAAGTCGAAGTATCGCCGTAGCCGACACTGTAGCCGCAAGTGGAATCTGAACAACTTCCTTGGAGACCTAAACAGAGAGATGAAATTAGAAGTTTAATTAAAACTCGGTTTAACGTTAACCGGAACCAACACGAATTGCAAAACCGTAAAATCCTAACCTCCGAGAGAATCACACACCGGTGATGAACACGAGACATTGTGGTAGGAAGAAGACAAAGAAGGGTTAAAGATTGGTTCCTTCTGAGTGTAGCAATTTACAGTGCATGGCTTGCACTGGACCCATGTCAAATCACTGCCGGTGTCGAACAAAAGTGACATATCGTGTTTTGGTGTTCCAATTCCGATCTTAACGATGTAGGTCCCCGAGCCGAGCGTGTTCGAGCCCCATCGCTCAGCCGGTAGATCAGTCAACTGGTTGGGGGTTAATAGGCTCTTCGAAAGCTTCGAGTGGATGGAGTCCACGCGAGCTTTATCACGTCTGAGGATGTCATCATGGTCAAGACTCGTCGTGGCTTTGCCACTGATGAGATGCGAGCATGGGCCGTGCCTATGCACCAACTGCAACGACGACTTGGTATTCGATGCTGAAATAGACAAGTTAAATTAGCGTTCAAATGGTGTCGTGCGTACGTGTTAGATGATTATATACTAGGACCAATCTAAACACAAATGAAACATTAGAGACTAAATTGAATTGGCTAAGATTTACCTTTTGAAGAAAGTGAGCACGAAGATGATAATGATGATGATGAATGAAAAAGAGAGCTGACTTTAATTGTCTGAGAACAACCCTTTCCACTGCTTATTATTCGAGCTCCCTCAGTACAACCCCAATTGAGAAGTACACAAAGGATTATTATGATACTCAACAAAGTCCTCATTATGCTCATTTTACCTTTTCCCTCACTCACTACAATAAAAATGTCACTCAATTACAAGAAATTGGTCGGTCCTTTTTATAACCAATTTGTTTGCTGAGGAAACCAAGTCTCTAGTGGATGTCACCCACATATCACATAAGCAGGGACATTAACCCCCATTCCAAGTTCAACGTGCTAAAGGGGTTTGAATATTTCAACTAGATATATTAGCGTCCAAAAGGGCTTGGTTAACCGGAGTGCGTCGAACCAGACCAAAATACCAAACCGAATATACAACTTGAATTAGTCAACTAAATGTCAAGGCTTTTGGACATAATCTTCTAATCGTTTACTTGCTTTAAGTTAATAAGCGTAGACTTGGTCTTCTCGTTTACTTGCTTCTTGTTAATAATTGGTACTTCAAAATCAAGTATCCGGTGTACGTTGTTAAACTATCACCCACCCCAATATCACATGTTTTGTCTCTCGACTCCAGCGTGCTAGAGGGGTTGTAATATGCGATTTTGTCTCTAGACTCCAAGTTTTCAAACACAATTCTTCACGGTATAAAAGAAAGACAAATTCGAAAGCAGCTAGTCCTTGCGTGGGCAGTTTTATATGGGCCTTTTACCAACATCACTCTGTATTATTCATCTAGTATTGGAATAAAAATGTACAAATTAACAGTTTGTTCTTGTAATTTCTGTATCATCCACACAAACTTTACTTCAAAGACCATCACGCTCTTTACCCGAATTACACACTTAATTAAGGATATGGCTAATTTGTGCCAAATCCCATAAATTTAAATTTTACCCCTTTTTTTTTTATTAACTAACTACACCCATTTGGAGCAAACCCGACCCGCCCACCCGCACCATCGTACACAACTTCTAGCGTTTGCTGTTGAACGTTTCCAAAGATGGCAGCGTTACTGTCATCGCTATTCCCTGCAAACGCTAAACAAACCTGCGATATCTTAAACGCGTAAAAGATCCCTTTCGAACCAAGCTCCACGACGGCGCCACCGCTGAAAGAGAACGCCACTTTCGGGATCGTCACCGTCTTAAATCCGCTGAGATCGAAACACGTGTCCAAGATCGAGACGCCTGACGTGGTCGGATACTTTGACATCTTCGCCTTGAACGAGCTTCGCAACGCCGCGTAAGCTTTCGGCGGGAGACGAGTGATCACGGTTCCTGAATCGATTAAAGCTCCCGGAGTAGAGAAGACGGTTGAAGGAATCGGCAGTTTCTGACCGCCGACGGTGATTGCGACGATATTAAGGCCGTAGAAGGAGGTTCCATCAGTGATGGTTGAAATCGGCGTGAATTTTACTGATCTGGAGATTCCGGCGGATCCGAAGGTGAGATGTCCGGTGTAGCTAGCGGAGGAAGGGAGGCAGTAAGAGAAGATCTTATTGTAAGCCGTTGCCGTCTGCGACGGAAATGAAAGCTTGTCACGGCCAAGACCTAGAAGTCCGGCGACACCGGTAAAAAGTCCTTGGTTGTTCTCACCGCAACCGAAATAAACACCGTCGAATACGTCTGAGCTCGTTAGTGTAAATTTATCCTTGGCGAGAAATCCGACGGAGAATGATTGATCGCCGTATTGAATACCGTAGATGCAATTCGAAGCTGAACAACTTCCGGCGTTTCCTGAAAATTAAATTCCGGTTAACAAAACCGGATACGGTTATAATAACCGGAACTACAAGAATTGATAATTGAACCTGTAGCTGAAGAGAGGGAACCACACGCTGCTGATGAGCAGGAGACGTTGTAGTAAGAAGTAGACTTAGAAGGGTTAAAGATTGGTTCCTTTTGGTCATAGCAAGTTCGAACACATGGCTGGCATTGAGTCCACGTTAAATCGCTTCCGGTGTCGAAGATTAGTGATAGATCGTTCTTTGGTGTCCCGAGTCCGACCGTCACGATGTAGTTTCCTGAACCGAGTGTACTTCCATCTTTAGCCGGTAGATCCGTTGACTGGCTTTGACTGACGTGATTTGTTGTGAGTTTCTTTGACAGTTTTGAGTGGATGGAGTTTACGCGAGCCTGGTCGAGTCTTAGGATCTCGACATGGTCTGGACTCGTGGCTTTGCCATTACTTAGACGCGAGCACGTGCCGTGTCTATGCGTCACGTGCAGTGAGGACTTTGTGGTAGACGCTGAATGTCATGAGATATAAAGTTCACGTTAGAAAAACATCATAGAAAAAAAACTTTATTATCTGACGAAATGATAAAGAAAAATTTCTTGTAATTTTTAACATATGTGGAGTGAAACAGAGTTGTACTTATAATTCACGAAATAGTCTAAATTGTTGAATTTTTTTTGTTAACTCACTGAACTAGCTAACAAAATATTGATTACAACTAGTAATTATTGTCGTTTTCCCCATTTAACAAAAGTGAACATCATTACTTTCACTTTCTTAGTCCTGTGATGGTATAATATCAATTACTTGGAAGCAAGAATTTGGCCTTTATAACCTAATTTGAGAGTCTCTATTCATCTACCTTATCTATAAAGCTAAAAGACAATGGATCATATCAGAAATTGGCTAAGAAAATCATCACCTCTGGGAGAAAGAACACAAGATGATGATGATGAAGGGAAGAGAGAGCTGACTTGGATAGTATGAGAATCAATCTCTCTTTCTTGAGCTCCCTCGTTACAACCCAAATTGAGACATACACAAAGGACTGCTATGATATTCAACAAGTTCCTATTTATGCTCATTTTGCTCTCTTATTTCTCTCCCTCAGAAAAATGACATTCGGTAACATGAAAATGGTTGGTCTTTTATAAACAATCTTTTTGCTCTAAGAAAGTCGCTAGTGGAGGTTGTTAAAGTTTAGAAGCAATCCAGTCATCCACATATCACACAAGTAGGGGCACTCTGTTCCATTGGTTTCATCAACCAGTTAGATAGTGACACATCATCAGGCAGTGGAGCATTATTGTTATTTTCTGTTGTCTTTCATACTTCCAATTTCAGCACAAAGAACGGGATAATATTCCACCAAATGATTCATTGATCAGTAGTAAAACTAATTAGGTAGGTGTCGAATCATGCATGTATATGTGTGTGATGCTCATTCGTTAGTTTACGACACAAAATAAAATGTTCAATTTATTCAAATGTCCAATGACGAATTTATATTTGTATAAACGATAGTTTATTCGTTAACAAAAGCATTAATGACTCTCCATAATGATATTTTCGCCTAATAATGGAAGAGTCAATTCCTAAGAGAACCAATAATTGAACAACTGCAAGCAATAATGTTGCTTAAAATTTAAGAGAATCCAAAGTGATCATAGTATTGAAGTAACCACAAAAAGAATGAAAGCAACATTTTTAGTCAATTAATTTACATCCTGTCTCTTGATTCAAGCTTACTTACGCGTATACATTTTAAGTCACATATCATATGTTTGCATCAATTTGGAAAAAGTGTTGCTTCACGAAATCACTCTCCTTCAAAAATTAAATGTATGTAGTTTACTAGTTTAGTTAGCATTTGGTAGATTTAATAATAATTGTTTACATGAACGTGTTAAACATCAACATGTGATCTCACATCTTAGTATCCTACTGTGAATCTCCGATGTATAAGAAACAATAGTTTAAGTAATTTATAGTTAAAGAAAGTTCTGAAGTTGAACTAAGGTTACTGGTAAAAATAACAAATACTAATAAAAAAAAAAAAAAATAAAAAAAAAAAAATAACAAATACTGTTGTAATACACTAGATTTTAAAGCAAATGGAGTGATTGTACAGGAGTAATTTGTGACCGAAAACATGCAAGTATGATTGAGATAATAAGTCCACAAGAACCTCAATTAATTGGATGTATGTGGGCCTCAATATATAGTTTCCGGAAAACAAAAAACTAATGAGTACAAGTGGGAACAAAAGATAAAGATTCTAATAAAGAATCTTAATGTAGTGGAAGTGGGAGAAAGCTGGAATCTGTACCCTAATTTCTAGAAACTTAGAAAATTCAGCAGTCGTCCAAATTCACAATTTAAGAAACATATATATATGTATATATATACTGTTTGGTTACTTTACTAACTAAGCACTCATATATGATTATTTGACTCATCAATAATGCATGTTGTTGGTTCCAAATATGAAACTCTGTATAGTTAACGGGAGTGATATTAATTCATTATCAATTTGATTTTATTATAACGAATCCGTAGACGGTGGATGAGATATAATTTATTTCTGATAAAAGAAAATGAATTGAGTGATGACCTAACTCTCCATCTCTATCAGACATTATATTTCTGATAAATACATATATACTAGGCCAGTCTTTTAACATATGTACAATTAGTTTAGTGCATTCAAATATGATCTCAATTTATAAATCCCAAAATAAGTTAAAAAAAAAAATCATTCCATAAACCTTCAATTTTTATTCCATATATTATAATATATATATGAGGTCTGCTAATAAATAAAAACCACCGATCATTAATGTTTTCAAAATCTGTTAAACAACATAATAAAATGAAACTAAAGCTTGTTCGATGCATCGCTTTTCTTACATGCGTTATTGATTATTATCAAGATAATGCTTATGCAAGGTAAATGTGTTAACGTCAATAAATCAGCATAAAGCGAAAGATACTGAAGTGTTTTGAAAAAGATGAGAAGACAATAACACTCGTTTATTTTAAATTATTCAGATAATTTATACTGGTCCCGGGGGTTTTACGTTTGTGTGAAAACAAAACTTTGTTTTTTTCTTTAATTTTGTTTCACCATCGTTATATGTCTGTGGCGGCTATCAACGTCTCTCTCTCTATACATTGTGTCGAGATATAAAAACTTAGAAATATATATATATGATCGAGAATGTTGTGGTAGGATCGAGAAGAATTCAAAGAGGACAATATAACAAAGAGTGATGGTGGTTTTGTAACTGAATATATATAAGTTATATAGAAATTAGAAAGTTGGTGATTAGCATTGTGGGAACTCGTTAGTTGTCACATCCCACGATGGATTCTGTTTTATCGTCCGAAGAGTTTTCCACTAAAGATAAGATAAGAGATTGAAATGAAATGTTATATTAACTCATAATTAATTATAGTGGGTAGATGTAATTGGCTTAAACAAAGGGAGTATCTTATGTAAATCAATTCATTTTAGGTTTGTATATCAACAACAATATTAATAACAAAAATATTGGATGGTCTATAGTTAGTCTTGCGTGTGTTATCGTTCACGATCTTTTAACTTAATATAGTGTTTTACCAATACCAATAAAAAAGTGATATATCAATAGTGGTACTCAACCAAATCTAGAGATGCAAAGTATCAACACATCCAGATTTGCCACTACAATTATCATGACATGCCTCAAGACTCGAGAATACCAAAATACGTCGTGTTCAAACCTCCGAACTAACAATAGAAAAGTTCTTTTAAAATATGCTTTTAACGTAATTTCGAAGAAGAATTCGAACATCATTATTTTATTACAATAACATCTAAAATTCGTAGGACACAGAGGATTACTTTTTTCTGTTTTCATATTAGCACAGTAGTACGTATAGGCTCTTTAACCGAACCTGTACCGGTTTGGAACTAATTTCTGTTTAGAACTGTATGGGTTCGTTAAGGCCCATTAAACAGAATCCCAAGTTTGGAGAAAGCCTAATAAAAATGGATAAAATATCTAGATCCGGGTTAACCCGACTTGAAGAAACGGGTTTGGAGTGTGTGAGATTTCCTCGTCACTTTCAAAAAAACAAATTAGAATTGGGAAACATCTAAAGCGTATGAGAAGATAAATCCGATCTAGGTCTCTTCTTCCCCAATCTCTCTCTTTGTCTCCTCGATCGAAGAATTTAGGCAATGGACAAAGGCAAAGCGGTGATGGGTACTGGTCGGAGATGGGCCGTTGAATTCTCCGACCAATCTACTGTTCCATCTTCCCGTGACATCCTCGATCCACCTGGCTTCTCTCGTGCTTCTCAGGAACAGGTTCTCTTTTTTTTTGCCCGTTTCTGTATTGAATTTGTAAATTTCTGTTGTTGTCGATTGGATTTGAAGTTTCAATTTGGAAATTTTACTGGGAATTGAGTTGATTTGCTACTGAGATTTGGTTTTAAAAATGGAATTCGATTTCAGGATGATTCAGCAAACAGCCGCCAAAAGAAAGACGCTGAAGCTACTTGGAAACTTCAGGTATACTTTATGTCAAATCTGAAAGTCGTATCTTAATTTGTACGGATTCGATCTTGGTAGATCTTAAAAGCCATTGACTTCCATGTATTGGATTGTCATAGTCCATGTCTTTCGCTGTCCAAATCTGATTGGGTTTGATGTGGCTGAAGTTATAAAACTGATATGTGTTTTTTTTTTGGTGAATGAGCAGAAAGCGTGGGAAGTAGCGCAATCTCCGTTTAAGAATTTGATGATGATGGGTTTCATGATGTGGATGGCTGGAAACACTGTGCATCTTTTTAGTATTGGTATTACATTCTCGGCTCTTTGGCAGCCTATCAGTGCTCTCCAGAGTGTTGGAAAGAGTAAGATTCCTCAACTACATCTTATTCTTCTTTGCCTAATTTGCTATTAGACGTCCTATTGTTACATTCATTAGCTTGCCAGCCCACAATTAGATGTAGTTTTATCGAACTGTGATGAGTATCTTGATTGGAAAAATGATAAAGTTAAATGAAATGGGGTTTGAACTTGCAAGTTGTATCCATAACTTATGTGGAATAGCATACTCTACTTCTGAATAAAAGATAGAAAGGACCTCTAAGAGAGGGAAGAACCGCTTCTCCAGGATCTCGTTGCAACTTATTATCATGTGTTTAAATTATTCCCATCTTTAATTGGTAGGTTATGTTTACTATTAAACATATCTTACTATTATGCACAATTTGATTTGTGAATCCAAGTCTAGTATCTTACATTTGACCTTTACCCTTGTCTGCAGTTTTTGAGCCATTCAAGGATAACAAAGTGGAACTACTTATGCCGAAATTAGTGTTTCTTGCCCTAAACCTTGGAGGGTTAGCTTTGGGTGTCTGGAAGGTAAGAAACTTTTTTCGTTTCCTCATTGTTTCCTCTTTCCTTTTTCCTTATGGCAACACTGCCTTGGATTAGAAGTGTAAATTACTCTTTCCTTATGCAAACAATTTTCACTTTCTCAGCTTAACACTCTGGGGCTTCTTCCAACACATGCATCAGATTGGGTTTCATCTCTACCCCCTCCTCAGGTTGGTAATTTCTGTCTGAAGCTAAATTTGTGTCTATGTGTTTCCGCATCATCCGTGAAAGCGAGAATCTGGCATTTTGACTCATCATCTCTAATCTGTTCATATTGTTTTCTCCTCTTTCTTTTTCAGGAAGTTGAACACTCGGGCGGAGGATTTGTTTTCCACTGACGAATCTTCATCTCTTGTATTTTAAATAATCCACCGCGAGACAACGACGACACTTTTGTGAGATAACTGCAACAGATACTTAAGTGATTTGTTCAACCCGGGTTTCATTATATGGACCTTCTCATCTTATGATCTTCTTGTAGCATTTTCAAAACTCAGAAACCATAGATTTTTTTTTACTTTTTAGTATGATGCTCATTATTCATCATAACTATGAATGTATTATTGGCTCTGAAGGGACCTATCTCCTCCCAGCTTTTTGTTTCTCATCTTTTTAGACAGGAATGGATAATGTTTCAGACAAAAATTTGGCTCTTTATTGCTTCCACTCATGATTCTGAGTAACAATCAATCAATGCTTGATATTAATTTTGTAATGACTAAGACCTTCTAGCTGATTCAGAAGGTTACAACAGAGTGGACTAGTAGGCGCAATAAGAAAACTAGGTCAAGTTTGGGAAGCACAAGACGTGGAACATAGTGCAGTCTTTTAAGTCGGTCTACTCAAAAAATCTCTCGACGACAAAAATGTTTACTTTAATGATTATAAGATTGCGAGAAATAAATGATTTACAGGAAGAAAAAAAAAAACCCAAAAAAGAAAGAAAAAGAGAAATAGATATTTTTTCCATTAAATCTTGTAATTTTTCCTTGCGATCTTCTAGTAAAAATTGATAAAACGAACAGAGATGACTCTTAACACGCTAACCTGATCCGAAATTTTCTATCTTTTTTGTTTATCATCACAAAAAAGTTTGATTCTTTGATGATCTTAAAAACTCTTACTTGGTCACTATCTTCCTGAGATTTTTTTATTCTTTTTCCAAGCGAATCTGAGTTTTGTTTTCATGTCCGCGAGGATTTCATTTCTGAAAAATCCCGATCCGTGCAATCACTTATCTGATTATAAGCTTAGATATGGTACTGATGGTTACAAATCTTTCAATAACTTGTTCAGATGCTTCAACGATGGAAGAATTAAGATCAAACTTCAAGGAATCGACATACCCAGATGCAGTTATTGTTCCGTTTATCAAAAGAGACTCTACATCTGTTTGATCTGTCGTTCCATTTCTTGTTCAAGTCATATCCTTTTGCATACCCAATTGAATAAAGGCCATGATATCGCCATTGATGTTGAAAGATCTGAGCTTTATTGCTGTGCTTGCATCGATCAAGTGTATGATTCTGAGTTCGACGAGGTTGTTGTGTCTAAGCAGCTTATTGGTTTGGGTATGTCTGTTAAATCCGGGGCTGATGTTGTTGCGGTTAGATCGAACAAGAAGAGGAGATTGGATTCGCAATTGATTATAGGGTCGAAGTTTTTGGTCTCTCCTCGAGATCGAAGGGAGAAATGGACGTTTCCTTTGGGGTTGAGAGGATTGAACAATTTGGGAAGCACTTGTTTTATGAATGCTGTGTTGCAAGCACTTGTTCATGCTCCTCCTTTGAGAAACTTTTGGTTGAGTGGTCAGCATAATCGTGATCTTTGTCCTAGAAGAACAATGGGTTTGTTGTGTTTGCCTTGTGATCTTGATGTTATCTTCTCTGCTATGTTCTCTGGTGATCGGACTCCTTATAGCCCAGCTCATTTGCTTTACAGGTTTGATTTCTGAGTTCTTCATTTGTCATACAAAGCGTTTCTAGAATTTATAAGTGAATGTTAATGTCACATTGTTAGATATGTTTGTCTGAGTTTGTTAACATGATTGAATGTCTTCGTAGACATTATGTGATGGTGGTTTTGATATTTTCTTGGTTTTTTATTTTTGGTGCATGAAGTTGGTGGCAGCACTCAACGAATCTAGCTACATATGAGCAGCAAGATTCTCACGAGTTCTTCATTTCGCTATTGGACCGTATCCATGAGAACGAAGGAAAGTCGAAATGTTTGTATCAAGGTAAATCTTATTTGGAAGAAGATGTCATTTATTTGTTGTTTATTGTTTGAAGGCCTTGGATTTTGTGTTGAGTGATTAAACTTTCAAGATAGGATTTGATTTGATGTTTGTTCCCTTTTGATACCGATAAGTTTGTTGGTTTTACTGTGCAGATCATGAGGAGTGTCAATGTATTACTCACAAGGCATTCTCTGGTCTTTTAAGATCAGATGTCACCTGTACAACATGCGGATCCACATCAACAACATATGACCCGTTTATCGACATTTCACTTACTTTAGATTCAGTGAATGGATTCTCTCCCGCCGATTGCAGAAAGAACAGATACAGTGGTGGACCAAGTGTGAACGCAACCATGCCAACTCTCTCGGGTTGCTTAGATTTCTTCACACGGTCAGAGAAACTCGGTCCGGACCAGAAACTAAACTGCCAAAGCTGTGGAGAAAAGAGAGAATCTTCGAAACAAATGTCAATAAGAAGACTTCCTCTGCTTCTTTGCTTGCACGTGAAGCGTTTCGAACATTCTCTTACCCGAAAAACCTCGAGAAAAATTGATAGCTACTTGCAGTATCCATTTCGCCTAAACATGTCTCCTTACCTCTCTTCCTCCATCATCGGAAAGCGGTTTGGGAACAGAATATTTGCATTTGATGGAGAAGGTGAGTATGACAGCTCATCATCATCATCCCCATCAGCGGAATTTGAGATATTTGCGGTTGTAACTCACTCGGGGATGTTGGAATCAGGTCACTATGTGACATATCTGAGGCTTAAAGGGTTGTGGTATAGATGTGATGATGCATGGATCAATGAGGTTGAAGAAGAAGTGGTGAGAGGATGTGAATGTTACATGTTGTTCTATGCACAAGAAAGAGTGATTCAAAAAGCTCATAAGGAGTTGAGTTATCAAGTTATCTCCATGGCTGATGCATTTCCCTTTGCTGATTGCTGACTCTTAACTTGGCCAAAGATTTTGACGCATTTTCCCTTAATACTTTTTTTTATTCATTTAAGGTTTATGCCAAATATTTGAAAGCCAAGTTTAATGATTAAAATTTCTTCTTCACTATATCAGTGTTCATATCAGACCCTTAGGCGGACAAAGATTTTCAAGTTACACAAGTACTACTTATTGAGTGATTAAAGAAACATAGAATCAATCATCTTCTTATGCTTAAAGCAAGTGGTTCTCACATGGAACTTCTGCAGAAAACTATGAAAAAGGGAGTAATACACACAAAATACAGTTGTGTTTCTTAGATATTTTGTTCTCAGTCAACGAGACAAAAGAGGTTAATAAAGAACATTCCACGTGTCCTGCAGAGACCAAAACAAACAATCATCTCATCTCATGCCTCGTCTGCGCCAATCTCTGTCTCGCTCTCTGCTTCTATCATGATCGTCTCTCTCATGACTTGAGCTCTTTGCTCTTCGTTCTCGGTCCTTGTCCAAATCATGTTGTTGCCTATTTCTGTCTTTGTGTCTGTCTTTGTCCAAGTCATGATCTCTCACCCTTTCCCTGGTTAATGATTTTTGTGGTGGAGTCTGGCTTCGATTCTGGCTCTCACTTCGGTATCTCTTTCTAGATGAATCTCTAGAATCTTCACGCTTCTCCCTTTTCTCTGGCAATACTCTCTCTGCAGTTGAAAAAGCAATGTTCATTTCATTTGTAGACAAACTAAAGAATTTGCAGCAAGAGGGTTAAACTACCGGACAAGCTTTTGTTTTGTATGTGGAACAATTGTCTCCAATGTTTTCACTTTTCATCCAGAAGATAGTAACTTTTAAATGTGTTAGTAAGAACTTACGATTTCCTGATAAGCCATCAGCTTCAAGCCTCTTTCGGTGAATCACAACTTTTCTTTCTATCTCCTCAGAGTTTTTCATCCCCTGTTCCTCAAGAGATTCTCGATACTCTATCAAAGCAACCTCTATGCGTCTAAGCTTTTGTCTGCAGCAATAAAAAGGTAAAAGTAAGTAAGGCAACATCTCAGAGTGGAGTAGCTACTGATACCTACATTTGCTGATCAATTGGTAAGCATATGCTTTCTAGATGAATTTTGTTTTTCCAAAAGCCAGAAATCCACCTCCAGGGACTGGAACCAAATACCCCACCAAATCTTGCCACGGTTTTTTTTGGTTTTGAAGCTCTAGCATAAACATGAAGGAATAGAGCTACTATTTTGGTGTATTTTCCTCCATAGTTTTCCCATTTACCTCAATTATTATTAGTCCTGAGGAACAGAGCTAATCATGCAGATCATACCTTTGCTCCTCGTTGATTTCATTTTCAGGCTGGATACGAACACTTGGATCAGCATTGAGATCCTCTTCATCGGTCTTGAAAGTTATTCCACCAGCATTATCGTTACCAGAGGAGTAGCTCTTTTTTTGTTCATCATCGTCTCTTGCCCAACTGGAAGTTGGCAATATGAGGTCATTTTTCTCCTTTTTCACAAAGGCTTTTAGCTCCGGCTGTGGGATTGGTATTGTTGAGGCCAGATTCACAGGCTCTTTAGTTTCAACTTTATCATAGCTGGTTTTTATCCGCTTAGGCTCAATGTTAACTTCTTCCCAAGTTGAATGTCCCTGTCGATACTTCGCATTTTCATCTACTACTTCATAGCCTCGCTGTTTCTCTGCATCTTCCAGGCTTAGCAGCCGAGCAACCATCATCTCTCTACCCCCTACAAGTGACAGACCGTTGTGTCTGCAGCGTCTCTCAAGCTCAGACATTGGTAGATTCAATAGCTCTTGCCTTGCAGCTCCTTCGCCCATTGCCAGTGCAGCGTCTTGATTGATCTTATCAGCATAGTTCATATTGCCCATGAGACCTTTCTTCTCTATATCAGGTGCATCACCACAGATGGAATGAAACGAGGTAACACCAGAGCTTCCCGAACGGAGAAACGTGGCCCGTAGCCCATTTATATATGCATCTGAGAAGAGAAACCAGTCTGCCCATACCTGCAGTACTTTTAGTACTCGTTCCTGCACAAAGTAAGAATGAGAACAGAACTTAAGAGAGTAATGAACAACATAAGAAGAACATTTGCATTCTCGGATTACACTAAGAGCTTCCGCGGTAATCCTTCCAGTTACGCTGCGGTATATATCGTTGAAGCTTTCCATTATATCGGGTAATGTTGCTTCGAATTTTGTCCGGTATGCAGAGGCATTTTTAACATGAGCGCTGCTATTGTGAAGAATGTCAGACACAAGCATGAGTCTTGCAACTTTAGTGGGAATCGATGTCTCTTTCAGGGTCAACGACTCTGTCAGAACTTCAACAACCTGTGAAACAAGCAAATATTTAAAGAAAGGGAATTCAAAACACATGTTGAGCCTTCTGAAAGATTTAAGAGAGGTTGTCTGTTATCCAATGTAAGCAAGAATAAATTTTACCTCTCCAGCTGCATCTGCGTTATCCAAAGCAAACCCCATAGCTTCTTTGATTTGACTCCTTTCTAAAGTTAGAGCGCGCAACATGTCCTCAAATTCATCCCTTTGGGAATCGGTTAGAGTTTGCTCAGCTTCCGTGCGCTGTTATTTATCAGTGATAAGGTATCAATAAACAAACTTCTCCAAAAACATGCAAAAAAGAAGAAGTAAGATATGATATGTGAGATTGCAAGGAGATTACCCTGCTTTTCCCTGCTGCGTATGTGCTTGTAGACTCTTTTCCATGGTTTGGGCTCCTCGTTGCAGGCTGCGGTGGGGGAATCCATCTATAATAAAAGAAAACCAACAGTGCTAAGGTAAACACAATCCAGCACCTGACTCAGTTTCAAATCTGGCTAGGTTAAATACCTTCCACTTCCAGCTATCATGATGTACGGCTCTGTTCTCCACCTTTGAAGGGTATCACCCTAAATGACGGCGAGAAAAATCATCAGGATATGACAAAAATAATGACGAGAACCTCATATATTCCTAATAGTGAAACAATTAAAATGTACCTGAGCAAAGGAATAGAGCCTCCAGATATAATAGGTATGCTCCTTCGAGCCCAGCTCAAACAAGAAGTTAAAAAGTGGATTACCACGCCCCCTCTCCATAATTGCTTGTTCAAAAGCGCAGCCACCGTCCAGTACATTAAGGGCCATTGTATCAATAATATGTTTGAGGTGCTCGTCCTCAGGAGAAACAACAGTGATATCCGGAACATTTGGGGTAAGAACCTGAAGATGAGATTTAAGTTAACAAAGAAATGTTTGTACTAAAGATCCCGAGGTTAACATATATGAAGGATAACATTCAAGCAGTATCCAGTAACTCAAGCACTTATCAAATATCATACTCAAGAACTTTTAAATAAAAAATTAAGTCATATGGACCAAGTTTGCAAACCAGCTCAGAATTTTGATTTGGAACGGAAGTTATTGGTGGACCCGATGTACCAGAAAAAATTAAATTGCAGCGCTGCCAATCAAAACATATGAAAACTTTTAGAGTTGCATATAAACAAAAGCCGCCATCATGAACTAAATGTATTGAAACAACACAACAGTCGCATTCAGGGATAAAGATTTAATTCGCTAATAACACAATTAAAGTCAAAATGAATCTCAAAGGAGCAAATAACTGCCACAGACCTCCTTACTCCGGATTGCCATATGCCCAGGAGGTGGAGCTGATAGTGCTTGTGATGGCAGAGAAACCGCTTTACCCCATCCAATTTTCAGCTCATACTCATACACAATGATCCCTGCGAGGTAGGGAGAAAAAGATTTGTAAGTGTCTTGCATACCATCACACCACATGCATCAAGGAAGCACATTTATTATCAAATCAGAGAGTCAAAGATTAATAAATTTATATTGTTAGGAGGTAAGTAGTTTTCAACATTGTATAAATGAAGAAAGAAAAAATGGAAGTACCATACAAAAGCAGTAACACTGAGCAAACAATGAACTCTGTACGTATGTCTTCAACTGAATACGTTAATGCAATTTCTTATAAGAAAAATCAAGCTTTACACTAAAGAACCTACTAAAATATGCTGATCTGAAGTTATGGTTAAAATGCTATTGCTATGCAGGAACCTGAAAAAAAAATCTAGAACAAATCTTCATCTTTTGCTCTTTTATCATATTGTTGCGAATGTATTTCAGTTGAGAACCTTGCATGAACATACACAGTTTCATACAGAATGGTATAGCTAACCTTGCATTTCATCTTTTGCAGCTTGCCCGTCGGCTCTATTCATGAAACCAACAAAGCCACAATGTCTTTCTCGCCTTTTCTCCTCCTCCGTTCTTGGCCACATAATTTTAACACTAGCTATTGGCCCAAATCTTCCAAAAGTCCCAGAAGAAAATTTTCATCAACCTAAAAAAGGACAATACTACAAAGTTTTAGTGAGGGAAGAAAATTATGATAAATTAGCTATGGAAAACAATGCAGGTATTTAAGTTGAATGAGAAGAAACCTTAGGTGAAAGATTCCCAACATATAGATTTGTAGTTTGTGGGTCACCATCGTCCAATGACGCTAACCTTCCAGTGGGATCATAATCATCAGGTAGCTCATCAAAGCGGCTAGATGACTGAGAGAAATATAACTTTAGTACAGAAAGCAGTACATATCTCTCAATAAACAACAGTATGAACTAGGTTAAGAGCAAAGACTATTATGAACATACTGGTCACGGGAATTCTCGCGATCCTGGTTTCGCCTTTCTCTCATTTCTTGTTCTCGCTTCATCTCCTCCATAAAATGATCTATGTTTCGAGTCTTTCCATTTTCTCTCTCCTTTGATCTCTCTTCTTCCCTCTAAAAAGAGGAAGTTTATTATTGTACTCCAAACATCACAAACCCAAGAGAAATGGATGTCTAGTCTAGCATTGTAGCAAACGCATGAAAGCTGTATTATCATCAGTCAAACTCTTTGCTTATGAAGCCTACACTAGAAATTACATATGACGAGATTGATTAATCAAAAGCAATCACAGTTATACCTACTCCCCTTCTTTGAAATGGAAGCCCCATCTCTGGACTTTTCACCTGCGATCCGTGAATGCATAGAAAAAAACGTCCATACTTTTTAATAAACATGTTTCTCAATGTAATAGAAACATTATTCTACCAATCTACATGATCAAAACAATTCAATGAAACACAAAAAGAAGCCTTGAGTTCTACTAGATGAAGCCATGGGCATTTCCAAGAGACTAACCTTGAGAATCAGGCTTGAGCTTATTATCATTGGGATTGATTGTTCCACCTCGAACAAAAGTCTTAGCTGCATTATCTCCTTGAAACGATTCCACGAATTCCTGATAAAGACGAGCTGTTTCATCCTCCGCTCTCTGCATTTACCATGAAAAATCCCTCACTCTCAACATAATCCCATAAATTGAACACAAATATTCAAACCAATAGAAGCTATTGAGGAATTTAGTAGCTAAGAAACGAAGAAACAAACCTTCTTCTTCTTCTCTGTGTTTCTGGAACGGCGTTTTCTTCCGGGTGATCGAGAAAGAACTCATCTTTCTGCATCCACCAACTTACCTCGATTCGAAAACTTTGCCAATCGACAATAGCACGCCACCAAAATTGGTCTCAACGCAGATTGAGGAAAAAATGTAAAATCAGTGTACCTCAAAAATACATTCTTCAGTCTTAACCCAGTTTTTCTTGTTTTCTTTTTTTGTTCACTCAAAAATTGACCAATCTAATAATCTTCTATTCAACAGATTACGAATTTGACAAAAACAAACTACACCAGATTGCTTATAAGAAGTATAATTTCCAATGGAGGACGATTTAAGCATCTCATCAATTTGAGAAGAAGAATGGAGGTGCAGGTTTGGATATAGAAATTAGAAATGTAACAATCATTATTATGGATAACAAAAATGTTTTTAATGTTTAACACATCCAAGAAAACCACAACACCATACTCTTTATATGCATAATACTTATTGTTACATTGGCAAATATATAATAACGAGTGATGATTCTTTCGAATGGCCTCTCTTAATAAGCTTTATATCTTTCTTCAGGTAACAGACACTTTCAAATGATGTTTCTTCTTCATCTGCTTCCATTGGCAATTCTCTTGAGATGGTTAAATGCTTTCTGCTTAATCCATTGCCTGTCGTATGGCAGATATGCGCTGATCGAGTGTTCATAGCTGCAAAATGAAAAGGATCACACAAAATGACCGAGGATTTTGTTAGTAATTCATAAGAACATTGACAAATCCCTTACGACTCACATGCAATAACCATCTTTTAAGGAAAACCATGAAACTAAGAATGATGGTTCTTTACTTGTTTAGCACCAAGGTAGCAACGAGCTTAGTAGCAATTAAATGATCAAGCATTGACAGTTTTTTTATACATACGACATGGGAATCCTACTGATCTCTCTATACACATTACTAGCAAGAGATTTCTATAATATCTACTGTGAACTTGCAAGTGGAGAACTAATTAAGAACAAGATATATGCAGGTTATCGAATATCAAGAGAGAATTTCTTAAGAAAGTTTCTTTGCAAAACAATAATTGTCCATGTGCCTGTTGCATCTTTGAGTTTAAACATTCCTAAATGTTTTTAACGACTACCAAAATATCCAGGAATTCAAAAGAATGGTATGAAAGGGGACAGAATACTACTATTCTTTAGAGGGAAAGGGTAAAAATAAACACAACTCATGCTCTTCATAGATGGTGCAATGTGGATCCTCTTTTTAGTTTATGTAAAAATGTGGAAAGGTGATGTGAATTTGACAGTGCCCTGGAAGGAACTAAAGCATTTAAGAGAAGAGAAAGGGGCAAGACTTACACCAAAGCGCTCAAGTCAGCAAGACCGTCAATAAAATTGTAAAGGTCAGCAATGTCATAGCTAATATTTCTGAGGGAAGGGTTAATTTCCTTCAACTTCCTTTCGTATAAGCCGCAAATACCTGTTTAGAAGCAGACAGTTCAGCATACGAGGAAAAAAGATCAGGGTTGCATGTTAAAAACTTGTTGCTTTTACAAAACCAAAAAAAAAGCTTCCTTTAATTCACTTTACACTCAGAAGAGACGTAATGAACTTAAGCAACCTATCTTTCTTCTACATTGCTACTTCCACAACTTATTAAGCAAACAAGTTAGTAATCAAATCACAAACCGGGGAACTAATAACTCTATATGCTAATACCATTCTATTACCGAGCAGACTCATCACTCATTATATATCCATCCGCTTATAGCACTCTAAAATCTAACCCTCCTAGTAAGTCACAGAAACAGCTGAAGAACTATATGATATACAAGTCGTAATTCAAAATAATCTAAAGAACTATATGATATACAAGTCGTAATTCAAAATAATCCAACTTGTTACCACAAAGATAAACCTCAACATAATCATAACCAAAGCCAACAATGAGTTACTATAGCTATACACTAGTTACAGAATGGTGATTCGAAGTTAATAATTACCATCCATAGCTTGGCCTATAGAATCATAGTCCATGAAAGTCCTGGTAGCTCTGCTGGGAGAATTTTGCAACAAGATGATGGTGTGCCTACTACTGTTGTGATTAGCCTACACAACAAAGAAGAAAGCTGAGCATAGTCAGCTTTTAAGAACTGAAACAATCAAAAAAAGTTTTGATTTTTCCGTAAACTAACTAGAAACCATCAGACACTGAGAATCAAACGGCGTAAGGGAAGAAATTCGAAAACCTAACACGAATCTAACCAAAAAGGCTTTGCTCAGATTTCTACGCGATCGACTAAGGAACCACTAAAACTACATAAAAGGAACGTAAGAGAAGAGATCGATTACCATCTTCAAGTGATAGTTTGACTTCGCTAGCAGAGTTGAGGGTTAGAGAAGACGAAGAACGAACAAGTTTCACTGTTTCGGAGACGAAAGCAAAACCCAACAAGAATCTCTAGGGGCAAAATCGTAAATTTACAGAGGGCCTCTGTCGCTTAACATGTGACAGATGTAGTACGATAAAACGGCGCGTATTTCCTTTTAAATATGAAAAACTACAAGCTGTTTCCATCTGATTAGCAGATTTAACCGACAAGTTTTCTCTTCTAAGTTTTTGATCTTAACATTCACTGTTGCTAAAATTTTCTCCTTTAGACATTTACAGAAGCAAAAGTTTAATGTCGCTGTCATCATCATCTTCTGATTGTTTCTTTGGCAACACATCAGAGGGTACAAGATCATCCAAATGATCGGAATCTGGAACGAGGAAAACGAAACACACGGTGACTAGTCTCAACAGATTCCTTATAAGAATCACGAGCCAGAGATTCCCAAACTCGTGTCTCGTGACACCAAAAGCGTGAAGAACGAGCCCTCCACCCCATTTAGAAGCAAGCTGTCCAAAACTATCAATGCACATGAGGAAAGCAAAGAAGGTGCCTTCGATTCCCAGAGGACAAAGCCTTGTGCTGAGAACCACCATGGGGATCCACCTAATCTTACTTATCATCTTCGTGAGAGATTCTTCGGTTATCACAAACAAGGAATCTGGTATCCCGAGAGTTAAGTTCCAGCGTTTGACGAAGACTAGATCAAGCATTCCTGAGAAGACGTATAGAAGCTGTGCGAAGAAGAGTATGTTCCTAAAGGAATAGCCTTTGAGCTTCTTGTGGTATATGAGAACTCCAAACATAGATGCCAATGCCCCGATCGCATAGATTATTCCCACAAACTCCTGCATTTAGACCAAAATAAGCAAGTTTGAATCTAGCTCAATATTACATAATTAGATGAAGAATCTTATTAGCTTGTTCAGAAACTCCATAGCTTTATATGTCAATGTGACACTAACACACCATCATAATTTCAACACCATTTCATGAGGCATACAGAGCTCCACAAACCCAAAGACAAGTTTTTTTCTAGGAAAAATAGGCTTTCAAGAGAAGTGACTCCATGGATTTTAATATAGGCCAATGCAACAGTCTCAACTATGATCCATACAATATCATGACATACTACCACAGTGCCAATCTTGAGGTAGCGATCCATGAGAACCTGGTTTTGCTAGCTTCCCATGGCGTTTAGTAACTATACTAGTTTCTTTGAACTCAAATCTATATAAGGCCCAAACTGTTTGACCACTAATCTTTAAAAGAGAGATTCTTCAGGTTTGTCAAATCAATTTTTTAGCATTGGCCAAATGTGGGGTTGTAAAACCAACCTGGGAAAAGGCGGGCCCAGCTGTAGGATCAGTGTACCAGTAGAAGTGGCCTTCATGAGTGCTGATGTTGAGAGCTAAGGATATGAACATGTAAAGTGATGGCTTCCACACTTCAGGGTACTTTATTGTTTTGCACATTCCCTTCACCGCTACTCCTAAGCCGTCTGTGTCCTGAAGAAAATTCAAGCGATTGCTCAGAGTTCCATCAAGATTCCATGTCAAGAGATAAAGGGGCATGATTTTTCAAATTCCTCCGGCAGAAACAAATATAGAGAAGGCAAATTTCTGTTTGGATTATTCTGCTGCCAATTCTTGTCACTTGTGAGAAAGATCAAAGGATTTGAGATTACAGGCTGAGGCCTCACCTTTTTGTTTTTCTGTATAGGAACAGTAGAAGACCTTTTCTCGTAGATGAAAAACCCAAGTATGACGATAGTCGCAGGCGAAAATGCTAACACCCCTAGTGCTCCCTATATCACAAAGAACAAAACCGAAAAACGAGAATTAAAGTTTATAATATCGATATCTAAAGGGAAAACGTACTGAAAACGTGATTATAAAAAAGTGTAAAGGCTCAACCTGAGGTCCAAGCCGGTGAACAAAGACTCCACTAGTTGCGTATCCAACCAAAGAGCCAGCAGATGAACAAACCATACAAAGGCTCTGTATATCAGGGGCCAGAGATCGGATATTGATGCTGTTTGTTGCTATACATGCATCAATCACCACATCTGCAATAGCCATAGCTGCAGAGACACCTAAGAGGCAGCTCAAAGCCAAAGCAGCGGGCAACTTACCAAGAACAGCAATAGCAATCGCAGATACCAAACCAAGAACACCAGAAACGACAAAATAAGGCTTTCTTTTGTAACCTTTGATGGGGAAAACATCGGTGAAGAGACCCCAAATGGGTCTCATGACCCACGGAATGTAATATAACCCCATGTAAAGCTGCACAACCGATGGCTGCACTTGCTGGACATCTTTCCAGTAATAGTCTGTGACGACTTTGAATATCGAACCAGAGAACCCTTGGTTTACGCCGTAAACAAGCACCACACCTAACACAAAGCTTAGGTTTAGCCTAGAACTCAGCATTTGTAACCATTGGAAGGGCTGAAGTAGAACTGAGACAACAGCGTTTCTTCTTGCATATGTCTTGATCTCCGAATGATCTGAAATTGGTTTTAGCAGAGGTTTATTGTCTGAGAAGAATTTCTCAGTTTCTAGTGTTTCCATGGTGCTCACTGTTTAGGAGATGAACATTGGATCTGAAAATATCCAGAGCAAGAGCCTTTAATCGTTATTTTCAATGTAAAAGAAATTACTTTTACACTTTCAAAAAAGCTTTATACATACATTCACACACGAATACACGAGGAAAAACAATAGATATATTATAGTTTCCCACTTGACATTTACCTTGTTGACTCTGTAAGCAATGACGTCTTTCTTCAACTACCAGTCTGAAATTCTAAAAAAAACAAACCAAATCGCCTTATTAGTGAAAAATCACAAACTTGATAGTATGATTGACAAATCTTGAAAGCAAAAAAAGAAACTAAAATGTTTCATCTTTCCAGCGAAACTCAAAAATCCTAATCAATTTTACTAAACAATCAATAAACACCTAAATGTGTCAACTTCTTTGGAGGTCATTATCATCTTTGAGATTCCCACACGCCAAAGAGACTACTATATATGATTAGTGAGCCATGCCTAGAAACTAATCAGAAAAAGGAGTGGAAAAAAAAAAGAAGCAAAACACAGAGAAAATGGCAGGATTGTTTGATAAACAAGCCGATCTATACCTTGACGCCAGACCTAATTACCCCTCAGAGTGGTTCTCGAAGCTCGCTGATCTCACCGATCACCACGGTTTAGCCTGGGATGCTGCCACCGGAAACGGCCAAGCAGCTCTCGCCGTCAGTATTCTGACAGATTTAGCTTCTTGCTTGTAAATAATAACTACAACATGCATCAGATCTTGGATTTGACAAATTTCGCCTCCATTTTGCAGGTTGCAGAGCACTACGAGAGAGTCATAGCAACGGACGTGAGCGAATCGCAGCTGAAGCTAGCAACGCCACATCCGAGGATCAGTTATCGCCATACACCGTCGTCAATGACCGACGACGAGCTAGTGGAATTAATCGGAGGAGAGAACTCAGTGGATCTGATCACTGTCGCTCAAGGCGTACACTGGTTCGATCTCCCTAGGTTCTACGCAGTCGCCACGCGTCTCCTCCGTAAACCCGGCGGAATCATCGCCGTCTGGGGATACAACGACGTCATAGTGAGTCCAGAGTTCGACGCCGTCCAGTATCGGTTCCACGCCACAACGTTGCCGTTTTGGAAATATCCGCACATTCAACACATCTTCGATTCGTACGAAGCATTGCCGTTTCCTTTCGAGAGTGTTGGGATGGGATCAGAAGGGAAGCCATTGAAGCTGGAGATGCCTAAAACGACGTCGTTTGAAGGGATCATAAGGATGTTCAAGTCATGGTCGGCTATCGTCACGGCGAGAGAGAAAGGCGTCGAGTTGTTACCGGAGAGTTTGGTGAGAGAGCTTGAGACCGCTTGGGGAGGATCTGATCTGGTTCGTTCCGTCGTTTACAAAGCTTTTATGATCGCAGGAAAAGTTAGAGTTTGATCATCAAACCATAACTGTTGTTCTCATTTGAAGTTATTTATAATTATTTGAAAAATTGGTCACATTGCAAAATTTCTCAGAAAGTGTTGTTATTTGACAAATCAAACAAAATACAATCTATTAAACGTTTACATATATTAAAATCCCTTTGTTCTGCAACAAAATAGAACCTAAAATGCAACAAAACCGATTTTAAAAAGAAAAAGAAGATAAAACTATAATCACCTTTCCTTCTTTGTTTCCTTAATTGCCATGATGATCATCATTATCCTCTAATCGATCTTAACAGAGGAATAGATGAGCCTTGTGAACCAGAGACAAGCATAGAACCCTATAGTTCCTGTGAGCACAAAGAATGCGTAAGACGCGATGAGCATGTAACCAAAGTAAAGCATCGCCGAGACCAGTTTGGTGATCTGAAGCTTTGTGAAGAAGTAGAACGTCGCATAGAGGAAAAGGTAGAGAGCTGATGAGCCTGATGTGAGGTAAGATCTCCACCACCAAAGGTAGTCCTCACTGCAAAGCTGGAAGTAGCAGAGTACTACGGTTATCTCGGCGCAAGTCACGATGAGGATTACAAAGACGAGGAACAGGAACCCAAAGATGTAGTAGAACTGGTTGAGCCAGATGGATGTGAGGATGAAGAAGAGCTCGATGAAGACTGCACCAAACGGTAAGATTCCTCCAATGAGGATTGAGAAAACCGGGTTCATGTACCAAGCTTGCTCTGGAATTTGCCTCGGGATTTTGTTGGTTTTCACTGGGTCATCAACCGCTGGCTTCTTGAACCCGATGTAACCCCCAACAAAGACGAGAGGAACTGAGATGCCAAACCAGAGGAAGATCAAGGCGAACATTGTCCCAAAGGGAACAGCCCCGGATGACTTCTGTCCCCAGATGAGAGCGTTTAGGACAAAGAAGATTGCTGAAACAACTGCAGGAAACAAGAAGGCTGTTCTGAAAGCGATTCTCTTCCACTCTGTTCCTTTGAACATTTTGTAGAGACGTGAAGAGGCGTAACCAGCAAAGAGTCCCATGAAGACCCAGAGCAAAAGCATTGCAGTCATCAGACCACCCCGATTGGAAGGGGAGAGAAATCCGAGCATGGCGAAGATCATTGTGACAAATACCATGCCTAGACACTGGACCCCTGTTCCAACGTAGACGCAGAGCAGATCAGAATTGGTAGGAAGCCTGAAAACATCACCATGGACAAGCTTCCACCCTGTCTCTTCTTGAGCTTCTTCTTGAGTCTCGAGCTCGTTGTATCGTGATATGTCACGGTAAAGGGTCCTCAGCATTATCATTGCCACCATACCAGACAGGAATAGGACGATCATCAGAGAATTGACAATAGAGAACCAGTGAATTTGGTTATCACTCATCAGAAGATAAGTATCCCATCTAGATGCCCACTTCACTTCACTTTCCTGGACAGAAACAGAAGAGGAAATCAGAAAAAATATTGAAAACAAAAAACTCATGAAATTTATTTAAGACACAAACCGCAGATTACTAAAGAAAAAACTTGCCTGGAAATCGACATCATATGTGAAGATAATCTCCTTCTTTTGTTCAACTTCTTGAGGGGTAGCCGAGCTAACGACCAGGCGTTTCGTGTGAGGATCACAGGTCGTCAGACGGGTCTTCTCACTCCACTCTCCCTCATACTCATGCTTCACACTACAAATCAATGGAAGGAATATCAGTACTGAAGGACAGAGGATCCCAAGAGACATTAAAATAAGAATAAGAACTGCACCTGTAAGGTTTGACCTCAAATCCCACGATTCTTGCAGCATCAGTTTGGATATCTCTGTGATAGCGGACTGTAAATGCCAAGTGATTGTGCATAAAGAACTTCTGCTCTTTGCTCTGCGTATGCAAAAAGGAAATTAGAAAATCAAACTATCTAGCATGAATTCCATATAGTGTTAACAATTCAAACCTACTTACCCCCTCGTATTGGCCTTTAAGACCAACATGATAACCAAGCTGATAAACAACAGAGGGAGAACCCTGATCGACTCTTTCGATTGGAACAACCAGAGGAAGGTTGTCGAGGATCCTAACACACAATAAAGACTTGTAAGAAAACTGACAGAGGAAAGCAATTTCTTCAAACAAAGAATCAAAGAAAAGCACATTTAGTCTTACATGTTGACCCGGTACTCATCATCGATCTTTTCTTTAAACGCTTTAGCTGTCTTGGCATCAAGAGTGACCCGGCAGAGAATGTTGCACATTTGTGCCTCCCGCATTTTAAACTGCAATTGTTTCAACCCCGCAAGGGTTAGAGTTAAATTACAGATATAAAATTTAAGACAGCCGGATCAATTAAAAATCAAAAATTGAATACGAGACTAACCGAGTATGGGGCATTCTCTATTCGGTCACCCCGAAGCACTTCTCCAAGATTCTCAGTACTGTCCACAATCTTGCTAGGACGACAAAAAGGAAGGGAGTAATACGAGTATGGAAGCTGAGTCTTTATGGAAGTTAATTTATTCACTTTCACCTTCAGCTCATCACCCTGCATACAAGAACATAAGACTCAAAATTTGAATATGATTTTGAAGTGAAACATGCAAGTACACTTTGATTGAGATTCTTAATATAACATGCATGACCGACATTTCCCTTGTAGTAATGGCAAGCGAATCAAGTGCGAGAGAGCAAGAGATCACTAAGAACCTAACAAAAGTAATCAAAATTACAACGAATATGGCTAATCCAGAAGTACAAATATCGATATAGCTAGCCTAAGATGCGACATTGTTCAGATCGAGAGATTCGTGGGACTGAAATGAAGTGAAATTACCAATTCTCTTAGAAAAAATAGCTAAACCAAAAGTCGGTGCATCAGCACTCCGACTCTCATTATCTCTCGCTTTCTCATGGATCAAGTACGGATTAATCCTAAAGGAAATCGAAACGCAGATCCAGGAGATCCAATTCAGATCTAAAAGCCTAGAAGCACAAATTCGAAACGTTTTTACCTTTTCGAAATCCTGAGGAGCAACACCTGGGAGATAGAAAGAGTTAGCGCCATGGATGAAGAGCAGAAGAATCAACGCGATCGCGGATCCAGAAGATTCCGATATCCTGCAACAACTCCTCCGAAACTCCATAGCCATGGCTGTTCCACACAAGGAAGAAAATAACCAGATCTGAAGCTACGCTACAGTTGTATATGACTCTTATACGCTTCGAGACTCGAGACCATGACCCGCCTCCTGTAAATGTAATTTAATACATCCCGGTTTCTTTCCGGTTTGCCTCGTTACTGTTTAATCCTTATCAACCATTCATAATTCGCCACGTCAGTACGCGTGAAGTCATTCTACGAGCTATAAGCCTATAACTAATGGGCCTAAACTCGATATTAGCCCACCCTATCAGAAAGATATATATTTTCTTGGACATAGTTTACTTGTTTGTATTTAAAGAATTCATGTTTCGTTTCATGTAAGATTTCAATCTAACAATTTTTTTGGAGTTGAAAGCTGTTAAGATGTTTAGTCAAATTTGTACCAAAATCAAATTTCAAAGTGATTATCACATTATTATTTCATAACTCAGTATGATACTTGACACAGGATTTATAACAAAAACAAACATCATAATCTTTCATAACGAAATCAGAGTCTTTGGTTTTATTCTCTTGCAAAGTAAGCGCAAGAAAAGGAGAAGCACAAGGCCTTAGTTTTGACAAGTTAAACAACGAAACAACACAAAACATCAAACACATAACACAACAACAACGAGGACTGCATATTTACACTGATCTAAAAGCTTTTCAGATTCAGCAGCACAAGACCAGACACAACAGGGAACCCTTTTCTTACCAATCTTCAAGATCTAGTAACCTCCCTGAATAAATGCATTTAGGCGTTGAAGCTCCTCTCTATGCTCATGAACCACTGCACGGACCACGTCTCCTATGGACACCATTCCGATCATACCCTTGTCCTTGATAACCGGAATATGCCTGATTCGGTTATCTGTACATTGCACAATCACAAAACCGTATTTTTACTTGCCTCAATAGGTTTTAACCCAATAGTTCGTATCTTTAGTGGAAAAGTATCAAGTTTTCTGCATACCTGTCATCAGTTGCATAGCACGCAAGACCTTGGTCTCCGGTGTCACAGTGATAAGCTTATTCTGCAATCGCCAGTTCGCAGATCCAGTCAATTATAATCCACAAAAGCAAGAAAATCATAAAACCGTGCATTTCCATACCTCTTCAGTCATAATGTCTCCAACTTTAGTAGATTTGGATGATCTCCCTTGCACTATAATCTTCCGTAGGTAATCTGAAGAAATCGCAACATCGAAAATGAATCACACATACCACAAAAACACAACAAAAACATTCCTTGATGGTCAGATCTAACTTTACCTCTCTCAGTAATGATACCAGCAAGAGCTTGTTGCTCACCAGGTTTCACAACCACCAAGGCACCAACATTGTGTTGTGTCATCTAAACAAAATCAAACACAATCAAATCCAAATCCACATCAAGAGATCTAAAAAGGAAAAAAGGAAGAGTAAGCAAGCATACGGATTTAACAGCATCATAAACAGTGTCATCAGTAGTACACCAAAGCCAAGATCCATCAGCACTTTTGCCTTTGGATTTCATGACATCGGAAATAGTTGTGCTCTCGAATCCAGTTTCCTCCATACGAGCAGGTTGAGTTGATTCAGAGCGAGAACAAAACACAGAAGGCTGAATCGCCGGGTTAATCACACGGAGATGTTGTAGCACAGAAGCTTTCACAACATTTCCACCGGAGACGAAGGATCTAACCACAGCTTGCATCTTTCACCTGTCAACAGCAATCAAAATTATCAGTTACTGAATAACGAGATCTATAAAAGGCTTAATCTAATGAAACTAGATCGACAAGAGAAAGATCTTAACATGAGTGCATTTGATCGGCAAATATTAAAATGGAAACTTTCCTAAATCTGACTATAAAAATAGAGAAAAAGCTTCAGAGATAGAGAAGAAGGAGAGATTCAGACCTGAGATTAGAGAAGAAGAACAGATCGTAGTTGAGCTTTGAGAACCCTAGAGAATGAGGAAGAGACAGCTGACCAGAGAGTTGAGTGGAGAGTTTGAAGGGTTCTAATGGATAATCATCAAATATATAAATAAACCATTTTCGATAGCGAAATACTGGCGACTTTTTTCTTTTCCTTAAAATATCTTATAAAATTTAAATTAGTGATGACTGTGTTCCTTCACTCAATTATTCTATCATATCCTGACAATGACAAATATCAACAGGCCCACTTATAAACCTAAGGCCCACTTTAACAGGCCCAGATTTGGATACAAATGAAATTCAATCGAGACGACGTAGAAGATACTCAACCTCAACGAGCTTAGTGAGAGGGATAAGCCATTCTCTATAGATGCGAGAGACAAGTAATGGATCCACTTTATACTTCTTCTCACTCTCATCACCAGAGTCAGTGATGCATTTTACTTCTTGCCCAAACGTTTCTGCTTTCTTCTGCACTCTCTTCTTAACCATTTCTTCTACTTTTTCAAACGTCAAAAGCTTCATCAAAGCCTCTGTATCCTACACAAGTTTTCCAACATCAAACGATTATGGTGTGATCATTTCATTTAAAAACCACAGTGAAACCAAATCCACATTTTGACACTAATGTTACCTGAGCGCGAATGGCAGGCTCATAATCTTGTGGAGCATCTCTGAATTTGACCTCAGCTACAAATTTACCGTAGTGAATCCTTTTTGAAAGAGCCTTACACAAGATTCAAGCATCAAATCAGACATCATAAACAAAGTGTAGACTGATTTTGTTATGTAAATTCAATCATCTCCTTACTTGTAAACAGGCGAGATCACTAGCAGCAGTTGATGGATAGTTGCCATCGTCACCAGGTTTGACGAACAAAGGAAGCAATTCTTTAAAGTAAACATCCCAAATGCGTTTGTTTATGTTAACGGATAAAGCCTTAGGGTGCAAAGCCTAATCGAGAGAGAAAAGGAAAGTATTGTTAGATTTAAGCATTCAGAGTTCTAAGAAAAATGCTTAAGACTTTACTACATACCGGTGGATATTTGTGCGTAGGAAAAACCGAGTGAGGAATGTTCTCTAGGAAGAATGGATTCTCTTCCGGGTTATCATATCTTCCTACCTAATACATACACAACATAAGACTTTCAAGTGAACCAATCAACAAACATATAGGCTCATATCCATAAATAACTTTAGAATATAAAGCAATGAGATGAATTTATCATGCAACAAGACTTTCAGACATAAAACAGTAATCCTCCATTTCCAATCTCCACATATGATGAGGTTTTCATAAGGAAATCTCTTATACATATAATAAAGTTGGAGCCTTTCTAGGCAGATTCACTCCCAAATCCAAACAAGAAGTTAAGACACAATGAGATATACAAGCAAAGCCAAGTTATATTCTTTTGCAATGGAAGAGACACATAACAAACAAAGGCAAGCTAATTCAAGAATCCAAGCTTAATAAAACCTCAATCAAATTGACTTGTAGCTTACTTTCTGCTACTTTCATGAAACAATCTATAACAATGCTATATCAAAACTATGCATTTGATATCTCTGTATCTAATTTGTAGCAAAAAGGATCAGCTTTTTTAAATGGGAAGTGAACCTTAGCTTGGATGGTTTCTATCTCTCTGACAAAAAACTCAGTGAGAGAAGAAGAATTTCCAGAATCTAGATAACGATATTCTTCGAATGCAGGGGAATTGAGTGGAAACTTAGCTCTCTCTATCAAGCTGAAGACGATGGTGTCTTCTTGCCTAATCAACGATTCTCTGATTGAGTCAAGACTCAGTACATTGGAACCAACAGAACCCGAATCCGATTCGACGACTCTTGCCATGCCGCTTCAACAGTATCTCCTGCACGATGGTGTAAGTAAGCAAATAAATCATTCATGGAAGCTAGAGATGAGCAATTGTGAATGACGAAAGTCAAAGGACTTACCTGAAAAAATGAAGCTTTTCTTCTTCTTCCTCCTCTTCCTCAATTCTCGCGTTTGACATTTTTGCATAAATTGCTGAAGAAAAAATAATGGGCCCGAAGCGTTGAAATGAAAACAAGATCCAGATCCGATGATTTGGGCCCAACTATATTCACCAACTGGACCGTAAATTATTTATAGAATTATTATATATCTTCTCCGAAAATATATTTTTTTTTTTTAACTATCGTGAGCTAAAAGCTAGGGTTTAGTATTCCCTCCAAAAGTGGCACCTGTTCAAATTGTTGTGATCCAGGTTCCCAGGCCCGGCCCTTGCCTAAGGCAAGCAAAGCATTTGCTTTAGGCCACACATTATAATCTGAATTTTAGGGCCACACAACCAAAAGAGACATTAGTCTAGTGGTCTTCATTCATTTCTTGTGGAGCAAATTAGTGATGGTTCGATTCCTATTTCTCACATTCTACTTTTAGTTTTTCTTTTTACATCTCCAAAATTGAAAATCATTCTCTGTGTTCCCACATCTAACTTTCCAATATTCTGGTTTTAAGACTTTTGCTTCAATAGTTTAGTAAAAAAAATATAATTTTGGCTTTTACCTTTAACTAGTTTTTTTTTTTTTTAACTGTTATTTTATTTTATATGTCATATTTTGTTAGTTTTTTAATAATATTATCTGCCTTTGTTGCAAATTTTACTGTTTTAAAACTAGTTTTTTAATTTTAGTTTTACCCTATACTCTTTTTATTTCATTACAATATAAAACTTTTTTTTGTGTGTGCAAAGCTTTACAATATAAAACATTTATAAGAAAAACAAATATTTATTATTATATCTAAAAGTATTATTTTAAATAACTTTTTTACATAAACATAAAAATAATTGGAAACTAACTCAATGCTAATATAAGAATTTATATAGATTTAATTTTCAACATTAGGAAAATATAGTGAAGTCACAATTTTTTTTAAGCTTTAGGCCACACAAACACAAGGACCGGCCCTGCAGGTTCCCATCAAAGGTGCTGCTGATGACCAAATACTCTGTGATGCTTGTGAAGTTATTGAATCCACTTTGCTCGAGGCTGGAATCCGTGCTGAAGCAGATATCCGCGACAACTATTCTTGCGGCTGGAAGTATGCGGATCAAGAACTAAAGAGTGTTCCTTTGAGAATTGAAATTGGACCCCAGAGATTTGGCCAATGATCAGGTGAGAATAGTGAGTCGTGACAATGGAGCTAAGATGGATGTCAAGAGAGGGAATTTGATTAAACAAGTTAAGGACTTGCAAGAGAAAATCCAGATACCTCTATGATGTGGCAAAGAGAAAGGTGGAAGAATGTAGTCAAAAGGTTGAAACTTGGGATAAATTTGTGGAAGCTTTGATTATGTCATGAGCAAATTGGGACTCATATCTCTCTACTTATTGTGTAATTATTTCAAGAAGAGATTTCATTGCCCCCAAAAATATATTGGAATGAATTGAGAAAATAAGGACAATCCATTAATTAACATGTTGCTTCTTCACAAAATTACATACTCTGTTCTAATTTTTGTAATGAAATGTGAAATACCAAATTCTCACCTTGAGAGAGGGTAAGGATGAGTTCGAGAGCTGTAAGTGATTCTAGAAGGTTCTGGAATACGTTCAGAGACTATATAAGCAGTGTCTTTCCACCAAGAAGCTTCCGTCTCCTTCAAATGAAGCCTTTGTTTAGCATCATCCAATGCAATCTCTAACTCCTTTATCTCCTCTTGTTGTCTTGTCTCCATGAGCTCGTGTAGTCTTCTCTCCAGCTCATACGGACACACTCCTTGTTGTTCCTCTACTAGTCCTGGACACACGTGTACCAATCTTAATCCTTCTGCATTTTCACTCTTCTCTGAAACCTCCTGTGAAATTGTTTCACACTATTGAGACAGAGAATCAAAATCTTAAATTCCTAAATCTCAGATTATACAAGTGTTTTACCTTGAGCTTAGAACTTATACCATCATGGTCTTGACCAATCTGAAGAAGCTCAAACTCAGCTTCAAGTTCAGCTTCAAGCTGATCCATTTCACCTCCAGAATCATCCCCTCGCTTATATACATAATGTGACAAAGACCCTTCACCTCCAACACTCATAGATGTCTCAATGATCTGTGGAGAGTAATAGTGATCAGTAGAAGATTCAGGGCCATCAACAACATCACTTGTGGCGGAATACGCAGAGGTTTCAGTTTGCTCTTGCTTCGGAAAGCGAAACTCTTGCTGTTTTCGCCTCAATTCATCGTTGTGAAATTCTAAAAACTTCTCTATATCGTTCCGTAACTCGACAAACTCTTGCTGTTTTCGCCTTAGTTCTTCGTTTCGATGTTCCAAAAACTTGTCTAAATCGTTACGTAATTCAACAATCTTGTGAATCTCTTGTCTACCAGTAGCAATCAAATGTATCAAATAACAACTCAATCCAATGCTGAACAAAAATTCCCTTCTTTGCAATTCTACAGACCAAAATATATTTCAAAAAATTATAAATGAGAGACAAAGTTAAATTAATGAAACTGATCTATGACAATTCAATTCACACATAATCATTTGATCAGAGGTCGTTTTCAATTCGACCAAACTTTAGGACAAAACCAAATAAATTATTACCGGAATGGATCGTTGGTGGCGGCGAATCTGATAATTGGCCAACTCCATGATGACTATCCTCGGAGAAAGTTCTGATCCTCACCACGTCACAGTCGTCTCTCACCCTTGCTTCTGCCATAGCCGTCTTCCTCCCTTTGATCTTTCCTTGTGGAGAGAACCACCGAGACACGATTCTCCGTGGCGACGGGCATCTGATCCGGATGCATCCTGCTCTCACTCCACCGTCGTCCATTGGAGAATTCAAAATCGATCGTTAAAGAGAAAAGAATATAAGGAGAGAAAGAGAGAGAGAGAGATTTAAAGAGAAATCGGAATCGGGATTGAAGAAACAGAGAGAGAGAGAGAGAGAGAGAGAGAGAGAGAGGGGAATGTTATTAATGAGAATCACGAGAAACAGAGTGTTGTTTCGACTTCGATCTACAAAGAAAAATTAAAAAGCGTTTGGAGGGAAGCTTTTGAATTTTTGGAAACTCTTTAAATGCCAATCACCTCTCCTTTTCCCAATTTATAATAAAATCTCTAATTATTGGCATGCGACAAAAATTTATGAATAATAATTGCTATAATTCATTCACTCTGTTTTCTTTTATTTTGACAAGTATTCATTTTTTACTTGATATAGTGATTTTAGGTCAAAAGTATGTTTGAAGATCAAATAAGCCTACATTTGGAGGTGTCATAACTCATAAGCTTACTAGGACTTCTTTTAGCCATAAATGGTAAATCTAGTAGCGTTGACCAAAAGAAATGGTAATGAAGTATCATCCTCTTTTTTAACGGCCAGTGATTTGTCATTATTGTAGACCATTTATGAATTTTACCAAATGTCGTTGGGAAAAGACCATAATAAATTCGACACAAGTCAGTGTTTATTTGTTTGAATAAGAATGTCCAATTTTGAATTTGTATTTTCCGAAGTTAATTCCCGATGAAGTAAGCAGCTGGTCATTACTACTTTTTTGATAGACCAATTTGTAAATTTCACAAATCCTTGTAAAATCTGCAATTTGTAACAACAATGCAGTTGTGATTGATAAAGTTAAAAAAAAAAACAATTCTCAACAATAAGAGATAGTAATACGATCTGCACAAGGTAATTTTCTTTCTCAAAGAAAAAGAACTGATATTGATAAATAATAATGAAAAGCTAAACCAACATGTGTTAATATATTACAGTGTAAAATTACAGTTGATTTTTACAGTGCTAAGTAAACTGGAAAAGAAAAGAAAAAACAAAGAGCAAAATCGTTGGGGCTTGGATCTCAGTGGGTCAGAGCGAAGATGACATTTGGCTTATGACCTCCAACGTAGCTTTCGTCTTCGTTAAATGATCCATCTACGTTTGTTTAAAGCACTCTTTTAAAATTCATCTACATTTTTTTAGATAAAATATGTTTCAAAGTTTGGTTTCCATGGCTTACCAATTCTTTCTCGCGGTTGTCCTGCGAATTACAAAAAAACGAATCCAAGGGTAAGTCTTTTATGAGAGATTACGTGAATGCGAAGAAACGAGTCAAAGGCTTTATATGTAATTATTATACCCTAGTTTGAATCTCCTGTTTGAGAGCGCTTATCAGTCTAAACAAGTAGTTGTAGTTGGATTGGTGAGGCTCCTGCAATCATCACAATCATACAATAATCAAGATCATAATCATAAACCATCAATATAATCATACAATAATCAAGATTATCATCATAAACCATCAATAATATACCTGGATGGTATCGGGAAGAGGAAGACCTTCAAAGACTTGAGGAGGCTCTCGAAGTTGAAAGATCTGACTCGGGTCATTTGGCAAAGGAACAGTCCATGAAGGCGGATTAGAAATCCCCAATGATGCAAAACCGTGTCCTGTTCTATTCTCCCACATTTGTTGTTGTTGAGTTGAAGATCCATCACTTATGATTTGATGGTGTAACTATGAAAGAAAACACAAGAATAAGTCTAAGACAATGCTAAAAAAAACTCAGAAATTTCCAGCTTGTTAGCTTTTTACCCTTGGAACATTTTCGACTGTGTAAGAAACAAATCTGGGTTCTGTGAAGTTGTGAGGCTCAAGAACAGCATATGCGCCTTCGTTTTCATAGTTTCTTGAACCCTGATAGCAAAAATAACAAGAAAAACCAGTTGGAAAAGCAACAGAACAGGTAGCATTCGGAGTCTGTTTGTTGTTAGAGGCTAAGGGAAATGACCTGTGAGAACATTGATGCACTGAAGACTGTGCAAAGTTTTCCAGATTCTACTTCATGATCTATCGAGTAACCGCTTAGCATGTTTCCCATATCTTCTCGATCTGCTCGTGCATCGGGGCCTTCATGTGATCTTATAATCATCTAAGATGGAAAACATACAGATTAAGTTTGTACAAACAACTGGAATACCAATTTGGAGAGCAGTTTTTAACACTTACCTTTAAGTTTGACTGTTTTAGAAAAGTCTCGGTGCAATCAGCTCCCCAAAGAAGGCCCTTGTAATTGCTTTCGCTCAGACCATCAGCCATCCATGGACATGACCATAAAACATGGTTAAGAGTTATATTCTCGTCATCGTTCTCACCAGCTTGTCTCCTCTCAATCTTGTCAAGTTCCTCTAAAGAACCCAACAACAAAGATGGATTCACGCTATCTTCTTGGACCCGATAACTTTGAAAGAGACCTCCATGAGTTGTGTAGACGCTATTTGATATGACTGATGCCAAAGGTAGCATTTTAAAACAATCGATACACTTGGAGTATAGCATTGGACCGTGCTCACCATATCTGTCACATATTTCTTTCAAGAAATCAAGCTCTTCTGCAGAAACTCTTGTTTCAGAGCTTCCTCGAAGTAAAATTACATTCTCAGGCATCAGAATCTGTAGTTAGAAACAGCAAATATCGATCAGATGGGTACGATGTGTGATGAATTAAGACGGTAAAACAGATAAACTGAAAGAAAACATATCTAGGGCCTTAAATCTAATGCTTTCATGTTAAGATTAAGCAAACTCGTGTTGGATATTCTATTTCTGATTTACTGAAAACAAATTTAATGCCTTCAACATTAACAATAGTTTCTTGGTCATTTAGAAGACAAAACATGGGAGAGGCCTAACACTTCCACTAACGTTCCATCAAAAACAGTAAATAAAAAAGGAAACAAGTAATGAAACTATATATGTACCTTCCAAGCTAAGAGAACCAAGAACACTTCTAGGCTCCAAGAACCTCGACCAATGTAATTACCATTGAACACAAAACATTGATTCTGTGAAGGCCTTCCTGATTGATCAAAGATTTTGAGGAGATCATGTAACTGACCGTGGAGATCCCCAACCACAATCACTCTAGAATTCTCACTACAGCAATCAATTTTAACGCAATTGGCTTCTTTGTCTAGAATCTGTGAAGCACATTCCACCAGAGAAAAAGCCACAGAATGTGGCAATATCAAAGGGAACTCGGAAACCGAGTTCTTCCATGTGAACTGGTTTATCAAACCCATCAAAGTCTCAACCCATTCAAGATTGAGCTGCGACTCTAAAGGCCAAGAGACTTGCTCCAAAACAATGTCACCAAAATCCCCACCCACAGAATCATCTCCGTTTCCCAAATAAATCTCCATTTCCACTGGCTCAGTCATGTCCTCTAGATGATCAACAGTTTCTGGTTCGTATTTTCTACTACCCATTCCTTGTACACTTGCCATCATCCTCGTAACCTGTTGCTTCTCTTGATCATCCAATGTCTCATATTGAAACCCACGAAGAGACTTTAAAGAACGGTCTGAGTTACTCACCTGCACAAAATTCAAACTTTAAAGTCGGTTTTCACATTTAATGCTTCACAACTTAACTCTATAAAACATAAAGATGTGTACTTACCACTTGCTTTAGAACCGAACACAGAATTCGAGTTACACTATTTTCCGGATCCTGAAACAAAGATCGTAACTTTGACGTTAAGGGTCATATAAGCAAACAGTGAGAGATACTAAAAAGCTCAGACAAATATTGAGACTGAATTGTTACTTTAAGAAAGTCTCGATCAGCACCACGTCGAGATATTTCTTTCAACATAAGCAGAGTACGCAGTTGCTTATAGTTCTTCATTCTCGTCGTTTTAACCGCACTTAGCTTCAAGAATGCGAATTTGCAAGCTTCAAGCTTCGCGTCTAAAACCCTTTTCGAAATTTCTACAAATAAAAACCAATCAATGTTATTACATTACTAGTTTTTGGTCGGAAACAGAGAATGTCCCAAATCAAATTGACTTTAAAATCTCCATCGAAGAAAAACAAATACCTGGAGGCGGCATATCGAAAGATTTGAAATTTACACGGTGAGATTGACAGTTCGGTGAGGTCGTCGGCACAGTTCCGGCGTCGATGTCGATTACAACCGCCGCTTCACCACCGAGGAACGAGCGTTTTCGTGTTAACTTCTTGCCGGTTCTAGGTCAGAGAAACCACGCGCATTTCGCTGCTTAGAAAGCGAAAAGGATGTTGTTTTTCATTAATATTGGGCCGGCCCATATTTTAAAGGCCCAATATGAGAAACAAACACAGTCTCTCTCTTTCTCTGGAGTGTGTGGGAGATTTGTGATTGACTAAGCCAGTAAAATACTAAAATCTGTTCTTCTGATAAACCCACAACAATGGCGAAAGAGAAGGCATGAGAAGAAGAAGCTTTAATGGCGGGAGTGATTAGGGCTAAGCAGCTGTTTCTATGCTCGTCGATTCTCTCGAGCAACAACAATAAGGTTCTATTACGCATTCCTCGGCGTAGTATCAATGTAATTGCGGGAAATCTCAATTCGAGCGAGACGAAGAAGAAGGAGAAAGAGAAGAGGAAGAGAAGGAAAGAGATTGAGGTGGCAAGAGAGACGGCGGAAGCTGTGGTGAATAAGGAAAAGAGAAGGACACGGTCGAGCAGAGAGTATGAAATCGCCGACGGTGACGAAGTTCCGTCCTCACATGTGCCTGTGATGCTCGGAGAAGTTCTTGACATTTTCTCTTCGGTTCGCTTACGAAGTTTCGTTGATTGTACTCTTGGCGCAGCTGGTCACTCTTCTTCTGTGAGTTTCTTCTTCATTGTTGATTAATTAGCTCAAATCGAATAAGCTCTTACATAGGATCTTGAGCAAATAGATTATTAAGTATGATGAACAAATTATTGTGCTTTAGATTGTGAATTTGTAATTTGTGTTTCAGATTATTCAAAGCCACTCTGAATTGAAGCATTTTGTTGGAATGGATGTTGATCCTGTGGCAAGGAAACTGGGTCACTTTCATATTGATTCTCTTATGCATCCAACGTTAAAGGCTTCTATTGTGTTGAAGAACTTCAAATACATCAAATCTGTGATCGCTGATACAAATCCGGAACTGTTAGATGTAGGAGTTGATGGTATTCTTATGGACCTGGGAATGTCATCTATGCAGGTACATTTGTGATCTTCACATGCAACTGTTTCTGTTTCCTTCTATTGTTGACATCACTCACCTACGCTTGTATCCGACAGGTAAACAATCCCGAAAGAGGGTTTAGCGTTCTTCAAGAGGGACCTCTTGATATGCGCATGGATCCTCAGGTGAGGGTACTCAGATCTTCTTGCAGTAGAAGAGTAAAACGAACCTTCCTGCTTTTGAATCTCTTGGAATTTCTGCTGAAACTTGTTCTAACCTATCCACTGACATGTGACAGGCGACTCTAACAGCAGAAGATATAGTGAATGCGTGGCCAGAATCTGAACTGGGAAGAGTTCTACGGGATTATGGCGAAGAAAGCAATTGGTATTTACTTCAAACTAGAATTGTTAAGGCTCGACTTAATGGCGGGTTACATTCTACTGGTGAACTGGTGGATCTCATTCGGGGTATGTCACCAGCAAGCAGAGGTATATCTTTAATTCTTTATATATCCTTTGATTCTCTTTTTTTTTTTTTTTTTTTCTTCTGTGTCTAGTAATCTATCTTGGGATTTCTGATTTGTATTTGCATCACAATGCGAGTTTTAGTTAGTGTTCCTATTTAAAGATTTGGTTGCCATGTATAGAACACAGAAGAGTAAGCAACTATCAATGAGTGATCCAAAATAAGATCATGAAAACATTAGACATTTTAGAGTTTTCACAGTTGACAACAAAGTTGAAGAAGATAATCCTTTTAATCTTATTATTTCGACCTCCGTTTGAATGTTGTAGGAGGCAGACAAGGTTGGATAAAGACAGCAACACGTGTGTTTCAAGGCCTAAGGATTGCGGTGAACGACGAACTCAAGACCCTACAAAACTCACTTTACTCATCCTTCGATGTTCTCGCTCCAGGTGGGAGACTAGCAGTCATCTCCTTTCACAGTCTGGAGGATCGGGTTGTAAAACAAACGTTCCTCGACATCTTAGGGTTTCAAAGAGAAGAGATAAACGGAGAGGGAAGTAGTGTAAAACCGGAAAGGCAAATCGAAGAAAGAGTAGAGAAGGAATTGAAAGAGAAAGAAGCGTGGATCAAACAGACTGTAATAGGGTCGAAAGGAGTAATACTGACAAAGAGACCAATAACGCCTTCAGAGGAAGAGGAAAGACTGAATCGCAGAGCAAGGAGTGCTAAGTTAAGAGTGATTCAGAAGTTGTGATTGCTTTACGAAATGTTTTTTTAGTAGACAATCAAAGTTTCAAAGCTCTTAACTAAGCTACCATTCAAATAAATAGTTGAGGTTTTAAAAAAGAAAGAAACAAAAGAGGATTAATCCAATTACAGTTGAACCAAAAACCATATTAAACCGAACGGAATGATGATCACTTTTCGAACCAGACCGGTTGAAATGCATAATTCCTTTGACCATACCACATAAGTACTGAGTGTGTCGTCGTCGCCGCAAAAACCCATTTGGAGCTCGAAACCCTTCTTCTTGTTCTTCTCCACCTACTCAATGGGAGCAATTGATCTCTCTTTCTCACAGAGTCTCTTCTTCTCTCCGTCGCGTTCCACTCCTGCCTCCTCCACACACCGTTCCGTCTCTTTTCTCCCGCCGGGAAACAAGTCACAGTGTCTGCCGCCGTTGCGTTCAATGAGCCACGACGACGACACGGCCTCAAAGGAGGTGAAGCTATGGGGCGGAAGGTTCGAAGAGAGTGTCACTGAGAAAGTGGAGAAGTTCACTGAGTCAATTTCATTCGATAAGGTTCTCTACAAGCAGGACATTATGGGTAGCAAAGCTCATGCTTCAATGCTCGCTCACCAGGTGCATTATTTGAACTTCATCTGTATAATTTGATTCGAATTCAAATCTTTTGGGTTAATTTCTTAATTCAGTTGTGATTTTGGATTGATTTCATGTCTTCTTAAGTAAATGCAAATTTGTAAAGTCAGGACATTTTTGGTGGTTTGTTCTTACAGGGTTTAATAACCGATAGCGACAAAGATAGCATTTTGAGAGGTCTTGATGATATTGAGAGACAAATTGAAGCAGATAAGTTTGAATGGAGGACTGATCGAGAAGATGTGCATATGAACATTGAGGCAGCTCTTACTGATCTTATTGGTGAACCTGCAAAGAAACTTCACACCGCACGGAGCAGAAATGACCAAGTTGCTACTGATTTCAGGCTTTGGTGCCGTGATGCTATCGACACAATAATTATCAAAATCAGAAACCTTCAGAGAGCACTAGTTGAACTGGCTTTGAAGAATGAGGCTTTGATTGTTCCTGGTTATACTCATCTTCAAAGAGCTCAGCCTGTTTTACTCCCACACGTCCTCTTAACTTTTGTAGAGCAGGTTTGGAATTTCTCCTTTGTTCAAGTTTTAGTTTTCTGTTGCATCGTTTTGTTTTGTTTCTGGTTAGGCTATGTTATACAATTTAGCAGCACTGTAATTTGCTTTATGAGGTTCATCTTCTAGATATTATGTCTTCCTTTTCCTGCCTCAGAACATCGTATGGTTCTTACGTTTACTTAGGATTTCACTTTCGCACTATCATCTTATTAGGATTTTACTTTCTTGACTGGTATTTGGTTCATGTATGGCAGCTTGAACGTGATGCTGGTCGTTATGTGGATTGTCGAGCAAGGCTAAATTTCTCCCCCCTAGGAGCTTGTGCTTTGGCTGGAACTGGTCTACCTATTGATAGGTTTATGACTGCAAATGCTCTTGGATTTACCGAACCAATGAGAAACAGGTATGTTCCTAGTTCTTGTATTGGTTGCATCAACTCTCTCTAATTATATGTATTTCCCTTTAGTTTTGCGGTTTCTCATTTATTCTCTTTTTTTCCTTATCTATTTCAACTAGTATTGATGCAGTCTCTGACCGAGATTTCGTGCTGGAGTTCTTATATACAAATTCGAACACAGCAATACATTTATCACGGCTTGGGGAAGAGTGGGTACTATGGGCTTCCGAGGAGTTTGGTTTCATGACTCCAAGCGATTCTGTGTCAACCGGAAGCAGTATAATGCCACAGAAGAAAAATCCAGACCCAATGGAACTTGTCAGAGGAAAATCCGCGAGAGTCATAGGCGATCTGGTCACTGTTCTAACACTATGCAAAGGACTTCCCCTTGCTTACAACCGAGATTTTCAAGAAGACAAAGAGCCGATGTTTGATAGTACCAAGACAATAATGGGAATGATCGATGTATCTGCAGAATTTGCCCAGAATGTCACATTCAACGAAGACAGAATCAAGAAAAGTCTTCCTGCCGGACACCTTGACGCGACTACTCTCGCCGATTATCTTGTGAAGAAGGTACTGAGGTTTTTATTTATCATAATCTTCCATTTCTGTAACTAAAGTCAGAAAGATAAATACTGTTTTGGTTTTTTGATTTCCCAGGGGATGCCTTTTAGGTCATCTCATGACATAGTTGGAAAACTAGTTGGAGTTTGTGTCTCAAAAGGCTGTGAACTTCAGAACTTAAGCCTTGAAGAGATGAAAAAGCTGAGCCCTGTGTTTGAAGAAGATGTGTTTGGATTTTTGGGCGTTGAAAATTCAGTCAATAAGTTCAGCTCCTATGGGTCTACAGGATCAAACTGTGTTGCTGAGCAACTTGGCTACTGGGTCAACAAGCTGAACATTACTACCACCTGACCCGGACCAAACCATTAGCAAAGGATTTGATGACATTTGTGTAATTTTCATATTTTATTGAGGATTTTGGTCGTTAATACCAGGAAGCTTTGAGGAAGAACCCACAAACAAAATAAGCTTTATTGAAGTTCTGTAATATTTGAAATCAAGATAATGTGGAAGAGTTTGGTATTCTTCTCATTTCAAATGCTCTCTACAATATCACTCTTTTTATATTCTTATACAGGAAGAAGGTTAACTTCAATTTCAACATGTTGCAGTGGTTTGTGTAAAATTGGAAGATTACTTTGTCAATGCAGACTTCAATTTTCATTAGAATTTCAGATTTTTTTTTTCTTTTCAAACCCAGTTATTATTGTTCAAAAATCCAACAACAAAAACTAGTGGCTTGCATTTGGATGTGATTTTTCTGAACATGGAAGGACCACACATGACATGACACCCCCTCTTCCTTAGGAGGTGCAACATCTGTTACTTGTTACATTATCCTTTTTATGTTCCAAACAAAATGTCATTCTCCAATTTTTATGACCAAACACAAATTGACACAGATAAGCACCAGTAATAACCTCATTGGTGTTTCTCTTCTCCTAAAATAGTTAAATCTAATCTAAACAAAAACACTCCTTTCTTCTCAATCTAATAATATCCCATTTAATGGCGGTGGAGTCACTTTCTGACTGTGACACAATCCTTGTCCTAAAATCCCATGTCAGCCACTGATTGATCCTTTTTTTAGATTATTGGTCGGATATTAATTATGGTGAAAGCTCCTTTTTTCTTTAAGTCGTTGTATACAGTGGATTGAGCTTACTGGTAAACCTCATTTCTCTTGTTATCTTTAATCCTTGGTTTTGTTTGTATTCATTTTAACTTTTTAGAGGATTTTTCTCACTTAGTATAACTTCTACGCCATTAATTCTTACACGATTGGGTTTCTTCGAATTTTGTAGAATGGATATTTTTTTTCTTTAGGTTATGACATTATTATGCTTCTAACAAAATTACAAAATAAGTTAGGAAACATTTGGTATGAGTGGGTAATTTTGATAGACTGAATATGGATAAACATACTCATTTATGCAGAAATTCATCAGATTAGCATTATCTTCATAACATCAATCATTTCTTTATCCCTATCTAACGATTATTCCCAAATCCCATACAATTCAAAGTTGGACATGTAGAAGAAAATTAATGAAAAGTCGCCGGATAAATAAATAAATTTGTTGCGACTTTGTCCTCTCCACTAACTCTTTTTTAAACTTCACAATTCAATGATTTGACTTCGTATCAACCAAGTGGATCTTTTCGAAGTCTCTGAGACACTACACGTGGCGGTCTTCTAAACCACAACCCCGGTCATAGTCATTTTCGTTTTCGACTTAACCTACCCTTAATTGATGATTAATTTAAGTTAAACCCAAATTATTAATTCATTTCTACCTAAAAACAACACAATTAGGTTCAATTAGGAGTAAAGCCAAAATTTTATTAAACCAAAGAAAATTTAGGTTCAATGTAACAGTTCTTATATAACGTTAACCGAAAACCGGTTAACTCAGAACCAAAAAAACTCCTGATTCAACAATCCTTGGAAGAAATGTTGTTATTAGGCCTGGACATAAAATCCGAAATCCGAAAACCGATCCGAAAAATCCGGCTCCGAATCCGAACCGAATAGTTACAAAACCCGAACGGATAATGAATTCTCCTATCTGAATTATTCGAACCGAACCCGATCCGAACTGAAAACCGAAAGGATATCCGAAAACTGAAAATAAAATTATATATCCAAAAATATTAGTTATATTTAGCTATAATTTTATAACAAATAACAAAAATATCCTAAATAACCTAGATATTGGAAAGTTTTTAGTTATATTTGTTAAAATTATACATATTTTTGGAAAATTTAGCCAAATTTTAGTAAGATTAAAACTATTTTTAATTTAAATTGAACATTTTTTTAGTTTTTTTTTTCTCGCAAACCGATCCAAAATTAATCCGAAACCGATCCGAATCCGACACTATCCAAACTGTACCCGATCCGAATAGTCATAAAATCCGAACGGATAATAAAATCTCCTACCCGAATTATCCGAATCCGAATAAATCCGAACCGAATCCGATCCAAAATCCGAATGCCCAGGCCTAGTTGTTATTATCACCGTGCCATGACCAAACGATGTCGTTTAACGCCGGCCGTACTTCTTCTTCGTATAACCGATCGTACTCCAAAGTATCTCCCGCCGATTTGCAAAACTCCACCACCGAGATTTCCGGCGCTACTTCAAACACTTCCGCCGTCATCGACAGCCGTCCTTTTCTCCCTTCCGTTTTCCCTTCCATCTTCACTTTAAAATCCTTCGTTCTCTTCACTTTCATGTTCATCTCCTTTGTAACCGTTTCTATCTTCTCCATCACCTCCGTCGCCGACGACCTTGACGTGAACACCGATTGCACTTTCCTCTTACTCTCGAATAAGCTCGAGAGATCGAATCCGGAAGACATCGAGGAGATGAATTCGAAAGCGTTGAAAAATTTCGGCGAAATCGGCTCTGTTTGATTTTCCCAATCTCCGTCTCCTTCTTCTTCGTTGTTGTTGTTGCTCTGAGAACAAATCGGTTCGTCGATTTTAAAAGCTAACGGCGGAGTGAAGTTTTTCCGAAGCCAAGTCGTTCTCATAATCGCCGGAATCGAGATCCGTCGATCTGGATCTACAACGAGGAGTTTCAAAATCAATCTCCTCGATTCCGGCGAAAACCACGGCGGAAATTCAAAATCCGCTCTGAAAATCTTCCGATACATATTCATCAGATTCTCATCTTGAAACGGCAAACATCCGGCGAGAAGCACATACAAAACGACGCCGCATGACCAGATATCCGCCTTCGCGCCGTCGTATCCTTTCTTCCGTAAAACCTCCGGCGCAACGTAAGCCGGAGTTCCACACTGCGTATGAAGCAATCCATCTTGAAGAATCTGTTCCGGTAACGCAGATAATCCGAAATCGGAGATTTTCAAATCTCCATTCTCATCTAAAAGAAGATTCTCAGGTTTCAGATCGCGATGAGAAACGCCTCTGCTATGGCAATAATCAACGGCTGAGATTAATTGCTGGAAATATCTACGAGCAGCGTCTTCGTGTAGCTTACCTTTAGAGATTTTGCAGAAAAGCTCGCCGCCTTTAACAAACTCCATGACGAAGAAGATCTTCGTCTTCGTAGCCATGACTTCTTTTAACTCAACGATGTTGGGGTGACGAACGAGTTTCATGATTGAAATCTCGCGTTTGATTTGTTCCATCATTCCAGGTCTCTTCATTACTTGATCCTTGTTGATGACTTTGATGGCGACGCACTCGCCGCCGATGATCTCTTTGCCGTAATAGACTTTCGCGAATGTTCCTTTGCCTAATAACCGTCCCATCTCGTACTTTCCGAACAGAACTCGCCGTTCTTCCTCCATTTGGTATCGCTCCGACGAATCTTAGGGAAAAATGAAAGAGTAGACGAAGATGATGATGAAGAAGGATGATTAAGAAAAGGTGGTGTTGAACCATGAGGTTTGGTTAGTATTTTGAGTATATGAGTAGAATATATTACTCTCATAGGTGAAGAAGTAGAGCAATTCCATGGAATTTGGGAGAGGAAGAAGAAGAAGAAGATGATGATGAAGTGTGCAAATGAATCACAACGCAGTTACGTGGTGTCCTCTTATTATTATATATATACTTCTCATCACTCCTTCAATTATAAACTAGGTGATAAGCCACTCACAAAGTCACACATGTCACACCGCAATAACTTACTTTTTTTTGTTGGGTAAATGATTTTTATAATATAGAAAAATAAGTATATTTTAAAAATGGTTATCATTTATAAATAAAAATTGTTTGCAGCTAAAAAAAATTATTGGTGCTAGATACATAGATTTTTTTGTATAACCTTCTATTTTTCTACACATGTCAGATTGTTTGCTAGATTTTATTCTTAAGAACAACATTCAGACAATGTCTCTCGAGTTTTTTTCTTTCTTAATTTATTAATTACTTGGCCAAAACTAGATGCTAAAACTTAGTTCTAAGACTTTTGGAGTCATATACCCTCTTACCTTATATACTAGATCATCACCCGTACTACAGTACGGGTTAAATTTCATTTATTACAAAATTTATATATTATATAGTTATAGAGTAAAATCGTGATATATTATAATCAGTAAGTAAAAAATATTTTTATGTCAGTCCATATATATAATATTAGAATGAATATATTTTTATTTTTCTGTAATCCTCAATTATGGATATATTTTTTAAAGATATGAGAACGGAAATTAATATTATTTTCAAAAAAAATAATATTGTTTGAACAATGAGTTAATTTATGTTAACAACCACAAAATGAGAGTGCATATAATTTAGTTAGATCAAAAATCAAAATATCATAAATGAATCGCATCTAAAACGTAGATTATTTTGAATTAATTAGTTAGCTATTATTTTGAATTAATTTAGGAAATTATTTTTTCAAATTCTAATTCATTGGTTGTTGAAATAGAGATTTGTTTGAGCTAATTACGGAATTTACCAATTATTCACATAATCGAATATGTTATGAACATATATTAGGTATATAATAATACCAAATTCGATCCGTGTGTGGAGTCTATATTTTCATTTTACAATCCCTATAGAAATATTGTGGCACAATCTATTATTCATTATTTCCAAAATTGCTTGCAAAATTAAATTTTCAAATATTTAGAAGTGTCAAACCTTATTTAACTCATCTCATCATAAAATCTTAAAATGTCGTCTATTATAAGGATCATAACTTTCTATCATATAATACATTACTTTTAACCCGCCGCCTACTATAAATATATTAAACATATCTTTTTAGAAAATCAAATTAGTAATTATAATTTTTTTATCTTTTTAATCTATTAAATATTTATGATATTCTTTAATATATTAAATTAAACTTTTTTTAAATGTTCCAAATTAAAATCTTTAAAAATATTATTGTAGTATGTAAAATTATGAATTGAAATATATATATATATATATATATATATATATGAAATTAAATATAAATATTCAAATAGTTATAAGGATCATAACTCATTTCATCATATAATACATTATATTTAACCCGCCGCCTATTATAAATATTTGTTTCAAAAAATCAAATTAGAGTATTTATATTTCTTAACTTTTTGATCTATTAAGTATTGATGATATTAAAAAAGGAATATATTACTCAAATATGAATTTTTGACCCGTTAAATTTGTTTTTTCATACATTGAACAATTTATATTCGTTTTTAAAAATTCAAATCTTTGTATATGCGGAAAAAATTTACTTTTTTTTTATTATGTAGATGATATAATAATTTATTTATTTTATAGAAATAGAATAATATAAAGATGAGAGGTGAAGTATAATGATTAATAACAAATTAATATGATAAGTTAGATATCAAATCTTATATGTTCATTTTGATTGGTCATTTTTTTAAAAAAATAATAATATATTTTCGTTTTTATAATTAAATTAAATTAATTAAATTGCATAAAATAGTATTTGACTTGTTTATCCTTAATGAGTTGAATTAATTTACTCTATAAAATTTTATTTCTAATGGTATTCTTAAGTAAATTCTTACAAAAAGAAAGGTTAGTTAAGGGTATCTTATAAAGTGTACTCCCCAAATAATAGTATAGGATAATATCATTTACCATAAAGTAACACTTAAAAATATTATTCCTGCGTTTACAACATACCAATTTGTAGAAAAAAATGAGTGTTAAAAGAACAATCAAAGTCAAAGGAAATATGCAATTTAAGTAGCTAAAATTTACATGGACCATAACACAGTACATTATGATTATGTGTAAAAAACTAAACGTTTATGTTATCATCATATAAGAATGCTATGGTTTTCTATAATTCTTTTTTTTCTTCTAAAATAATTCTACTAAAGAACTACTTTTCACGAATAATGTCCTCGGAGAAAAAGGAATAGGTTATCAATTACTGACAAAACTTCCTTAAAATAATGTCAATAATTCTCCCCAACGGTCTAATGCCTTTTGTCCCCTTATCTTATGTGGTGGTTCCACCCAACCTTTCGTATATAAAATTTAAAACTCTAGTTTAAAATCATTTCTTAAACTAACATACAAATTAAAGTTTCTGGTGAGTAGACTATGAAAATTCTAAGTTACATAACCTTTGAATCGTATAACAATTTTTTCTTAAAAACAAAAGTTCAAAATCATTTATAATATTTTGTTTCTCAAATCATTTGGCTCAATTCCATTTTTATCGTTGATAGTAGAAAATACTATAAAGTAAATTCAGTTATGTCAAGATCTGAAATAATTATTAGAAAAAGATATCAATGAAAAATGTTTTTAAACGTGATTGGAAGAAATAGAAAGTTCATATTCGAATAATTTTAGCAGAAAATTATATTACAAAAGTTCATAAATTTCTGCTAAAATTTGATTGTATAAATTGTATGATAAGGTTCATGATTAATATACTTTTTATCACATGCCTTCATATCGGAAATAAACTTTGGTCGCTTAAAATATTATATCCAAAAAAAAGAAATACATCTTTTTACAATATATATAAGACATCTCTTTCATCTTTATGAAGTCTCAACCAAAAGGAACTATAAAAGTTTTAAGTTTCTTATTTTGTGAGGCTCAATAACCACACTATTTATTGATCCCAACATATAGTTTTGGTGTTATAAAAATTTGAAAAAATGCAAATATTTTTGCTTATGATTCTATGATCTCTTATGCACTGAACCAGAAACAATAATAATAATAATAATAATAATAATAGTTTTTATTATTAGCCAAAAGATAATAATAAAAAAACTCAACAGATTTAAGTTTTTTTTTATTATCAAACTCAAAAGATAAAAGTTTATTAGCCAAAGCTTAATGCACGGGTGAAGAGCATAAGACAGCTAACTTTTCTTCAAGTAGGGAGATCTATTGTGTTCACCAAGGAATGTTTCAGGATCTACTTAACAGGAATTAGTATTTTACTAACCATTAAAATATAACTAATAATTGTATACAAGAAAAACACGTAGGTGGGATTAGTCCAAATAGAAGCATAGCTGGTCCAAATTTGTACTAAAGTCTATATTTAAAATAACGAGATTGGACACATACACCCTTGTGATGTCTCCTAAACTCAACGGAAAATAAAAACAATGTAAAATAACGTTGAATTTTCACAGTCAAAAGAAGAAGCCAATATCAAACTGTACAAGGAAAAAAAAAAGATTTAAGAAGGAAGCTATGCATGAGTTTTACAGAGAGAAAGCTTTTGCTAAATTTGAAACCTAATCAAACCTTATTGTTCATTATTCATTTTCAAAGCCATTGTTATTCCACCATCACCTTCACAAAGCAAACTTATTTTACCTATACAGTTTCCTCCACCTGCTTTAGCTCTGAGTACATTCAAATGGGTGAAAGTTTCCTTCTGCAAACTCTTGCATCCTAAACCTTTGCATAAGCTCCACAGATCTGCAAATGAATCATCAATGCACCAAATCATCAAACCCACTTTGTGTACACTACGAAACTGCCATGGAGTTTTTATATTAACTCAAACCCCCTATCCCAAAAAACTTACAGAGGATTCTCTCGATTTCGGCTTAGCTTCTGTTGATTACTCTCCATTACTTCCACTACATTGGCGTTTGCAGGTCCAGCTGATCCTCCAGCTACAATCGATGGGACTGATGCGGTTGGGCCCCATATCTATACACATATTTTATAAGCAATGTTAGTTTAAGAGATCTTAATTGAATCGAAAACCAAACCCGGAAGATAGCTTTGTGTGCCTGCTTACCTTTATTGTGTTATCAATTCCACTCGTTGCTACAACACTATCAAACGGATGGCATTGAATGCAGTTCAAAACTAGAAACAAAAGATGATTCTTTCAGCAAACTAATGAAATTCAATGAAATTATGTAATGGATAACGTCATACCAAAAAAAAAATGTAATGGATAACGTTTTAAAAAAAACATCTAAAATAATAACCTGCTTCATCGCCAACAAGCACTTTCATAAGCCTTCCCGTCTGTTTCTCCCATATAAACCACCGGCCGTCATCGCTTCCACTTGCAATATATTCACCTGAAATTTAGTAATAAAATTTTCACAGAAAGTCAATGCCATATCAACATTTCAAATTTAGTAAACGGCTTTTTTCTACTACACTGGAATTGCATTCAGATAACATAAAAGTTGCAACCCCAAGAAAAACTTACCTCTCTGACCAAGAAAACTGGCCTGCTTGATATCAGTTCCTACGTTACAGTGGCCAACATATCTACGTTTCATATCAATGGCTCCCTCTGGCTGTAATCACCAAGTAACCAGTGGTGTAAAAGGTATTCATCAAATTAAGTAAGAGTATGACATAGCATAAAAGAAGCCAAGTACTAACTCAAAAACGTATTCAATGTGCTAAATTTGTTTTACTTTGAAAGAATATAACAATACCATAATCTTAAAACTAACCTGATAAGACGTTCTATCATTTTGAGATGACGATGCAGTTCCTGAGGAGGCATTATCAACTGTATTTTCCATCGGTTTATCATCATCACCTACTCTATGAATTCGTAGGTTGAGACTGCCACGCATAGCATTCGACTCTGGATCTCGTCCTTCATCATCAGACAAGGAAGTTTGAATATCCAACTCCAATTCCTCGTCATAATCAGAATCTTCTCTTTCGGATCTTGACATATCATGTGAACTGTCACTGTTGGCCTCTGATCTATATAGTATGTCGCTTAAAGAAAGTACTCTAGTAGTTCCAGCTCCTGTCTCTTCGTTTTTGTCAGATCCAGCTGATTTGTCAAACAAAAGACAAGTACAAGAATATTAAAATGTGAAATGAAATTTCCTTGCCTGTTGAATCATGAAAGCTTCTAAGTACATAATACTCCTTGGGAATGAAAGAATCCCCCAAATCTAAAAGAATAGCTCTACAATCTACATATATTACTTTGATACGCTTTTGAATCAAAAGAACAAAAATCAGACACATTAACCACAAAATATTTCTGAACAAAATTAGAGGAAGAAAGAGAAGCCAGATGACCTTAAAGATGTAACTACGAATCTATGCTTATGATTGTTCTCTCATCTTTATGATATATATTCTCCTCATTGATTACTAGAAACGAATGGTTATAACTCATTGAAGAGCCAATAAATAACATCTGTTACTAAGCAGTTTATATGCAGGAAAAGACATACATCAGTTGTCACAAACCTGCTTGAAGATCCCTTTTAATGCTCTCCACCTTTGCCACTATATCGGCATCTGATGGGTTCAAATGTTGTGCAGCATTCGCAAAATCTAGAGCTTCTTTACATCTTCCTAACTGCGTGAAAGCACATATGTATATGAAATGGAAGGGTGACTAAAATAAATGCTTATTTCAGAACCATCTCTATGCCAAATAGTAAACTTAAAATTAACTGTGATCAGAGCTATAAATTTTTACTTGCTGCAGCGCTTCAGACATGTAGTAATGAGCTTTAAAAGATGAAGCATCAATTTTCCGAGCATTACGGCAATCTCTTACGGCCATATGAGCATCATTCTTCCACTTCCTCTGGAAAATAAACGAATCAGCTGATTGTGGTTATTAGAGAGGAGTAATGTAGGGATTTAAGCTAGTTATAGACACCAGTTCTAAAGGACCTTGAGCAACAAAGCGGCACGAGTACAAAGGCATTCATGCCTTAGCGCGGACTCAATATCATTAGAATGAGCATCCAGAACTTCATTAGCTGCCTCAATTGCATAGAAAACATCTGTACCCTCTTCTAAAGACCTTTTAGCAATTTCTACCAATTCGGTACACTTCTTAACCTGAAAAGAACGGCGTCAGATGCACTACGAATATGGAATGACTAGGTCACCATATGGAACAATTACAAAGGGAGGTGCGAACCGTTGCAGCATTGCAATTTCTGTGAAAGCCGTTTTGAGGAGTGGTGGAAACCTGAGGTGGAGATTCTACATCGTGGAGGTTGTTACTGAAAGAAAACAAGTTATCTACATCTCCTGGTGTGTATTGCATGATTCCAGTGCCTACAAGTCGCAAACAAAGGAATGAATCAACAGATATTGAGCTAAAAAAAATTAGCAAAATGTTTGAAAAACTGACATTTTCAATACGAAAAGGTGCCTACAACAAGATAGCTAGCACAGACAAATATTTTTTAACTAAGTGGTGAAGTACAGATTGGCAGTACGAAGAGAGAAATATACATAACAAAAAGTAAGCAAAAATCTTGCGGGTTAACACATTCATTATTCTTAGTTCAATTTTCAAAAGGGTTCACATAATAGCAAATCTGGTGGATTAACTATTCACGGAATTTATACTTAAAGCACCAAACAACTCAACTGCAAATACCATTATTTACATTCATCAGGTAGACATGCTCCCCGCTGTAACTGAGCAAAACTTCTTCACCATTAGGACTGAAAGTAACATGTGTTAGGTGCAAATTTGTTCGCCCCTGAAATAATTTAAGATATAGCGGACAGTGAGCTTGGGAAAAACTTTGACTAAGAACACAACATTACCACAGCAATGCAGAACTAGTAGAGTATCTTAATATCAAACAGATTAAACTAACGCGGTCAGAAAGATGCATGGGACAGAAGTAATTGACACATGGAGGTGGAGGCATCCTTTTCCGACTTGATGTCAATGGTGGTAGCATCCTTCTATCGTACAAACGAGCAAATGCATCACTGGCAAAGAGGAAAGAAAAGAGGAACAAGTTAGTTAAAAAAAAAAAGGAGAGAACTCTGATCCAAAAACATGGAAGCAATACCTTCCCCCAACAAGAAGTAGGTGTGGTCTTGTGGCACTTATATCACAAGACTTCAGGGAGAGAATTTGCTTAGGAGGATCAGCTAGTGCTCTTTTGGCACCACTGCGCAGATCAAGCTGCATAATTCAAAGCTATCAACAACTTTAATTGGCAGAAGAAAGTTTTGCATAAGACACACACCATATAACTATACGTCTACGAAGTATCCAGATAGGCCTCATATGATATTCAAACATCCACACAAGACGTCTAATATATATATATATATATATATATACATGGATAATACAAGGGGGATATACAGAAATATGGCACTCTGTTTGAAAAAATCAACTCAATGCTGACAATCTAAGCAATGGGAAAAAGGCTTGAGAACTCTGATTACAGACAGAGTATCAATATATTGTTTTGGAGAAATTTAAAGCCAATATGGAAGTAGTAGACTAGAGAAACTCAAACTTATTGAAAACAATGAAACCAGAGTTTGGAGATTACCAGAACACTGCGGCATTCTTGGTGAGCAGTTCCAGCAGGAGGACAAGAGGTAGATTCTCGGAAATCATGCTGCCTTAAAGTCCCATCTTCACTAGCACTCCATACAACATTAGGGTTACCAGGTTCGACCTACGTGGTGGTAAAAACATCTGTTAATCAAACAGCTCAAAATGCTAGACCCAAATACTGATTAGGAGGGTCTTACAGCTAGTTTTTTCACTCTTCGTGTGTGACATTGGTACAATGCTGATGGAGCAATCGCATTGTCATCTTCTGCTCTACCGCTTAAGTGGGATAGATTGAATAGCCTAACCTACAATATAGGAAAAATACATGCACACACCCCAAAATCACCAAAAGATTATTTATATAAATGACATACGAAGCCAAATGAAATCACTATCCAAAAGGGGTAATTTAATATACCTCAGCATCTCCAGCACCAGATACCACAAGCTCGTCAGAAGTTTCAGGAACAAACTTTGTACAGAATATGTTGGCAGTATGCCCTGTATCTATAGAATGCAAAAGCGTCCTACTGGAGTAATTCCAAATATTGATCTGAAAATTAAAAGAAAATATAACTGTCAAGACAAAGCAACGATATAGCACCACGCGAGACAAATTAGATGCTCAAACAGACTTCTTTAACACTCACATCCAAAATTAGATATAAGTGATACACGTTTGTTCCCAGATATATCGTAAAACAAACCAAACAAGCTCAACTAACTGACACAAAGGAAGATTTCAGAGTGTTAAGCTGGTGTCAAAAAAAGAATTGCATATACCCTTAAATCATCTGATCCAGATATCAACAGTGAACCATTAGAGTTCCAAGCTAGAGAATTAACACAGCCTTGATGTCCCTGCCAAACACAACAAAACATCTTAAGAAGAAATAGACCAACAAGCAGAATGAAGATAGCCTCAAAGCTTGAGTAATAACCTCCAATTCTTGCTCCTGAGAAAGTCTCCGAACCAAGGAAGAGTGTAATTGCATTCTTTGATCAACCTCCTACACAGACAAGAGTCGACAAACATTGCCAGAGAGGGTAAAATTTCATGTAGAAGCAAGAATTGACAAAAGTTGATTGAAGGATTCAACTATAAGTTAAACACCTCCATGAATCAAACTCGAAAACTGTAGCTAAAACCCTAGCAATGAGAAAGAGAACCCGAATTCCAATGGGGAAAAGAAGAAGAAAAGAGAAGGAAGATAGGGGGAGAGGAGACGTACATGACTTGGGTCCTGGGACCTTGTGTGGAGGAGATTGAAGATGTTACCATCGTGAAAACTGAGATTTTCCATGGAGAAAACGATCGCCACCGATCACGAATTGGAAGAAAAAGCCCTTTGGCTCTTTGTAATCTGACGCAATTTCTCGTGCCCGGTTTTACATTCTATGGTCAGATCCTCTGCGGCGCATGTGTTGGGTATCTATGTACTCTTATTACATCTGAGCCGTTCCTTTTTACGATTTTTTCTTTTCTCTTTTTTTTTTTTTTTTTTTATTAAATCAGGTAAACAAATCCTTATGGGGAAAACAATTTAACACATGGTGGTGTGACTGGTGAACCACAATTTGCTGTGGTGTAACCAAAGAAGCAGTATAGTTGTTCGATAAATCGGTTCCAAATTTATTTAATTTCTTTCCACATTTTAAAGCTAGATATATAATTTGGACAACTGAATATTCGTAGACACGTAACAATGTGGAACAGAAATGTCACATAATGCCGATCTGTCCTTAGTTAGTTTTGTGACTGATTTGGACAAATGTTTGATTCTAAAATCTAAATCAAATTTTGATAGAACTTTTTAAAAATAAATCATGTTGTCATATAATTCTTCGTTTTGCATTCAGAACAAAATTAGGTTTTAAATACCATAGTGAAATCCCGAATTTTGGTTTTCTTTTTTTTTAATTTAAAGAAAGTGAAACGATCGAAGTGTACTTTTTACTTCTTTTTTAAATACTCTAACTCTTTTTTTTTCCACCATTTTCTACTACTACTAGGTCTAGGTTCTTCTACATTCTAGGGCAAGATTCTTCGAGTGTGTTGGCTAATCTATCCATGTGTTCTAAACACATCAGAACCATTCTTTTCCGCAATTTAATTACCATAGCCTTGACTCGTTCGTTCCGATCTTGGTTGCGTGTTTTAATTTCTCCAAATCCATCCGGTTGTGTGACATTAGTGTTACACATTCACACACTGTGATATCGTGATGTATGTTTTCTGTGTTAATTTCTTGCGATGGTGATTGATGAGATAGTTAATTGGAAATTTATACTTATCACTTAGTAGCTACGGAACCAAAATTAAGACTCATTCTCATCATCGACAATGTACTTTCAAAGGCATGTACACGGCGTTTCTAATTAACACTGCCGTTTTGTGACGTCCAAAGATGATTTTTATTATAAATGATTTGGGGAAACAAAATTTAGTATACTAATCAATGAACAAAAGAAGTTGGTATAACGAGCAATCTAAAGTGACAAGACGGGTTTCACTAACAATATACAAATAAATCCCATTGATAATCAAATACTCCAAAACTTGCAATTTTCACTATACCTATCAAGACTAATCTTGACACTGAATGGGTTACTACGTACATAAAGAGTTTGCAACAAGCTAAGATGACACAGACAGAGTAAATATAATATCAAAACAGAATTAAATGACGCGCGAGATGGAGAAATGGTAACTGAACAGGGCTTATGGGTTTATGTAGTGTACACAATTGGACACAAAGACGACAAGACTTCTTTCATAACACATTATTCCAAAAGATACACAGTGTTCTAGTTTCAGTCCTTTGAACAAATATACAAGAAAACAAAATATACATCCATATCCTTTTAACAAATATGTTAGTCATCATCTCAATAAAAAAACGTCAACAACTGCACCTGCATACAGATGACAGGACACACATACATATAGAGGGAGGGAGATCAAATGCACAATTTGTATAATCTTATTCCAACAACACAGATACCAAAGTGAAAAAAACACTCGCATCTTCAAAAATAACTACAACCACTTCTTACGTTTTATGATTATTTTACAAAATTCTAGCTAAAATGTTTTCCTTATCGAATCATTTGACTATTCCAGATTTCCATTATTCAACTATTCATCTAATATATTAGTCAAGACAGGTAGAAAATAGTTTTCTTTGCTACACACTAATCATGTCTTCACCACAACAATCGGAGATAAGCTATACTCAGTCATATCAAACCACACAAGTTTCCACCGCGTCCACTTATCTTTAAGTGATTATCCCTCTTGATTGCACACATCTATAAAAGACCTTAGACACTACTCAGTCTTGATTGCACACATCTATAAAAGACCTTATTCACATAACTTACATAGATACTACAATGCCCAAGATTTTGAGCAAATCAACTCCGAACTTAACCAATCTTATTCCATGGATTCAAGTGCAATCTGCATAACTTTGACTCACATTTTGATGTTGGGAGTTGGGAGCAATTCATGTGTGCTAGAGTCTGCAAAAGAAATGTGTTTATTACTTACAATACAAACATCATATTCCTACGAGTCTAACCACGATGGGTCAACAAAAATCTAACCCAAATGGAGATATCTAACAATAACTTATTCCTAATTCTAATAGTCTAATACGTACAACTTCACATACATGTGTAAAGATATTTTAAAACAAAATCTAAGATTGACCATCATGAATGTACAAAGATTTGAAACTACATAAATTGAAATTACATAGAGACAAGATAAATTAATAGACGCAACATATGTATATATGCATATTTTTGGTATGCACAGACAGATATGAACACAAAATCAATTACTAGAACAATGGAATAAGGAAGATTCATGAAGGAGAAGTTATGACAGAAAGAGAGTGAGCACGCAAAAGCAACCATATACAAAATTTCTATACAACTTCCCCTTTGTGTGCTCACTCTCTTCTGTCAACTTCTTTTCCCCCATCAACATATATATAAACGCACATATTTATCTGATTATGAATTTATGATTTATGACCACATACATATACATGAAATATGTTAGAAAAACGAAAAAAAACAAGAATATGTGTGTTTATATATATGTGTAGATAGGAAATTCCAATTAGTCCAGAAACCGATGAAAAAACAAAAAATAAAACAGGACACAAGTACAGATCGAAGGTACTTGAGATCAAATCTGGGAACAAACAAACTACTAACAAAGACTTGATCAATGGATCCATAAAAGGAAAGTATAAATCTAAGTACGGACACTGCAAGTTAGGGTTTCTTCTCTAATTCCCAGTTTTAGAATTTTTTTTTTTTATAAGAAACAAAGGTTAAGGAGATAAACTCAGAATTGCAGCCGAAAAACAAACTTTCTTTTCTCTTAATCACTCACTCTCTCTCTCTTTCATGCAAAGCATACATGTGTCGGCTGCTTTCTTTATCTCTCTATATAGCGAAAGAGAGAAGTGATTAAATAGAGAAATTGAAAAAACCCTAGAATGAACAATGAATCCAACAACATTTTCACTTTTAGATTAAATGAAAGAAGAAGAAGAAGAAGAAGAAAAAAGGTGAAACAGAGATGAAGGAGAGAAGAAAGTACGGATGTCAAAACGCTTGGTTATGGTTTGTCGGAGAGAGAAACGTGTCGCAATCAAAGGCCAGGACTTGACTTGAGAGTCGTTATGAGCCGTTGGATGTGTCTTTTGTTCAGTTCCGTCTCATTGCCGTCTTATCTGCTTCTGTCCTTTTTAAATAACACAGTAGTGCGTCATTAGAGACACAAACACACACGCATCGTTCTTCTCTATTCTCTTCTCTTATCTTCTTATCTTACTTTAAAACTGGATTAGTGCTAGTTAATTCTTCATTTGTGTCACGGTTTAATTGTTCTGCTTCTTTGTCAGAGTCGTCGGCTTTGTTTAAAGTTATCTTTTCATTAATTTAACCAATGATCATAGTAGTTAAATCGATGTAGTTAATGCGGTATAAAAATAATTACTGTTGTTGTAGCTTTGAATTGGTAAGTGGGCGCGGCAGGGTTTGGTGCCCACTAAATTAATAAACACGTTTTGTTTCCATTCATCTACTATAAAAAATGGGACCGTATACAGTAGCATGTTCATTTTGGGTAATGAGCCGGGTAATGCGATGAGGGTCGGAATATATAAATGTACTATCGAAATTCGACACATAATAATTTATGAGATGAAAATTTCAGATCATATAGTATTGAGTTTGTTAGATACCTAAAACCATTACCCAAATTCTTGTTATTTTGACTAAGGTTAATCAAATTTAGAAATCGGGTATTTTTGGAAATTTAAATATTTTTGTATAGTATTCAAATTTGCCAATATGTTTTTCCTATAGCTAATATGTTTTCGTTCTATAATAAACTAAATTTTACTAAACAGATAGTCATTTTAACGAATACGGATATGTAAAAAGAATTATACGATACACCTCTTGTAATAACAACACTAATATGCAGTTAGTAATTGAAATTTCTTAGTTGTGTTTTACCATTGCAGACAATGTGTGCAACCACCTCCTTATGTAGAACTAGTTAGTGATAGGGTAAGAAGATGACAATAAAACGAGGTGATAAATAGTTGGTGGATACAAAACACAAACACTAGTGACGGAAAGAGTATTGTACTACCATCATTTTGAAAATTTAATATTGATTTTTAAAATTAAACTCTTTCAAATGAAAATAATCCACACTTCATATATTCGAGGTATGTTTCCCGTTTCCGAAACGTGTGTATATAAACTATTTTCTACTTTTATCTTTTTATTAAGCTATTTAATATTTATGTTTAGGATTCGTGTTGTTTCAAAAATTATTTCTAATATAGTTTTGATGTTTAGTGTTTATATATATGATATATATACGCACATGTTCAAAATGTATTTATTTTTCTAATTTTAAAAAAAATCGTTTTTCTTTCCAGAAATGTTTTGCATCTACGTGTCTGTTTCTGTTTTCATGCAACGTAGGTTGCGTCGGCTCTTACCTATCAAAATATATATATTTTAGAAAAATATCATTTTTCTTTTTCGAAACGTTTTGTTTCCGCGTATCCGTTTCCATGCAACATAGTTTGCGTTAGCTCTTACTAATCAAAACTATAAGTGAACCACCATTTTTTATGTCAACCATAAATCTGTTTTTTTTACTAACTAGCGGTACATTTGTCAGTCAAACAAATAAGAATGCATTCTCTTTTTGTAAAAATAATTTGTAATTTCAAGCTACACTATTTTTTTAAACCATAACTTATAATTTAGTGCTAAATACCATCGATATATCAACATCCAAAAATAACCCTTTCGGTGGCTTTTCGTAATCTGATGCATTCTACGGTGCATACCATCCTCTAAATACACATCTAGACCTGTTCGTTTTCACGATTATATATTGTTACTGCTCTATCTTTTTCTTTTTGTAACATTTACTGCCCTATCAAAAGTCTTTTAACTGCAACGCCGCTGAAAATTTGGTCCGTTGACTCTCTTACCCACCACATCATCCACGGCTTCATATCTTTAAGTTAAAATGTTGACAATAATTTTTGTTTTTGATTGTTGTACTTAAAACATTCTGACAATTTTAACTTTTAATCTTTTGTTCGAAATCAAACTTGTTTACTATAGATTGTTAGATCAACAACAAAACTTTAATACATATTGATTTTTCACCCTGCATCACAGTGAATTTAGTGTTAAGGTTTGTGTTTGTGTTTGCATACTAGTAAATCAACAACTAGTTTACGTCTTCTATTTGCTTGTGAACAAGAAACACAATTCATATGAGAACTATTATAAACTGCTTTGCCTGAAAATATCAGAGAGAGAGTCAGATTTAATGGAAAGCATTCATTCACATTCATAGTTCAAAAGACTTTCCAATCCCTCCCCCCCTTTGGCTACATATTTTAGTTAAGCAAAATAGCCTAACACTCTAAAACCCTAAATTAAACGAAACAAGAATTCTCTGTATAAATAAAAATGAAACCACACCCTTTAACAATGGCTTCCTAACACATTAACTGTCTCCTATGGTACCTGCACATAGAGACAGACCGCGACACTTTTACTTATTTCTTAAGTCTATTTTTTCAAGGGTTTTATCTTTCTGGCAAGACTATTCCGAAGACGAATCTTCTTCTGCTTCTGGTTCTTCTCCAGAATTTTCTTCTCCTTCCTCTTCCTCCTTCTTCCCCTTCAGTTTTTCCCTCATAGCTTCAATGGCCTCTGGGGTTTTCTGCAAAAAACTCACTAGGGGCTTGGCCTCCTCATCAGACGTTTCATCCACAGCATCTTCTTCTTCACCATTTTGATCATCAGAGCTATTGCTCTTAGTCTTTTCCGAGGTTGTGCTCGGTTTTGCTAACTTTTTCTCCTGACCATTCTCCAAGGTCTTGGCTTTGGACTCATCAGCAGATGTTCCATTCTCAGCATCATCTTCTTCTTCACCAGCGTTGGAGTTGCTGGGTTTCAAGGCCTTGAGCTCGGCCTCATCTTCAGAAGTTTCATTCTCAGTATCAGCCCCTTCCTCTTTGTCAGTGTTAGAGTTGCTGGATTTCGAAGCCTCTTCATCAGTAGTATTATTTTCCGCATCTTCATCAGCGTTGGAGTTGCTGGACTTCATGGCCTTGGGCTTGGCCTCTTCGCTTGAAGCATCATTATCATCATCAGAGTCATTCCTTTTGGCTATTTTGGTAGAAGTCCTCGGTTTTTTCAAGGACTTGGATGTCTCTTTTTCATTGTTATTCCCCTTGCTTCGGAATCTTCCACTCATGCGTGAGGCCGCTGCTACAATCTTACCCCCGATATCACCCATTTTGCCATTTTTCTCAGTGTCAGACTTCGAGGTCTTCTTCTCCACCTCTTTGGACTTGCTGTATAAACAACAGGTATAATTAGATCTTCAAAGACAGGGCACCACAATAATACTGTAATCTATATAGCTGCCTCTATGTTATGAATTCAACTCCATAACGTGTGAAGCAGAGACAAGGTAAAGTGACTTTAATGTGTTACTGTGTTGAACTCGCACGTGAGCGTATAAGTGTGCATATGTACGTATGTTTATTCAAGTATGCATATTAAAACATAACCAACCTCTTTGATGAAGAATCTATCTTCCGTCTCTTTTTCGGCATAGCATCATCTGTCCTTCCTTTTAAGGATGACTTCCCTTTCCCTTTAGGCCTGTAGAGAGTTTAGACAGATGTATCAAAGATCAGTCAGAATTACTTACTCTTTCAGTCTTTAGGTTGAGGGACACAATCCATAGACATGTGTATCCGACAGACTCATGTTCGTAAATCATGACTATTAGAGATAATTCAAAAAAATAACACAATATCTAAAACAGAACCCTAGTTAAGTATAAGGAGAAACTCGGCGTTGCGATTGCTAAAACAGGTATGAGGATAAGGGCAAACTTACGGTTCTGGAGTACCCTCAGAACTCTCATCAGCAGATTCATCCTGTAGGGAGATCTGAAAAACAGAAATGTTGAACCATTAAAAGCTAGTAATACACAGGATAAAATCGAGAATAAATGATGAAACACTGTCTAGTATCTATCTACCTCATCAGATTCAGTTTCAGCATCATCTTCTTCAATCAACTCCCATCTTTCCTTCTTCAAATCCAAGGTCTCTTTTTCACCATCTTCATAGAAAACCTATTGTAATCGAAAGAGTAAATCATTAAATGACACATTATCTAAACAACTTAAATTCCTGTGAGAAAGTAAATCATCCACCAAACTTAATCAATTCAGATTAGATATCAAAGGATCCTCCTAAAATCCAAGAGATAAAACCTAATTCATTCATATCAACATTCCTTTAATGAATATATGCAATTCAAAATCCAATCTAGATTCAAGCAAACGATAGAAACAAGGAAACAACAATCATGATAAGAATTACCCGATGTTTCTTCTTGGAAGAGACATAGGAATCCACCACACCCTTATAGAATCTGCAAAACCACGAGATCTGTAAAATTCATCACAAGTAATGGATATAAAAAAAAAGACCTAATTTTTTCAACACTCACTTGCGGTCTAACGGCCACCAAACTCTAATCCTTGAACCCACCAAGGCTTCACCATATTTTCGAGCATCAGCAACCTAGTCAAAAAATCAGTACTTTAGAGCAAATTCGCATAGTAATTCAAAGCAAAAACCAAAGAAGAAGAAGCGATTGATGCAAAACCTTATCCTTTCCAGAAGAACGACTTGAAGCAAGTCTGTTGTTGGCTGATGAACGCTTCCTAGAACCAGCCATCTTCGAGAGAGCAATCAAAGGAATCTGAGTTTGAGTTTGTGTTGTTGGTGTAAGATTGTTCATACAGCCCCAAGAGAGATTTATAGGAAGAGAGTGAAGAAGAAAGGAGCAGTGAAATTGGGGATTTATAATTAGGGTATCCAAGGGGTGTGATTTGAAGATTGAGAGATTTCTTTCCCTAAACCAACCAACGCCAAAACGACGACACGTGACTTTACAATTGAGGAATTACCTCTCACGTGATTGACCACGGCCACATCTTTTCTTTGTTTACTTCTATTGGTCCTTTCCACTCTTCTTTTTTTTTTTCTTTTAGCCAGTTGTCATTTACCTATTAATGTGTTTTGCCAGTAATTTATCCTTCAATATTCAGTGTCAGCAAGTTATGGTCAAAGATTTTTATCCTAGTATAGTACTTTCCGATGACTAGATGATGCTCAAGTTAATACTAGATAACCGGACTTGGTCCGAAATAAACAAAATATTGAGAACAAATTGATAGAAAATATATAAGATCTATAGATTTGCGACTTAATTTGTTCTTTATAATGGTTTTCTAGTGAGTTAACTTTTTTTTATAATCTTGATCAAGAGCTAAATACTCGTTTGTGAGAGTGAGCTTAACATTTTGAAGCCATGAGCGTACTTATCTTCAAGTGTTTCTTATACTAGATCATATCAAAACGTTACCTAGAGTTCAAAAAAAACCATGTAGAATATGATCACATTGTTTTATCAAGTTGTTGGAACATTTGTAGGAACGATCCAGACATCATTTATGGTGCTACACGATATACCTAAACTAAATTATATGTGTACGTAACACGATATACTCTCTCGTTTGTGAGAGTGAGCTTAACGTTTTGAAGCCATGAGCCTACTTATCTTCAAGTGTTTCTTCTACTAGATTATATCGAAATGTTGTTACCTAGAGTATGACATTGTTTTATCACGTTGTTCGAACATTTGTAGGAACGTTCTAAACATCTCTAAGACAATCCAAAAACCATAAAATTAAAGAAATATTTCGTACTACACGATTTACCTAAACTAAATTATACGTGCACGTAATATATATTAAATAATTTATTTACGATAAATACATGCAACGTTAAATAAATCTTTCTAATGTAAGTAAAATATAATTTTTAGCTTCTAATTTCGTTTTTGGTTTTAAATATAGAATTCTATTTAGACGAGCAATCAATAACGCGTTGAGAAATATTCTTCGAGGGCAACAATTAAGCAGAATTTGTTTATATGTACAAGAACAATTACGCAGAATCTTTGATGTTGGTATGTGTTGGATTCTATAAGATTTTTTTTTTTAATGGTCGGATGATAAAACCATCATCTAGTATTTTGTGACTTGACATTACTTGTTTATTTTTAATTTCTAGACAAGTACATAATTATTTCATATAAAACCATATAATACATTAGTTTATATAAAAACGAATTAATTATGACAAAGCTACGGATTATGCTCGAGGGTAAGTGGGAAGCACGATGATGCCTTGACTCCGTAATAATAATTAGAATCAATATTCCTTTATCCCCTTTTCTTCCTAATAGTTGTCTTTTTTTGTAAAAATATTTTGGTCCTCATTTGAGTTGGAGAATCTTTTCATGAAATATTTTTAAGAAGACAAATTTGATTACGCTGGTGAAAATTGGAAGCTTTTTTCTTCTTTCTTAAATCTAAAATGATTCTATTCATGAACGAAGATGATTGTAACAAGTGATGCATGTATCTCTATCAAACGTCTTCCCCTTCGTTGTATAATGGCCACTTGTAACTTGTAAGGTAGAAAATCCAAAGTCAATAATATTATAATTACAATTACTTTGTTTAGTTTTACAATTATGCTAACAAATCCTTTTTCATAACATACCATAATTTAAATAAATTGCCGGAAAATGCTACATGAGGAAACAAATCCAAAATTTACATAAAAAAAAAACAAATCCGAAATTAGAAAGTTTATATGGAGAAAAAAATCTAATCTTATGTTTTCTTCAATTATTGCGAGACAATCCGTACAAACATTATTACAACGTGATGTAAAATTGCGAGATCTTCCGTACGAATACTATTACCACGTGATATAAAACTGAGTTAAAAATGTAAGAAATGAAGTTTTAAGGTTTTTAAAATCATCTAGCTGACTAGCTCCATAGCAAAAATAGATAATGTGGATGATTTATTATCAATATAAGATCACAACAATCTGTTTCTTAACTATAAATTTAGACTTGTACAAATTTCAAAATGCAGTTGAGTTTATACAACTTTTCCTATAAGTTCGTCATAATATGGTATAAGAATCTAACTCGAATACCATATGGCATATGCAAAACACATAGAAATCAAGAAAAAATAATAATGGAGGCAGGTCTATAAAGCAAAAAAAAAAAAAAAAAGATCATGGAAGTTACAAACGAACGGAATTTCCGTGATACACATAAATAAAATTTGGTCATCATATCAAATACTATTATTAAAATAATTAAATTATTAGAAAACGGACAGTATGGATAAAATAATTGGTAACTGGCCAAAACGTAATGATTGATGTAAGAAGGCGCACGCTAAACGTCGTCGTATCAACTTTTCATCGTCAAAAAACGGCATCGTTTAACGCTCACACTTGTCTTTATTTATCACTTCATCGTCTCCAAAAAGCTTCACCACTTGAAACCTCTCTCTCTCTCTCTCTCTCTGGTTGACCCGATAATTTCTCTCTCGCAGACACACAGATCTCTCTTCGAATCTGCTAGATCTGTTCGTTTTCTTACATCTGTATTGCGAAACCTCAGGTAATTTCTTACTTTCATTTCGATTTTCGTTTATTATAGCAAAGGGTTTGGTTTTCGAAAACGCGGTTTCTGATCTTCTCGGTGTTTGTTGTTTTTTTTCTCAGATCGGAAGGTTTCGTTTACAGATCTAGCGATTCTCCGTTACAAGTTTCGTTGTATTTCCGAGTTCCGACGTATGCTTTGTTTTCAGATCTGGGTTTGTTGTATCTCTAGAAATGGCGGAGACTTTGAAAGAAGATTCGATTATGATTCGAGAGGTTTGGGATTACAATTTGGTTGAAGAATTCGCGTTGATCCGTGAGATTGTTGACAAATTCAGCTATATCGCTATGGATACTGAGTTTCCAGGTGTGGTTTTGAAGCCTGTTGCTACTTTTAAGTACAATAATGATCTTAACTATAGGACTCTCAAGGAAAATGTTGATTTGTTGAAATTGATTCAAGTTGGTTTAACGTTTTCTGATGAGAATGGGAATCTTCCTACTTGTGGGACGGATAAGTTCTGCATCTGGCAATTCAATTTCCGTGAGTTCAATATCGGTGAGGATATCTACGCCAGCGAGTCGATTGAGCTGTTGCGTCAGTGTGGGATTGATTTCAAGAAGAACATTGAGAAAGGTATTGATGTGGTTAGGTTTGGTGAGCTTATGATGTCGTCTGGGATTGTTTTGAACGATGCTATCTCGTGGGTTACGTTCCATGGAGGATATGATTTCGGGTATTTGGTTAAACTGTTGACTTGCAAGGAATTGCCTCTCAAGCAAGCTGATTTCTTCAAGCTACTGTATGTGTATTTCCCTACGGTTTACGATATCAAGCACTTGATGACGTTCTGCAACGGACTGTTTGGCGGATTGAACAGACTCGCTGAGCTTATGGGTGTGGAAAGAGTTGGGATTTGTCATCAAGCTGGGTCAGATAGCTTGCTCACCTTAGGCTCGTTTAGGAAGCTCAAGGAACGTTATTTCCCAGGATCAACTGAGAAATACACTGGAGTCTTGTATGGTCTAGGTGTGGAAGATGGTACTACTACTGTTGCTAATTAAGAAGAAAAGAAATGAAAGATATTTGAAAAATTCCAGGGAACTGCAATTAGATTTTTCTTTAGACTTTGTGAGTGTGAGACCAATTAGAATTGTCTTTGTGTAAATTGGCAAATTTGGTGTAGTAAGTGACTTGTTGTGTCTTTGTTGCTGTTGTTTTCAGGAAAACCCCTTCTGATCAAAACTGAGGGGTTTTTGTTTTAGCTTGAGTTTCTGAATGTATATCAATTCAGCTACCCGTTTATTTAATAAATAATCTCCAATTTTATATTTTCCTCTCTTTCTTTTTGGTGTGTGTTCTTACTAATGAGTAATGACCAATGTATAACTTGACAGTGTCTTCTTGTAGTAGCGTTTGCTTCTTCCAGCTTGCAGGTATTGTGTAATTCTTTGTAACCATATATCAGTCTGAGGATGCAAACGGGTAAGTTTTATGCTGAATCGAATGTTGAATCTTCTTCCTCTTTCCTTTGATACGGGTTGATAAGAAGAACAGTGGACTGCTTATGCTAAAAATTATCTGTTTATTCAGTAAAAAAGCTGGAAACTATGGTAATCGGTTGATGAATATATCTGTTCTTTTGGTGGTCGAGTTAATTTAGAGGAGAATCACATACGTATGTTGCATTTGCCAATCACCACAAGAGCCAAGAGCCAATTTATTATCATACTGTATAATGAGTAGCATTCTAAATGCAATAATGTTTGTTTGGCCAAGTATTCTTATTCCTATTCTAACGTCATCTGAGTCGCAAGTGGTACAGAAGATTACGAGATTTGACTGATTGAGACGTAGCTCATTCAATTGCCGAAGAATTTTTTTTTTTATCAGCATGTTGGAAGTATTATGTCAAATGTGGTTTTGTTTGGTATATGATTATGAACTCAGATTCCATCAAGATGAAAAAATATGATTCAATAGCTTCAATAGCAATATGACACGAGAAATAAAGTAAAAAGAAGAAAACAAAAGCAATACGGCAAATGTCCGAGTCACTATTATGTAAGTGTGGCAGAGAATCAAATCTACTAGTTATTACAGAAGAAACAGTACTTGTTAGTCCTGTCTTTAACGGCTTCTCTGAGTCTCTTCACGTGGCAACTTTTGTTTGTGTGTTGGGATTCTGATCTGGGCCTTCGTTGTGGGCTTTGGTCACTAGTCCTTGGAGGTGAGAGAACATTGACTTGTGTCAAATTCACTATTATCAAAATATGGATTACATTTTCAAAAATGTTCTTTACATCACCTAATTCATACACTATATCAGACTTGATTTGAGTCATTTAGTGTTATTGTCTTGTGTTTGCGATGTGTTGTTTTGTATTTCTTATCGTTGAAGAAATTTTGTTAAGCATAAACATATGTAAAATAAATACTAAAATGAGTGTTGAAACATTAATTGACGAAACCAAAAAGACATGCATGTTTTATCAATTTGCTTGAGATGAGACCAGCAAAATATCAGTGCCAACCCTAATTATAACGATTAAGAGTTATCAACTTAAAATATATCCTTGTGATTCCAAAAAAAAGCTGTCAAGCACCCACTTTATTTTATTAGTTTTTCTTTTGTTGATGTATACTTGATTGCGGAAAAAATGGTAACTAAGATTAGGGATATTTATATATTATTGTTCAAAAATGAAGAGTAAGGTTAAGATGTAGTTCTGGAATGTACTTTCTGCCTAATTTCGGACGAGACAGAGCAAATCTAATTAAAAAGATTCAGCTGATTTGTGATTATTACTGATAACACGAACAGTGTTTATATCTGTAATCATCCATGTGGGGGTGTTTCTCCTGCACCACTTGTCTCACTTCCCCTTTATCAATCATGTTTCTTGTTTTTAATGCTATTTTACAAGTCACAATAATAATTAATGACAGTCTTAAGTTATTCTAAAGTTCATATTAGTGTGCATAAAGACTACTAGTATTACATTAGAAAATATATTATGAAAGAACTAAAAAGTAGAAGACTAGGGAACAAATCATCAAACACTTCAGATTTTTCGGAAAAATATTTTAAGATACAAAATTTTGTAAGTCTCTTACATGTAATAGTCAATCAAATTTTTAATTATAATACTAACAATTGATTCACCGAATCAGCTTCACATATTTCTTTAATTTTGGATCGTTTGTAACATTGGACCCACGAATTATATATAGGTCGCATTCGACAAAATACTCAACATACTTAAACTAGTTGTCCTAACAATTAGTTCTTTGGATTTTACTTACCTATTTTTTTTAATTTCCGACTTCCACTACATATAATTTATGCTAAAGTTTGGGAGAAGTATAAATTATTATGTATCTAAAGATTCGTATCTCGAGCATAGATGAGACGCTTTGTCGTTTCACTTTGTTTTCCCACCCAAGAACAATTTTATTGGCCTTCGAATATTTCAAAAAACCAAACAATATTCATTTGATAATTATGGTCATGATAACCCGCTCTTGTCGCATTCGAATCCAAATATTACGAAACAAAGTACATGATAAATTTTAAATTATATAAATCCATTCAATTGGTATTTAAAATTATTGCAAACGATGTCACGAAATTAGAGTAGAAGTTGGCTCCTAGTCTAATTTTCAAGTTCGTCGATCGTGAACTCCGAAACATAATCACCTCAAGAAGACGAAGGAAGTGGTGGCGAAAGCTTATGCTTCTTTGGATCCGATAACTTCCTCAGATCTTTCTTAACTCTATTGTAGCCTTGTTTTTACTTTTTTTTTGCCAAGGTTACTCTTGCTTAGGTTTTATTTGGTGTAAAGTCTCAACTTTTATTTATGATATTTACATATTTAGCAAAAAAGAAATTAGAGTAGAAAAAAAAAAAGACTTTAACGCAACTCTCAAGCAGATTTGAAGTTTGAACAGCTGAGGTGGCTCCAGAAACCAAAGTGTTCATTTGTGAAAGAAGGGTGATATTAATCATGTCACTTAATTCATATGTTAATAAAACTCAAGTGGATCAGATATAATGATGAAACGAATCTCTATGATTAGTAGAAACAAACTCAAGTAATCATGGTTTTAACACAGAATGTGACACGTTGCTAAGGTCTTCTAGTCCTAGAGTGGGTACAAGTTTTTTTTTTTTTTATGAAGAATCATATAAAAAGTGGCAATCACTGTGAAGTAGAATGAGTTTTGTATTCGAAAGGATTCCTATGGATATAAAGAGGAAGAGGAGAGTGAACATGAAGCAAACTTTAAAAGGAAGAAGTGAAAAGAGGACAAAAGAGAGTTAAACAGTAGAAAGCTAAAAGGAAACAGAGATGGCCACTTTCATCTCCCAGTTTCAAAAGTACACAGAAACATCAAACATACCTGAATAATTTCACTTGGTCCACTCTCTCCTTCTCTCTCTCTCTCTCTCTTGTCATTTGAGCATCCTTTTCAATTTCATTGTCACTTGTTGTCATCTTCATACACTCCGTGAATATTACAACAAGTTGTCGTTTCATCCAAACAAATAAAACCGGTCCCAGTTTCAGAAGATCTTTTGAACTGCCAAGCTTTCTTTTGTCTTGTTCCCCCCTCCAACTCCTTTTTTCCTCATACAAAAGTTTAGAACTAGTGAATACTACTGTACATATTCAATGTAAGATTGGTTAGGTTGGGCTAAGGAGGGTTTAGTCATTTCCTTACCCACATATCCGCGGCTGCATACGCTATACCATAAGAAGACGAGTTGGGGCCTATTAGAATCTGTCCACAGAAAAACAACGCATCTATCAATCAGAGCTGGATTTAGCAAAATATCAAGCATAGTTCTGAATAAAAAAGTTCATGAACTCACCAGGACCAAATATAACTCATTTGAAAGGCTTTCTTGAATTAAGGCCAAGTCTATACATGTTATTGGCATCAACCTGGGTATAAGAAAAAGAAAATGACATGTATACTCGTTGTTGAAGAACTTTTAAGCATATAAAGGCAATAGACTGAGAGAACAGAAAAAAGGAAGTTATTAAAATTAAGCATGATAGAGAATAGAGATTGGTTTATTGAAGGAGAAAGCAGCCCAAAAAAAGGTTGATGTGAAGTGAAAGTTGCTCCTACAAAGGGATAAACACAAGTATTAATTGGTGGAGTTCCAATCAGCTTCAAGTGTTTTGTTGTGTCTTTGTGTGTGTGTGTTGTGTGTCAGCAAACAAGACCTACCCATCTCTCTTTCTCTATCTCTCTCATCTTCTTACTACTTTTCTCCACTTATTACAAAACTCAAAAGCATTTGTAGTGACTCTATTCTTTCCTTATATAGCATCAACTTCTGCTCCCACTTCTGAGAAAAAAACTAAATTTTTATGCTTCTCTTTTTCTTAGGCTATATAGCTATTAATCCAGAAGGTGAGAGCGAAAGAGACAATTGAAGGGAACAAAACCATCACCTGGAAAATTATATACCCTCTTTGCCCCTCATGGATTCTTCCAGCGGAAAGCCAAGATCATCTGATTCCTCATGCATCGTTTCTGCATCCACCACTCTTCCATTTCCAGATTCCCCAAAGCTGAGCCTAAAAAATTACAACAGAGACGCAGAAGCGGCACAAGAAGAAGATGATCATGACCAAACAGAAGGAGAGGAAGGTGTAAGGCTTGAACTTATGCTAGCAGGATATGATTCTAGTCAACCACAGCTCAATCAAGAACTCAATCTCCTCAACTGCTTAGAGGCAGGTGTAGTCACTCCAAGGTTTAACGGGTCAAGTTCCACTGAACAGAAGCTCTTCTCATGCAACTACTGTCAAAGAACATTCTACAGCTCACAGGCGCTTGGTGGTCACCAAAACGCCCACAAAAGAGAAAGGACTTTGGCAAAGCGAGGGCAACGGATGGCATCTGCCGCAGCTTTCGGGCATCCATATGGTTTTGCTCCAGTCCCGTTCCATGGGCAGTACAGCAACAGATCCTTGGGTATTCAGGCGCACTCAATGAGTCACAAGCTAAGTTCATATAACGTTTTTGGTGGTGAGTATGGTCAGATCAATTGGTCAAGGATACCACTAGTTCAGCAACCAGCCATAGGAAAACTAACTTCAACAGAGAATCATTATAATCATCATCAGATGATGATTGCTCCACCGTTGACTTCCACATGTGAAAACATCGGTAGGTTCGATGTTGGAAGGATTCCAGTAGATTTCCCAACTTCCGAACTATGGCAGAGAGGCGAGGAATTGTTGAAGCCAGCTGAAGAAGAGCAGCAGAAGAACCTTGACTTGTCCCTTAAACTCTGAAATTCTTTTCTTTTCATTTTTTTGGGTTTTGCTCTGAAATTGTTTTCCTTGAGCCAAGTCTCTCCTCGAGCTTTCTTTTCTTTGTGCTGGTTTTTCGTTGTCATTGATGTCTACACCAGTATTATTCAAGGGTTAGTAATCTTGTGAGTATATTTTCTACCATAGATTTATGATGTACATCTTTCCATATTTCTACAAGTTTGAGTTAATCAACTAGACATCAATGGATTTCTTATAGACAGCCAACAACCATAGAAGAGTGAGTGAAGTTCCTAGAAACGAAGAGAAACTTTTTTAGTGTATGAAAGAAAGAGATTATCTTAAGATCTAAGGGAAGATTTGTTGTCATGGAAACCAGAAAAAGACTTATTATAAAGTCAGAGTTGTGATACCTAAAAGTAAGAAAAACATTCTTTTATTGAAAAGTGGTTAACAAGACACACAAGAAAGCAAAAACAAATATAAAATAAGAACTTGTTAGTTGTGATGATGACAAGAAGCAAAGAGTCCAGAAGAACAAACATAATTAATACAACAGATGATCCTAATAATGCAGCTAATAACAAATCATGAAATAATCAAGAATCCAATGAAATCTTTGTGAGACCCCAAAATATGTGTACACTAGACAAAGAGTGACTAATCTTTGGCCTTTAGGATGAATCTATACGCACTACCTAGATATACATAAATAGAATGTACAAATAACCATGTGCGTATGATGCACAAAAGGTGGGACAAGAGTCAAGACTGACTATGAGACTAAAACACAAATTTCAAAGGACTTCATATAATTCTAATGGACTGACTCCAACTTCTCTACACATCTTGAGATGACACATTTCAAATGAAGAAAACATCAAACTGAGGATCTTTTCATGAGCTTTCACACAGAACGAGGTTTCAGTATTTCAGAAACTTAAGAAAACAAATGATTGCTGAACAGGTTTATGAATAACTAGCAAGCAATGGAGGCAAGTTAGGGGAACCAGACGATCCTCTCAATAAGTAGCATACACGAGATTATGGCCAACCTGAATATACCACTCTAACACAAAAGGACAACATAGAAGCCAAAATAACTTACAAATATCAAAATTGGACACAGTTACACTGAACACCAAAGGTTGGACAATAACAAATGTTGGCATATGAATCTGAAATACTAAAGATTATCAAACTCTTCACCTAGAACCAAATAGAAGTATGTACACTTTCTTCCCAATAAACATTTAAGGCACAAGACAGATCATCATGTTTGTTTTCAGATACAAAATTGGCCACAAGCAACAAAAAAAAGAATGAAAACACACCTTAATGAATAAAACAAAGAAGAAAGAAACACCAAGGCAGACAATAACACATGTGGAATAAAAATCTAATGGAACCAAACCTCATTGAATAACTCTTGGGTCCATTTTCATCTACTTGTATGTATACCACAAATCTGACCCCTACAATACTCTTCAATCTCAGTCACACTTTCCTGAAACACATATAGCAAGAAAAAGATATTTGATGGATCATTATCTGGTTGCTACCAAATGCCATCCACATGTCAGCTGATTAATCGAATAATCATTGCAAGTGAAAATGTATCCTTTATCAAGCACTGTCTTTTCCAGTGTTCTCTCATTTGCAATTCACACAATTGGTAAACGATACGAATAGTTAAGGCTAAATAAAATAAGGTTAAATCATTGCTGGGAGATTTAAGCATTTTGATAATCCGATCAATCCTAATTCCTACGGCAAACACTTATGAAGATGAACCAACAAATCACTTGAATTCGTTATTGTTGGCACAGTCAGTAATCTCAATGAAATTAAGAAAAGACATTGGACTTATCACCAGAGAGCAGACATTATAAAAGAAACTCCCACCTTGAATAAACGCAGAAGACCGAGCAATACCGGAGTTTCGCCGGAGCTGACGTGAGGACTCCGAGCTTTCGAACATGACATGGTCAACGACAAGGTAATCTATAATTTTAAAAGGCCCAATAACATGCCCATAAAATAGGCTTCTCGATGTCTCTACCTGTTTGTTACCAATGTTACGAAGCCCATAATGACATCGAGAAGCCTATTAAATTCAAAAAGAGACGATACTTTGGAAATTTTCCGGCAACATCTTAAAAGTTTATTCCAAATGAATTTTATCCAACGAAAACCATCGTTCATAAACATTATCCAAGCAAATTCATAAACATCAACGTGTCAAAGTTGTCATCTTTTTTTCTGGGTTACGGGCTAAATCAAACCAGTGACTCATCGATAAAGAAAGGAAAGATTTTATCATTGCTATTGCTTAAAAAGGAGCTGTAAGTTGAACAATTAACAACACCATGTACTTGGTAAAAATAAAAGAGTAAAAGGAAGGAAGAATCCCAAACACACTAATACATCAACGTAAAAATCTAAATCGAATTAGGTAAAAAAGCTTAAGCACGTTCTCCACGAATTCTTCTAGCCAATTGAATGTCCTTAGGCATGATCGTAACCCTTTTGGCGTGAATAGCGCAAAGATTGGTATCCTCGAAAAGTCCAACAAGGTATGCCTCAGCCGCCTCTTGTAGAGCTAACACCGCGTGACTCTGAAACCTCAGATCCGTCTGCAAATTCCAAATTCACAAATTAGTAAACCTAATTCCACAATATCATCTCAATCCGCCGCTAATCTATCTAGGATTAAGTTTATGAGAATTAATTTTACCTTGAAGTCCTGAGCGATTTCACGAACGAGACGCTGGAAGGGAAGCTTGCGGATCAACAATTCAGTACTCTTCTGGTACTTACGAATCTCACGAAGTGCGACGGTTCCGGGACGGTAACGGTGAGGCTTCTTGACTCCTCCGGTGGTCGGTGCAGATTTCCTCGCCGCCTGTATTTAAGGAATTCGTTAGAGACGCAATCAAATATTCAAGCTTAGATATAAAACCTAGATCCCCTTTCAACCAATTTCATCAGAAACAAAATCAAAACCACAAGAATCAACCTAAATTAGATCATAAAGCTCAAAATTCAACTAAATTTAGCAAAACCTAGATCATATTTTACTGATTTCGCCCACAAAAACTCGTAATTCAACGCAAATTTGAACCCTAGATCTACTTTTTTGCGTACAATACGAGAGATAAAAGAACAAACCTTGGTGGCGAGTTGCTTCCTGGGAGCTTTACCTCCGGTGGATTTCCTAGCGGTTTGCTTCGTACGAGCCATTGTCTTCTCAAAGATGTGACTTTTCAAAAAGCTTGAGAGGATTTGATTATAAAAAAGCGAGTTTTGTTTTCTTGATGATTGTGGGGAATAGTAAAAGGTGATTATGAATATATAGGTGAATGTTTAGTCGGTTAATATTAGGAAAGACAGAAGTGGTCCAATCTGAACATTTTCGACGGTCAAGATTCGACTGATGAGAGAGAATACTGACGCTGGCGATCCGCGCCTTCGCTTCTGATTGGTTAGTTATTGTGAGGATCGGTGACGTGTACATTTTGTGTTTCTTTTCTACGTTTGAAGTAATCACGATTTTAGTTGGGTTAAATAAAAAGGTTATGACGATTTGATCTACTTGTTTGGTAATTAGTATTGATGGGCCGAGTCGTATCTCTTGGTAAGGAGTGTACCGTTCAGGCCCAACTGATAATGCATTGATCGATCCGAACCAAGTTTGGTCCGACCGCTCCGATCTGACGTTGATCGGAGTTAACATTCCCATTCCATTCCAACCAAGTAATAATGTGTACATTGAACGACTTCAGAACATTAGATTACATTCCCATACTACAGGGAAGACAATACATAATCTCGATTTAAACTTTATCGTATTGTATAAGTTACGACGAAACCTTTGTGTTATAAGAGATGTCTAAAGACTGTTGCTTAAATAAATCCAAAGTCTAAACCAAAGATTGCATGTTCCGCGCACTACACTCGTGTGTCTTGATCACATTTAACGTAGAGTTCTTAGAATAAGTCTTTCCTTTATCTTATCAAATAAACACAAAATTACAAGTTAGAGTTTAATTTGTCCCTAATAGGCTTTAATAAAGTGAATTGACAATTTTTTAACAGAACATATGTTTTTGCGTTCTATTTGTATGATAATCTTTTCAGAAGGTTTCTTTTAAAAAGAAATGAGTGGATAGTTAACGAATTCACTATACAAAAGTTATACATAAAAAGCTATATTTAATACCAAACATTATTCAAGTAACAAGTTTATCCCTTCTGGCTTCTGCTTATGGCCAATCAAGCCTAACTTTATTTGCGTCAAAATACAATTTTAATAACGATATACGTGTTCTAAAAAAAGAAAATAACTTTGTCTATCTCTCTGATGAAATGTAATTAGGTAACCAAGTTTTTCTCTTTTCCTTTGTATAGACCCGTTATCTGTTTAGTTTTTGGATATTGTTGGTTCAACAAATGAAATTACACAAACGATAGTAATCGATGAGATATTTGATCAACCATCATTAAAGTTAGAAGTGGTTGATCCCAATTAAAACTAGTAGTATATATATACCAAAACATATCATTTAATGAATTCACATGGAACAATAATACTGTAATAGCTGCAACATCATTAACTGAGATATGCTTAAGAAGATCAAATTAATTAAACGAGAAGAACCAAACAAGTAATGGTTAGTAGTAAATAGAAAGTAACCCAAGGGGAATGTATCCAAAGTTCCATAACATGCACTTGGACCCAAGTTTATTTATTTGAATACATATATTTATAATATCTGCATTTAATTCATCTTTCCTTTGGTATATTTAACTTGATTGCAATATAATAACTTGATCTCAATTGATACTATTAAAATTTGAAAATATATTATAAGCAAATCACGTCACATGCATAATATGTGATATGTAGGATCGATGGATAAGAGCTCGAGGTTTGGATTATTGATCAACCATTGTATTTTGATATTGGTCTGGATCACTCCCGCACTTTATGTTATACTGTAATATATTCTGGGGGCTATATAATTGACAACATTTTTTCCCTTGAAAATGTACGATTTAACTGATAATGTGAGAGACAATCAGATTCAAGTTTATTGAGAGACAATCAGAATCAAGTTTACATTTGCTCCAAATATTAAACGAGAAATATTTTGGGTTCTTGTTGGAGATGAGACGTAAGCGCACATGGTGGCTTGGCCACTTGGACACATTCGTAAACTACAAAAACTAGTGTTTTGGTACGCCGCATTACATTATTGTTCGTTTCTTATAAAATACTTACTTATCTATAGAAAATAAATTAAATTGATTTGCCTCTGGTGACATAATCTTTACAACAGAAATTTATGTTTTGATTATAGTATACAATTAAAATTACATTTGTTTAAGTACATTTCCTCCCTTTTCCTGCTACGCATGCATGTGGTGGGTTTCATTTATTTCTATTAATTATTAACCAAGAACTTCACACTTCCGTGCGCTGAAATTATAGACTAATCTTCTGAAGACATTATTTTTCTCGAACATTTTTTTATTGTTTAGTTTGAAGATTTGAAAGCTTTGACCCTAGAGCGGCGGTTGAAGCCACGCCTTTGCATGTAACTTAGAACACTTTTTAACATCTTAAAACATTTATATTTTTAAACTGGATTGTATATATAAATATAATTATCTGCTATCTTTTGCTCGATGATATAATGGCAGGCTTGCCGCTTACATGCAGATGCAGTTCCAATTATGGAATCGTTTAGGGGCTTTAAATTTGACGTCGCCTCCTATAAGCCAAAGATTTTGCTGCTCAAGATGAGAGATCAGGAATAGAAATTTGCACATTTCTTTTACCAAAAAAAGTTGCACATTTTGGTTGGAGAAATAGCTACATATTGTAAAGACATAAAGACTTTGATTATACATCAAACAAGGTGGTGAATATAAAGAGAGAAATGACTCACTGTGTCTCTAAATCCCAAGGTGGTGTTTTAAAGTCTTTCCAAAGACTGGTCTTCTTGTCCAACACTCTTTTCTTTTGTTTACATCACCACATGCTCTTATTTCCCTACCACATACTACAAATTACTTCTCTTTTTTTTTTTTAATACGTGACACTTTCTAACCACGCTTATTGGTTTACTACATTACTAATCATTGACAATTTCATTCAATTATTAATACTAAGCAATTCTTTGTCTCTAATGACTGCCACTTTATCATGTTTTTCCATGATAGTCTCTCATTAGCATATTTATTAAAAACTTAGCTAGGAGCCTAGGATTTATATAAACGAATAATCAACCACTAAAATTCACATGTCGAATCCATCATAAATCAGACATATCCAATGCATCAAGAAGAAAAAAACATACAAGATCTTTAATGTTTCCTCCTCTTCAGAATCGTATCTAATATCTCTGCTAACATAATAATTAAAACTAATCTCCCGAATAATTAATCTAATCCATAATTACACACACTAGCTAATCCTGTTTCATCCGACGCAAGAAGCCAAAAGTAAGAACCAATATGGCAATCTAGTAATTATCTTGAAATCCTAAGGGCATTATGTTACTCTCTTTACTATATAAACCCCGTCCCTCCCAAAAACTCTCAAATCTCTCTACCTCACATTTTCTCTGTTTCTCAAACTTTCTCGTCTAAGAAAATACCTCACATTCGCTAAAGCTTGAGTAATCGGAAAAAAATGGCTGGAGGTATCGGAAAATGTAGCAAGATCCGGCACATTGTGAAGCTGAGGCAAATGCTCCGGCAATGGCGGAACAAGGCGCGAATGTCTTCTGTCAGACGATCTGTGCCGTCGGATGTGCCGTCAGGACACGTGGCGGTCTACGTTGGGAGCAGTTGCAGGAGATTTGTGGTGCGCGCGACGTATCTGAACCATCCAATCCTGATGAATCTCTTGGTTAAGGCTGAAGAGGAGTTCGGTTTTGCTAACCAGGGACCGTTGGTTATCCCATGTGAAGAATCGGTTTTTGAGGAATCGATTCGGTTTATAACTCGGTCAAGTCGGTTTACTTGTATCGATGATTTAAAGAAGAACTGCCACGATGGTATTAGAAGCAAGCTGGATCTTTTGATGGAATCTCGGCCATTGCTTCACGGCGTCTCTGAGAAGGCTATCATTTGGTGACCAGAAAGAAAATCGTCATTCAATTCTGACCCGGTTTGGCTCGGTACGAGTTTACTCGTAATTGCAGAGTTTTGAATAATCGGCTGATTCAATCGGGTTCGGGTTAGTAATACAAGTGAAAGTTGGGGGATACGCAGGAGATGGCCGTGAAAGGTGGGATGATTCGTTCCACCTGAGTCGTCCCGGGTTTGAATCCGAGTTCAGGCAAAAAATGTGATTTAGTTTTGGTGACTGGTTCGACAATTTCCATTAAATTTATTTATTTGTTGTTTTTTACTTTTTACTCTCATTAAATTTATTTATTTATTTTTGTTTCATTTGGATCAAATTTATTTTTTAATTGACCAGAATTGTAACCTAGCATTCGTGCTATCATTGTGTCATCCATGAATACAAAAAAATTAGATTTATTTCGGATAGATATATCTTCATCATCACTACACACAAATCTTTGTATACATTTATGTTTGTCGTTGCCATCCAAAAATTCGACAAAGAATGTAGTCTACTGGTTTGTGGTAGTCCAGGGATATGATTTGTTTTGGACTTAAATATCTAGACCTGAACTCTAATTTTTGCAGGTTGAGCAACAACTAGAATTGAGGATTTATGAGGATTAACTAATTCGGCCTATAGACAATCCAGCCCAAGGAAAACTCGTGTCATCTGAAAATCATCTCAGGAAATGAAAACTGGACTACAAATATGGACTGGGCCAAGATATGCCGGCCCATCTTCGATGTGAACTATTCAGAAGGAAAGAAACATGACAAATAAAATTGTCGAGAAATTAAGTCCGTAGATTATGTCGATCTGGAATTGTCTGCGTATCAAAAAAAGCGCATAAAAATCAGTAAACATGTCCTAAGTTTACATTCTGTGCAACTTGTAGTTTATAGTTACAAACGAATGATGCAATAAGTAGTTAGTAACGTAAATTCGCAATCAGGGGGGGGCAAAATTAGAGGCAAAAAGAGAAAGAATAGGGAGACAGTGGGACCCACTGTTCACATGTTACAATGGCACTTTGTCGGAAAACATGAAATATTTCCCAAAAGGTGCTCTCTCTCTTTTCCCTATCTTAAGCCTCACCTCACGGCTCACGCCACACTTCAGATGATGAAACGCATATTTCACTATTTCTCCCTTAACTTTTTATTTTAATCCAATTACACCCCATCTTTATTAAATTTGCATTATTTGCCATTTATTTACACTCTTACATCCTACAGAGATGGCAGAAATCTCTGTTTATTATTATTTCCCTAACGTTACAGAAGTATACATCTCATTATTAGTGGAACCGTTATAAAGTATTTAAAAGGGACCACCAAAAAAGAAAGAAAATAATAATAGGACCAAAGTCTAATAATAGTCTAAAGATCGTACTAAATCCAAAGCTTAATAAGGACTTATTATCCAAAGCCACCGAGTCAACATTTGACAACTAATCTTCTCAACTAATACAACAAGACACCGCCATCAAATACCAACCATTTCTTACATATTGTACTCGAATTTCTTTTTAACTAACGATAGAATCATACTAAAATTAGTCATAAGAGAAATAACGAAAATTGAATTCCTTAAAAAAATTTACTCCAATACTTTTATATCTTCTCGTCCGTGATTTCAGAGGGAAAATTAATGTAAAAAAAAAAACATATTAAAAAAAAAATTTGACCGAAAACAGTAACTTTCCTTTTCCCTCGAAAAAGAATATTTTCACTTAATCCAAGCGTAAACCAGTAATGAGAATCCAAGACCATTGCCGGAACCAGAACCAGAAGATCCTCCTCCGCCGTACTCCGCCTCATCAGCACTACTAGCCCACTCCATAACCGATGAGCTACAAGCGGAAGAAGCCGAAGACATCGAAATCGACGACGATGACGAACTTCTCTTACTCTTAACAAATCTCTTCCTCATCTTCCTCCATTCAACAATCCCTTTAATCCCAAAACTATTTCCACACTGCTTCGGCTTCCATAAAACGATACCGTTTCGGTTTTTCTCATCTTCTTCTTCTTTCCTCTTTGTTTCACAAACCTCCTCTGCTTCTGGATCACTCTCGAATCGAAACATAAAAACAGCGTGTCCTCCTCCTCCTCCGTCACCGGAGTTTTTACTCTGAAACAACCAATTATACACATCCCAAGAGATCTGAACATGAACACCATCTATTTCAACTTTCTCATTTCCTCTAAATTTCCATCGAAGTCTCTTGATCTGCAACACTTGTTTCGAATCAACGCTAAAACAGAGCTTGGCGTCTTCATCAACACGACAATCAATAGAAATCTCTCTGTTCTTCCCTCCAAATCTCGCTTTCGTTGTGAAAACCCTAGCTCCAAACACATGCTCTTTCCTCAACAGAAGAGCTTGTGGATTCGTCGGATGTTTCGCCGATTTAGCACGAGCGTAAGCTTCTTTGGCTGAATCTCCGACTAATAGTCCCATCTCTCCGTCAACAACTACAGCGATGTAGAATCCGGATCTAGGTTCGGATCCAGAGTCGAATTTGGCTTTGGTTAAGTCCCAGAAGACTTGGATTTTAGGAGAAACGAATCTGGATCCACGTTTTTTCCAGAAAGCTAATGTGTTTAAGTTGAGATGGAAAGAGACGGCGGAGGAGAGGGAGAGATCGGCGGAGGAGAAAGAGAGTGGTGAAGAGTGGTTGTAGTAATCTTGTGAGTGGAGGAAGAGATTCACAGAGTGGCCTCCTAAGAAAGTTCGAGACCATGTTAGATAGAAGACGCCGTGATCTGTTTGGTAGAGGCAAGTAGTGAGATTCGGATCACCGGATGATAGAGGAGACGGTGATTGCGACGGAGGTGGCGGCGGAGGATGATTTTGATCGGCGGTAGGACGGAGCCAAGAAGGAGACATTTTTGTGTTTCCTTTTTTTTTCTCAAGTTTGGAAGAAGAAGAAGAAAGAAAGAATTAAAGAGAGAGATTTTCGGGAGTTTGTGTTTGGGAGGTTTTTTTTTTGTTTCCTTTTTTTTGTTTAAGAGGGATTTGTATTTATATAAAAAGATTGTTAAATTTCAGAAAATGGAAAGGTTATAATATAATGTTTGGCTCGAATCATACGTAAAACAAGAATGTGGATGAGGATTGATAGAGACATAAGATTATAATTATACGAATATTGAGCTGTTAAAAAAAAAAAATTATACGAATATTGAACTTGTGAGCTTGCAACTTGTAAACTTGGGCATGAATAACTGACTTTTTCAACTTGACTTTCTTATATATATATATGGAGGATGAATTTAAACAAGAACTATTCACATTTAAATTATAATAATTTAGTTGAATATTAGGAGATATTATAAGGGTTAACAGTAAAAAGGCGTTATTAACTGTTCGACTATGAGGAACACGTTATGATAACAGCCTGCACACTTGAAGGTTTTATTGGAGAACATAATCAATTGGTAGAAGTTGGGTCAATTATTACATTATATAATGTAGAATTAATACACACCCATTTATCGTTTTAACTTTTAACATACCCATTTATATATAGTCTGCATGTAAGATATAATAATTTCATTTATAGTAACACACACCAACTAGTTGTTATTTTAACGCCTAACTAGATCATCACCCGTACTACAGTACGGGTTGAATTTCATTTATTACAAAATTTATAAATTTTATGTTTTAGAATAAAGTTGTGATATATCATATATTATAATAGTAAGTGAAAAAATAATATTTTTTGTCAGTCCCTATATAATATTAGAATGAGTATATTTTCTTTTTTCTATAGTATTCAATTATGGATATTTTTTTTAAGATATGAAAACGGAAAATAAGATTATTTTAAAAAAAAATTAATATTGTTTGAACAATGAGTTAATTTATGTTAACACCCACAAAATGAGAATGCATATAATTTAGTTAGATCAAAAATCAAAATATCATAAATGAATCGCATCTAAAACGTAGATTATTTTGAATTACTTAAGAAAATTAGCTATTATTTTGAATTAATTTAGGAAATTATTTTTTCAAATTCTGATTCATTGGTTGTTGAAATAGAAATTTGTTTGAGCTAATTACGGAATTTACCAATTATTCACATAATCAAATATGTTATGAACATATATTTGGTATATAATAATACCAAATTCAATTCGTGTGTGGAGTCTATATTTTCATTTTACAATCCCTATGAAAATATTGCGGCACAATCTATTATTTATTATTTTCAAAATTGCTTGCAGAATCAAATTTTCAAATATTTAGAAGTGTCAAACCTTAGTTAACTCATCTCATCATAAAATCTTAAAATGCCGTTTGTTATAAGAATCATAACTTTCTACCATATAATACATTACATTTAATCCGCCGCCTACTATAAATATTTTAAACATATCTTTTTAGAAAACCAAATTAATGTATTTATAATATTTTTTTTATCTTTTTAATCTATTAAATATTATGATATTCTTTAATATATTAAATTAAACTTTTTAAAAATGTTCCAAATTAAAATCTTTAAAAAAATTTATTGTAGTATGTAAAATTATGAATTTAAAAAAAATGATATGAAATTAAATATAAATATTCAAATAGTTATAAGGATCATAACTCATTTCATCATATAATATATTATATTCAACCCGCCGCCTATTATAAATATTTGTTTCAAAAAATCAAATTAGAGTATTTATACTTCATAAATTTTTGATCTATTAAGTATTGATGATATTAAAAAAAAGAAATATATTACTCAAATATGAATTTTTGACCCGTTAAATTTGTTCTTTCATACATTGAATAATTTATATTCGTTTTAAAAAATTCAAATCTTGGTATATGCGGAAAAAAATTTACTTTTTTTTTTTAATTATATAAATGATATAATGATTTATTTATTTATAGAAATAGAATTATATAAAAATGAGAGGTGAAGTATAATGATTAATAACAAATTAATATGGTAAGTTAGATATCAAATCTTATATGTTCATTTTGATTGGTCATTCTTTTTAAATAAATTAATCATAGATTTTCGTTTTTAGAATTAAATTAAATTAATTAAATTGCATAAAATAGTATTTGACTTGTTTATCCTTAATGAGTTGAATTAATTTACTCTATAAAATTTTATTTCTAATGGCATTCTCATGTAATTTTTTACAAAAGAGAAGGTTAGTTAAGGGTTTCTTATAAAGTGTACTCCCCAAATAATAGTATAGGATGGACAGTTAAAATAACAGAAATACTATAATTAGTGTGACAATTATAATCTGATACCATAATTAGTGTGACAATTAAAAATGTATCCCTTGTGCTGCCTGAAAAAAAGACAAATAATTGGTTCGGTCGAATTAATATCATTTTAACTTGTGAAAACATCGTTTTCGGTTTATTTAATTATGTTTTCATAAGCTATATTTTTATTGATTTTCTTGAGTTATTCGGATACGTTGGCAGACAGCTAAAAGGAGGTGGATAAGTACTTATTGAATCATATCCGTATTATTAATTAATTTGATATTTGGTTAGATCTGTATTTTCTTATGCTATGAAACAAGATGTGTTTTGAAACTTTAGGTTCCAGAAATTAAAACTGTATAAGACAGCTAAACGTCTTTACATTGTAATTAGCTACGTGTATAACAACCCATTATAAGCCATGGTTTATACACCAAACATTTAACTAATTATTCGAACCTGTATTATATGATAAAATATTTATAAAAAAATTGAAAATTTTGGGTTAAGAAAACAATTTTATCAACTATTTTTTTTGTCTTTTTGGTGAATTCAATTTTATTAACTAAATTGTGAATCCAGTTGATATTTATCGTTTCATTGAGACTAAAATATTGCTTTGACGGTAAAAAAAAGAAGACAGTAAATATTTTTCTTTCCCTATCTAAAATTAGCATAATTTTCAACTTATAAAATCTGTATTAAAAAATAACACTTCAGTTAACTAATCTGAAAATAATTTACTAATACAATATTCTCGGTAATAAGTTGGTATAGCTCATGTACAAGATTGAATTTACCAGCCTGAATAATGGAGTACAATTAGTTTCACGTGATATCACTCCTAAAAGAGTGAGTCTTTGTTGTCTCATCCCATAATATTTGGATCATATCCACATGTTTTTTTATTGTACAAGTGAGATCTTTGATACTCACTAGCAATAAACAATTTAATGTAATAATTACGCTCAACTTGTAGCTAGTAAGATTGTTTTGCTTCAAAATTACTCTGTCCCCTATCTTTTCAAAGGCTAGGACGATCTATTTTTGTGAAATAAGCTTAAAAACTTTGTTTCAGTTATTGACAAAAACTCGTACTTCCGAACATAGTTTGAATACATTTAAAAGTAATAAACAGAAACTTAATTTGAAGAGATGGTGATGAAGATAGTATATTTGATTTTGTTTAATGAAATTTATAAAAACAAACGAATTTGAGAGCAATGGTTGACTGAATTTTCTCATGTAGAAGACTAAGACCAGGTCAGTTTGAAACGACAACACGCTTTTGATTCAACATAATAACCCCTCCTCTCGAGTCTCGTCGACCTTCATTTTCTTATACTGTCTGTCCACTTCTTAGATTCTCTTTTCAACTTTTTCAAATACCTTTCTTTTCTTTTATCACACCTACTTCATTAATATCTCTTGACTAAACGACAGGTTTTTCTCTTTCTTTATTTATTTATTATAATTGATTTGGTGAAACTGTGTGTATGATTGGTAATCTTCTACCAGAATGACAATAATTTGGCTTTTCACAAAAATCCTAATAAAAAGATGACCAAATTTTGGTTTTTTTTTGTTTATCAAAAAAAAAAAAAATGACCAAAAGTAGAAATAGGCTGTGTAAAAGAAAAAACACAAAAAACAGAGAGTAGGGATAATTATATTCTCGGCTGAGTTCTGGACGTTATGGTGGGTCGACCTCTTGTCCTTCTCTTTGCTTGGCGTAACCAGTTTTTAGTCCGTAGGTGGCTTTGGCTGGGTCTACGAAGGTCCGTGTGTAAGGATAAGTGGTTCTAATTGGCGTTTCCACTCTCGGATCTCAAGGTTTCTCCTTGATCCTTTGCCTTCTCACTTTCATTGGCTCTATAGTGGTTGTGGAGGTTTGGTTCTGTGTTCTGTTCTTCTTGCCTCGTCGTCTTCGTTTCTGCTGTGGAGATGGTTGTGTGAGCTCGGTTCTTTTCGAGGCTCCTGTATGTTACCTCTCCTCAGCGCCAAACTGTTCTATGGAAGTGCTAGTCGACTGCTTGTAGGGAAGAGTTTTCAGTGTTGATGCTTTGGAGGCTTTAGCTATTATTCCTTTAGTAGTTATCTTTGTATCTTATGTTCTTAGGCTTGTTATGTTTGTCCGCCTCTTTTGGCCTTACGTTTCTGGGGGTTTCTATGTACCCGCCGGCTTTGTCTCCGAAAGGATTTCGTTCCTTGTCGGCTTTGTATAACTCAATCGCATTCTATCAATGAAATCCTTTAGACGAAAAAAAAAAAAAAAGGGATAATTATATTCTACAAGCTACTGCTAAAGATTTAATTATTTTTTCATAACATCTGATTTCATAGCTGTTTTACTTTGTTTTCAACTGGTCGTGGCTGTTTAAGTGTCACAGAAATATTGATTTATATATCTATTAGTTAATCATCAGATCCTAGAACCTTGTGAATGGACAAATAAATTGTGAAGATAATTATAAAGACACAAAATATATGTTAATACAAACAATGATGTGATTAAAGACCATTGTTCCATGTGGGTTTTTTCACTAACTCGTGAATAACTTATATTTGTATTTCAGAGAAGTGTATATTATATATAAATATATGGTTAAATAATGAATTCATCGGCGGAATATTAGCTGCCACGAAGTAATTGAGATCTCGGAGATCATTATTTTAATAAAATAGCAGGTTCATGTCTCGAAGATCATTATTTTAATAAAATAATATAAATACGTAAATGTAAAATAATATGATTCGGACCGAGTTCTTTGGTCTGGGTTTGACTATACCGTTTTTTTATTTGCAACCAATTCAATTAAGTTTGGTTTATTACGGTTCGGTTTCGAAAGCATTTAGAAATTAAAAGCCCTAATTTTCATCGTTCTCTCTTCTTCTCCGACGGCTCAATAATACCTTCTCCTCTGGTCGACGACTCCAAAATCGCCGGTTATAGTTTCTTCTCCGACGTCTTCTATTTCGTCACTCTCCGTGTTATTTAAAAGTATGTTTACGTTGAGCTTGATTCTCTGTTACGATGTCTTACCTCGTGGAGACTTCACCTAGATTAATCGGGGCATATCGAGCTTGTTGTGATGTTTTAGGTAGTAGAATCGAGCTTAGATACATCAAATTTGAGTCTAGACTCGTGTTTTAGGTAGAAAAGAATGAGTTTTGTTTTTTGTTATATACATTAGCTTGAACCCTTGCTAAAACACAGTTAAGAACTTGTTGGTTTTATGTTAAATGGTCTTGGTTTTTTAATTGAACTCTTTTACATGATTTCTCTTAGAGAAAGATAAGGTGTGGCTGCAATGTCTGAAGCAGAAAAGAAATTGCCTTTCATACCAGAGGAATGGTCGAATGCAGCAAGTTCTGTCTCCACCAGTTCGTTGCAACCGGTAATAGCTTTGGTCTGTGGCCCTAAAAACAGTGGCAAAAGCACATTTTCACGCAATCTTGTTGAAGTTCTTCTCCAAAGGTTATTATTGCTTCTCTTCAGCCTCTCTTTATTGTTCCGAGTCTCTTAACTAGTGTTCGAATGAAAATCGAGTATCATTATTCAAAAAGTATTGAAGTTTTGCTGAAAATTGACCTTTGTGGTTCTTACAGATACAAAAGGGTTGCTTATTTGGACACTGATGTTGGCCAGCCTGAATTTACTGCACCTGGTTTCCTTTCTCTCACAGTTGTTGATAAATCAATTCTAGGTAATCCTCATACTTATTGCTTTGACGATTCTTGGTACCCTCAATCCTGGTTTTCATAATGCTGTTTCTGTCACTTATGTTTTTGGTTTATTTTTTTTACTTTCTAGAATCGGATTGGACAGTTCCATGTGTAAAGACACCAGAGAGGTAGTTTGGATCGAACAAATTTTCTTGTAATCAGTAGCAACGAGTCTTTGATTTAGAATTAAAGCCAATTATTCTCATTTCTCTTTTATTTGATTATGTAGATGCTTCTTCTATGGTGATGTTTCTTCAAAGAGGGATCCAAAGGCATATTTAAGATATGTATATACCTTATTCGATTACTATCAGCTACACTTCTGCAAGTCTAGCGAGAACAAAACTGAACTGCCGCTTGTCATTAATACACCAGGATGGGTTAAAGGTAACTCCCTCTCTTTATAATTTCAAAACAAAAGGATTATGTCGAACAGAAGAAACTACAGATTTTTTCTTTCCTAATAAAATGATTCACAATCTTTAGGAATTGGCTATGAGTTATTGGTGGACGTACTGAGATATGTTTCTCCTTCCCACGTTGTGAAAATCAACATCTCTGCTTACAACAAGAACCTACCAGCTGGTTTGTTCTGGTTAGACGGTAATGATGATGAGACGGCTCATTTGATAGAGATTCAATCTGCTTACCAAGACAGATATAATCAATCGTAAGTCATGTACAATGCTATTTATCGAAAAATCTCATTGATATGCTTTATTGTCCGTGTAGTTACATGTTTTTGTATCCTGTTTGTACAGTATTTTAATACATAAGGATGCTCGCTTGATGAGGGACATGCGTATAATCGCCTACTTCAGGCAATGCATTAAAGGAAAAGAAGTAAACACGATTAAAGAACTAACCCATGAACTCGCTTCCCATACTCCTTATGAAGTTCCAATATCGAGTTTAACAATCAACCATCTCCATTGTCAGGTAAAAAGAAAACAATATGAAGGTCATATTTTTTATAATCTATATGATTTTGATGCCAATAATGGGTTTCTCTACTTTTTGTTCTCTCTAGATCCCAAGTTCTGAAGTGTTTTATAGTTTGAATGCTTCCATTGTTGGTTTGGGCGTTAGCAACGACGTGTTTGAAGATTTGCCATCATGTGTAGGTCTTGGTAAGTTTCTCTTTATCCATTGCAATCAGTGATCGAACATGGGTTTATGATTATGTATTGAAATTGGTTTTGGATGTTAAATAGGAATCGTGAGGGGTATTGACACAGAGAGAGGAATATTATACGTGATCACTCCAGTTCCAGAAAACGTAGTTGAGAAAGTTGATCTTCTATTGCAAGGCTATATTCAGTTACCTACTTGCCTCTTAGAGGTGAAGGATTATAGGTCTCCATATTTATCTGCCAACGTCTTAGCTTCCACCTAGATTTTGTTCTTGGAAGACATTTTTGCTCAGTTTTTTCTGTTTACTATGTATCAATTTTGCTAAGTTTCTTCAATATACAATTTTTTTATGGGGGTAAGAAAATGAAACCAAGAGATGACTGCATTGAGACCGAAATATACAACTAATTGCTAACAGAAACTATGCTCAATCAACCACAAGAGAAGATAAATAATTCTTATGCTTTCAAACTCACATTGTTAACAGAAACTTTCGACATTGATGCCATACTTTGGATTCTGTATGCATCAGTTGTCATAGAGAGAACTTGCATGGCACTGTCTTGTTGCAAATAGAATTGGGCGACCTGCCTACAGAAGAAGGCTGCTTTCCGTTGATAACCAAGTACTCCAAATAAACGTGCCACTTCAACATATATATATGAGCCTATCACTGGCATCAATTAAAGACTTGGCACCATCGGCAGCATTTGTTAATAGCTCTACTACTTCCTTAGCCAGTTCCCTCCTGCAAAGGAAATACTAACCTTAGGGGCGAAACTCTGCAAGGAAGAGAATTGATTGCTAATTTTGCAGTTCTTAAAGTTTATCGAAGAAGAGAGGAACATGTAGGTAGAATTACCTCTGAGCGATTTCTTGAATAAAGACATTCTGTAGTGCAAGATAACATTAGTGTATCGATATCTAACTTCATCTTCTAAGCCACAGCACGTTGACCCATCCGATCTACCTAATATTATGAAAACGGAAAAGTAAGATGATTGCAAACTTAATTAACGAGGGACAGATGAGAGCAATCTCATAATCAGTGCACTTTTATTTTTGGATATTTTCCGGTTATTTTTAAGTATTTTTTACTATTTTCAAGTATTTTTGATTATTTGGTGTATAAATGAAGGCATGTTTCAAACTTTCTAAAGTAACATTTTATGCAATAACCAAGCCACAGACTGGTAAAAGCTTTTGAACTGTTAAAAAAAAGCATGGGCTTGGACTGGTAAAAGATTATTAACCCCATTTTAGCTTTAAAACTGGTAAGAAAAAGCATGGGCTTGGACCGCTTCGATCTAGGGCCAGGTTTGGTAAGAGGAATAACAAAAGGGAAAAAGACCCCCCTAATAGTGGTCGTCTTGGTCGACACTCCAGAAACATCACGTTCTTCTTCTCTTCGAAACCCTAAATTTTGGAATCCCTCTAAAGTCTACAGTTCCTAGAACGAGATCTGCTTGCAAATCCTAAGAATGTAAGTATTGGGTTTCCCACAACAGTTTTCTTTTTTTCCCGTTAATTAGCTGATGAGATTTCGCAGAATCACAATAAATGTAAGAAACTTATCTTACATTACAGGTCGAGGATAATCGTTAAGAATATTCCCAAATATGTGACAGAGGATGAACTACGAGGTATCTTTTCACGAAAAGGAGAAATCACAGACGTAAAATTGAAGCGTTTAAGGTAATATACATGTCACAGCTAATTGTTGTGTTGTATGCTGGAATCACTATACACACATATCGTTTTTGCTTTTGCAGTGATGGCACAAGTAGACAATTTGCTTATATTGGGTTTCGTAATGAACAAGAAGCTCAAGATGCTATCACTTACTTTAACAAGTCTTTCATTGATACTCTTCGAATATCTGTTTTGGTAATTAATTTTCACCTAATTACGCCCCAGTTTCACTTGTGTAGTACTAGTTTAATTTAGATTCTCCTTTGGCATATAGCTTGCGGACCCTCCTCCGAGGACACAAGGGAAGGTTGATGAAAATAGTGAACATGCTTATGCTAAAGGAGACAAAAAGATTAAGAAGAAACCAGAGGCTGATCATGATCCTCAGCTTAGAGAATTTCTTCATGAGCATAAGAAGTTGAAATTCTGGTCCAATGACATGTGTATTACTCCTTCCACCGGCAAAGATAAGGTCTCGCCAGTAAGTTTTTCCAATGGTGCCAAAAGATCAGTCTTAGATTCTAAAAAGACTAGGAAGAATAAAGTTGGTGATCATGATGTTTCTGATATGGAATATTTCAAGAGTCGGATAAAGAAAAATCTGTCGGATTCGGACAGTGATTGTGAAACTGATAGTCGTGAAGATGCAATTCATGTTTTTCCTATTGATGGAGAAGTTGAAGCTGACAGAGTCGACAAAGATGATGATGATGATGATGATGGCCATGCAATGGATGGCAGTGATGATGTTCTTGACACTAGTCGCCTTTTCGTCCATGGCCTGCCTTACTCTACAACGTAATGGGTCTTCTTCTTCTTTCCTGATTATCCTTAATTTGTCTTATACATCTCCATTTGTTGTTAAATAAATTTCTCTCATGAAATAGAGAAGAAGAGCTTACGGAACATTTCAGCAAATTCGGTGATATATCAGAGGTCCATCTTGTTCTTGACAAGGATACCAGAAATTCCAGAGGAATGGCCTACGTCCTTTACCTCATACCGGAATCTGCAAAAAGGTATACCAATTAAAAAGTTCTAAGTGCATGCTTTTCAAGAAGTAGCCCTTATGTTGATCTCTAGCTGTTTTAGTTGAGGTTTTAAATCGTTAGAATTTGGATGGTGTTGCAGGGCAATGGAGAAATTGGATAAGTTACCTTTCCAGGGGCGGACGTTGCATATTTCACCAGCTAAGCCCCGTGCAAAGTCTGCTACACAAGTGTCAGTGACCAGTAATATTTTTTTTGTGGACTAGCTAGGATTTTGATCAGTTGTTTATCATGGCTTTCCCCAACAGAGATAACTCTTCTAATCTGCCAAAATCATTCAAGCAAAAGAGGGAGGAACAAAGGAAGGCGTCTGAAGCTTGTGGAAACACAAAGGCTTGGAACAGTTTCTTCATGCGACCCGATACTGTACCTTTTCTTGTTTCAACAATGCATCCATTTTTGAAATCTGGCTTGTTGCTTTGCTTCATGTTTGCTTTTTTCTGTTGTAGATCCTGGAAAACTTAGTCAGGTCGTATGGTGTAACAAAGAGTGAGTTACTTGACCGTGAATGCGAAGATCCTGCAGTACGCCTTGCTTTGGGAGAAACAAAAGTGATTATGGAGACCAAAGAAGCCCTTGCTAAAGCTGGAGTACGTGTCACCTCTTTGGAAGAATTTGCTGCACGGAAAGGTGATGTGAAGAACAGAAGCAAACATATTCTCTTAGTAAAGAATTTGCCATTTGCTTCCACTGAAAAGGAACTGGCTCAAATGTTTGGACGATTTGGAAGTCTAGACAAAATTGTTCTCCCTCCGACGAAGACGATGGCTTTGGTATTATTCTTTCCAAGGAATAGGTGATTCTTCTCTAACCTCTTGTGTTCTCTAACCTGTTCTTACTTGAATTTCAGGTTGTTTTCCTTGAACCGGCTGAGGCACGTGCAGCTTTGAACGGAATGGCATACAAGCGTTACAAGTAAGCTTTAACATTATTGTTTCCCTAAAGTGCTTCTTGGAGATAAATGATTGTCCTAGTTTAACCAAACCGCTTCATCACATTTCCTTATTATTACAGAGATGTTCCCCTGTATCTGGAGTGGGCTCCTCGAGATATTCTTGAGCCAAAAGCACTTGCCGATAACAAAGAAAAGAAGAGTGCTGTTGAAGAAAATGATGCGAGAAGAGTCAACCTGGATCAGCAGGTTGGAATCTATTCGGATATAGCCGAGGTATGTCCACTTTATGATTGCTGTGGACGTTTTGAAATCATATGTTAGTACACTATTCTTGCAAGTTTCAGGTAAGGAACCTGGATAATTTATGTTTATTCATTGACTTGAAAAATCTGTTTTCTGATCACATCTTAGAAAGACGTTTTCTCTAAATAATGCATTATATTTCAGTCAAATGTCCTTCATGTAAAGAATCTGAGCTTCAAGACAACTGATGAGGGTTTGAAGAAGCATTTGACTGGACTGGTGAAGCAGGGAAAGATTCTGAGTGTTAAGGTAAGTTGTTGTTCATTGCTTACAGATGAATATGATATGCAGTTAACCATCATAAGTCTGTTTTATTTTTCACTATAAAGCAGATAATAAGAGATTGGAAGAGACGTCGTTCAAGCGGTTATGGTTTTGTAGAATTTGACTCCGTAGAGACGGCGACCAGTGTCTACAGAGATCTACCAGTAGAGGTATATTATCTAGTTAAGTCTCTTTGAAACTTGAAGGTGATTGGACTCGATGAAGTACGGTGGCACTGATTTGTTTGTTTGTAGGGAAATGTTCTGGATGGGCATTCTTTGATCTTGAGTTATTCTGAAAACAAGCGGAGTGAAACGGTTGGGGAAGGTTCAGACAAGGTCACAAATTTGGCAAAGTTACATGTGAAAAATGTAGCTTTTGAAGCAACCGAGAAAGAACTAAGACAGCTTTTCAGTCCATTTGGACAGATCAAGAGTGTTAGGATTCCATTGCAGAATGTGGGAAAATATGCTGGTTTTGGTTTTGTTGAATTTGGGACAATGCAAGAAGCTTTAAACGCTAAAAAGGCATTCTCCAACACCCATTTCTATGGACGCCATTTGGTAAGTCTTATGTTGTGTACTAATCTCTCTAGCTTGTTCATTTTCTGACATCCTTGAATGCATCCTCAACTCTCTCTGTATGAGGTCTTTGCAGGTGCTCGAGTGGGCTCATGATGACAAGAGAAAATCTTGTGCTGCCAAGTATATGGACCAAGAAAACGATAATCCAAAGAAAAGGAAAAGATGGACAGTTGTTGGTAGAGGTAGAGAGACGTCAAAGAAAAGGTTATAGAAGAAGATGGTTTTAGGGCGTTGGCGTGAAGTGAACAAGGGAAGACACGTGCGGTGGAACTCTCTTATAAAATGAGAGGATAGCTGAATAGGCCCTCTCTGTAGTTTTGTAATCGAGAGTATATATATATTATTATTGACCATGGTGTTATAACTTATAAGAGCATCTCCAATGGATGCAAAATGAGGTTCTCTTTGTAGGTTCTCTTGAAATTTTTTTTGAAAAATAAATCAAAACTGTTAATTAAGAAGAGAGATGTCTCTCTTGAGAGAAATGTTGAGCACCATGAGAGCCGACGACGTGGCCTTCTCTCAGCCGTCGATTTTTTTTGATCAAAAAAAAAAAAAAACGCGTAAAAAAAGGGGATGGCGATGCCTTTTTTTTGATCATTTCCCGACTCTTCTCTCTGTTTCTTTGCGAAGGCAATGGCGATGCCTTTTCTCCGACGATTGAGGTTACGATTAAGGCCGCCGGCGACGATTGAGGGAAGAATAGAGAGGCCGCCGGCGACGATTAGGCCGGACTCTGTCACCGATTTCACCCTCTCCGACGATGGCCGATTCGTTGTTCACTTGCCCAATTCCTGTGAAATTGAATTTGACTACCTCGTTCAATACGACAAGACTATATCTGGCCGTATCGGTTACAGCTCAATCACCGAGCTCAAGGGTATTCAGGTGAAGAAATTCTTTATTTGGCTCGATGTCGATGAAATCAAGGTCGATCTTCCGCCGTCTGATTCCATCTACTTCAAAGTTGGGTTTATCAATAAGAAGCTTGATATTGACCAGTTTAAGACTATACATTCGTGCCATGACAATGGTGTCTCTGGTTCTTGTGGAGATTCATGGAAGAGTTTTCTTGAGGTATAAAGATAAGATCTTGCGTTCTTGGGTTTTTGAATTTGATGTGAATCTTCTGGAATTCGGAGTTCTGGATCGATGAATAACTTTGGTTGACTTCGATGATCGAGAGTCTTAATTTGAATGTCCGGACTTTCTAGTAATAACGAATCAATTGTGACACCATGATTTAGGTTTAGCTTCTGTAAATTTGGATGATATGATTGAAGATATTTCTGGGTTTTAGGGTTCTAGAGGATTTATAGGAAAAGGGTTTTGTCTGAGATACGGATAGATTCTGGAATCTATCTCTGAGTTTCTGGGTTCAAGTTTTCAGTTGGTTTTGTGCATTGACCATTGTTGGATCTGTATATTGTTTCTTCATATCTTTAGGCATGGATTATGGGTAAATGAGTGGGTATATATTTCTGATGAATGTAATTTAAACATGAGGAACAACATGAACATGTCAGTTTCTCAAAATTGAACTTCAAAAGGCTAAAAGCGAAGTCCTTGGAGAAATAGACTAAAACTTGAGAAAAGGTTTGAAATGTATCTTATCTTAGATTTGAGAGAAGAAACCGTATTTAATGCTTTCACATTACTGTTTTTTGAGTTGTTGTAGGACATACATCACTGAAACTGATAGTAGCAGTTTTTTTCCTCTGTTTGGTTCTCTTTTGTTCATAGTGATAGCTTAATGGGTAGCTGATAAAAGTGAAAATGCTGTTTGTTTATGATACTATAGCAAGTCATTCTGCATTTCTTGCAATGTCAGTTGTTCTTTCTTGCTGCAATGTACAATCCTCTAACAAATGTTTTCCGATCTTTGATGGCTTTTGTCTGGTTCCTAGAATGGTTATTGGCTTAGATCGTTTCAAACCAGCCAACTCGCAAAAGTGATTCAGGCTGGTTTGCAGGAAATTGTTGTTACTTGCAATAACAGAAGTTTTTGTTTTTCTCAGAAAGGGCAAGGAATGATGGATGAAGCGGAAATGTTAATCACCGAGTAAAACACTCTTTGCAATCACAGAGTCTGCGACAACACGCAGATAGAGTTGAGTCTCAAGTCAAGTCTTTGTACATAATACATACAATAACTAGACAAGTCTTTTTCTAAGACTTGGTATGAAATGTCGATATATCCATTATGTACGTCTTGTTAAAACTGGGTTCCACGAAAATGTTGTATCACATGACTAAATGTCCAATCCCCGAGTTCTTTCCCACCACCAGAGTAGACTCTGGCCGTTAAGTTCCTTACTACTAGTAATGTTGTATCGTGTATGACATAACGAATGGAAGATGCATTCTAAGAGCCTATAGGTTGTTTCAAATATAACATTAGAAAGTGATCTGATTGAGAACTTGATCTGTTTGAAACCATAATCATTCTTGGTGACGTAAGGGTTTTAGTGGCTGTGATGAAGGGAAATGTTGAGGCCGCCGGCGACGATTGAGGGAAGAATAGAGAGGCCGCCGGCGACGATTAGGCTCTTGTTTGGGATAAGGAAAAAATTGGAAATATTATGAAAGCATGTATCATACTGCACAATATGATAGTCGAAGACGAACGAGATGGGTACAACACTCAGTTTGATGTTTCAGAATTCCTACAAGTTGAAGGAAACCAAACTTCACAAGTCGATTTATCGTATTCTACAGGTATGCCTCCAAATATCGAGAATATGATGGGCATGCGAAATCAACTTCGTGATCAAAATATGCATCAACAATTGAAAAGTGATTTGGTTGAGCATATATGAAGAAAATTTCGCAACAATCAACAGAATAACTAATCGTTTTTTTTTTTCAAATTTATTTTCAAATGTATGAAATTATTGTATCTTTAATATGTTATGAATTGTAATATTTTTCAGATTTATGAAATAAAATAATTAAAAAAAATAATTTAATTTTTTCCTGAGAACCCCACAAAGAGAACCTACCATTGGACGTTGCAAAATTAACAAAAGCTCTCATCTCATAAATTTGAAAATTTTAATCTTAAAAAAATAGTGAGAGCCCATGGAAGGCTCTCACCATTGGAGATGCTCTAAGAGTCTCTTTTGTGATTCTCCTGTGGTTGAAACCGATCTTAATTTATATGTTACTAGGTGAGTACCCGCACTACGTGCGGGCTTTCACTTTATATTTCATAATTATAAGTATATAAATGTAAACATTAGGTCAGTTTTTGTTAATGCGCAAGAAGAAGAAATTTCCCTTATAAACGAGATTACCCTAATACTAAGCATATAAATCTACTTTTTTTTTTTTTTTTACATTTAGATTCCTAATGAAAAACTGTTCTCACTACACATTATCTTTTTATAATATTCTTCATTACTGTTATCTTTAAACCAAAAGAAGAAGACAAAATGCAAAAAAGATTGGAGTACCTGCACTAAAATCAATGATCATGTTATTTAGGTACAAATGTTAAGCATTGATAATTGGGCTGTCGTTTTGTTTGAACAACGATGTTATTAGTTTATAGCAAATAAACAAATAGAACCAAACCTTGATAAGCCTTATTGATTTGTCGAAACATAAATGTAAAATAACTCTCGTCTTTAAATTTTTATCGTTGCCACTTTTGCAAAAACAACTAAAACAATACGAACTCCATCACTGAAGAACTCCATCATTGAGGATTTTAGTCCAATAATTTGATGTTAGAGGTTCTGACGTTCTCTTCACCCTTTTTTAATATATTATATTGAAAAGTTTTTAAGACAATAACCTACTCAAAAAATTCCGGAGTATGAGAAACCCCAATAAAATAATTATATTGAAGAAAAAAGAATTAAGAATTAAATATAATTAGTATTAATACAATTAAATATGTTAACTTTTATAATATGTATAATTAAATAATATATGTTCCACTAACTTACATTAATTATTAGTGGACACATGTCAAATGCTAAAGTGATGATGTGTCACTCATATGGAGAGAGTTAGCCAACTTTCATATATATGATTTTAGATGTAGAGATTTTCAATGGTCCACTTCAGTGTGAAAAATGTCTCTCCGTTAATAAGCAATAACTAAGACTGTAATAAATGGTCCTATTCTGAAATCTGAGACTGTAATAAATGGTCCTATTTTGAAATCTGAATACCTTCATAAGTTTTTCAAATGGGCTAATCTTGTCAAGTTGATTTAGCTAATGCAGATGGGCGTAAATGGACCTATTCTAAGCAAGAGTATTTAATTTCAAATTCGGAAGATAAACGATACTGAGCATTTTTTTGTGACTTGTCCACCACCTACAAGTAAGAATTTTAAAAGGATACAAAGAAGAAATAAGATGAAAAAAATTTGTTACTGTTATGTTCCGGTGAGAACTTCTAACCCAATATAGTAATATACACATCAAAACCACCTACCGGTCAATATTAAACCGAATTTTAAAAAAACCCCGGTTTTCTATGATGTTTTAACAGTGATCCATTGAAGCACATTTGATGGTTTTTAAGGTTCCACCAAGTTCCATTGGAACCAAAGGAATAAGAGAATGCAAGACGTCTGTAATCAACGGCCTGTAACTCGGTTCTGGCTGCACGCACAAAACCGCCACTGCCGCTACCTACACAGTTACATATTCGCATCACAACTCATGAATTCTATCTCATCAAAACTAACTCTCTACTTTGCAGAATCAACTTAATCCTTCTCAAATTTTGTATAACGAACCTGGTAAAGGTGTTTCAAGTCCATTGTGTCTTTAATAGCAGGATCTATGACGCTCGGTAACTTGGTTCTATCAGTGAGATAAGGCATTGCCTGAGAAGAAGAAGAAAAAAACACACAATTCAAGGTTCCAAGTTTAACAGATTTATAAAAACATAGTACGAGATTATATATGTACCCAAGTGATGATGGATTGGCATTCACCGGGAGCTAGTTTCTCCACGGGTTTTTTCCCGAGTAAAAGCTCTAATAACACTACTCCAAAAGCATACACGTCGCTCTTTTCTGTCAATTGGCCTATAAAGCAAACACATGCAGTATGGTAATGAGTAAGAAATGCTTATCATAAAAACAGAACAAGTTTCTTTAGGGATGTTTTATTTGAATTACGACTTGACAGATTGATATTTCAGGGTTTACCATTGAGAAGATACTCTGGTGCAACGTAGCCAACTGTCCCGGAAAGTTTATGGTTCTTGTTCTTTGGCCCATCAACAACAGCAAGACCAAAATCTGAAATCTACATTTCATAGAAATCTAGAGCTTTAAACAAAAAACAAAGAATATGAGATTGAAACATTATGACTTTAAACATTGATTTGTTTACCTTAGCATTGAAATTGCTATCCAATAAGATGTTGGATGATTTCAAGTCCCTGTGAATGATTGCTGGATGACAATGTTCATGCAAATATTCTAATCCCCTAATTTGAAATACACACAAAAATAGTAGTTGTTTTAGTCATCTTGATTGTGAAATGTTGCAAGTTCAAACACGAAAAGTCACGCTCACCTTGTTACATCAAGAGCAATCTTCATCCTCATAGGCCATGTGATCGCCGAACCCCGAGAAGATCCTGAGAACAAGTACTTGAACAAAATGTTTCAGTTTCTCATGTTCACAACTTTAACAAGAATATGTAAATCGGTTTCTGTACCGTGCAAATGAGATTCCAGAGAAACGTTTGGCATCAGCTCATAGACGATGAATCGTGCAGTATCATTCGTGCTATAACCCAAAAGAGATATGATATTCGGGTGCTGGAGCTTACTCAATATCTCAACCTCACTCTGCAACTCTCAAAGAATATAACAAACTCAGGAAGATGAACTTTTTGGTTATCCAACTAACTCCATTGCAAAATGCATATGGAACCACAAAAAGGTAAACTTTAAATCTGCAAAATCAACTACAAGCATGGAAGAGTTTCATAAAAAGAAAGATTTGTATAGCACCTTAAATTCCTTAGCCGCATCTTCATTGGCACAGTCTAGCTTCTTGACCGCAGCTGAAATGTTGTTCTCTAATGTGGCCAAATATACACATCCAAATCCACCTTGACCCAAAATGTTACTCTCCTTGAAACCACTAGTTCCCTTTTCTAGTATATTGTAATCGATCAACGACACGATTCCCTGCTTTGTAGTTCTCTTGTCTAATGTTTTTGAGCGACTAAACCGATTCAAGAAACGTGAGAATGTGATTCCACTACACCCACAACCTTCAAAATCCAAAATGACAAATTGAGGGTCACTTTCTCAGCTATCATAGTCATCATGAATTTCAAGATTAAGGCCATAAACCAAACAAGAACATGAACAAGAAATGTGACTAAGAGAAATTTACCTGAGCTCTTGAGGTTTCTTCTCCTATGGCAAAACCAATAAAGCAGAGAGCAAACTAAGATTATCCCAACTAAGGAAAATGTAGCTGCTAGTGAAATAACCAGTCTCATGTTGTTACTATCTTGTTTATGCAATTCCTTCTCTCCTTGTTGCAAACCTGATCAACCAACCAAAAAGGCATTAGCTTTTCCTAACGTTTCAGGATTGTACATCCAAATAAAAAACCGCACAAATTCAGATTCAAGAAACAATCAAACTGAATTTAACGAAGGAAAATGGTCTCTCTTTCTTTAAAACAAATCGAAAAATCAAATGAAAAGTTGAAACTTTACGGCAAGTGACAAGCGGTTACAATGGAGGACATGAAAAGGGTGACTACAGAGAAAATTTCTTGTGACCCAGAGGACAAAACTCCCCACAAAGCTAAAACCTTTTTCAATGAAAGTTTTGAAAATGCAAGTTATATAACGAACAAAAAAAACATCATAATCATTAAATGCACAGGTCACAAGCAAGAATTTGTTTCTTCTTCTTCTTCTAAATTTCTTGAATTTTCATTCCGAATTAACATGAGGAAGTGAATGAATAAAGCCCAAAATTGAAGGAAAAAAGAAACCAATTTACCAGGAGAAAAGTCGGGAGTGAAAGCAGAAGGTTGAGGAGAAGGAGACTCTTGTGTAGTGAGGGACACAACACATGTGGATTGATGAAGAACATAAGCTTGTAGTAAAACAAGAGCTGTTATAACAAATTGTCTCATTTCTTTCTTTTCTTTTTTTTTAAAAAAAATGTTTACTTTCAAGAACCCACCAAGAGTTGAGAAGATTTAGACAGATTTTTGAATTTGGGTTTTTAGAGCAGAGACATGATTTTGGGATAAGAGAGAAGAAGATTTGAGTAATTCAAGAAAGACCAAGAATGTGTATTTGAAAGTTTGAAAGAGAAAGAGAGATTTGAGAAAAATATTCACTTTCCTATTTAACCATTGTTGAAGAGAGCTCTGAGCAAGAAATGGTAAAAAGATAAAGACAAGAGGATTCAGACGAAATTCTTGAGGTGGAGCAGTTACCATAAAGAATATCGGAAATTTCCACCGGATAGGGAAAATAATTTCGGTATTAAGGGAAATATATATATCATATTAATGTCTTTGTCGACAAAATATATACATGCCATGTATATACGTATACATATGTCAATCAATATTGTGAGAGGTTAATAAATATGTTTTTGTAATTATGTAAATCTTATGGCGAATTAGTTCAATCCAAACTGGTAGATCATCATGCAATACGAGACAGTAAAGCTGAGTACCTAGGCGCTACTCTAAACTCTAGTGGAATACTAATAATAGGTATACGTAAAACTCTAGCAATTGTTGTTTTATGGCAACAATCTTTTTCTAGAAGTCAGAAATTTTGACAATTAACGTTTAGATATATGAAATTTTACCTATAACAATATAGGTCCTAAAGTTAGTTAGCTGATAAGAAAAGGGTTAATTATTTATCTAATTAATCAAAACATTAAAAATGATCTAGTGAATAAACCAAATTTACATATTTTTCTTCAAACTGAAAGTAGATGTACTAAAGTCTAAGAAAAAAAAGTGTATTACTTTAGACTTGACTTTCCAAGTTCTCCATCAAAAATTAAGAGTAAAAAGTTAATAGAAAAAAAGAAGAAGCTTTTGTTATAGAAAAAAGCTGGTTTATGTTTTTTTTTTCCGTACTTTTAAAACTAGCGAATTCACTTCATTGTTATCAATCCAATTAGCGAATTTATTTATTTTTTCCCTACAATTATCAATTTATTAGGTAATGGATTATATTTGAAGTAAGAAAATCGAATATGGATAAGGTCGGGTGGTCCAATCTGAAATGCATATGCATGACATGAAATCTTTCATGTTATGAAACTATTAGATAGTTAGTTGTTATGTAACTATAATTCAAATTTTAAGAAACTACTATCACATGTTAGGTGACCAATGGGTTTGTCTCGAGACATTAAAATATATTTCCTTCCAACACCCCAGAAAGGCAACTATAATGCTATAATCTTTCTAATTATGCATATTGTTTTGTCCTTAAGTATACCAGAAATCATACTCTTTAGTATTTTCTTTTCAAATTACAAATTTTAAATCTTTTCGAGAGATCTGATTTTGCAGGCTGTTCTTTCAGTTATCATCAGTGACAAAGAGGCCTCTTGTTTTCCTCAGTTGAATTAAAAGGAACTAGAAAGTAGTAAGAAGCTGGAGATAGATAGTACTGTTGTTGCCTTTGTGTTATAAATCTTCCTTTGAACCTGACCTCATAATGTTGTTGCAGTATAAAAAGTATGCCTAGGTCCCTATACTGATAAGAGCATGGGAAGAATGGGATACAAATCATGGTCCAACACTGATTTCACAGAGAAATTGCTGTGGTAAATGAAATGTGTCGTCTGTTGGAAAGATTAGGTTATCAACCTCAACTGTGTGTCTTTTGCAGAGATTTAGTTGTTAGCTTGTGGGATGCTCCAACTTCTGTTTCCTTTGACTGTGACTAAATTTCAAAGTTCTCATTATCAAGTTCAATTCCTACTTCCAGATCTGTATATGATGCCATCTCAAAATGATAACCTTAACCATTTTTTTTCTCTGACTTTGTATGCAATTAGCTTATCCTAAGCCAAACCAATCACTAAGCCTGCTAAATAGTAATCTCCGGCTTGTGGTCTTGGCATTACACAAGATAACACTCTTTTGCAAAATGAAAGTTAGAAACATAATCTTCTTTTGCATTTATAACATGAAAAGAAAGTAGAAGCAGCAGCAGGTTCACAAGTGAATATGGGTTATCAATAATAATAATATAGATCAAGAAAAGTGCCAAGACTAAATTTGGAATAACTAAAGTTGCAGGAAAATATCAAACAATTTTTTTTGTAACACTAACAAATGAGCAGAATTGTAGTGCTCATGATTCATTTTACTAATGACTTTTCAACCTTTCTTCCACGAGCTCGATGCATCGATATAGAACAAATTCAATTGGGTTCAGAAGGCATACATCGCCGAGTGAAGATTCTTGGCCATGATCCTCCTTGAGGTTCTCAGCGATGCTGCAGCTCACAAGAGTTCGGAGAGGCAGAAGCCATTCCTTATACGCTTTCTCCAGATTCTTCTTTGACAAAATTTCACTGCCTACTTTGCTTCTCTCTTTACCTGCTTCACATTCTATAACTTGTCTTGTCAGAAAAACAACCACAAGAACAAGAGAGATGAAATGGCAAAACCGCACTGCCTACTAATTTGCAACATTTTAAATAGTCAGATTTCCTCCATTTACTTGGAAGGAAATGAGAAGCAAAGTACATTTCAACTTGACATTTTATCATTTTAGAGAGTTTAAGACTTTTTACCTCTTGATTCAAATAACAGTACAAACCTGTAGAGGTTAAGTGCCCCCAGGACCTGCACAGACATCACACAAGGCTTCTGTTACACAAAATGTGGTTAAATAATCGATCTTCAAACAAAACCATGTTTCTCTCTATTTTCGTTCTGACCCTCTGATTCTTATAAATAGTGAAAATTCTGGGGTCTTTTGTTATCACAGTTTTCCTTGCGACAAATTAGAAAACAATGCAACATGATAAATTTCCTTAATTAGCGAGAAAAGCAAGCTACTCTCATTTGTACAGAAATGGGCATTTTCTCCATTTCTTTGTAGGTATGTATGGCCCTTAAAGCAATTACCTTAACCCATATCATTGCATTGCCTAAATGGTTTTATGCACATAAATAACTGATATAGGAAATGAAAACATCACCGCATCACTCTGGTCCGGAAGGAGTGGAGGACCTCCCTCTGGAGGCCTTAAGACCAACTCCACTAGCTCAATAACATGCGTATCAGTAGTCGCACAATCTGTAGCTTGCAAACTGCTTTCGCTCATGCTGTCTTTAACTAGACCCAGAAGGATTGCTGTCTGGTTGATTTAGCACAACATATTAGTTGAAATAAGATACCTTTTTCTTTTGAAACCAATTTTTTAAAAAAATATTAGCACAGTATGACTACTGAAGACACTAAACTATGCAATTTATGAATGGTCAATGCATGTAAAGGTGACCATCATGGCATTTGACTATTCATAAAGCTCAACGGGATACGAATATACTAACCATTGAAGGAGATCGGGAATTTGTGACAAGGGCTCTTAAAACATCAAACCTATGAGGAGCTGGGATATCAGAAAGAACCTAATCAAACAACACAAGAATAAGATTGTAAGACGAGATTATTAATCATCTCTTTTTCACTTTAACCAAGCCCAATAGATAACTAAATTTCTGGATGAAGACGATATGTTTTAAAAAAAGTAAATGAAAAGACAGAAAAACATCTGAATCATTTAAATTTGGCTGATACCTCTTCTACTTATAAAGAGATAATCATTCTGTGTCAAAGTTGGCTGATACCTCTTCAACTTATAAAAGATAATCAGCACAAGTCAAATCATCTAAATTTGTTAAACCATAATTTCTGTGTAAACCATCAATAACAAGTTTAGATCTAAAGAAAAAGATTTTTGAGGAAACAAAAGCCATTTGAAAGTTTGCGTTGTTCGTTTTTTTGTATATTCATGCTTCATATAGTATCAATTTCTGCATCACTCAAAGTCAGTTACCCAAAAAATTGATTAAGTCGAGGTTTATTTACCCTCTTCAGTGCCTCAAATGTCTTTTTCCTCAGATCTGCGTCTGGGGCATACATGATCACTAATGTAACAGCCTGAATAAAAGAAATGAGACACTTAGAACGCTGGTAAACCTGAATGGTGTAAAGATTAAGGAGAACAATATCATGCCTGTAAAGTAGCGTAGATGCCAGGCGTGTAGTGCGAACAATCTATTTGCTCATCATTGCATTGAGATGAAGTAACTCCTTCTGTTATGTCAAGCAAGAACTCGATAGCATGTCTTTTGAATTCCCAGAGCAGATCTACAGAGGAAAGAATATATTTCAACATCCCATAAGCTTGCCACCTTTTCACTGGATTGCTTTGAAGCTCAGCTACATCACTTCCTGAAGCCGCATTAGCAGCCTCTGCAACCTCATGTGAGATCTTTGCCCAGATGAGTAAAAGCGACGCACCCAAGTTGATGTCAGGGAAAGAGGTGCCGAAATCATCATCATCATCTGTTTATTTTACAACCATGAGACATGTGACACGAGAAAATATGTATGTTACGGATGGAAGGCGTTTTAGGAAGAAGTGTTTTTTGAGTATTGAGAGTAACCTCCAGCAACTGTGCTCATTAATTTTTCAGTGTCGTTTCCCGTGATTAAACCAAGATGTGTTAAACCACAGTATGTCAAGAAAGGTTCTAACTGAATCACCAGAGGAATACAAGAGGCCGCTTTGTCTCTGATGCTAACTGAAAGAATAGCCTGCAAAACCAGACCAAATTTAAGGTATTGAAGAAAATCTAAGGAATAGCTCATAAAAGAGAAAAGTCAGCAAAGTTCCAGGATATATAGAAACAAAGTTGGAATCAAGTACAAACCGTTATCTGTATCACATAGAGACCAAGCAGACAACGGACTTTTGCTTCTTCTTCGTTATTCTGTAAAACAAAGAAAAGAGATCAAAACAGCCAAGTGGAATATTCAAATTAGAGAATGTGCACTTTGGGTAGTAATTTAGGAAATCTTAATTGCCAATTTATCAAACTTACAGACCAGTTTTGAAGAAACGTCTCGAATTGAAGAGGCAATGCCTAGAGCCTTATCAAATAAACCTTCAACTTGCACGTCTGTTTCCAATGAAATGTCCTTCAAAACGTTCAGGACAATTGGAACTGCAACTTTCAATTGCTCGTAGTGACGCCTCTGAATCGAAATAAATACTGAAACCAAGAAATTTGAATAACTTTTTACTGCTTCAGTTCGCGAAGAATAAATTAATATCTTCAGTAACAAAACTAGTTAGGAATTCAAAAACACAATTTTAGGAAATTCATACTTTGCAGGTGCCAGGCTAAAATTCACTTTCATGAGAGAAGTCTATAAATATCTTGAAAACGAGAAATCTTCAACTGATACCTTTAGAGAGCCCATGTAATAAAGGAGTAGAACAACTGGAGGGTGAAAGAGAGCACCGTGCAGCATCGAGTGCCTGGTTCAGAGTCATAAGGTGATCAAAATGCCAAAACACTACTCAGTGGATAAAAGAAGTTGTAATCTTCTTATGCCAAATACCAAGTAGGAAAAAGCAACTTAAGAATCTGTATATTTACTGCCTTGAACTAGCCTGATCCAAAACCAATTCCAGATCTAATACCTCACAAAGAATTGAAAGCATATCCCGTGGATTGCATGCTTCCACAAATCGATCAACGATTTCCTCAACCAAATGTAAACATCTGCCTGATAGGTCTACAAACTTGGAAGTTACTTTTGGCAAGTGAAATGACAGTGCATCAATAACATCCTGTTACACAATGAAAAATCGTAAGCTTGATTCTAAACAAAATCCTTCCTTTTAAGCTTTCAAAGCAATTCGAGAACTGAAAACTACCTGATCCACTTGAGGAGATGACAAAACTTTCAAAATTTCATCTAATACTTCAATAACATCATTCTCCAGTTCATCACTGGCATTCAAAACTACGTTCTCATACAAAGAATTCAAACAGTTGACAAGTTCTGCCACTAAGCTCTCCAACTCTCGATTCCCTCCAGCTTCCACTGACTGAAAAAATCACAAAATCAATCGAAAGTACGAATTCAATTCCGAAAATCACGAAGCACCAGAAAACAAGGAGACGAAGTAGAGAAAAGCTTACACTGAAACACAAAGCTAGAAGTTCTCGTACACGACGTGAAGGAGAAGCAGTAACACTAGACATCTCTTCAAACTTTTCAATTTCTCCCAAGTTTCGATCACATTAATAATCGCGAATTTAAACCAGGTTGTTTGGTTATACGAATAGAGTTAACCTCGGATAATATAATTCTAATTAAGAATAATTTAAAACCTGTATCCAAACAGACCACGTTTTCTCTCTCAACACTTTCTCGTTTTCGTCTCCTCCAGATCCGGTGCACTCACGCTCACCGAAAGATCCTCACTGGCTGTAACCTCTCTTCCTCTGATCTCGCCATGGAACCTGACGTCAGCATCGAGACTTTATCGATCATTCGGATCGCCGTCCTTCCGATCGGCACTATCCCGCCGACGCTTCTCCGGGACTATCACTCGATGCTGCTCCGTCACCATACGATCGCGCTCTCAGCTATTAGCTCTTTCTACACTGAGCATCAGAAATCTCCGTTCACGAATCAGCCTTGGGACTCTGGCTCTCTCCGGTTCAAATTTGTGCTTGGTGGTTCTCCTCCGAGTCCCTGGGAGGATTTTCAGTCTAATCGGAAGATGCTCGCCGTGATCGGCCTTTGTCACTGTCCTTCGTCCCCTGATCTCGATTCTGTCACTGAAAAGTTCAATGTCGCTTGTAAGAGCTATTCTTCGGCTCTTGTTCGGCGCTGCTTCGCTTTCTCCCCTGGGGATTCGCAAGTAAGTATATTAGCTTACATGCTTAATATCTGCTATGGCATTCTTAGCTCGATGCGGATGGATCTAGCTAGCTTGTTTTCTGATTTGACTCTATAGTTGATAGTGATGGCAGTTTTTGGTACCAGTGATTTAGTTACTGGCTTTTGTATGCGTTTGATTGACGATTTGCTGATCATTGTACCGTCTTTTGCAGCTTGAAGATGGAGATAAGAAGGGTGAAAATTTGATTTTGTTTCCTCCATCTGACAAGCAAACTCAGGAGTTTCATTTACAAACAATGATGCAAGACATTGCCGCTTCGCTGTTAATGGAATTTGAGAAGTGGGTTCTTCAGGCAGAATCTGCTGGCACAATTTTGAAGACGCCTTTGGATTCCCAAGCTAGTCTTAACTCAGAGGAGGTTTATGTCTAGGTGTCCTATAATTTGGTCTACGTTTCATTTCTTCCTGTGGAAGCTTATAAATTATTACCATAGTCTTCTAGGCTCACTAGTTTGGTATAATGCAGGTTATTAAGGCCAAAAAGCGTAGGCTGGGACGTGCACAAAAAACTATAGGAGACTATTCTTTGTTGGCTGGTTCACCTGTTGATGCCAATGCTCATTATTCTACTGCTCTAGAACTGGCCAGATTGACAGGAGATTACTTCTGGTATGCCGGTGCCTTGGAAGGCAGTGTTTGTGCCTTACTGGTAAGGCTTTATGCAAATAAAGCTCTAAATGCATTGTTCTGACATTTTTCATAGCATTATAGCCCTAAAACATGGATAGTGAATGTGCTGTTTATCTAAAGTGCACTGATTATTAAATTATGTCCCTCTTTAATTAAGTTTGCAATCATCTTAGTTTTCCGTTTTCTTAATATTAGGTAGATCGGATGGGTCAACGTGATGTGGCTTTAGAAGATGAAGTTAGATATCGATACACTAATGTTATCTTGCACTACAGAAAGTCATTTATTCAAGAAATTGCTCAGAGGTAATTCTACGTACCTGTTTGGCTCTCTTCTTCGATAAACTTAAGTACTACAAAAATAGCAATCAATTCTCTTCCTTGCAGAGTTTCGCCCCTAAGCTTTGAACTCGAAGCTACCCTTAAACTGGCCAGATTCCTTTGCAGGTATCATTGTATGCTCTCTATTTCTTTAAATTATCATGGTGTAGTTTCCTTTTTGCCTTCAGTATCCTGCTTAAGTTTAAGGTTGCTATGGTATTTTTGTTTGTATTGCTAATATAATTTGAATATTAACTCATGGGATCTTGTGTGTGTGTGGCTTTGATCCTCTAAAACTATCTGCACATTCAACTTATAATACCAATAAATTTAGATTACTATTAAGTATTAAGTGACCTAGTGGACGATGGCTGTATGTAATGTTTTGTGATTGATGGTGATGTTAGCTGGGAGAAGAATGACTATTACGTTTTGAAAAAGCTAAACTACATGGATTTTCCGTTTAATATGAAATGATGCTCTCTGTTGTGGGCAGCTTGTATGTTTTGTTAACCTTCTGGTTGAATCCTCATTTTTCTCTTTGTTATCTCTGATCTTATTCTTTCTTACTATGTCATTTTTATGGGTTGTGCAGGAGGGAACTGGCTAAGGAAGTAGTAGAGCTATTAACAAATGCTGCCGCTGGTGCGAAGTCTTTGATTGATGCCAGTGATAGGCTCATATTATATGTTGAAGTAGCGCGTTTATTTGGAGTACTTGGTTATCAACGGAAAGCAGCCTTCTTCTGTAGGCAGGTCGCCCAATTGTATTTGCAGCAAGACAATCGATTGGCTGCTATCAGTGCCATGCAAGTTCTCTCTATGACAACTGATGCATACAGAATCCAAAGTAGGGCATCCGTGTCAAAAGTTTCTGTTAACAATGTGAGTTTGACAGCATAAGAATTATTTTTCTTCTCTTGTGGTTGATTGAGCGTGGTTTTTCGGAGGTTTTTTTTTGGTATCATCACTGTTCACTGTCTTGGTGTTCCTCCACGTATCATACTTTGATGATCTTAATATTTTCTCTTGTGTTTGTTGGTAAAGGAAACTGGGCGCCTACCTGATGCTGGGAAAATGCATCATCATTCCATTGTCTCCCTGTTCGAGTCTCAGTGGAGTACTTTGCAGATGGTTGTGCTTAGGGAGATACTTCTCTCTGCTGTTCGTGCTGGAGATCCCCTAGCTGCATGGAGTGCTGCAGCTAGGCTTCTGAGGTGGCATTATCCTCTAATTACACCTTCAGGTCAAAATGGACTTGCTAATTCCCTTGCAAATTCAGCGGATAGATTACCTTCAGGAACTCGCTGTGCTGACCCTGCCTTGCCTTTTGTAAGGTATGTTTATCAGCAGTCAACCTTTTTGCTTTCAGAGATGTTTTGCCTTGTGCACTCTCACCATCATGAAACAACCTAACTTGGTCATGTTATATTTCCTAGCACTCTAAGTAGAGTAACGAGATCAGACTAATAAGTAATAATCACTTTTAATCCATCTCTTGGGCTTCATATATGCCTAATATGTGTTTATTTTCAGGAATGTGTTCCATGTTTGGTTCTTAGCCGATTCTGGCAAAACTATGTATGTTTTGGCAACTTTTTATGGTTCGTTTAAGCATTATTATTTCAATGAAATTTCAGGCTGTTCTCTTTCCCACTCCATTCCTCCCAAGTGGACATCGTAAAACGCAATCCAGCAAGAGAAGATTGGTGGACAGGGTCTGCTCCTTCTGGGCCATTTATTTACACTCCTTTCAGCAAAGGAGATGCCAACGAAAGTAGCAAGCAGGAATTGATTTGGGTGGTCGGTGAACCAGTTCAGGTCTTAGTGGAGTTAGCAAATCCTTGTTGCTTCGATTTGCGGATTGATAGTATTTATCTCTCAGCTCACTCAAGAAACTTTGATGCGTTTCCTGTCAGTGTGGACATTCCCCCTAACTCTGCAAAAGTGATCACATTATCTGGTATTCCAACAGCTGTAGGACCAGTGACAATTCCAGGCTGCACAGTTCACTGCTTTGGTGTAATCACTGAACATGTGTTCAGGGATGTTGACAATCTGCTTCTTGGAGCAGCACAAGGACTTGTATTTTCTGACCCTTTCAGATCCTGCGGATCTGCAAAGCTACGACATGTATTTGTTCCTAACATATCAGTTGCACCACCATTGCCCCTCCTTGTGGCTAATGTTGTCGGTGGTGATGGTGCAATTATTCTGTATGAAGGTGAAATTCGAGAGGTGTTTATAAATTTTGCAAATGCTGGCACAGTTCCAATAGAACAGGCACATGTCTCGCTCTCTGGAAAGAATCAGGATGCTGTTATCTCGATAGCAGATGAAGCTTTACAGTCTGCTCTTCCCTTGAAACCCGGGGCACAAGTGACTCTTCCTGTGACTTTAAAAGCTTGGCATGTGGGACCAACAGATTCTGACAATGCTATTAGCAGTGGCAGGAATGCTGCTGGTAACACAGGAAGACCAAAAGACGGAACCAGTCCGTCATTACTTATACACTACGCAGGTATTCATTTCTTCATTCACTTTTTTTTTTTTTTTTGGTCAACACACGTATTTTTTTTATGTATCTTACTTTTGCAGTGCTTCATGTATCCTCACGATGACTGATTACCAAAAGCATTTTGTATTCATATTTTTTGCAGGGCCGTTGTCTAACAATGGGGATTCCCAGGAAAAAGAATCTGTCGTGCCACCGGGCAGACGGCTTGTTGTTCCCTTACAAATTTGTGTTTTGCAAGGTTTGTCGTTTGTGAAAGCTCGTTTGCTTTCCATGGAAATTCCTGCACATGTGAGTGACAACCTTCGGGATGAAGACATTGAAAGAGAGAGCAATGCAGACAGCCTTGTCAAGATCAATCCCTTTAGGGGAAGCTGGGGACTACGGTTTCTTGAACTTGAGCTATCTAACCCAACAGATGTTGTTTTTGAAATCAGCGTCTTCGTTCAGCTGGAAAACTCTGCCAAGGAAGATGATTCTTCACCAGTGCAAGATTCTCCAGAGTATGAGTACCCAAAAACAAGAATCGACCGGGACTATTCTGCTAGGGTACTGATTCCGTTGGAGCATTTTAAGCTACCGGTTCTTGATGGTTCATTCTTCACAAAGGACCCTCCACCTGGTAGCCCTTCAAGTAGTAGAAATCCGAGCTTCTCAGAGAAGAACACGAAAGCTGAGATAAACACATTGATCAAGAATCTCATTTCTAAGATAAAAGTTCGGTGGCAATCAGGAAGGAACAGCTCAGGAGAACTGGACATCAAGGATGCAATTCAGACAGCTCTCCAGACGACTGTGATGGATGTTTTGCTCCCAGATCCGCTAACATTTGGTTTCAGACTGGTCAGAAACGGTCTGCAGAGGGATTCTGAGACAAA